GCGGTCCTGGCGATTTCTTCCTGGCTCCAATGGGCTGCAATTAAGCCAGCGTTGGCCCGGGAGCAGCAGTGCCCGACGAGGCCATATCGGCTGCTGATGATCACGGCTCGGCAGCCAGGGCCAGGGGAAGCCAATCCCTCACAGCCCCCGCGACGGAGAATGATTCGAGAAGAGCGTCTGTCGGGAGCAGACGTCAGGTCAGGTTCCCGTTGAGACGGCCATCTGAGAGGCGCCTCCCAAGCAGATCCCCAGTCGGGCTAGCAAGGCTGCGCGCTTCAGCCGATTGGGCGACTCCAGGGTTAGGACGTCATGGCGTCTGTGAGCTGCAGCGTGAAACGAGAACCCCGGCAACGTTTGTTTCTGTCTGGAGGCCCTTGCGCTAATGTGGTCGCCCAAGCTGCCGGCCGTGGCCTCTGATTGGCCCGGCCGGGTGGCGCCGGTGTGCTGCCAGGCTCGAGAATCTCTTCAAGCGAAACCGTGCATCTAGCTGTGCTCGCCGTATCCGTCGTGCGAGGACAAGCACACCGCATCTGATAGGCGCTGTCTTGAAGACAAATTACGTGACGCTCGGAGCCTTGTGTCTCTTCCGGCCGGGCACTTCTGCCTTGGGCTGCGGATTGGACCCTGATCTTCAATGGCCTCATGACGTGACAAGCTCCGGCCGTTAAAAGTCGGTGAAATCTCGAGGCCGTCCTCGTCGATGACTCTTACTCGTGCCGTTGTGAGGACAGGCAGGCAGATGCTCCAGATCAGACCAGCCAGACCCCGCAGTTGGGTTGCATGGGTGTCTGAGGCCTCGTCCGCCCGAAGCGCTCCAAGAAATCCCACGATGCCCACGATGCCTGCTGCGGGTGGCAGAAAGGCAGGTCATGGCCGAGGCGGCTGGTCTGGCAAGGCATCGAGCCCTGGCCTGCGCGGGCGGTACTTGGTCGCACGGCAGGCAGTACCTCCCGAACAGCATGCATGCCACTAATGCCCTCAGTACTCAAGGGTTGACGGCTTGTACTACTAGGCCAGGTCGCACAGACTAACAACTGCAGAGTACGGCAAATGAAATCGTGTCCCGTCCCCAATTCGGGTTACTCTTTTCTTTCCTTCTTTTTTTTCGGTGACTATGTGAACCAACTGCAATCCGCAGGGCCTGGTCTCTCTGGACAGCTCAGGTGACGCCTTTGACCGCTCGGCGGCACGGATGCAGGTTCGCTAAAGTCGTCTGCAGGGCAGCTGCATCTGGGCATACAAGTAGGACTACCTAAAGTAGTACCTACCTACTGTACTAGTATGTTACGTGCGAGCTTACCAACTTGGTAGCACAGCACAGGCAGTACCTACCAGATAGGTTCCTGCCAGGTATGTAGGTACGAGAACGTGGGCAAGTGCTACTACGAAGATAGGCTGTAGGAGATATGGGGTTATGGAGGTATTAATAGAGCAGTACAAGGCCCTCTCGTACGAGTTGCGCGGAGCAGCTGCACAGCAAGGGCAGCATCTAAGGCATTCCTGGCATAGCTCTCTGCACCTTTGCGCCAGCCAAGGGCTAATGTACCTGCTAGCGATGTATCTACACGCGCATCTACGACAGATGGTACCGAGTACCATGTACCGTCCTCACGCCGCATGCGTCAACCGATATGGTGGTTGCACAACGTCGTAGGTACCTTCAAGCAGATAGCCCAAGAAGCCATACAGAAGGGGCTCTGCGAGATACTAATGTACAAGCACGCACAGGTACGAGCAGGTAGCACCCGCGTCCTTACCTTAATCTTCGTGGCGGTGGGGGGATGGGATTCTTAATCACACGCCCCAGAGCCAGACCGCTGGAAACTCAGCGAAAGCGCCGAGGTCCTTGCTTGGTCAGAGACCCATTAGGTTTTGGGCTCCTCTGATTTTTTTCTCTCTGTGCCGTGTCGACTGGAATGGGGTTGAGGATGTCGAAGGGAAGGAGGGAAAAAAAAAATTAAATGAAGTGAAATAAGCAATGATCTCATCGGACGCTTGAGCTGACACACCCAAGACAATTTGAAGCCGCCCTTGGAGTGGGATCGCATAGCCGACCGTGCTGGCACAGCCAGTGATATGTAGCTAAGGCTGCACTCATGATCCAATTTGATCAGACGCAATGCATCTCAGCCAACCTGTCAATGCACTCGCCCGTCGGAGAACTGAATACAGCTTCCTAATGAGAAGACCAATGCTTGTGTAGCTTCCCTTAATTTGGCACCAAATGCGAGTGTGCCGTGGGAGGGAGGGCCAAAAGAGGAGGCACCACAGCACAAGAATACACACACAGCTGGGAATCAGAATTACACGAGTTGTCGACTAGGTATAATGATCTTCATACGCCCACAACTATGGCTTACGCGATGAATTCGTCTAGGCTTTACGCCTCTCCTCTGTATCAAGCCACCAGTGTTCGGGATAGATAAGCGGCAAAAGCAGTAAAGTACATGTAGAAGCAATCGATCACAAGGTAAGGTATGTAGGTAGGTACCTATCTAATCTATATGACGGTGTGCGTAATTGAAGATTGTGGGCGCAGCGTGACACGTCTCTTTTATCTTTGCGCAAGATAGGTACGTATGTCGACGAGTGTAGTCGCAACGACGCACATCTTCGGCTGCATGCGAGTCTCCGAAAGAGAGCTTGTGGCAGGTGCAAGCGATCCCACGCCCCAAGCCTCGCTCCTCTTCAGCCAGGGCACTGCGCGTACCGGTACTTGCGACTGCACGCCGACATACACCTTACATTATTACTAGTAGCAACGCCATTGCAGATGTTGGAGATTGCATCTCAGCTTCCAAGGGCCTGGTGCTATTTCATGTACAAAGGGGCGCGTGGCCATGGTGGGATTCAGACCCCAATTTACCCGCCAAGTCGGATAGTCAGAGTCAGCGGCAGACCTGTTGTCCCGCTGCTCAGGGGAGAGGAGGAGGGAGGAGGAGGAGGAAGAAGAGGAGGAGGAGGAGGAGGACAGAGCCGCCTTCTGCTTGCCCGCCAGCGCAATACGAAGGCATCGCGCTAGCCTCTGCCTTTGTCTTTTGCCTACATGGACTACACAGACGCGGCTGGCGAGACGGCGTGGATATCTGCAGCGCGCGGCCTTGTGTAACGGCGTGTCAATTGTCAAGTCCGGGTAGGTGGTATCGAGCAGCGGCGGCTAGCAAGGTGAGACGACGAAATCGTTGAATCCGTCAGATGCAGAGGCCCCCGACGACATCGTCATCCGTCGCGGCGGCGCAGCCTGCCAGCAGAGCAGATTGCGCGACCAGGCTGGGTGTACAGCGCTAGACGTGCATTGGTCCCCCAGTACGGTACGACGGCGGCCAACTCCCAGGCAAACGCATCACGCACATACTGGTATTCCATCCGTTCGAGGCTAGGGTTTCTTCCCTCTGCGCTTGGATGGCGGGGAACTCCAAGACGGCCATCGGCTCATAGAGCGTTCTTGGCAGTCGAGAGATCACTTGATCAGACAAGAACGGAGGGCAGGGCCCCGTTCGTCTTGTTTCAATTCCCCAAAGCAGCAAGATAGGTGGCTTCCCGTGTCGTGGTGCATGCACTGGCACTGATGTATGGATTACGATGCCTTAGCAGCTACAGTAGCCAGCCCGCAGCCAAGGGGGGCACTTCGTATCCTGCAGCACTACTGCGGCTGCTAAACTGATGCTCGTCCAAGGTCGCAGTAGCAGCAGCAGTAGGACGAACCAGGCCCCTCTTCTGTCACTCTAATTTTTTTTTTTTTTTTTTTTTTTACCCTCTTTTTCTCTCTGGGCTTCGTGCAGAAAGATGCTCGTGAGCCAGCAATAAAACGCCGAGGTCAAGCAGCTCATCTTCGCCGATCTCTGCCATCTCGTTGGTCGAGGTTGCTGTTTCATCTTCTTCGCCGGGGCACACAATGGCGCTTACAGAAAAGCCGTTGAGCTGCTGTCATTCGCCCTTTGCATGCACAACGTGATCACCGGGCAATGAGAGGGATCAGCACCTTAAAGCCACAGCCGTTTGTGCTGCCATGCGGTTGCAGGCTTTGTACGGACCGCTGGCAGAGCAGATAGAGCCAGCCCCCCGGAATTGTCCGAGAAGCGCCGCTCTATCGTGAACTGCCAGTCAGGTGTAAGAGTCCATACCTTATGCTTGGGCAGCAGATGCAACGGAGCAGACGGTCTCAGTCGTGATCCAGCATGCAGCTTCACCGGTGTGAAGGTGTCTGGGGGGGCGTTGTAAACCCACGCTTTGATAGTCCGAGATCGCTGGTGTTGTCCTGACGTGGCAGCGCGAAGAGTGATCAGCTGCGCCAACAAAAGAGCAGCACGGAACCAATAAAGCGTCACCTCGCTGAAGCATCGTTGAAGCACAGCCAAGGATCATCATCATGGGGAGCAAGTTGGGGGCCCTGGGAGTGGTGGATGTGACGAGTAAGAGGCTCAAGAGTTGACATGTTGCACGGACGTAGTCCCTCTCATAGGGTTGAACAGACCTAAGCTTTAGCTGCCCTCTGGCTGACGTGCCGCCCATGCCTCGCCATGAGGTGAATTGCTCTGCATACAGTAGGCGGACAAAAAATGTCGATGCATTCTTCATAGCGCACGCAATGATGCGTGTAACAGTGCACTAGCAGGTGTCATGAATCGTTGCCCTCGCTCGACGTCTGACGTCTTCATGTACTCATGCCAAACAGCCGGGTCCGTGGAGAGCCCTCCGAGTCCGCCCATGATTCGCTGCCGCCGCCCTTGGATAAGATGATAATTGCTAGGGGTCAAGCTAAGAGGCCGGCGATCGCCCATTGAGCCATACTTTTTCAACCATGATGGTCAGGAGAGGCACAATTTGTCCTGATTCCCATGGCACTTTCGGTATGCCGGCGTGCCCAACATTGAGGCCGGCCTATTCCAGATAGATTGCAAGTTCACTGGCCGCCTATTGCCACCGGCCCCCCGGCAGCTTCTAGCCCAGACGAACAGCCTTCTTTTGCGCTGCTCTTTTCTTTTTTTAACCCTTTTTTTCCGGGCCCTGATGCGATTACTAACAGGCGACAGGACGTGCCTTGGTACTGCTGCTGCTACGAGGTGCTGCTTACCCAGTGGGTGTTAGCGGAAGCCCCCATGCAAAAAGCGCGGGGTGGATAAGAAAAGCTAATGCGAATCTCGAGAAAAGGCTGGACACATGGCGGCCTAGGTGTAGGTACCCAGCGACGGCCGGTACCTCTGGCACAGCGCTCTCAAGGTACCCCAATTGCTAGACACACCCCCAAGGCTTCTGTCGTCGTCATTCCTACGCTGCTCCTCAGGCGTTAATTTCGTGGTTTAGCAGAGCAGAGGAACTGCTGCAGCGCGCATCCCTTGTCTCAGCATCCAATGCTAATCATACCCTCTTGTGCTTTTTTAGAGGAGCATCGCCCGCCCTTGAGCCAGTTGTTCGCGTGCTAGCGGACTGAGAGGGAAGGGGAAAAGTACTAGTATCTTCTTTCTTCTTTGAATCTCTCTCTGCCCTTTCTTTTTAATTTCGTGATACAGTACTCCGTAGGACATAGAGAGCTAGAATCAGTAGTGCTTCGGGCAGTAGCTTGCAGACCGAGTATCCGCCTACAAAGCGACCTATGTGAAGAGAGCAGCAGTAGCTTACAAAACCACACCTCATACATCCAGCTTCTCACGGGCTGTTTCCGCCTGGACGCTGAAATTGCACTGCATGGATGTCCGTCGCCTCACTTTTTCCCTCTGACGTGTTGACCTGACCTGACGTGATGGACGGACTCTTCTATCGCATTGACGCCGCATTGTCGCTGGCCCCCTTGTTTCTCCTGTCTCTCACGTTCCATTTCCCCGCTGCCAAAAGGGCCTCACCGGCGCTCGGCTTGGGCTTGGCCAAGGATCCCTCGAAAATCACAGCTCGCTCTCCTGTCCACCCGTTGAAATTTCCCGACTGCTGTTAGTAGGAGGTACCCCATCAGTGCCTGAGGAAGGGGGGGGGGGGGTATACACAAAAGAGGAATAAAAAAAAAAGGAAAGAAAAAGAAAAATAAGAAAAAAAAAAAATTAGCTTCTAGGCGTAAAAGCCACACACCCCTTACGCATGCCACGCCATTAGGACAGGCGTTATTTAGTAGTGGTACTTTGCTCTTTTTTTTTTACTTACACACCCACAAAATCTAACCTGTCCCGCAGCCATTTGACTCAACGATTCTCGACTACTTCTGTGATTCAACCTCCAGACTCAGAAACATTTCCTCTTCGTCCCACGCCTAGATATTGCCAATCCTCAACCCAACTCCCTTCGTCAAACCACTGCCTACGCAAAGGCAGCACCAAAGTGCTTCGCATTGGCTCGTTGTTCATCCGGACATCGCACGAAAAAAAAAATACTCCAAGACGTCCCTCGCCATCGAGAGTTACATTCGGTCCTCGATTTGCCTCTTTGCAGCTCTTATCAAGAGATAGTCGGGCTCGTCTTGCAGCTTGTCACCCCAGGACTCGATCTCTATTTAACTCGGCATCCTCGTCGCCTTTTCTGTCGGCGGTCCTGCTCCAGCCTCTCTCCAGCTCGCTGCGTCCCAAGAAAAAGGCAAGGCAAGACACCGAGCAGCAACATCGTCATCAAGCGTCGCCCTTGGCCGCAAGCCTCCAGCCTACGTCTAGCAAGAATAGCCGACTCGCCCCCAAAAGACTCGCCAGGCTGTGTCGCATCGTATACCGAGTCGCCTCACAGCTTCGCGCGCTTTGCCCGTCCTTCCTGCAGTGCCTCCAAGACATAGGCCTGGGGCCAATACCCAAAGCAGCGACCTGCATACGATAGAATTCTGCCACCTCACAGCCTGCCGCGACCTGGCATTGCCTGACAAGGTCAGATCGCCCCCCTAGTCTACGCTTTTGACGCTCCGAGAGCCAACCCTTGACCACGGCCCACCGGACTGACGCCAGCGTCTGCAGCAGCTGCAACACTGGACGTGTGTGTAGAGGGTCAATTCGCCTACTCTCAACGGCCGCCTCTGCCCTCGACCCTACAAGTCTAATTGTACATACTCTTCGTACCTGTACGCCCTCCATTCCCCCCTGGACCAGGACGGCAATCCGCAAGGGCTGGCCGCGGATCTCTGTTTAGACCATTTTTTCCCATCCCCCCCCCCCCCGCAATCCCCGTCCCCAGATCGCTACAATATGCATACCGGTACAGCTCAAGGCTTATAAGGGTCAATCCACCGACTGAAACCTCGAGGCCTGCCTCTGCCATGAGCTTGCTATTCACCTACATACCATCTCAATCATGATTAGCAGCAACACAGATTCAACTCGCTCCTCCACACCTCAAGCATTGGGCTCTAGTAGCACCATGCCTTCACAATCCAACAAGTCACAGCGTCCAAACGTCCAGACAGACTTCCACGCGCAGAGTCCTGACGCAGCTCCCGCATCTGCCATCAGCGCGTCCTCTGGAGCTTCCAATTCACAGCATGGATCTCCAACCCAGTCTCCGAGATCTACCATTCTCACCGTCGCTACCTCCATTCATGCGTCGCCAACTCAGTCTCCGAGATCTACCATGCTCACCGTCGATACCTCCATTCATGCCTCGCCCGATCTCATGCCAGATGCAGCAGACCAGGAGTCTCCCGAGGACCTCGAGCAGCTACCTGGGCCCATCATCTCACCAAAAACAAGCAGAAACTCACTAGGATCCAGCGTAACAGGAAGCCCGAGTGCTCCTTCCGAGACCGTCTATAGTAACTGTAGACCATCGAATGCTTCAACGTCGAATGCTTCAACGTCGAATACTGCAGCGTCGAATACTACAGCGCCGATTACCACTGCGTCGATTACTACAAACAATAGCAGCAATAGCACCGGCGGTGCCCCTAAGAACCTGATTCGAAGCATATCTAGAGCATCATCCAGAGCATCAAGGCGGCTATCCAACAAAGGGAGGCGACAATCCTCGGCCGCTTCCTCAAGCCGCGAAACTAGTGCTGGTCCCAGCTTGTGGCGGAAACGCAGTGACAGCAATTCAACTGCCCCTGAGTATGGTGTTGCCGACTCTGATTCTGGATCCGAAAATGCTGGCGAGGATAACAACTCCTTTCGCCAGCCCTTCATTAAAAACACCCTCTACCAAGATTCACCACCAATGAGCACGTCGGCCTCCATCAGCAGTGGCTCCAACACCACGGTTGGACCTGTCATTCCATTACAGCTACGACAGGGAACGCCGCTCAAAAAGATATCCAAGAAGAACCGCTCCAAGCGCATAAACCTTATTTATGACACAGCGACCAACAAAATGATGTGGGATGCAAGCCGTCCTCAAAAGTTTCTCCACGTCGATGAAATAATAGAGATTCGGACTGGTTCCGATATCGAGCAGTACGCTCGTGATTTTGGCGTTCAATCGGAAGAGCGTTCGAATTGGTTCACCATCATCTACGCCGTACCAGAGAAGTCCAAATCAAAATTCCTCCATCTTGTGGCTAATAGCAAGGAGATCTACTCGGTGTGGGTCACGTTTCTCGAGGCCATGCTAAAGCATCGCCAAGAGGTCATGGCATCCTTGATGACCTTCGATGAGAAGGCTATCAAGCAGTACTGGGGGACAGAGATGATGAAGCACAATTCCGAAGATCAGGAAGAGCTTGACATCACCGGCGTCATGCGAGTATGCCAAAACTTACATATTCACAGCTCTCAGTCAACTCTGCAGTCTAACTTTCGACTTGCCGATGCGCGGCAAAACGAAAAGCTAAACTACGACGAATTTCTGGAATTTGTTCGTCTCATGAGGCAGAGGCAAGAAGTCCACCGCCTTATACAAGGCCTTGCTACAAGGCCCTACGTTGGTCTTACCTTTGAGGAATTCTTTAGCTTTCTTCGTGACGTTCAAAAAGAAGACGTTAGCGATCGAGACAAATGGCAGAAAATCTTTGACGGGCTTGTTCGTAATCATAGAAATGACGACACAAGCGCTACAGTCACTCTCGATGAGCTAAACACCCTATCAGAGACAGCGTTTACTGGATTCTTGAGCTCCAAACAGTTCAACTTGCCCACTATTGACGAGCAGCGCGAGTTTACGCTCGACCGACCCATGAACGAATATTTCATCTCCAGCTCGCACAATACCTATCTCCTTGGACGCCAGGTTGCGGGTCAATCCAGCATCGAAGGGTACATTACCGCGCTTTTACGAGGCTGCCGCTGTGTTGAGGTTGACTGTTGGGACGGCCCTGGCGGCTCTCCCATAGTCGTCCACGGACGTACGCTCACTAGCGCAATCGGCTTCCTCGAAGTCATGAACACCATCAACAAATATGCATTTGCGAAATCAAAGTTTCCGCTCTGGATTTCTCTCGAGGTCCACTGCAACCCCACCCAACAGGCTATCATGGCCGGAGTCATCAGGGACACATTTGGCGAGAAACTTGTTACAGAACCTGTAGAGCCAGACTCTTCCAAGCTGCCCTCTCCCTCTAAGCTCATGGAGCGCATTCTTATCAAAGTCAAACAGCCACGAACTGCGGCCAGGAGCGAGACTATGGGCAGTGATAGCCTCATGGGAATGGGTCGAAAGCGCGGAAATAGCGTCGGCTCTGTATTGGCGAGATCGTCTACCACTGAGTCCAACACAACCGCTGCCACCACCCAATCCCTTCCTCAGAGCCCAACGATGGCCCCTATCAACGCCAGCCGCAAGTTTACGGGTAACAGTCAAAAAATAAACACCATCAATGAAGGCCGCGTGCAAGAACTCAACAGCGACTCAGATAGCGGGGGTGAAAATGGCTCGATCAAGGCACTCAGCAACATCATTCCTGATCTAGGTAAGCTCGGAGTGTACTGCACGGGCCTCAAGTTTTCTGGATTTGAAGCGCCAGCGGCCAAGAAATTCAACCACATCTTTTCTTTCATGGAAAGCAGTTTTGCAAAGAATTCCAAGACAAAGGAAGAAAAGATGCAATTGAACATTCACAATATGCGGTACCTCATGCGCGTTTACCCTGACGGCACTCGCTTGACTTCAAGTAACTTTGATCCGCTCGCATACTGGCGTCGTGGTGTCCAGATGGCTGCTCTGAATTGGCAGACATTTGACATGGGTATGCAAGTCAACCAAGCCATGTTTGAGGGTGGCACCGATTCATCTGGATACGTCCTCAAGCCCCAAGAGCTTCGCGACATTCAAGTTTACCCAAAAGACGACACTGTCAGTGCAGCTATTGCAGAGGGCAAAAAGGAGCGAACCGTCGTTTCATTCAGCATTGACGTTGTCTCCGCTCAACAGCTGATGCGGCCTGCCAATCTCCCTGCCAATAAATCCATGGACTTTTACGTTGACGTTGACGTCTTTCACGCAAACGACAAGCGAAACAAGAAGGACAAGGACTTTGATCTGGGCCATGAGCCCGACTCGCCTCTGCGGCGCCATACTGAAGTGATTCGCGAGAATGGCTTCAATCCCATGTTCAGCAATGGCCAGTTCCACTTCAAGGTCACGACTAAGCACCCGGAGCTGATCTTTGTTCGTTGGTCAGTCAGGCTAGCTAACGATGGCGACTACAACAACAGCGCAAAGGATAAACCTGCAATGGCTAGCTACACGGCGAAGCTCACCAATCTCAAGAATGGATATCGCACACTGCCTCTCCTGAACCATGCTGGCGAGCAGTACCTATTCTCCAGCCTATTTTGCAAGATTGACATTGATCCATTTGAAAAGAAGTTTATTGATGTCCCTCGCCCCGCTCAAGAAGGAGGTAGCAAACTAAACCGCCTAGGCGGCATCTTTGGGCGAAGTAACAATACCAGCCCTCGAAGCACCATTGAGAGAAGCAGCATGGAGAAGAACAGCTTTGAGATGCACAGTCCTCAGGCGTGAGCTGTCTTGCTGCCCCACTCTCGCGATGCTATTATGGAGGCCTCTCCTATTGCCTCTTTGGAGAACAATGAAAACGGCCTTTTTTTTTTTGACAACTTGATACGAGGCTTTGTCGCGAGAATATCCCCACTCTTACTTGACCCCTTTCCCAAAATCAACGTTTATTCAATGCTGGCGCATTTCAGCGTTGAGATTTTCAAAAAGGGGGGGGGGCATTCAAGATTCTTTTTTTCTTTCTATTTTTCTAGTCAGGCCTAGGCTGGTTACTACCCGCTGACGCCTACTTCTTCTTTACACCTTTACTTCAAATGGCGATGGAAAAATCCTTCAGTGACTTTATGCTGATGCAAAGCTCACACGCCATCTGTCTTCTTTTTATCACTTTTTTGGAACTCTTTTTTTCCTGCTTTTCTTTTTCTCATGGACAGCATGGCGCGGAACTAAAAAGCGAAACTGAATACCCACCCGTTATCGACTTTGTGGGATATGAATAACATTTGTACACCTTCTTCTTTTCGCTTTCTCCTCTTTTTACTACTTTTCTTGGTTTGTTTTGATGATGGAATGCAATGGACTACCACAGTGTCCCAGGGAATGCATACACCTCCTCTTATTATCTGGCTATTTACAGATGAAGCATTTGCATAAGGAAAGGACACACATGAAAGGCATAATATAGACGGGACAGGCAAAGGGAGTCACTAGCTTTTTCTTTTTCTTTTTTTCTTCTTTATCTCTGATTTATTTTTATATGTTTTTTGTGTCATCAGATATGGCAAGGGTCATATTACTGGTTAAGAGAGAAACAATTTTGGCTTTGTACAAACAGACGATACATGTGAAGAGAACGTTCAGGGATTAAAGACCGAAAAATGGATCTGTTCATCAACGATTGATGCATACTACTTACTGTCTTGTGTTGTGTTCCATATAGTGTTGGGCGAATTATGTTGTACTTTTGTTTCCTTTTCTTTTTCTTTTGGAATATCGGGGAAGTCCGGTCTGGTGATACACGGGCAAAACGGGAGGGGTGGGAGGAGAGGCACAGAGCACATCATGGTCAAAGGTGGAAAGGGGGCATTTTGGGAATGAGGACAAAGAGAGGGTCTGTATGAGTACCCGTCTATGGAGGGAGCGATGATTACGAGGGCATTTTTTCAGGGCCACTTTGGCGACAGGGACACCTTTACGAAAGGGGGGTATGTATTGTTATGAATATTATTGAAACGAACGCAGCAGCACGTGCATTGTTGCTGCGATGGCATGAAACAGCGGATTGAGGCGCATTTACTGCGATGAGAACGGAATTACTTGGCATATTTTGGGATATATATAGCGAAATGTGGATCTAGCTCGTGTTTGAAAGAGACCTTTATTTCCCTTGGACTGGTGCTTGCTTTTGTAAATGACGTGAGATGTAACTTTTGAGGCAGGACAGCTTTTATGCAGCAGACGTTGAGCCCATAGTGTGACTTGCAGCGTATGCACTTTTGGGGAATGCCTTACACACGGGGCAGGAGATGATCATGATGGCCCAATTCTGATACAGCAGTGTTTAATTCGGGCCGCTAATGGAAGAGAGATGGGTAAATCAGCTCAAGGCAATTTCGAGAACAAGGATGAAATAGAAAGAAGAGAGAAGCATCACATGGCATGCCAAGTCCGTTGGATACAAATAAACCTCACAACTTGGGGTGCTGGGCAACAAGCAGATTGGGTGATGGGAAGAGAGATGATGTGATTTGGCGAGGCTGGTGTCGGGTGATTTTGAGTTTCTGGTTGAGTAGCAGTAGTGTGGTTCTGAGGTTAAGAACTACCGAGATTGGAAACTACGAGTAGATACCAGCATGTTATCTACCAAAGCACAGTGGCTCATAATCTACAGTATCTGTGTGCTCCAATTATGAGTGTTTTCGTCTTTTACTGATAACGGGAGGCGGCCGTGGCGTGTTCAAGTCGCGATAAGTTGTGCGTATTTAGGCGGCCGTGTATATCTTCTAGAAAGTGGCATATAAAACCGGGTCAGCGAGAAGGGGAATACTGTAGGTGGAACTCCGCTCTGGAGATTCGACCGAGGGATGAAGTTTGACTTCTGCGGAGTGCGGAATTCGAGGATTTGCACTTCTGAAAAACACGCACTGCTCATCGGAAGAGGGGGAACAGAGCTAGAGCGTAATATTTGCCGTGGGTACGCTTCCTGTATGTGGTGTGTAGTGCGTGGCTTGGCACTTGGACGTTAAACTGTTTTTTAACTATGGGAGTTATTTTGCTTGCTTCTTCCTTGTCCCCCCCTTTGTGCATGTGTTTCTGCAGATATGTACCATCGGGGGAAAAGATTGGCAGAAATGACGCATGTCCGATTTTTCTTCACTTGATCATCATAAAAAGGAGACGAGGGGTTATTTTGCTAGCAATTGTCCCTTCCTCTGTGGATGGGCAATTTTATCGGCATTTTGATGGGCAAAGGAGAAATGGATTGGCGGAGGGATTGGCGGTTCATCAGCGGTTGTGAAACCAGATGTTTCACAACGTTTGGTCTAGTTGGAGACAGCTTAGCTAATGCAAACCAATCTTTAGGAATCTACATACGGTAATTACCTACATGTAAAAAAGTGTGTGTGTGTGTGTGTGTGACGGGAAAGAAGAGAAAGGGAAAAAAAGGAGAGTGGGTGCAGGGTGTGTATCGAACAGAGGGGAGAAAAAACCAGAAGAGAAAAAGCCAAAGTACTGCTACACCGAGTTTGAAGTCGCTTCGGTTATTACCATGTTTGGTTAAGAGGACACGAGAAGCCGTTTGAAACGGAGCTTCGCGGCTCTAGCGGAAAGTTTGCGAGGAACAAGGTGGGGAGAGAGGGAAGAAGGTTGATTGGTGTGTGTGTCTGGACTTGAAGCTACACCAAAACATGCAGCAGTTGCGTTGTGTTCTTACTGTACTTTGTGTCTCTTCCTCTCAGAGGGCATCGTATAGATGTGGTCGATCAGTGACTTTACGGGGCTCATTTTGCGCAATTTTGTTACGAGTATTCGGGCCTGTTTGGAGCAACTGGAGATGACCTTGAATTAGAGACGGTTTCGTCCATTTAACGTTGCATACGAGGTTCGATACGAAGCGAGATTCCCGCCAAGGGGGAGCCAAAGTTTGTTACCTCTTTAGCAGCCCGGTTTCTTATGCCTTGGTTTTTTTTTTTTTTTTTTTTTTTTTTGCGTGGCCTTGTGCTTGTGAGAGCTGTATTCGGACTGTGCTCCGAAAGCAAAATAAACGCATGTAAGCACTTAATGGCATTGTGCGTATACTGTAATGCATGAAAATGCTATTAGATGGCAGGCTTTGTTAGTGATGTCAAAACTGCCAAAAGGGCTAAACAGGACTAAATTCTCCGGTGTGCCGCTTTCCCCAGTACTTTGTTTCCATGTCTTTTTTTTTTTTTTTTTATTCAAGGTTTGGCAGCTTTGAGCTTTTTTCTTTAATGCTAGCTGTTCAAAAAGGACACCCGTGCGGAGGATGGCGGTCCGCCGTTTTTTTCCTTTTCCAACCGCTGGTGTCTCCGTGGCTTGGGTCTAAGCCCACGGCGCCGGCCAAAAATGTCGACAAAAGAGGGGGAAAGACACGCTTAATAATGTGCCGTTTTCTCGCCTGAGCTCTTTTTTCTGTTTTTCCCATACCGTGGAGAACCAAAAAAAAAAAAAAAAAAACGGAGAATGGGGAAGAGAGAAGAACAAATACGGAGACGAGAAGAAGCTGCTCGAAAGGCATTACTGCACGCAGTTTAGGCTGCCAAATGTTCTAGGCAGAAGGGACGTTTCTGTCATCCGGGATTTTTTTTGAGGGGAAAGATCTACAGTGCAGAACGCCTTTTGTGTCAATCAGGAATCAATGCAGAGTAATGATACATGACAGAAACATAAAAGGCAAAATTATCAAGTTAATAGTAGGAAAGTAAAATACTCGCATAAACAAATAACGTCGAGATGGGTTGACTTTGCGTTTCTAATTCCGAGCCGCCTCTTCAAACTGAGAAGAGAGATACGGAGCATCATCAAAGCATGAGCAAGAATTAAAAGGGCGTGTAGGAAAAAAGGAGTTAAACCACAAACGGACGGGAGAGAGGGAGAAGAAGAGAGAGAAACGGTACAAGATGGCTCAAAGCCTGCCATGTACCTTTTCCTCAGCAGTACTTTGGCCTCTAGTACAGCAGCTGTTTAGCTTCCTAGAGCTTCGATTTAGCTCCAGGGCTTGGAGCATGTACCAGCATTTGTGCCCCTTTGGAGCCAACTGCGAATAAACGTGTCGAGCCGGGGTTCGCTGCCTTTTCTTAGCAAAAAAGGATGGTGTGTGTGTAGATTGCTCTGCTGTCCCTTTCCTGTGCGCTGGGCTTGGAAATGGGTGCACATGCGATCCTTCTGGGACGGGGGGGCCCCATGGCGATAAAACACGCCAAGCCCGCTGGGAAAGCCTCACTTTTCTCAGCTCAGATGGGTCCCCTGTGAATGGTGAAGGGTGAAGGTGAAAGCGGGAGTCGATTCATTTTTCCATATACAACATATTAGTATTACTATAGTGATATGTATATGGACGGAATTGCTACAATGAACGCTTTCTTTCAAGAGAATATCACAACAATTCAGAAAAAAATACATACCTAGGTAGGCAACACAGAAAACAAAAGCAGACTGCATCATTCCTTTCATCCTTGCACGCCGTCATGCGCGCAATTCGCAGTGCTGAATCCGCCGGGCACAGCTTGCTCCAAGGCGAAATGACCCATTCCCAAAATTGATTTTCCATACAATGTATGTACATGAGACAAGGTAAAAAAAAAAAAAAAAAAAATCGCATATAATACTTGTCAGCTAAGACGAGGAATGACCAGGGGAGGGGGGGCGTATATGAGCTGGGCTGAGCTGAGCTGAGCTGAGCTCAAGCCAAGTTTTGTCTCTGTATGCGAGCGCGGAAACAACGGCTGAAAAAGAAAATTAAAAAAAGAAAAAAAAGGAATCAAAATAAATTGCGTGAGCGCAAATGACGACGTTATTCGAGCATCATTACAGAATAATGTTTTTTTGGTGAAACAAAGGGGTGTGGGGAAAATTTCAGTAAAACAGCTTCCCCCAGTTTAGCCGTACTTGTAAGTTTCGCTCGTGAATGGCGTGCACTTTGTACCTTTCTTTTGGCCCTGGCCCTGGAAAAAAGCTAACGGATAACAGTTTCCGTGGCTCCGGCTTCTGGGCTTCGCCCCCCCCCCCCCCCCTTGTTGCCTGTTCAAGCAAGAAAAAAGACCAGCACAAGCATCTAACAAGAGAAAACATGGTTCATCCATGTTTGGAAGCAGGTTTCTTTTTTTTTCCAACGTACCTAGGTACCTAGTAGGCAGCTGTGCTAGCAGTTTCGCCGCGTGTTCGAATCAGCCTTCCTACGAATTCCCTCTAATGGAAAAAAACCAATGGGGATCAAACACGCCCCCCCTTTTTACGAGTAATGCTGCCTATTAACCCTCTCCCCCGCAAATTGAGCTCTTTTCCCATTGTGTGAAAGAGAGTCAGAGTCAAGAGCTAAATCTCCATTGTATAGTTTTGTCGGCGTCGGCGCCGAGTTAGTGTCCGCGACGCGCATGAGGAAGCAACACGCGAATCTGGAGAATTGCCTAGTAGAGAAAACGGTGGGAGAAGAGGGGGGCGTGTGTGTATGTTATTGTGAGACTGGAGAAGGAAACGCAAAAACCAGCCAACGGTGCCGCACAAGCGTGAGCTTTTATAACTGAAGCAGCTGTTTGGAAATGGTATGTGGCACTAGAGCCTCGAATTACAACTAACAGCATCGCGCAGGATAGTGACAAGTGTTGCTTCTATACAGCTACAACAAAGGGGAGGGCTCATCTCAGCTCATCTCACCATCCTTCTTAATATAGAACAACGTAGAACAGCAAACTAGTAGCTTCGTATATTACCCATACATTATCAGTTAACTCGTATATCAGCGCTATATCTCTGGCGCTCTAGCAATGATGCACACATCCGCTCTCATCAAATAAAGGACAGGTTGATTAGCCCTCCCCCTTATTTCCCTAGTTCTCATCATTCTTCCCATTTCTTCTCCCATTCTCAGCAGTGTATTCTGTATTCCATCTAAAATAAGTCTCAATCTTTCTTTTATGTCTCTGGGACGAAAAATGATTAGGATCCTCGCATCAAAATATCTTTCTTCTAACTTCCTCCTCCCCTTTCCCCCAACTTGCCGCTGTAAGTGTAAAGGCTGTAATAAGACAAGAGAGCAGAAGACAGAGCAAGAGAATAAAACAGTTTGATGAATAATAAAATAATAATAAAAAAATTCGAATAAATTACTCGCCATGTAGAAAAATGATAGGCATAGTTTATGTCGAGCAAGATCAGAAAAAGATTTCAAGTCAATGAGACCTCAATCCACTCCATCGTCATTCTGCTCGGTACTCGGGCTCACCACACGGCTGCTGTGGCCGCTGCCACCGCCGCTCTGCTGGCTGCCCTGGCGTAGCATTCCGCTCGCGCCGCCGCGTCCCCACGGCCTTGTGTTGGTCACTACGCTCATGGCCACCCGCTCAGCCTCGAGTCGGCTGGCCGCCGTGTGGTGCTGCTTATTGCCATTGCCATTAGCAACAGTGCTCAGCTCCTCGTCGTCCGTGTCCAGCAAATCATCGTCGTGTGGCGCCGCATGGCCCCGCGGGCTAAGTCTTCGCAAGGGCACATCTTGCGACGAGTCGGCGTACATGTTCGGGTCCCTACCCAGAATGCGGTCCGCCTTGCTCTGCGTCCTTCTCGGGCCGCCGTTGGCTACCCGGCCGTTGGGTACCCGGCCATTGGCTCCCGCGAGAGGTGCGCGGCTGTGGTAGTTGCCGGTAACGTCCGCGGTCGCTGAGGGAATGTCCTCGCCCTGTCCCCAGCCTGCGTTGATCTCTCGCTGTCGCTGCTGTTCTCGTTCACTTCTCAGCCTTTCGCGCTCCGAGACCCATTGGGGGTTTGCCTCCCAGCTCCAGCCATCGCCCGTCGTGTTGCAGATTGGGAAGAACCACAGCAGCGGGCTGGGTCCGAAAAGGTGCAGCAGGTTTCGCTTCCAGCCCAGGTCGAAAGCATTAGGTAGCTTCTCTGAATCCTGTTCGTCAAGATACTCCTCATAACGCTTGCGGCTCTGGTATCGTTCTAGTTCCTCATATGACATCTGGACACGGGGGGGCTCCTGTGTCGAACGTCGCTCTTCGCCCTCTTCCCGGTGTGTGATGCCAGGCAGTGCGCTCGCATGAAAGTCTACAAACTGTCTCGCTTGCGGAATTCCATTGGCAAGGCCCTGTGCCTGGTGGAGCGTCCTCTTGACCGTTGACAGATATCTCGTCTTCTCCAGGCACTCAATCGTCGTCTGGTTCCTGCGCGCCAGGATAATGTGCCACGTGGTGAATGCGCCCACGACAAGCCCGATAATTCCACTCATGACTGCCAGCATGATAAAGTTGACTGGCAGCAGCGTATCCAGATACTTGGAGTCGTCCATCACCTCCAACCAAAACCACGTACCGCTGACCGCGAAACAGTAAAAGGAAAAGACGGTGGTGTAGATCAAGAAGAGCAGAAAGGGCTTGTAGTTGCGCAGCCCGATACACGTCGCCAGCCAGGGGCAGTGGTGGTCCATCTTGAGAACGCATCGGCGGCACGTCGAGCAGTGGTGCGTGCGATCCGGCTTCCGCGCCTGGCACTTTTTGCAGAATCGAATTTCGCCATTGCTCTTAACTGTAAAGGACGTTGCTGCGCGATTCTGGCCACCGCTTGTGGGGAGAAGGCCATAGCCGTCCACGTTGGTTGTTGCTCCGGGATCTGTAAAGACGGCTGTCGTGTAGGACCAGTTGAGCAGGAGATAGAGCGCAACTCCGAAGAAAGAAGACGCTGAGCCTGTATATTTTGTGTCAGCAAGTTTTTCTTGTTTTTCCTCCCTTCTCGCAAACCGATGGATACCATGATCCCAAATGTCCCACGTACCTATCCAGCGGCTCCTCTCAGTCTCCTTGCCGATGCTGACTATCACCCAACATGCCCACGACGTCAAGCTGTAGACAAACGCCAGCGGCAAGTATCTGGCCGTGGTGCAGCACGCCCGCTCGATTCTGCGCGCCCAACGGAACGCCATGCTAGGGTTGTCGCTTAACGACTCGTCTTCCATTAAAATAGCCGGCAGCCCGACGTCTCCGCTTGCGCTCGCTCGCGTCCGTGGCGCTGCTCTGTTGCTCCTATTTCGCCTGCGAGCTGTACCTGTGCGCTCAGGATATCGTGATATTGGAGTCGTCCGTAGCGATGGTCGCTGGTGCCGTCTCTCGTTCGTCCAAAGGTCGGCCTCGAAGTGATTTCTCAACCATTCGGCTCGGCGGTGGAGATTAGCTGCAATGTGTCAACTCGCACATTTGACGCCGGGGCTGCGCGGTTGATTGCGACTCGTAATCAATCTGACTGCTAATCCTAGGGAGATGCTCAATCCGTACACCTTGAGATGGGTGCTTAGGTCATCCAGGGGCGCAGCTTGAATTTCGGGAAATGTCCCGAGTCGCCGGCCCGGACGCTTAACCCTGTAGGGCTGCCAGTGCCTGTTGGGTGCTGTAGCTGTTGGCTGTACTGCATTCACGCAGACGCCGGAATACCCTGCAGCATTTGATAGGTACCTACGTTTTCCAATGAGAACAAAGAGCATATCCTGAAAGCGCATGTTTCCAATAGTCTCAATGAAATCAAAACTTTTATTAATCAGATTCTTTAAAATACTCCTGCGCGATACTATTAACTGTGATGGTCCTCGTTGCGTGCCAATGTCTGGCGCTGACACAAACCTCAAATGTCAAACTGAAAGATATCCCCGTATTCATCAATCCTCAAAACAACAAAGGCCTCTACGGCAAAGCAGAAAAACGCACACATCCACTACCAGTAGGAATCTCTTCCATCTTTAGTATCCGTTGGGTACTTATCCTTTTCCTCGATGGGTTTACCACGGAGCTTCTGCTTCATCTGCTCGGAAGTCTTGTAGATGATGCTGCCCCCCTGAAACCGAGTTCTCTCGATGTCGACCATCCCCGCCGTCAATTGGTCCATAAACATCTCATATTGTGCGGTATCCTGAATCTGACACTTGGAGCTCTTGGCCTCAGCGTGCGAAGTAATGCCTGTCAAGGTCTTGAAAATCTTGAGGCAGCTTGGGCATCTATACTTCCTATTTCCATGCACGGGTGATTTGAGGTGGGCAATAAGACCACCTGCCTTCTTGAATGTTTTGCTATGTAATGTCATTAGTTATTTACGAGCAGGATCGTAACATGAGGCGATATTATTCTTACCCGCAAAGTCGCTTTGGGCAATTGAATCTCTCTGTAATGGAGCAATAGCAGCTAGCCGCATTGAAAGATGGGTTATAAGGATCATCAGGATCCATACCTGCGACGACAGTGGTTATGCCAGACTTGAAAGCTGGTAGAGTAGACACTTGAGTCGGGGTTTGCTGATTTTGCTGCCCATCTTTGACATTGCGCTTGCTGTCGCTGAGCAGTCGTAAAGGAAGCTCGAATTGAGGTCGGGCTTCAGGCGTGGTATCAGCGTCCACTGTCTCATCTCGTTTCACGGCCGGCCGAAGAGGAAGGTCAAACGAAAATGGCTGTTTGCCTTTTTTATCGTTAATCTCACCGCTGCAAAGATCCAATTTGTTGGATGTATCCGCTTTCGTGGGTTCAATGCGAGTATCCTTTGCAGTTGCTAGAGCTGGGAAGTCTTCTTCGACCATCTCGAAAGCTTCTGGCTCCTTGTCAACGTACCATGCCGAGACTGTGCTGTTTGCGGCAGCCGATGGCATATAGTTCATGTAGTTTCCCTTGACTTTCTCTTGGGTCAATTGCTCCAAGCGTCTGGGGAACTCGAGTTTCTCCTCTCGGAGTTGATCAAGAGTGGTGGTGTCGAGGCGGGGACAAAAGCCGCGTTCGATGTGGTGAATCAAATTACTCAGACGCTTAAATGGGCCACGGCCGCAACCGGGACAGTCGAGATTTTGCTCAAGAGGATGTTCCTACGGCGGTGTTAGAGGAGTGCCCTTCTCTTAGAGAGCTGTTGCCTGTTCTTAGATTGACTCACCGCTTGCATGTGTAGCATTTCTCCAGCCAGTGTCTTGTAATCACGCCCACAAATCTTGCAGTGGATATGATCCTCCTTGTCGTCATTTCGTTGCTGTCCTTTGTGCCTCAACAGATCTTCCCATGCGTCGAATGACTTATGGCAATGGCCGCAGAAGAATTCGCTGTCGGGGAAAGGATCAATGTCCGAATTCATATTGTTAGTGACTTGGGATGGCAGGGCTGTTCTGGGAGAGGATAAAATTGGCTCAATCAAGTTGAATGAAGATCTATTGGCCAGATTGTTGGTCTTGGACGGCTCCAAAGATGTGATTGGAAGGATGCGAAACAATGAGAGCGAGGTGTTGAACTGGAAGAAGAAGGAAGGATCAGGATTCTCTCTACGGAAAGTGCTTTATAGAGGAAAGATGCTGCCCGGGAACTGGAACAAGGCGGCCTTAGGCATCTGTCGCTCAGGGCAGCGGCAAGGAGGGTAAGCGCTGGGCGCGTCGAGAGGTACAAATCCAGGCCTCGGTGCTATAAGGAAGGCGCGGTCGGTACTTCTATTGACAGCGAGTGCACAATAGGATGCCACGCGCGTGAATAGCAGCTTGAGAACAGACGAAAAGCCCCTGGCTTGACATGTGTTTCAGCACATGCAGAGTGTCTGCCTGTTTGTAAGCTTGAGTGTGGAAGCATGCGAGTATGGCAGAGTAGGCCTTTGATCAATCTCAGCTGAGATGTGTTATGTTTTGTCTCTATGTCTGCTGTCTAGGTAGGTAAGGGAAAAGCTTTGACTCGTAAGTCATGTATTTCGTAAGGAGCCTGATATTAGCTGATATGTGTGGCCATCTTTATCACCTCTACTAGCTGCCATCTCTGCCACCTACTCCTCGTCTTCCAGCTCACCGAAACCATCTTCATCATCTTCATCCCTTTCAAAGGCAGTGCGATCCATCCCATCTTCTTCTTCTGAGCCGTTCTCGTTCTCGTCATCATCGTCATCATCAGCATCACTACCAGCCTCAGAACCCTCGCTATGGGAATCCATTCTGCCAAGGATACTAGCAGCTTCTGCCTCTGCGTTTATGTCTGCGTCTGCATTGGCATCGTGAGAGGTAACAACCGACTGCTCCTCGGTATCGGCATCTGGCCTTCTGGTACGAGGACGAACCCTAACGTTATAGACCTGACTCTTCTTCTTCGAAGGTTCTCGACCTCGAAGCTGCGTGAGCTCTTCGTTTGTAAGATGTAAATTGGGCAACGGAAGGTGGAAGGTCGCCGACGTAGTTCGCACAGGAGTCTGATCTCCACACTGCAGCGTTGGTGCAAAGTCCTCTTTGGTGAGTTGTCGGCCAAACTGGATCGCCACTAGTTTCGTCTTCATGATGGCCTTGACTTTTGCCCACAAGCCGCCGTGATACCACCCGCTGCTGACATCCCACGTAGGACGCACTTCTGCGTTATCCAAAAGCTCGCGGAGCAAGGGATCCGTGATATCGCACACCTGCCACACCTTGCCATCGGTGTGATATGTTTCTCCGTCAAACGTGTGGCTGGCCGATAACTCTTCTACAAACTCCTTTGTTCGGCCCATCTGGGCTCTGCGAAGCGACTGCCAGGTCTGGTCTTTGCGAGCACGCTTCTGCTTGGGAAGCTTGAACATGAGGGTTTGATAAATGCGATATTTGGGATCAGTTCTGGGGTCGATTCCATAGGGAACAACTCCATCTCTCCATGGCCCACCCTTGAACTGGTAAGCCGCGTAATTCAGATACTTTTTAAGCTCGTTCCAGTTTCGGAGCTTGCCAGCAAGATGATTCAAAAGAGATCGTCGAGTCCATACGGGGCGATATGCAAATGCCTCTTCAAGCTGGGCAATAACTTCCACCATGCGCGGATCTGTCATGTCTGGAGGAATTTGAGGGCCGGCAGGAGCAGCATCTTCTGTTCCGATAAAATGACCAACTTGTTTGACCGCCGTTGTGTTAACGGTACCGCCATCCTCTGTCAAGCGAACATAGGGATTTTGTGAGTAAAAATAGTTGAATGGCAAACTCATGTGGGTAAAGATGGGTGGTGGAATAATGTCCACATTCGAGCCTTGGTCGATGCCAGGTGTGAATTTGAAGTCTTTAATCTTCTCAACTGCAATAATAGTCAATACCAAATTGTGAAATACAAGGGAAACAGGTTGAAAATACCATCTCCGGGCAGGACTTGGTCGACAAATCTCTGTGCAAATGATGATTTGTCCATGTCCCAGTAAAAGTCAGCCAAACCCCTGAAGCGATGCGTGTGCTTGATCAAGCCCGCAGCCTCGACGTGATATTTGCCGACATTGTCCTCTAGTTTGCGCCTTAGAAGTCTTGGATCATCATGACGCCCTATGGAACGAACATTTTCTGATGCTGGGGCCGATGGGTCGATGCCTTGGAAGTCCACGTCTCCTTGCCAGGGCTCATTTGTTCCGCGCTTGCGCTTCCTTCCAGTGCGTTTGGGGACCGTGACTTTGAGAACGACGTTGTGAGACCTGGCATTATGTGACATGATTGGCGGGCAAAAGGGCTCCTCTGGATTTATATACAGCGGTACTGAGTTTCTCAGAGGATCTAGAACCTGTGATATAAGATTGTTTATGAGTGAATAGAAAGAACTAGATGAGCCACGGGTTCAACGCTTACATGTCTAAGTGAAGGCACTCTCCCAAATGCCCTGACAGCTCGGTCGATGTTTTCAACTACCGCCGGGATCTCAACGGCTGTGAGGTCTCGTCGCGGTATGGCGTATCGAGGGGCGCCATTCTCTGTTTCTCTTGCGCCTTGTGAGCCGACGCCATCTCCGGCCACTTGGCGAGATGAAGCCATGGCAAAGAATATCTCCTTCTTCTCTGTTTATTTCTTCTTTAAACTTTATTGATATTTCTTCTTATTTTTTTTTTTTTTTTTGGTAAGATGATATATCCCTGTAAGAGTCGAAGCTTAGCTTATCAGGCAGATGGAGCATGGCCGCAGATTTTGTCCTGGCGCTGAACAGGACCCCTGCCGCTGGAAGAGCTCAAGCTGAAGCTGCACGAATTGAACAGTTTCAACCAGCAACGGGAGGAATGGTGGGGACAGTACGCGACCGGGCCATGACGCACTGTGTGCTTGCAACCTTTAAATTGAGGCCCCAGTTAGGAGGTACGTAATTTACGCATCACGCGCTTGCTGGCGAGGGCTGAAACACTTCCGATTGGCCAGTGGCCACAGTAGCAAGAGCACTGTAGCGGTAGGAAACGAAAGGCCTGGGAGCTTGGGCAATACAGAGGACCCCAGAGAGAGAAGCGCGGGCTGCATCAAATCCAGAAAGGTGTCCTGCCCATTGAGTTTGATTTGCAGGCCTGGAGCTGGCCATTATCGGGTTTGCGAGTTCTGCTGGTTCTGTTTTGGCGTTGATTTCAGCTGCTCTCCATCAGACCTAGGGACAGGGAAAGCGGCTCCACTGCTACAGGTCGGCCGGTTTAGCGGGCAGGTTACAGGTAGATGGCAGTGCCCCTACGGCTGCCGGATCGCTGAACAGATACCCGCAGGGCCCTAAGAGCGCGGCCAGAGCGAGCGTCTAGAGCCTTGGAGCCTCCTCGACTGCGCAAGCACGACCAGCAACTCCCCCGCGTCGCCTCGACGGCTAAACCTCCCAAGCTGCTGCGCCGTCTGTCTCTTAGCTCTGATCCAATCTGAGCCCGCCACTGACGCCGTACAGTCTCGCTCTCTATCAGCATCGCTACAACACGCCGGCGGTCTCTTCCTTCCACTCTTTTGGCCGACATCGAGCACCCACGGCCTCCACAGCACCAACATCGTCTCTCGACACCGGCTCTGCGCGCCCAGTCGACAATTGGCTCCTCTCGCTGAGCGCAGCTGGACCGCCCCCAATCCTGATTCCCGGCGGTTGAAGCGTGGCCACCACCTTGAGCCCCCCTGCCTCTTTCTCCTCGACCAGCTCCCTGCGACCCGCGTTCCTGCGTCCAGCCTCCAGCTTCCAGCGTCCAACTCGGCCTCGTCCAGGTCCAACTCGCCTCTCCCTACCCCGACGTTGAGATCCAGCAGCCCGTCGCCTCCATCGACACGCGCCTTTGTGGCTTGACGACGCCGTTCTCTATCTCTCCGGCATAGCTGGCGTTGGTCCCCCCCTTCGCCCGCCCAGCCTCGCCTCACCTCCGCTCCGCATCCCGACTGTGTTGCCTCGCCTACCCCACTGCGGCTACGGAGCTGGCTGGACGGCTTCCGGTTCTTCGACATCGTGATTCCCTGAGTGAGACTGAGAGATAGCTTCACACGCCATGATGAAGCGATTCAGCCAGAGAGTGAGTCCCAGCTTCCTTCCCTCCTGACGCCCGTCGCGCGCACATCGGCTGACGCAGGCCATGATTGTGTGTGATTAGCTCTCGCGAGGCAAAGATGCCGCAAAGTCCTCCAAGAAGAGTAAGGATTCCAAGGATGGGACTTCGTCTCCCTCGTCTCGAGATGCCAACCAGTCTCCGGTCCTGACCCCGTCGTCTTCGACATCGACCCTCAACGACCCTCGCAACAAGCCGCTGCCCCCAAACTCTGCTCTTGGAGGTGATCATGGTGCCAACCAGTCCTCAGGCCTTGGTGCTGGCCAGCAGGGCCTCGATCGATTTGGACCGATGGGCAGCGCGGGCAGCCCCAACGGCGCCAACGCGGGTGGTAGAGGTCCCCCAACTGTCGTCATCAGTCCGACTCCAGGCGTAAGTGTTGCCAAACGCCGACTAATGATGGAAAGATCAAGATTGTGATGCTAACTCATCTACTTCATCACAGCACATTCCTCCCCCTGGGGCCACCGAAACAATGCCTCACGAACTGGCGCCCCCAAAGGCCGGCCAAAAGTCGCTGATGATCAATCGTATGGATAACCGAGATGCTATCCCAGAGGGCCTGCGGACGCCAAAGCGACAGCACTCATCTCGATTCGATATTTCTGCCCATCGCGAGCTGGAGAAGCTCCCGGGCTTCCACGAGGTACCGCCTAACAGGCGCCAGGAGCTCTTCATGCAAAAGATTGATCAGTGCAATGTCATCTTTGACTTTAACGACGCTAGCGGTGACATGAAGGCCAAGGAGATCAAGCGGCTGGCTCTCCACGAGCTGCTGGACTACGTTGCCAACAACAGACAGGTCATCACTGAGCCTATGTATCCCAGAGTTGTCGAGATGTTCAGCAAGAATCTGTTTCGACCAATCCCGCCGCCATTGAACCCCCAAGGCGAGGCATTCGATCCGGAGGAGGATGAGCCCGTCTTGGAGGTCGCTTGGCCGCACATCCAGGTTGTCTACGAGTTTTTCCTGCGCTTCATCGAAAGCCAGGACTTTAACACCAACATTGCCAAGGCATACATTGATCACAGCTTCGTGCTTCAGTTGCTAGATCTCTTTGACTCTGAGGATCCCCGCGAGCGAGATTTCCTCAAGACGACTCTCCACCGCATTTACGGCAAGTTCCTCAATCTACGATCATTTATCCGGCGATCCATCAACAACGTCTTCTTCCAATTCACATATGAAACGGAGAGGTTCAATGGCATTGCCGAGCTTCTAGAAATACTAGGCTCCATTATCAACGGTTTTGCCTTGCCTTTGAAGGAAGAACATAAGATCTTCTTGACCCGAGTCTTGCTTCCCCTCCACAAGCCCAAGAGCCTGAGCATGTACCACCCTCAACTCGCTTATTGTATTGTCCAGTTCCTGGAAAAAGATGCATCCCTCACAGAAGATGTAAGTAGACACTGGCACGCAACTACTCCCTCAACTTGTAAATTTCTAGAACGGAACACTGACGATAGACTTGATAGGTTGTCCTTGGGTTGTTGCGATACTGGCCAAAGGTCAACAGTACAAAGGAGGTCATGTTCTTGAATGAGGTTGAAGACATTTTTGAGGTCATGGATCCCGCGGAATTCGCCAAAGTCCAGGAGCCTTTGTTCCACCAGCTTGCCAAGTCTGTGGCGAGCCCCCATTTCCAGGTCGCCGAGCGTGCGTTGTACTTCTGGAACAACGAATACTTCTGCAATCTCGTAAGCGATAACGTGGAAATTATTCTCCCCATCATGTTCGCCCCTCTCTACGAAAACTCAAAGGGCCATTGGAACAGGTACGTTTACCACTGCACTGCTGAGCTTTGAGACCGTATTACATGGACTAACATACAAAAAGGACAATCCACGGCATGGTTTACAACGCTATGAAATTGTTCATGGAGATCAATCCTCAGCTCTTTGATGATTGCTCTCATGAATACACAGAGCAGCAGAACAGCGCCGCAGCCCGAGAAGCACTGCGAGAGCGAAAATGGGCTGCTCTATCCCAGCAAGCTGACGAGCGAAGAGCTTCACTGGGACTGGCCACGGTTGAGGACCCCGGCAGGGCTCGCGGAGGAAGCCTCCCACGGGTTGACGAAGTTGACACTGCTGAGGATAACCAGAAGCGCCTCGATTCGCTAAAGCTTCAAGATGCTACGGGACGACAGCAACATGAGCGACAAGGTTCCGTAGGGTCCAACCGAAGCAGATAGCCTCGTTGTGTGATACACAGGTCCTTTTATCATTGCGGTTTAGCCTTTGTTTCGCCTTTCTCGATTCAGTCAGTCCAGGATCTTCCATTCTCGCCTCTTTCTCTATTCTTAGTGAAAATTTGCCTCGACAAAGAAGCCCCTTTATTACAAGGGCCCTTAGAAAGTACTAATATTGCGGTTCTGGGACTATCAACTTGTGCTTCACATACAGGGAGGCACTTTTGGATGGCGGATCAACGTCAAAGCTGGTTACTAAAGGGGACTGCCTAATGTTACACAAAAAGGAGCTGTTACTCACAGTAATGTTGACGATTCTTCTCTTTTCTTCTCTTTTTTCTTCTTCATTTTCTCATGGTCACTTGCATTCACTTGCAGGCTTTTGCAAAAAAACACCGATATGGAGCAACATTCGTGTACGGCAGGGGATCGATACAATAATATTTGTTTTATTACTCTTTCTCTCTCTCTTTTAAAAGAGAGAGAGAGACATCTCAAAAGACCCGGAAAAGAGAAGAACTTCTACAACATTACTACTTCTTTTTTTTTCTTTCAAAATGGAAACAGACCAGAGGTGAGATACAAAAAAAAAAAGGTTGCGTTTGGGCTATAGAAAATGCTAGGTGTGTTGTTGACAAAAGGGGAGAAACGATGTGGAGGAGGGGAAAAAGGGAGGAGAAAGCATACGCTAGCGAAACAGCGGTTGCATTTGTTTCTTTCCATTTTTTGGGAGGAAAGAAAAAGAGCAGCGGGAGAGATTGTGTGTGTGAGAGAGAGACGGCTTTGGGACTTTGCGCTATTTTTTCTTTGTTGCTTTCCTTCTCGACGTGATGGATTTGGTTGGCCGGGTGGCTGTTGTGGGAGAGGGAAGAAGGAAACATACGTGTTTTTTCTTTTTTATTTCTTGTGCGCGTGTGTACTTGATTGTACTTGATTGTACTTGACTCGGATAGACTACTTGCCCTTTTATCTCTTTTATAGTTGAATTCTTATTTCTGTAAGGCTTTTCTTTTGTAATAAGTGATGTATTGTTCTTCTGTGCAGCCGTGGATGCGGCACCTTTACGGTATGGAGAAACACTACCAGTTATGTTAATTTCATTAGATTTGGCTATGTTAATTTTATTAGTTTCAATCGGTATAAAAGCTGATTCTAGTGCTCAGTGGCCTAATAGCCAAGATTATCCCACGGTTTCAACCAGCTGATACTACCACAAGTCATTACAAAATTTTAAAAGCAACTCCATTGCCAGGTCCCGGAACGCCCTGTATCATAAAGTAACATCTCCAACAGACATGGCTATTGGGCACTAGTATTGTCCTCTGTAGCCACCACGGCCATATCCGCCTCTTCCACGACCCCTATAACCGCCATTTCCGCGTCCGAACTGGTTGTTGTACATAGACGACTGAGATTGCTGCTGCTGCTGCGGTGGCGGTGGCGGCGGCGGAACAGGGCCGCCGGGGAATTGGTTCATGCTCATGAAGTGAGCAATCATTTCAGGAGGGATCGGGGGCGGTGGGAATCCCGGCAGAGGGGGAGGCGGAAATGGAAATGCCATGGCGTTGGGTGGTGGAGGGAATGGCATAGGCGGCATATTAGGCGGTGCCTGAGGCTGAAGCTGAGGCTGAGGAGAGCGATCATTGTACTGGCGTGATATTGACCGGTACCTGGAACCAGATGCGTCGTTGCTGTCATATCTCCCACGACTTCGGCTTCGACTGCGGCTGCGACTGTGGCGGCCCCGGCTACGGCTGCCATCTCGACGACGGCTTCGACTCCGGCTCCGGCTGCGGCTGTAGCTGCGACCACGACTGCGACTTTGACTGCGACTCCTGTCGCGCGCTGAAAGCCGAGGTCGCTTAAACGAAGGTGGAGATAAGCTTCGGGATCGATCTCTGGAGTAACTGCTTGATCTTGATCTCGGCCGTGATCTCGATGCGGACTGTGAGCGTTCTCCGGACGCCTTTGCAGATTTCTTCTGTCTCTCTCTCATGCGCTCGCAGAATTGGCGAGACCAGCCGTAGTAACTCTCTCCTCGAAGCACCTCACCCGTAATCTCGTCCACAATGATACGTTCGCCTAGTTCGCTGAAGCCCGTCTGTAAGTCGTCGCTCGGCTCGCTCTCTTTAGCGTAGACGTAGTCTGCGTCTTTCAGCAACATCTTGACAGCATCCACGACTCGCTTTTCCGCAGGACCTGCCGCGAGTTGGATGGGGCGGATTTGATCGGGGATCATGGGTCTGGAAGAGTTTGGTGTGATGTGAGGTAGCCAGGTGCCCGCAGGAAGATCGTACCATGGGATGGAAGCATCGCCATGGAAGGAGGGTAGAATATACGGCGCGTCCTTGGCGAGTTTAAGGGAGCTCTCCGAAAGCTCAAGATTGACAGCCGTAATCTCAGCAGAGCCGTTGGCGAGAGCCGTGCGAAGCTGCGCAACCACCTCTGGCGTAAAGTACCCCTTTTCCTCCCACAAATCAATCAGGCCCTTGAGCTTGCTCTTATGCTTGGGGCAGTTGTCGAAAGCCGCCGCATTCCCAATCATGGCGGGCAAGACGCCAGCCCACGTCTCTCCCAGCTTGCGGTTGCTCTGGCGCACAAGCTCGTGGTAAAGGACATCATTGACAATGTAGAGGAGGTGCAGCCTCCGTCTCTTGGCGCTGCGGCGCTTCTTCCCGTCATTCTCCACGGCCAGATTCTTTGACAGGACGGCCCAGAACTTGCCCAAGGCTGTGCAGCGCGCGGCGGATGGGACCACGTTGTCGACTATCCAAGCCTTGCATTTCTAAGCCCGAGGAAGGAGTTTAGCAAACATGAGCGACGGCATTGCGACAAAATGCTTGGCGAGCAATGAGTCAGTCAAACCTGAACGTTCTGGCGGGAGCACTGGATGATGGCGTCGTCTAGCAGCGTGAAGAAGGCGTCGACCGCGGCGCGGTTCAGCGAGGTTGGGTCGGCGCGAAAGAGCGTGGCCGACAGCGTCGCCTTGGTGATGGCCAGCTCGGGAGAAGCCATCGTGGGAGATAGAGAGAGAACAGAGGCGCGACCCAGGAACGGGATGCGGAGAGAGAGTCTGCTCTCGCAAGGCCCAGGTTTAAAGAGAGGAAGGCTTGTTGGTTGATCTGGGTGAAAGCGAGACGGGCGATGGAAATTATTCTTGGAGCCTCGACGTCTGTGTCGCAAGTAGCGGGAAAACTACGGAAGTGCTCCCCACCGTGGCTTTGAGGGAGCTCGGAAGCTCACGATCAGCGACGGGCTAATTGATGCAAGCTCGTTTGAGTGCAAGAGGTAAAAATGCATGTGATGGGAGCTTTTTCTAGATGATATTACTCCTGGAAGCTGCAGAAGCAAGCTATTTCTGCAAAGCCTGGGTAGATTGTCTCTAATACTCAATCTGGGACGGCCCCGGATATTCGGCGCAAAAAAAAAAAAAAAAAAAAAAGCTTCACTGCGCCAGGCTTCTGAATGTCACCTCCTATTACATGCGTCTCACTCCCTTATTCTCAAAGCTACACATTCAGCTCTGATTTCGAGCAATAACAATATTCCATTCTAGTAATGATTCGGGGTTCAGAAACAGACTTATCCAGGTCCCCAATGTGTGGCGCGAATACTATAGACATGCAGCCCAGCGAAGGGCACTATTTTACACCATGATAGAATACAGCGGCGAGCTCAATGTCTCTTCAAAAACACTTCCAAGACCAGCTGCCCAACTCTCCTACGATTTCCCGTTCTCTGCCATTTCTAACTGAAACGGTCCCCTTTGCGTGTGCGCATCGGTATAGCACTCTCGTATTTGCTCTTCTCGGCTACCTGCTCGGACTCTGTTGCTGGCGCATGTCTTGTTGCCGCGGGATCGCTACTTGCTTCCTGACTTGGCAAGCCGGTATTGTCGGTTCTTGCTGGGCCACCGTTCACACCGTTGCCGGAAGAGACTGGCTCCCCGTGTTCAATGGCCCAGTTGGCTGCCTGCTTCTCACGCTGTGCTTTGAGCTTGGCCACGCGCTGTTCTTTGACGTTCTGCTTAGCGAAGTAGTAGGCACCGCCTCCGGCTGTCAAGGACAATTTACATCAGCTGCGAGTGTTGGACAAAGAGAAGGTGATTCATCTGCCTACCGAGAAAGAGGGAGCCCCATCCGAGCCTGAAAGAAATGTTAGCAATGGAAGAACTTCTGTACGCAGTGACAAGCCGGGATTGGCGGGCTATTCGTAGTACCAGAAAGATCGAACCTAGAGAGCAGTCAGTAAATGCCCATGCTAGTGCCGGGGCAGAGAGACGCATACGTTGTTCATTGCGGCGGTTGAAAGATTTGCGGTGATTCCTACGAGTCTGTCGAATGTCGTGGGCAGTGGAGACGGCAAGTTGCGAGTAGCCGGGCTGATGCGATGCTAGAAGAAAGCCATCGTTCGATCAGAAAGCTTAGCAAAGGCGGTGATGCACCCAATGGGCGCAAACGGGGCCTGGCGCATCGGCAGCTTCAACTGATGGCGGTGCCGGCTGTCATTGCTACAGGGCAGCCCTGAGGGCCAAATTTAGCGCTCTGGCGGCCCGTGGACGCTACAACTCACACTGTACAGGGGTCGCCTTACCGAGATCCAATTTACAGTGCCAAATTAAAAGCCCGGTTTCTGGATATGACATAGATCGTCATTTGGGGCGTTTTCCTAAAGACCACGCAAGCACCTCAACAAAAGCTTGGAAGCTCTTCCATTTCACTGCCAGGACCGCGACAGGAGCATTTTCTCCCCCCCTTTTCTCGTGCGCTTCTCTCGTCGTGCATTTGTAGCGTCTTTGATGCTCTCGTTGTTGATCCGACAAAGTTCTTTCTGCACAACCAACAAGGCTGCGTAGCCAAACTCAGACTCGTCACCGCGATCCAATCGGCCCCTCGAAAATCCTCACCTCACACCCCTTTAGACTGCAGCACTTCCCACGCCCATCTAGACGAGGGAATCCGAACACGTCCTTTTGCCATCGACGCTTTACTTTTGCGCCCTGCGGAATACTCGTCTAAAATCCCAGTGCGCGTATGATCTATTAAGAGACCAAGCTGTGGGTGTAATGGGTAGTTTTGCCCAGAACCCCACCGTCCAGAAACCATGTCTTCCCCCAGTATAGACCAGAAAGAGGGCAACGGGCCTGATGGCTCCTCCATCGTGAGTTTTCCTCTTTCTATGGCTAGATGCCATGATTCTAATAACCATTTTCGCTCTGCTAGAGACCCGTCTCGTCGCTCCTCGCCCGATTTGAAAACATGAACGTCAACCCTCCGTCGCAATCACAGCCTACCTCTGCTCCGGCTCCTCCCCAGCCGCGAAGACTCTCGCCGGGGCCAAAGCCAGATCGATTAAAGACCCTCAAGACGGGGCAAGACTCTGTTCATGGCCCTGCCTCCCCGATCGCTCCCGTCAAGCCGTCAAATCTCAAGGACCGCGCTTTTGCTACGGCGTCTCCTGTAAGCCGCGATAGAGGGGCACCAATCCCACCGCCTCCCCTGTCCACACGGCCAGCGCCGCCACTTGCGTTGAAGCCTCAGGTGCTGCCTCACCCACCGGCAGTTACGGTTCAACCTCCTCAGTCGCCCCCCAAGGGAAGCACATTGAACATTGTTCCCGGTGAACAGTCTCCGTTCCTAGGTCCGGCTGCGATTTCTACCTCCGCCACGCCGAGCCGATCTCCCACGCCGCTCAGGATACCGAGCCGACCGCATAGCCCTACTAGCAGCGGGGGTGGTAGTGGTACCGCAACGCCGCGATCCCCAAGGCAAGGGATTTCGAAAGCTCCGTCACCGCCGCCCCCCAGACGATCCGCCGAGCTAAAACGAGAGAAAGAATGGAAACCTGCGCCGCCGCCGCCGCCCGCGCCACGATCAGGGACGACGTTGATGAGATCGGCTACCGGAATCGAGGTGAGAGGCAGGTCAGCTGTTCAAAGGTCCAACCGCTCGCAGGAGTCGTCTCCAGTTGGCGGCGTCTCGCGAGGCTCCGAAACCAGGGCGGAAAGCAATCCGCCAGACTTGCCCTTGCGACCGAGGCCACAGCAACCGAATGATGGACCGAGTAGGACGAAGCAGATGGCCGGAGTATTTGAGCAGCCTACCCAGCCTACCCTCCGCCCATCCTTGTCTGTGCGAAGACCAACACGCGATGGAGAGCCAAATGCTCTGGGTTTAGTCAGGGCCCCAATTACTCCTCAGCTCACTGGGGATGTTCGCCCTGCCTTGCCCGCACGACCTCAGACTACTGATATTCCCCCACAGCATCCAATGCCAAATAACGTCGCAAAGCCGCCTCCAAAGCCTCCGCGACCGTCTGCTCCGAACCAGGCGCAGGCTGCTACTGCTTCCACTCCTCTTCCGCCACCTGCCACAAACCGAGTCGTTTCCGGTCCTCTTACCCAACAGCTACCCACAAAGCCACTTGGGCGGTCTACAACGGTGGACGTATCAACAGCAGATCATGCTATCGTGGATGTCCGTACGCCCCAGGCGCCTGTGGCCGCTGCCGTAGTAAGGCACGCGCCTGCACCTGCTGCCACCGAAGCCATCATTCCGAAATCCGACCCCCCTGCCCAGATTACAGCATATCCCGACAGCTCGAGCACTAACCGCCGGCCTCCATTCATCAAGAAAGGATGCTATGAGATTTCACCAAAGTACGATCCTCGTATCTTTGATGTTTGTGGGCAATATGTCTGCACTACTGGCCCTCTAACTCGGGTGTGGAGCATGCTGGATGGAGAGCAAATTGTCAGCTTGGCACATACAGAAGGCGTCAAGGCCACGGCTGTATCGTTTAAACCCAGCGCGGACCCTGATCACGAAGGCTCTAAAGTTTGGATTGGCACTAATCTCGGAGAGATTATGGAGGTTGAGATTGCGACGGAGCGTATATCAATGAGCAAACCGGGCATCCATGGAAAATCGGAAGTTACCAAGATATACCGACACCTAAACGAGATGTGGACTGTTGACGAAGGCGGAAACTTGCACGTTTGGGGCCCCGATGCTAGCGGGGAGCCGAATTTAAATAATTATCCTCATCAAAGTTTCAAGATTCCCAAGGCAGAGACTTTCTCAATAGTGGTTGGGGATGAGCTTTGGCAAGCGACTGGCAAACAATTACGGATATTTGCTCCTACTCAAGATAATCACAGGCCTTTTCAGGTTTTGGCAAGGCCAATCACCATAGAAGGAGCAGGAGATGTAACCTCCGGTACAGTGATGAAAGGCCACCCCGGAAAAGTCTTTTTGGGACACGTTGATGGAAAAGTCAGCATTTGGTCTACATCCGACTATTCTTGCAAGACGATTGTGAATGTCACCACATGGAAAATCAATACACTATCAGGTGTTGGTCAGTATATCTGGGCGGGATATAACACGGGAAAAGTTTGTGTCTACGACATTGCTCAAACACCATGGGTTGTTTTGAAGGAGTGGCAGGCACATGACAGTACCATCTTGGGGATGAAAGTGGACTTTGCCAGTTCCTATCAACTTGACCAATTGCAAGTCGTTTCTCTAGGCGCGGATAGCCGGATTAAAGTGTGGGACGGCATGTTGCAAGACGACTGGCTTGAAGACGAGATGAAATCCAAGGATACGACATATTGCGACTTTGACGAGATTAAAACGCTGATATTCACGTGGAATGCCGGCGCTTCTACCCCACATAGTCTTCGATACTCTAACGGCGATGCCACATTCTTTCAAGATCTTTTGCAAAAAAGCGGCTCCCCGGACATCTTAGTCTTTGGGTTTCAGGAACTTGTCGACTTGGAAGATAAAAAGGCGACGGCAAAGCGGCTACTTAAATCGAAAAAGAAGGAGGGAACAGATCAGGAACGAATGAGTCACCAATATCGAGACTGGCGCGACTTTTTGCTCAAAACCTTGGACGACTACATGCCAGCAGATCATCTATATCATCTCCTGCACACCGCGCCCATGGTCGGACTCTTTACCTGCATTTTTGTCAAGTCCTCGTTGAGGGAAAGGATAACGCATCTAAGCGGTGCTGAGGTGAAGCGAGGTATGGGAGGTCTTCATGGAAATAAGGGAGCCGTTGCCGTTAGATTCCAAATCGACGACTCGTCTCTCTGTTTTGTGAATTGTCACTTGGCAGCGGGCCAGACCCAGGCCAGCTCACGCCATAACGATGCAGCAGCCATTCTCGAAGCCAGCCTATTCCCCGTCGAACGCGATGGCGAAAGTCGGATTGACACCTTCAGTGGCGGTGGAGACGGCTCCATGATTCTTGACCATGAGCTTTGCATTTGGAATGGCGATCTCAACTACCGTATCGACACCATGTCACGAGATACAGTGGTGAAGGCCGTGGAGCAAAACAACCTGGCAAAGCTCCTTGAGCGTGACCAGCTGCTTGTTGCGCGCCGCCGCAACCCAGCCCTTCGCTTGCGAGCATTCGAAGAGCTGCCGATTACGTTTGCACCAACCTACAAATACGATGTAGGAACAGATACATACGATACTAGCGAGAAACGAAGAAGCCCCGCATGGTGCGATCGACTGTTATTCCGAGGACGCGGCCGTGTGCAGCAATTAGACTATAGACGGCACGAAGTAAGAGTGAGCGATCACCGGCCGGTTACAGGAGACTTTCGACTTTGGGTCAAGAAGATTAGACCAAAGGATAGAGCAGCCGCCTGGATGCAGTGCCAGCAAGGGTTTGAAGACGTTAGGCAGAAGGAGCTGGCAGAAGATAAGTAAGTTTGTCTTGCATGATGGTTTGAGAAGATGGAATTCAAATTGCGCACTGTTTACTAACCGGGGATGAATAGACTTTACTATCTAATGAATATTTGTGGCTTCGATGCAGCAACAAGCCATCGGTTACTAAACGAGAGAGCAACACGCAAACCGCATAGAGAGCCCAGCAGAAGCAGGGCAGCGTACTAATTTGGATTTTTGTTCATTTACTTAATCTTCTGAGAGAAGCACGTACGACGGGCGCTGGCGGGTTGGCGAAACAATAGGCCGGTATTTAATATATATGGAAGACGGAGCATTTTGCAATGATGATACAAAGGGAAATGGGAGACTGGCCCCCGAGTTTGCTGGTCTCAAGAGGCGCAAGAAAACCAAAAGACAAAAGAGCGAGAAATTTGATGAAAGGGTTTTAATGAATTGTTGTTATAGAAAGTCGTGCATATATAATTTTCTTAGCGACTGGAGCGTTTCGGGAGAGAGCAAATTAGGGATGGGTTGGTTGAATCTAAGTTGGAGGGGTTTTCAAAGTTTTGAGGATACGGAGCAGACTAGACAAATGGCTATATTTCTTGATTTTATAAGTGAGCGACGGATTGAACGGGGCTGTGATGATTGTTCATTTTCACAAGGACGACAATTCCCATTTAATCATGTTGAATGAAAGACGAGATGCAAAAAGGATTCAAGTGAACGATGATGTGAAAAGCTAGGTACAAGGATATGAGAACTACAGAGGGCAGAGCAATACTGTAGTACAAGATGGTAGCAACAAGAATGCAATGACCTAAAAAATCACAGGCAGCAACATTCAGCTATACGATAGGCAAAGTCTCAAAGAAAAAAGAAGAAAAGGGAAAAAAAAAAAACGAATACGAAAAGATGGCGCGGTCTCGGAGACGACGAGGCCGAGAGAAAAACAGATCGAAGATGCAGGGGTTAATGGAAATTAAAGATTGGCAAGTCCGGCGGTCGGTCCAGGGGGGAGAGAGTTCCGGGCACTCTAAAATGGAACGAATTGGCCCAGCTGCAGTGTTTAAATTAGCCTCTACTGTCTAAGTTGCCTTTCTTTCTCCTCATAAATCAATTTGACAACGAGCGTGAAGAAAAAGAATTTTTTTTTTTTTCTTTTCTTATTTTTCTTTCTGATTGAAAAGAAGTGAGAAATCTGTCTTGGGCGGCAAAACGAGGATACCGAAATTAGGGGGGATTTATAACAAGCCACCAAAAAGGCTTATCGCCCATCGCATATACACAGTGTCTTCACCTCCCTTTCACGGACCGCATTGAGGCTCTCATTTACAACAAAATCTAACGGCATAGACTGTCAGTCGGAGGGATAGAAACACACACGTGGCACACAAAATAAAACAAAACAGAGCACAATGGCTTCCGCAGCAACATCACTAGGGCCCAGGAAAACGCCCATCGCGGCCCCCACCGCAGACTCGACGCCCACGCCGCGGCCAGACCTCACGGCAGAGCAGCAGACCAAGTACGAGGCGCTGCTGGAAAAGGCAAAGTCGTTCAGCGAGATCAAGTGCGACAAGGAAAAGGACAAGTCGGGCCCCCTGACGGACCGCGATCTCGCGTGGCTGACGCGCGACTGCCTGCTGCGCTACCTGCGGGCGACCAAGTGGTCCGTCGACGATGCGGCCAAGCGGCTGCTGGCGACGCTGGCGTGGCGGCGTGAATATGGCATCGACGACTTCTCGCCGGAGCACATCTCGCCGGAGCAGGAGACGGGCAAGCAGATCATCCTCGGCTTCGACCGCCAGGGCCGGCCGTGCCAGTACCTGAACCCGGGCCGCCAGAACACGGACAGCAGCCCGCGGCAGATCCAGCACCTGTTCTACATGGTGGAGCGCGTCGTCGACACGATGCCGCCCGGCGTGGAGACGCTGAGCCTGATGATCAACTTCAAGCCCAGCAAGCAGCGCCAGAACACGAGCGTGCCGGTGTCGACGGCCAGGGAGGTGCTGCATATTCTGCAGAACCACTATCCCGAGAGGCTGGGCAAGGCGCTCATCATCAACGGTGAGTTTTCTACACTGCAAAAGGAAAAGACGACTAGCTGATAAAAAACACAGTGCCCTGGATTGTCAATGGATTCTTCAAAATCATCACCCCCTTCATTGACCCCGTGACCCGGGAGAAGCTCAAGTTCAACGAGGACATGAAGCAGTATGTGCCCGCGGAGCAGCTGTGGAGCTCTGACTGGAACGGCGACCTGGACTTTGAGTACGATCACGAGACGTACTGGCCTACCCTCAACGAGATGTGCAAGCAGAAGCGCGAGCAGAAGCTAGAGCGGTGGGCGGCCGCTGGAAAGGCCGTTGGTGAGTCCGAGGAGTATCTCTCTGGCGGTACGGACCTGAGCGTCACGGGCTTCAAGTACACAGCCGAGAAGAAGGCCGAGGAGCCAAAGGCAGAAGTAAAGGCAGAGGCAGAGGCAGAAACGAGTGTGCTGGCAGAGAAGCTGGAAGCGGCAAAGCTCGAGGAGACAGTTGAGGCACAAGCTTGAAGAAAAGGCCAACGGGAGCAGTTTTCGGTGAGACTGGCAGCAAATATTGGTCGGATAGAGGAGTCATAATCAGTCGTGTTAGACAGGAGGACTGTGGGTTAGACATGGTATAGAACGGTTGTCCTTTTGTTTTTTTGTTTTACCCAATCAATTGCAGGATCAGAAAGTCTGCCCGCCGTTGGCAGCCAAGATTTGGGATTTGTTATACGTTAGTAAGAGCGGTAATACATATGACTGCATAATAGATGGATACATCGGACAAAGAGAGAGCGCACTATATGCCGTGTTACAAGGGCACACATACATAGAATCAGGCATGATTTGTCTGATAGCCAAGGCAGTCTGCGAGGGGGGGTTGGATTAGGGCCAACAAAGCCAGAAGTATGCCTCGGGCGTGAAGATGAACTGGAGACGGTGAAAACATGCCATCGACTTACATGCATGCTAAAGACCACTTGGCAGCAGGAATACCGACTCCTCTGTTGGAGCGTAAATGGGGCCCAGAGGATGCATATAAGATGCTCCATGACATTACGGATAGTAATCCCATTCCTTCTGACATGTCGATTTATAAAGCTAACGTTGGGTGCGTATCCATCGCGCGCTCTGATTTGTCGACCCAGCCTATCGGAATCGCTCTCTCTTCTGGAGTCGATCAAAAGCGAGAGCCTAGGTAGGCATTGTTCAGCGTATGAGAAGTATATAAATATCTCAACGCCCAACCTGAAAACGCTCTTATGGATCTTCCAACCTCGCTTAGCGGTGGTGACTGACTGTAAGAGCCGCACCGCCCCAGCGTGGGATATGCACGTTGGCTGGACCGTTTCCGAGGGCCTGCAGTTAGCCAGCTCACAATGAGATGCCAAAGAAAGAAGTTTCGGCCGCGGCCTTGAGACCCGATGTCGTTTCCTTTGTACAAAAAAAGGTCTACACGCAACAAAGGTTCCCTTTTTTTCGTACTTACATGAGGCAGCGTTGCACTGAGGTCTGGCCTCGATGCGTTGGGCGGACACCGAAGCGATCGAATCCATCAATCAACGGCGCGTTAAAAGGCCACCGCATGACGCAGTCTTGAGTCCGTATTACACTGCATGAGAGAAAATCCGTCCCGTGTGACCCTGACAAGTTCTGACTATCTGCTGCAAACTTGCAAACTGCTAAAGCAAAAGCAGAGAAGCCCAACCAAGCGGCAGGTGATGCAATATCGTTCTACGGCTAAGCGTGAATCAAACCGTAAGGCGAAAATGAACTTGCAATGGAGAGTAGGAAACGCTAAAATGAAAGAAGAAACTGCCCAGTGGCGTGGCAGCAGGCGTTGCAAGCCAACAGAGGTGTAGAGGCGGTATAGCACGATTCCCCGAAACTTTTCTAACCAACTTAGGCCACTCTGCTCGCTGGTTGGCCGCGAGCCACATGCTTATTATCCAGCGCTGAAGATGCTCCAGCCAGACTAGAGAGAGGCAAGAGGAGTGATGACGACGCGCTATTTCGTAGCCAGTGGCGCTATTAGTATCCGCCGGCGATCGAAAAGGTGGTCTATAGTTCGGATCTCCGTCGCAGGGCTCATTCGTCTGAAGCTATGCATCTAATTGCTCGAGTAACTTGCCTTGTCCGACCGCTTGCGCGCCCATAGTCTCGCGGCCTAGTCCAAGGATAAGCTCGCCCTCTGGTTGCTTTCGCCACTAAGAGCAGCACGGGACTGCCCTTTAAATACTGTGGATAGTTGTAAATATATGCCCTGGTCTTGTTCTTGGATTCAAGTCCGAATTTCAAAACGAGCCCGAAAGCAGAAAACAGAAAGTAGAGAAGAGGAGATAGGATCAGGCAATTGCTTGGGTACGGCTGGGCAGAACCGCATCCGCTGGGTCCCAAGAGAGGTCGCAGCTGTAGTTCCCATAGGCAGTTTGATGTTGTAGGATACCATGCACATGAAACTGACAACAGTAGTGTTGGGCCTAGCAATCTTCCAGATTTCTTAAGTAAGTATCGGGTGTCCGAGGGGCGTGGGAGTTACCGCCGCCGCTTGTCTCTAGTTTTCGCCATCGGTTGTTCTGAAATTAGTAGGCCTAGGTATAAAAGCCACAGGATGACGTGTTGAGCTGGAAGCTGATATCCAGCTTACTTTTTTCTTTCATTCAAATAGTTAGCCTGCTGCCTTTCGTTGAACCTCGATCCTGGTTCACGCCTCTCTGCACTCATCATGACCCTGGTATCCATCGTCAGCTCCTTTAGCAGGATGAGCCTTGCTCCCATCTTTAGCACTCCTGTAGCAAATACATCATCTTTCAATGCTTCGTCTTTCGCTACCAATCTCAGAGGGGATGATGCTGCGGGAGGAGACAGCAGCTCAAACATTCCTTTTGTTGCTGGCGGCATGGTAGATACCATACTCACAACGACCGGTCACGCTTCGCCTCTCGCACAACTCGTCCTTTTCGTTTATCGACTTCTGGGCACACAGTTCGGTCTGGATCCGTCAATGGTACTGGCCATTTTAGGTTTCGTATGGGGTGCCTTGAAGATTGGTTCCCAGATCTATGACTCTATTCAGCGATTTGTTGACGACTATCTCATGTGCGCCATGTATGTCTCTGAAGACGACCACATATATATGCATCTGATGAAATGGTTATCTCACCATCCGAGTATAAAAAACAACCAATATCTTATGGCTCAAACCGTTTGGAAGAGCGCTTGGGAGGAAGAGGACGAACTAGAAGGCGCACTATTCTGGACGAATGGTGGCGAAGTTGACGGTGGCGATAACATGTACCTGAACTTTTCTAATCAAGCAGCTAAATCGGTACGTATTTGTTGGTGAAAAGGTGACTTGAGAAACGATGTAAGCTGACGTATATGCCTATAGAGTCCTAGATTTGTTCCTGCTATGGGTTCAACGGCATTTTGGCACAAGGGAACATATTTCAGAGTCTATCGGAAGAAGGAGTCGTTCGTCAATACTCACTCATGGGGAGGCCCGATGAAGGATCTCGAAGAGGTTAGGATCTCGTGCTTTGGACGCTCAATAGGTCAGTATGCTGGGCCCTTCCTCTTAAACTAGTCACTGACCGTTGTGCAAAGACCCCATCAAACAATTACTATCGGATGCCAAAGCCCTGTATTACAATGACACTCGTCAAAAAACAACCATCTACCGCCCGAGGGTCAAGGAGCAGCGGCGAGACCATAACATGTGGCAGCAAGTGGCACGACGCCCTGTAAGACCCATGTCAACAGTTGTGCTAGATTCTTGCGAAAAACATGATATTCTGTCCGACATCAACGAGTATCTGCATCCTTCGACGCCACGATGGTACGCATCTCGTGGAATTCCGTTGAGGCGAGGTTATCTCTTCCATGGACCACCAGGCACCGGCAAGACCAGCTTTTCCTTTGCATTAGCGGGCGTATTTGGCATTGATATCTATGTCATTAGTCTGCAGGACCCCGGCGTGAACGAAGAAGACTTGGCGACATTATTCACTAAACTGCCACGAAGATGCATAGTCCTTCTGGAAGATATTGATACCGCAGGCCTGCGACGAGACCCCAGTGCAGAGAACGAGGATAAAGCAGAAGATGATAAAAGCGAAGACAAGAACAAAAAGGATAAAAAAAAGAAGCAAAAGCGCAAGGCGGAGACCAGTGATAGCGAGTCGGAGAGCGAACCAGAAAGGAAGCCGAAGAAGCGAAGCTCTAGAAAGAAGGGCTTCGGCAAGAGTAATCCTGCAGCTTTGGAAGGCATATCTTTATCCGGACTTCTGAATGCTATTGACGGCGTCGCATCTCACGAAGGCCGAATTCTCATTATGACGACCAATAAACCCGAGGCTCTTGATGAGGCATTGATTCGCCCTGGAAGAGTAGACGTTCAAGTCAATTTCAGCAATGCCACCAGCGTCCAGGCCGGTGAGCTCTTCCATCGAATGTATGAGGCGTCTCGCATGAAGGAGACGACAAAGACGGTAAACGGCACGGCAAGAGTGGAAGAGGTGGTAGAAAAGACGAACGACCAGCCAACAGCCAGGCACTGTCTTGATGAATTAGACTCTGTCACAGCTGAAGATATGAAAGAGATAGCGGAGGAGTTTGGTCGAAGAATCCCAGAAGGCATCTTCTCCCCGGCAGAGATCCAAGGGTTCCTCCTCAAGCGCAAAAAGTTCCCGCGCCGAGCGCTGGACGAGGTATCAGAATGGGTGGAGGCTTCACTGCGACAGAAAGAGGCGAATTCCAAAGTCTTGACCGTTCAATGAAGTCTTTGAGATGATGGATCTGGTGCTAGAACCTGGATTCCATCATTGATTAATAAAGGGGCGAAGTAATTTGCAGTGTCACGCATGGTGTAGATGCCACGGAGAGTCCGGTATTGGTGTTGGGGATCTGTAATTGTCTTTTCTTGTCTTTTTGCATAGTCCGTTTTTCGATATATCCTATTGCTTGGCCATGATTGATTTAATAACGCAACATTGTCGAATTCGTTCCAATTTGTGCAGATGTGATGAAGATGAAGAAAGTGACTTGTATCGTCGTCCTTCCAGGCAGTCGCTCTTGGGTGGGCAGCAGGTACGTACAGCCAAGTACAGTCAGCCAACCCCACGTCCTGAATCTCTCACAAAGGTACAAGCTACATGCAAGTGCCACCATCCCTCACATCAAATCATCGCTGCCGCATCTCGTCCGCTTCCACCTGAGAGTCCCCATATCGCACATCGCAGAGACAGCAATGCGCCGCTATTCCGCCCGGTAATCGCTAGCTTCAGGATGTCGTCCCTCCCCTCAAACGCCTCCACGGGCAAAGATTCCGGCCTCCGCGTGCCCAGCAATGGCAAAACCATCTACCACCGCCCGCTCAATCGCACCAAGGCGTCCGAGCTCAGCCAGGCCAGCTTTGCCTTTTTGTTCTCCGAGATGGTCGCATATGCGCAGAAGCGCGTCAAGGGAATCCAAGAGCTGGAGCACAGGTATGTCCATCTGAGCATCCGCACTTCCTCGTATCCTCTCTAGAATCAGACAACTAATGTTGCCTGACACACTCTAGACTCAACGTTCAGGGCCACTCTATAGGCATCAAGCTACTCGATCTTCTCCTCTACCGCGAGCCTGTTCGCACGCAGCTGCGGCCCCAAAACATAGTTGCCCTCCTCCACTTCGTCAAACAAAACGTATGGCAGCATCTCTTCGGCCGACAAGCGGACAGACTGGAGAAGTCGACGGATGCAGAGAAGCCGGACGAGTACATGATTATCGACAACGAGCCGCTCGTCAACCAATACATTAGCGTACCCCGCGAAATGAGCCAGTTAAATTGCGCCGCCTTTGTGGCTGGAGTCGTGGAAGGGGTATGTGACGGCGCAGACTTCCCCGCAAGGGTGACGGCACATACTGTCGGAGAGGGCGAGATGTGGCCCGGAAAGACTGTTTTCCTGGTCAAGTTTAGGAGCGAAGTGGTAGAGAGGGAGGCTTTCTTGGCGAAGAGCTGATTTTGAGCGCTTTGATATGGCTGAGTCAAGAGCATCAAGGAAGACGGAGTTTGAAAGAAAGGGCACAATGGAATGGAGTTTTGGAGTTGGTAGTTTGGTCAGCAATCGTCTGCTTTGATTGATTAGTAGACAGATTCGACATTTTAATGTAGCTTGTTTGCACAATGTAAAACTGATGACATTTAGAGATCCGATTGATAATCATAGCTTCCCAGCCGTCCTAACGCCATGCCAGTCTCCAAATTGGTAGAGCTTCTACACCCACTTGATTCAAAATGTACAAATGTCCCATCATCCTGACTCGCAAAGAAAAGAAAGAAAGAAACCACATTCACCGCGGTAACGCCTTTGACGCCTTGCTCGGCCCAGCAGCCTTGCTCTCTGAGCTGGGCCCTTTTCTCATCAAATCCGACAAGCCCAGGTCTTTCCACGCGGACTCCTTGACGCGCTGCGTCGCGCGCTGGATCCCAAATGCTGCGTGCTGATCGGGTACCACGTCATCCTCGTCTTCTGGGTTGATAGGCCGGTGCTGAGGCGGGACGTAAATCTCGTCGTCGGGGAGCTTGTCCTTGCAGAAGTCCTCGAAGAGATCCGCGTCGCCGGAGCGATGCATGTGCACGTAGTTGAAGCACGAGTCTTTGTTCTAGATTGTACGTGTTAATTATGGAGTGAGACAGAGATGTTGGGCTTAATTGAAAATACCATGGTGAAAATATGTGAAATATGATTAAAGCTTTGGTATTGTTGTTGTTATCTTGGTTGTGATCGATATGGAGGAGTCCAAGTATGAGCTCAAAGCTCACTGCACCAGGGACTGTAGTGGGGTGATATCTTGAAGCACAGGGCACTTACAGGGCGAGAAGCGCTAAACGAATTGCCGTCAGAGCTCAGCCATCAATTCCGAATCAAGCATATTATAAGAAAACAATCCAGTTATCCAAAATAAAAAGAAGAAGAAAAAAGAAAAAGAAGAAAAAAGAAAAAAAAAAAAAAAAGAAAAGAAAAGAAAAGAAAGAAAAGAGAAAAAAAATTGTAAGAATAATATGCAAAAGATGTATATAACTAAATTCTTGAAATTAACCTGTGCTCACTGCCGCTACATTTCTGGGCTTCAGATCTGATGCCGCAATCTTCGTAGCAGCTGCACATACATAAAGGAAACTCGCCCCAGATAATCTTTTCTTTATCACTACAAGTCATCGAATGTCGCCTGAGCTCAAGTTATCCGTACAAACTTGTTTCATTTAAGCTGCTAGCTCTATGTTCTGAAATCACAAAGCTACCTTACCCCTATCGTACAATATCTGACTCTCCTCAACCTTACAGATACTTCTCATGCACACGAATCGTCTTCTTGTTGACAAACTCGTGGAATCCAAGCTCGCCCAGCTCTCTACCGAAACCAGAGTTCTTGACGCCTCCAAATGCAAGGCCGGGGTGGCCATTGAGTCCAGAGTTGATAAACACCATGCCAGCTTCAATCTGTGCAGCAACCTGCTGGGCGCGCTCGATATTGGCAGAGGCAACCGCACCGCCCAGGCCAAAGGGAGTTGCGTTGGCCAGCTCAATGGCCTCTTCCTCCGTATCAACAACGTACAGAGAGGCCACAGGGCCAAAAGTCTCTTCCAAAAACAGCGGGTTCTCTCTTGAGATGTTTGTGATGAGCGTGGGCTCGAAATAGGCACCGGGGCGAACAATTTTGTTTCCGCCAATTACAATCGTAGCGCCAGCAGCCTTGGCATCCTCAACTTGCTTTTGAAGTCTTTGTACACCAATCTCAGCAAAGAGAGGTCCGACAGTGGTAGACCTATCTTTAGGATCGCCGACCTTCATGCCCTTGATGAGCTTGGCAAAGCCTTGCTTGTACTTTTCGCCTCGCTCACGACCAACAATGATGTGGCGCTTAAGAGCCACGCATACTTGGCCCATGCCCTCCATCCTGCTGTCGAATCCAATGCGAATGGCCTCATCGAGATCTGCGTCTTCAAGGACAATAAAGGGATCCGAGCCACCGAGCTCAAGAACGGCCTTTTTCAGATTCCTTCCAGCTCGTTCTGCAACGGCTCTGCCAGCCCTCTCGCTGCCTGTCATGCATACTCCTCTGACACGGAAATCGTCAATGAGAGTGCCGATTTGGGGGATAGTGGCGAGAATAACTTGGAACACGCCAGCTGGGGCTCCTGCTTGAAGAAAGAGTTTCTCCAAGAACAAGGCTGACCCCGCGACACTGTTCGCCGGCTTAACCAGCACTGCGTTGCCGGCGGCAAGTTGACAGGCGGCCACGCGAATGACTTGATAGTAAGGGAGGTTCCAAGGCTCGATAGCCAAGATTACTCCGAGAGACTCGGTGACTACCTCCATACCAGGAACGTGTTTGTCGGGAATAGGCTTGCTAAACTCTTCAGAGTTGTCGGCGTAATACTCTATGATTGAGATGATGAAGTCGATCTCGCCCTCCATTTGCGCAATGAGCTTGCCCATTTCTGTGACACCAATCTCTGCCATTTCCTTTTTGTTCTGGCGGATCAAATTTGCAAGTTTGGTAAGAATTCTTGCGCGCTCGGTCACAGGGGTAGATCGCCAGGCTTTGGTGTAGGCATTGTGCGCTTTGTCGAGAGCAGCAGAGACCTCTGCGTCTGTTGCCGTGGAGTATGCCTTGACGAACTGGCCATTGCTTGGGTCGATTGACTTGAATTCTTCAGTAGCTGACATTTTGCCCAAGCTTTATATTTATGGTGTTATGAATCTCGTAAAGGGTTCTATAACTTAGTTTGAAAACTAGATGCTCGAGGAAGGAGATGTGTAGATTTTGTAATGCTTGAACCTAGAAGTTCTTGAATTTTTGCACACTTAAATCTATTGTCTTGTCGGTTTCGATATTGATGGTGAAAAGGGGATCGAATATCTTTCTGGACCGTCTGTATTATATAGACAATCTTTTACGCCAAGAATGCCTTCCATTTTGTCATCTCATCCCCAGAGTAATCCCCCACGTCACATGTGATCTCAATGGGCCTTGACAATGTATAGCAGAATATCTAATCGTATAGCAGAATATTAATCATGCTAGATGGTAACTTGCAGAATCTGGGACTAAGATGCTGAAAGTCTGAAAAACAAACATGATACTTTACGATGTAAGCGAGGTAGACGAGCCCCCGAGACCAAAGGCGGCACTTGCCGGGCCCACCGCGGAGGATGCCATGCAGCTGATTATCTCCATCTACTTTCTCTACATAAACCTCGGCACGATGCCGGGATTGATAATTACCCCAGACTCGCCCCGACTATTCAGTGGGCTGGGTTGTTTAAGCTGACCAACATCGGACTTAAGCCATTTTTAAGCAGTTCATGAGATTTGACGCCCTCATTAAGCTTTTCTGTACTGCCTCTATTGGGAAGTCAAGCATCATTGATTGTGTCACGTATCCGAACGTCTCCGTGAGTTGTTCTAAATTGGGATGATGGTTAATACTTAAAAAAGCTCGAGCTGAACTATGGTTGGATGTTCTGACTCCGGTACCAGGTCATTAAAGTGCCATAATTTACATGGTAAAATCCCCCAACGCATCTCAGCATTGTGTGATTGAGAACATCCTATGCCGCATATTCTCTTGTTTTCTTCCTGCCTTCATTTTCATCCTGTTACATTTCTTCCACAACATTCCGAACGTACTACATGCCTTGACTGCTGCACTATAGCTTTAAGCAAGTCTAGTTGGTTAATAAAGGGAGAAGTATCCAGCACCCTGATTTTATTATCCAACACCCCAACTGTAGCATAATAGGGCACCCACTCTATATATTAAATATACAGCTGCCAAATACTTGTTAAAATGGCAGGAGTAGTAGCAGTAGTAGCAGTAGCAGCAGTAGCAGCAGTAGCAGCAGTAGCAGCAATAGCAGCAGTAGCAGCAGTAGTAGCAGTAGCAGCAGTAGTAGCAGCCTAAGCTACAGCTAGAGTGCTAAACAACATAATCGGGGTGCTAGATAATTTCACTCTTTATTTTTGGGGTGTTGGATAACAAAACTGGGGTGCTGGAGAATGGCTCCCTTAATAAATCATGATCTATGTTTGAACATGATAGTATAGAGCGATACTATTCATTCTTTGTGCGCGACAGCCTTCTATAGGTAGAGATTGCGCTGTCACATTACAAACGTGCAGCTCTGGTGGGGCAACGCCTGTGACGTTTGCCATGGAGGGCCTTTTTCCTCCACGAGCTGCCACCCCGCCTGCCTGGAGCTCGACCCCACTACTAAGGCAGCCTAACTCGAGCCTCCAACTCGGACCTCGAACCTCGATGCCACTCGCACTGCTGCCTCACTCCACCAGAACGGCTTCCATCTCGTGAGAAGCTCTCGCCTCGGCTTCAGCATCAAACGCCTCCAAGCTGCTGGTAGATGCACTAATTGGCACCGCTCCATCTTCTACAGACAGCGAGGAGCAGCCTCCACCAGCTCACCATGGCCACCATCGCCGCCTCTGCCGCCACGCCCCAGGCCGTCATAGGCCATGTCCAGAAGCTAGGCGATGCCGATCCCGACTTTCGTTTCATGTCCCTCAACGACTTGCTCCAGCTGCTCACGACTGCGAGAGAAGACTTCCTTCAGCACGACTACAACATTGCCGCTAGAACGGTCGATGGCATCATCAAGACGTTGGATGATCAGAATGGAGAGGTGCAAAACCTGGCGATTAAGTGGTCTGTTTGGCATTCTAGCCTGCGTCTTGTCATGCTAGATTTACTAACGCCTCGTCAAATGTAGTCTCGGGCCGCTTGTGGGCAAAGTCCCGACTCCCATTATTGCTCCCATGATCGACAAGCTCTCGTCGTTGAAGCTCAAGAACTCTGTTGATACCGCTGTGCCAGCGTTGGCCCTGCGAGCCGTTATCACCGCACTCCCTCGGCCTATCCCAGGCATTCCGAGCACTTCTAGTATCCAAGAGGCATACAATGCCATCAGCCGTGTGTTAATTCCCAGACTCATTGGACCTGGTCCTCTGACGCGAGTTCCACAAGCACCAAGAGTCAATTTGCCTGCTGTCCCGACCGGACTACTGCAGGACGAAAATGGAGTCAACGCTGAAGCCGTTGATGTGCTAGTGGAAGTTGTGCGATGTTTTGGTCCCTTACTACAGCAAGTCGAGGTGGAGGCGATGCAAGAGGTCGTCTTGCAACTACTGCAAGGGGACAAGGCTTCTTCTGTGGTGAAGAAGAGGGCGGTGGTTGCTATATCTATGCTTGCCGTCTACCTATCCGATGCTCATCTGGCAGATGTTATCAATCGGATCACCACTGATCTATCCAATGCCAGTGTCTCTCCAGTCACCCGCCGTCTCTATATTTCAATAATGGGTAGCATGGCCCGGTCAATTCCTCCTCGGTTCGGCGTGCACCTCCAAAAGACAACGCCTTTTATTCTTGCCGCCCTGTCTGAAGCGGAACTCGAAGCGCACACGGAAAAGATTAGCGATGGTGACGATCTAGGACCAGAATTCAACGAAATTCGAGAGACTGCTTTAGTCGCGCTAGAGGCATTCTTGGCTTCTTGCCCTCAGGAGATGCGGCCTTTCACAGACGATGCCCTTACCTCCTGCTTACGATATCTAAAGTATGATCCCAATTATGCTCTGGATGACGACGAAGACATGGATGTCGATGAGGAGGAAGAGGAGGATCAAGATGACGAGTTCGAGGACGACGATGGCTTTGAGGATGATGATGATGACGCAAGCTGGAAAGTCCGTCGATGTGCCGCGAAAGCCATATACACACTCATTTCCACCCGTGGCAGCGGCGATCTTTTGGACAATGGTGTCCTGTATAACCAAGCTGCCCCGCATCTTGTGAAGCGTATTGAGGAGAGAGAGGAAAACGTCCGTCTCGAGGTCATCTCGGCTCTGTCGCTGCTCATCCGCAAGACAGGCGAAGGTCTCCACACGGTAGATCTCACTCGAGACGAGTACGAGCCTGAAATGGTATCTCAGATCCCCGTCAACCGTAAGAGGAGAAGGCAAAGCAGTGCCGGGGGGTCGAGCGCTGCAAAGTTTATGGCGGGCTCTGGCATCACGTCACCTGGCGCGGAGAAGATTCCTGCTCAAGGCCCACGAGCAGATCTCTCCAAATTAACGCCAAGCATCGTCAAGGCCGCAACCAAGCAGCTCAAAGGAAAAACTGTGCCAACGAAGCAGGCTATCGTTAGTATGCTAGATGACCTGGTTTCTGTTCAGCATGGTGGCCTTGTCGACTTTTTCCCTGAAGTCATCGGACCCATCATTGATGCCGTCAAGACTACCGGCACCAGCTCCATCTCGTCTTCCCTTGCCGCCGCAGGAGGCTCTGCATCTGCAACTCCAAGTACCCTGCGCGTCGCCTCGTTGAAGCTTATAAGCGATATTGCCAAGACACATTCATCTTCAGTGCTTCAGCCATACCTGAGCAAGGTTGTTGCTGGAGTCGCGTCGGCCGTTCATGACCGCTTTTACAAAATCTCGAGCGAGGCAATTCGCACATCAGAGGAGCTTGTCAAGGCAATCACTCCTCCACGAGCTCGCACTGCCGGATCAAAGTTCAAAGACGACCTGGACAAGCTCTACGAAGTCATTGTGGATCGTGGCTCCGCCAATGACGCTGACGCAGAAGTCCGACAGCGTGCTATCCATGCTCTGGGAATTCTCATTTCCAGGACCTCTAGCGCGGAAGGATCTGGCCTCCTGTCGGCCGAGAAACGAACGGTTGCTCTGAATATTCTTCAGGAGAGGATGAAGAATGAGACGACACGTCTAGCCGCAGTTCGTGCCGTGGATAATGTTGCAGCATTTGCTGTCTCTCCGGACCAGTTGGAGCAGACTTGGATTCAAGAAGTTGCCCTGGAGCTCTCAGCTCAGCTACGAAAGGCCAACCGCTCTCTGCGAGGCTCCAGTGTCCAGGCTCTCAAACACCTCGTGCTCTCACCGGCCACTCAAGGCAAGCTAGAACCAGCTACTATCCAGGGACTTGTTTCTGCTCTGCTGCCCACCGTCAAGAACAGCGACACACACCTCCTCGGCCCTACTTTGATCATTCTTGGCAACATGGTGAAGGATCATTCAGACCTGATTATCAATGAAGAAATGATTGGCGCGCTTTGCCAGCTGCTTAAGTCTCACTTTGCAAGCATCGTCCTCGACCAGTTGCTTGACTTGATCAGCCGCGTCGGCCAGAGTGGCGCCGGCGAACCGCTTATGCAAGGTCTTTTGAAGGATGTAAGCGTTCAGGGCGACCCGGGTGTCGTCGGCAAGGTTATTGGAACCCTTCTGGTGACTGGTGGTACCTCAGCTGGTGTCTCTCTTGACAGCTTCGTCACAGAGCTCCATGGCAGTACAGAACGTGGTGATGAAGCTGGTGTGAGCCTTGCCCTCGCTGTTCTAGGAGAGTCGGGAATGAGACTTGGGGATAAGTCGCCTTTGAAGCCTCAGCTATTCTTGGACCAATTCCATTCAGAGCCAGACAAGGTGTCGCTGGCCGCTGCCATCGCCCTTGGTAGGGCCGGCTCTGGAAATATTCCCGAGTATCTCCCAATTATTCTCAAAACAATGGAGAGTGGGGGCAATACGCAGTATCTGCTTATCCAGTCGATCAAAGAGATTTTGCAGTCAATCTCATCACAGTCTGCCGATCTTCGGGGTTATGCCACTCCCATCTGGGACCAGCTCCTAGCAGCCTCATCGAATGCTGACAACAAGATTATTTGCGCTGAGTGCGTCGGCCGCCTCGCCACCCTGGACCCTGCAACTTTTATGCCCAAATTACAGGTAAGTGACTTCCAGAAGAACGAAGTAGATTGTAAAAAATACTGCAAGTACACAATATGCTGATGCTTGTTTTACCCAGACACTGTTGAAGGACCATTCATCAGGAATCCGAGGCATGGCAGTCCAAGCAGTCAGATACACACTTCCCGAGAGTGACGAGACGTTTGATGCCATGCTTCGTAACGTCCTTATAGAAATGCTTCTAGTCATGCTGCAAGATTCAGATATGGAAATCCGCCGGCTTGCCATGACGACGTTGAATTCAGCCGCTCACAACAAGCCCGATCTCATTCTGCCCCATCTGGGTGAACTCTTGCCCTTTGTTCTTAGCGAGTCGGTGATCAAGAAGGAGCTTATTCGGGAGGTAATGCTCGGCCCATTTAAACACAAGGTCGACGACGGCCTGGAAGTGCGCAAGGTGAGTAAACTACTCTATCCTTGGTATAAATTCTTATGACACTAATATTATTTTTCATTCAGAGCGCATACGAAACCCTCTACGCTCTCATGGAGACGGCTTTTACGCGAATTAACAACATTGACTTTTATGACCGAGTGATCGCTGGTCTTAAGGATGACAACGACATTCGTCAACTTTGTAACCTCATGGTCACCAAGCTCATCGTGATCGACCCCGATGAGACAGCACGACGGCTGGACTCGATCGCCGAGGCCTACCGTGGAGTCCTATCAATTAAGCTCAAGGACAACGCCGTCAAACAGGACGTTGAGAAGCAAGAAGAAACCAATAAGAGCATATTGAGAGTAACGCTTCTTCTGGGTGACAAGATGAAGGCAATGACTGGAAACGCTGGCGCAGCCACTAGCAACACGGCGGCGGCAGGTGTCTGGACAGGCTACTGGGAATGGGCCAACAAGGAGTTTGACAAGCAGCTTAAAGGTCTTCGTGAGGAAAGCAGCCAGCTTCACACGAGAACTCTTTAAGCCAAGGGAGCGCAGTATCCAGCAGTAAATAGTAAAGGCTATAATGAATCGATATGAACGCAAAGACAGCAATACAATGTAACCATAGCATTCTGCTTTATAGAGACAGGCAAACTCGTGTCCCCGCCGAAGTGTAACCAGGGATGATACGTCACGCCCTGCACTCTCCCCAAGAGAAAGAGAAAGGTCTCGTAGGGATGTCATGACCAGATCCAGGGCCTCGGTATCCCCTGTTCCCGGGCTCGTCTGTGACATATTACCCCATATGATTGCGACGGTCAAAGCGCCATCAGAATGCACCATCCAAACTTGACATGCACTTTCTCCTACTTGTTCTCCCATATGCATGAGCGGTGTCTCAAGCTTGTTTTGACATTGTACAGAATACTATGGAATCGATGTTGGTAGGTATCGTCAACCAAAATAGATGCGTATTACTCAAGACGGCAAGGGTTCAGCTTATCTCTACTAGGGACGGGCGGATTGCTCGGCAGGCTAAAATAGCCTTCCCTCGCTCCTCGTACTTTATGAGCGAGCAGTCATATATCGACAAATAGCAAGCCAGTATTCTCTATGAACAAGGTTTCCTTTACAAGGAGACATGGATTAGATTCTCAATTTTTAAACAGGGTACCAACCACTTTAACATACATACATGATGATAGTCCTACTTGTAAGCGAGATGCGGAGAGAGAGAGAGAGACTTTAGCCAGTTGGATCTAATGCCGCGAATGCGACTGTTGCTACTACCACCACATGCTTTTTTCCCTCTTCTTTCTGAAACTGGGTTATCTTACACGCAGATCATTAAACGGCTCTTCACAAGCCGCGTAGAATCCTTAAATGCTACTCTAATAAATTAAATTGAGTTTCTTATTTCAGGATTATTTCCTCCGGTAAAATCTGCAAGGTGGTCGTATTGCATATATAAGACGCGGCAGAGAAATGTCTTACGGTACTGCCGCCGCTCGGTATCTACAACAATATTTAACGCACGGGCAGCGGGAACGATTCCCCGGTTATTGCGGACTTCCTATTTCAGCGATTGTGAGAAGGCAGGCATTTTTTTTTTCCAGGCAGGCAGCTCACTCAGCCTTTTTTTTTTTTTTTCGTGACAATTAGATAGACTAGTAAGGGCATGGGTAAGACGACGGCTGATCATTTACCGGGTGTTGAGCACTATAAGTGCCCAGGTGATACCGAAGTGAGGGGAAGACACCGAAAGAAACAAGAGAGAGAGAGGCAGAGCCTTGTCGTCTTTGGGGCTTATACTTGCTTGCATGTCGGCCGTTTCAATGATAGGTCGTCTTGACATTACCCGAAAAGCGTATAGATGGTAAACCGCATGGGAGGAGGAACTAGTCTATGCGCTGCAGGGGCCTGCCATTGGGCCGTGTGGTGGGTTGTTACGAGATAGCAAAGACTCTCAAAGGATGCATCCTCCAACATGGGTTTCTCCAAGGCAGCGAAGGCGTTGTGGCTTGCGCATGGTGTCCCCCGCGTGAGCAGGTCTGTTTAGCGAGTGGCGGCTGCACCGGGGCTTGGGTGAGGAGTATAAAGAATGAGCGTGGCCGCTCTGTGGAATTGATTGTTCTTTCATTGTTCCTGTTTCCACATGCAATCAGCAGTTGTACACATAAACCACGTAGACACAACACATACCCTGTTGCGCCAAGCAAGATAAAAAGAGTCGACGTTTTTTTTTGCAACTTACACCATCCACCCTTTCTCACAGACGGCGCTATACAAGAACAAGACAAAAGCAAAAAAGAGAAATAATGGCTCGACGAAGCATCTACCTCGACCCTTATGGCGACAACGCCCCTCGCGGCGTCGATGGCGAGCCCAGCACCATCTACACATTCTTCCGGGGCGTCGTGCGTGAGGCTCGGACTTGGGTCTCGCGCGGCGGACCTGGCGTCAAGGCGCCTACGATTGAGAAGCACATGTCTTGAGAAGAATTACGCCTCGCCTTGCGTGAGGCGCTTTTCGCATGATTCTTAACGTCCATCTTTTTATTTGATATTCGTCGACGATCAACTGGTTGGCCGTTTTGCACTGAACGACCAAGGCTGAGGTCCTTGGTCTAGTACCTATGTAGTACACTGACATGGCGATAACAATCAGAGTCGCCTCTATGGAATCACTCATTCTTTTCTTACACTCTTTTTTGCCTTTTGTTTCCTTTATATTGGCTGGGAGTTTCATGGCGCATGTTTTGGAAGTTGGAGGACAATTGGTTTGCATTATCATGCCTCTGGTTGAATCACGGTTGCGTTTTTGTTCTGTCGTTTTGACGGCCTTGGAATATGTTTGAATGAACAAAGAAATCATGAGTTTGGAAGGAGCAACAGCATTGAGTATATCATTTGAATATATTATTATACAATGTCCAGATGGGCAATGGTATCAGTCAGATTGAAATATAGTATGTGTTTGTCATTTTCTTTTTAGATGGCTGATATCTCTCAATACCATCGTGAAGCAATAGGTTTAAAATTCACCTTACCCACGCCACCAGGGCTTGAATGTGGGTAGACGAAGAAGTAATCATCTTTCATGGAGGGGCGAGAGTTGGGTACGGATTATCCGAATGCAACCCCAAAATATGCGTGATACCACTGGCTTGTCCCATTGGTGTATCAAAACTGCGACGTATCAAGCGGCAAATATCGAGGTCACGTCGGGATCTGAGGATGCTTCAGCATCCGAGGGGGTATCCAAGGTGTCGTCTACTGGTACAAGCGCAAGCCTCTTCTTCTTTTTCATAACTCGCTTGTGACCAGCGCTCTTAATGTGCCTATTCCAAGCCTGCTCTGTCAAGCAGACTGTTTGGCATATCTCGCACGTCCTTTTACAAGGAATTGCTTTTGGCGGGGGCTCACTCACTCGCGTGAGCACCTCGCGAGCCAACTCTGATAGCTCGGTGTGACGTGGTTGAGGCTCCCCAGAGAGGAACTTTGCAGTGATCTCAGCAGCAGGTTCTACGACTTTGGTCTTGAACTGAGAGACATCGGTACTGTCAACCAAGTACAAGCTTTCAAAGGCCTTGGGGACTTGCTCCTTGAGGCGTGGGATCTGCTTCAGCCTGATCCACCGAGTCTGAGAGTTAGCATATCGGCGTGTCGCCGCCTTCATATCTTCCATTGCGTTGGACTTGAGTTTTGCAAGATCGGCTAGATCCTTTCCCTCTTCCTTTGCAGACATGTATGGCTCAAACTGCTTGTAGCCAATGGATTGCCATATACCCTTTGTCATGTTTAGAATCTGACCTTCGGCCGTCTTCTTCTTTTTCATGTCGAAAAGCTCTTGAACCTCGTCCAGTAGCCCAGCGTCGAGCATCTTGTCTACTCGACTGTCCAATCGTTCAACAAGAGTTTCACGTTCCGAGTAGACCCAGAACAGCAACTTCTCCCAAGGTTGATTGGTCTCTGGTTCTTGAGCTGCCGCAGCTTTGCGCTTCTCTTGTTCCGCATACAACTCGGATGCAGGTCTGCCCGTATGCAGATAAATTTCCAGTGATCGCTGGATCTTGCGCCTATCATTCGGATGCCATCTCTCCGCCATTATCGGATCGACCTTCTTTAGCTCTTCGAGCAATACATCCGTAGGCTCCTCCAGGATCGGGTATGATGAGGAAGGGTCGATTTCAACATCGTCAAGGATAACGTCTTTAAAGAGAAGCGGGTCAACGTAATATTGAGTCCCTCCAACAAGGATGGGCAGATTTCCCCGGCTGCGGATTTCACGAATGATTTTGGCGGCTTCTGACTTGTAGTCTTCTACATCCCACGGAGCATGGTCAAGCGGAATATGGCCCAAAAGATGATGCGGGATACCGCACCGCTCCTCGACGCTGATTTTGTTTGTTATAATGGGCAGGCCATCATAGAGCTGCATAGCATCAGAATTGATGATTTCGCCTTTGAATCGAGTTGCTAATTCTACGGCTAGCTGTGTAAAGTCATCAGAAAAGTGAATCATGCGCACGCCGTAGTGAGACCGGAGACGCCTACCTCTGATTTGCCCGTGCCTGTAGAGCCCAAGACAACCAGCAACGGTTCAGCTGGGGCTGTATGGGTGGCCATCATAGATACATGGCGCCGCAGCGTGAAACCCTGGCGACCAAGCATTCGACAACAGACCGAATCAGGGTCCCACGCCCACCAAAAAAGGCGCCGGCCGGTCGTAAGCAGTGGCCGAGAGGATCCTGCAATGTGTCTTTTCAGGCGCAACTCCAGAGAAGCTTCCTCTTCCAGCAGCACGGCAGCCGTTAAATTGACACAGGCAGCACCAGAAAAATAAAACAGTAGAACAAATTCGAAACGCAACAGTCATCCACCCCACTTCAGGCTCGTTGATCCAGCGAATCTCGCGCGCTGGAGTGGCTCGAACTGGTTGGCTCCGCAGACCCCTGGCGGCGGTCGAGGCCAGCTTTCTTCTCGCCATCGGCCGGTCACGTGCAACCCCATCGTTTCGGGCCACATCAACATTTCGGCTTGAAGCCAGATCGCAACCTTCTCTCCAGCTCCCTTCATCACTCTCTCTCCCATTGATTAACCTTCCTTCTCCCCCCCGAGCTCATCCCAGCTCGAACTTTTTCTTCCTTGTTTCTTTCATTGGATGAATTAGTTTTTTCCTTCTCGGGCTCCCCCCTCCAGTCGCCGCCATGAGTTCTCGTGAGTTGCATCTTCATCTCTCCCCCGCCAAGCTTCCGGCCAGCTTGCGTCGCGCGCGCACACACGATCCGCCAGAAACGCGCAATTGATTGTCAATGGCACGCCGCTAACACGGGCAATGCCTCTGCAGTACGTTTTCTCGACCTGGTCAAGCCGTTCGTGCCGTTCCTCCCCGAGGTTCAGCAGCCGGAAACCAAGATTCCCTTCAACCAGAAGTTGATGTGGACGGCCTTGACGCTCCTCATCTTCTTGGTCATGAGCCAGATGCCGCTGTACGGCATTGTCTCCTCCGACAACTCGGATCCCCTATACTGGCTGCGAATGGTCATGGCGAGTAATCGAGGTACTCTGATGGAGCTGGGCATCACCCCCATCATCTCCTCTGGCATGGTTTTCCAGCTCCTTGCGGGCACCCACCTCATTGACGTCAACCTCGACCTCAAGTCGGATCGCGAGCTCTACCAGACTGCCCAGAAGCTCTTTGCCTTCATCCTGTCTGCCGGTACCGCTACTGTCTACGTCTTCACCGGCCTCTACGGAACCCCCTCCGACCTCGGTGCCGGCATTGTTTTCCTGCTGATCCTCCAGTTGGTTGTCGCCGGCATGATTGTTATCCTGCTCGACGAGCTCCTGCAAAAGGGCTACGGTCTTGGCAGCGGTATCTCTCTGTTCATTGCCACCAACATTTGCGAGTCCATCATGTGGAAGGCTTTCTCTCCTACCACCATCAACACTGGCCGTGGCCCCGAGTTTGAGGGTGCTGTTATCGCTCTCTTCCACCTCTTGATGACCTGGCCCAACAAGCAGCGTGCTCTCCAGGAGGCTTTCTACAGACAGAACCTCCCCAACATCATGAACCTGTTGGCCACCATTCTGGTCTTTGTTGCCATCATCTACCTCCAGGGCTTCCGAGTTGAGATCCCCGTCAAGTCCAACCGCCAACGTGGTGCCCGCGGCTCATACCCCGTCCGTCTGTTCTACACCTCCAACATGCCCATCATGCTGCAGTCCGCTCTCTCTTCCAACGTCTTCCTGATCAGCCAGATGCTCTTCTCTCGCTTCTCTGAGAACCTGCTGGTCCGCCTCTTCGGTGTCTGGGAAGCCAAGGACGGTACTTCTCAACTCCACGCCGTCTCCGGTCTCGTCTACTACATGTCTCCTCCTCTCAACTTCAAGGAGGCTCTTCTCGACCCTATCCACACCGCCGTCTACATTGTCTACATGCTCGGAGCTTGTGCCCTTTTCTCCAAGACTTGGATTGAGGTCTCCGGCTCCAGCCCCCGTGATGTTGCCAAGCAGCTCAAGGACCAGGGCCTTGTGATGGCTGGACACCGTGACCAGAGCATGTACAAGGAGCTCAAGCGCATCATTCCTACTGCTGCTGCCTTTGGCGGTGCCTGCATTGGTGCTCTCTCCGTTTTGAGCGACCTCATGGGCGCTCTTGGCTCTGGAACTGGTACCCTTCTCGCTGTTACGTAAGTTTCTTTCTTTCCAGGAAGTTAATTAAAAAAATGGTTAGCTAACATTATTGTAGTATCATCTACGGCTACTTTGAGATTGCGGCCAAGGAGGGTGATCTTGCCGGTATGAAGGGCATGATCATGGGTTGATAGAACCTGTGTGAGAGAGCAAGAGGAAGGTTTGATTCTCTAATAAAAACACTTTATCTCCGTTATCGAGGGTTATACTTGATTGCATGGGAATATTAGTTATGTACCAATAAGGGAATATCATTTATAGGGGCTAAGGAGTATGACACAAAATATAAAACGGAATGTACGATTTTTTCTTAATAGCGACTGGAGGTTGATAGCCTAAGCTGAGATTCAGATCGGATGTTGACAAGAGTGTACGAGTACGGCGCCACAATTAGCGATCGGCAGTTCAAGTAGGATGGATAGCTAGTAATACTATCTTTCTCTATCCTTAAGACTTTTGCAAATTACCTTTAATTATGAGAGCAACACAGACTTGATGGAGACGGGAGCCTGTGCCCGGTTTTCTACAGCTTTGGGGTATTGGCGGGGAAAGCTCGGGGCGTTTGTTGCTTTATAGCTTTATACGGAGAAATACCCGTGTTGATAGAGCGCTAACATGGAAACGGCACTCGGCAGCTGGGGCTAAAACCCGCTAAACTTGTTTAATCCGCCATCATGCTACAAACAGGCTCGCCATGTTGAAAAGAGCCTGTCGTCATCGGCCAGGGCCTACGGCTTTTGTTGCTCTCATAGTCTCAATTGACATTTGCGGCGTATCCGTGCTCTCCAATGGACTGTTTATAATACCCTGCAGACCGCCTCTGAAACCCGGCGACCAGAACCAAGTGCTACAGCAGACGCTCCAATAGAGTCGGTGACAAGCAGCCCGCCGCCGGAGACACAACAGAAAATGCCAGCCAGGAACAGGCACTTCTTCACGCGAGAGCCATTCCGCAATGACGATCGATTGACGCTGCAGCACGCCGAAGGGCCATTTCGATGTCTCAATCCGACACGCGCCCACTTTGATCACTCGAAATTATGCGCTGGCTCGACGTCTAACAAAGCAGCGACGCCGCAAGAGAGCGGCGACGACGCGGAAGCCAGACACGAACCGCCGAAACAAGTCGCGGAATCCAACGTCCCCGCTAGGAATATCAGGTTCTTGTGGCGGTCGCGAGACAATCGAAAGGGCAGACATCCTCTCCTTGTCCAGCAAGCGCGTGCTGGAGAGGATGCGCCATTCGTGACGCCGAGGCGATCGTCGCATCCCAAGGAGGTTATGAAAACCATCATCAAGACGTTTATATATTATCCATTCTGGGATATTTCGTGGCTGGTGGCCTTTATCTTTACGTGGGGAAGCGTGGTCTGGGTCATAAACGTATGTTCCACTTGCTGTAATATTAAAAAAAAAAAAAAGCATTGAGCGCGGGCCAAAATGATGATCTAATGATGCAGTTAAACAGGCCTTCTTCGTGTGGCTTCCCGTGGCAGCCCCCTCTACCGAGTTTGACGGCGAAATCACCGATGGCGGCGGTATAACGGCCTTTATCGGCGCGATAGTCTTTTTCGAGCTCGGTTCCATCTTGCTCATCTTCGAGGCCATAAACGCGAATAGTGCAGGCTGCTTTGGCTGGGCCGTTGAGCAATTGGTCGATGGTGAGAAGAATGGTAGGCCGAAGCTGCAAGTGGTTGCGGCCCACAGACATTGCCACCATCATCACCAGAATAGGCGCAACCTTGTTGGGAAAGCCTCGTCAGCCACCTTGGCCGAAGCTCGTCCGGATTCCAGCAGTGCAGATGACAAGAAGCAATGGCAGTGGTTCCCGTCCTGGCATGAACTGCGCACGCATTGTCTTCATGAACTGGGCTTCCTTGCTGGGTGTGCACAGCTCTTTGGCGCCACTGTCTTTGGCGTCTCTGGCTTTACCGCGCTGCCGGGCATACAGAACCACCTCACGCCGCAGTGGCGGCTCAATGCTGCGTACTGGATCCCCCAGGTCGTTGGCGGCAGCGGCTTCATTGTCAGCAGCTCACTGTACATGTTGGAAACGCAGCAGAAATGGTGGAAGCCCGCGCCGCAACTTTTGGGGTGGCATATTGCCTTTTGGAATCTCGTGGGAGCGTTTGGATTTACGCTCAGTGGCGCGCTGGGGATGGCGTATAATAACTCGGGGGCACAGTATGAGGCCGGGTTGGCTACGTTCTGGTAAGACTTGTCCTTTAAAATCGAACCCCCTTCGTCTTTGGAATTCATTTGCTGATTCACTGGCTGTTGCTTGTTTTTAAAAGGGGTTCCTGGGCTTTCTTGATTGGTAGCTACTTGCAGCTTTATGAAAGTTTGAACAAGCATCCTGTGGAAGAAGCGTCGTCGATGAAGGATTTTACCACTGCGGATGGGTAGAGCTTTGCGTGTTGGAGATACCTAGTGTTTGTGACAGCTATTCGGCTTTGAAAGCAGGCAGCATTTATAAATGAAGTTCAGAATATTTCATGGTACAAGTCACCACCGGTTTGAGAGATTGTTTATCAGCTGTAAAAGTTATCCAACACCTCGGCTGTAGCTTAACAAGGTAGCCAATTCACATATCAAAATACACAACTGCCAAACACCTTTAAAAACAACAGCAGTAGCAGTAGCAGTAGCACCCAATAGCCTTACATGCCCGTATAGATGCTATCCAGAATGCTAGACAACAAAATTAGGGTGCTAGATAACTTTCCCCTTTGTAAATTGATCCAGTCGTCCTACCCTGCATATGAGAATAGCTGTCGCGTATACGACGAATAGTCGGTATGAGTAACTTCAATCTAGGGTGAGCATATCAATTGATGGGTCGTATTTGTCAGCGTCAGAATTGTAGTTAGGAAGACGGTGAGCTCTCGGCGTAGTCAAGAGATTTTTTTCATGTCCTTACATGCCTGTTACTCACCTGTACTCTGTACTCTGATATGATACTAGGTACTATATACAAAGACAGCCAGCAAGTGAGCGCGGGCAACACTTGGTCTCATGTTACCGTTATTTCTCGTCAATCTACCCGGTAACCTACGTGCGCATCATCTGAGGCTGCTGAGATCTGACAGGCAGTATCTGCATCGGTGTCTCAATGGAACAACCATCGCAGGCGTTTACTCAATGCGATTAGGCGCCGTTATCACAAAGTCTCATGACACACATATCGTAGGATTAGAGGCATTTGCGGGGAACTTGCCCGGGGTCAATATTTCGAGATGATTACCGCAGCTATTGCCCGTCAGAACACCTACTTTTGCATGATGGCGATTCATAGGTAATAATCATCTCGACGCTGCATGCAAGGCACGTTGGAAAAAGATGGCGGCGAAACCGAAATTGTTCTGAGACATTACTTGACCCATCAGACGTAGTGATACCAATACTTACTGCTTGCCATACGGGAAGCGGCTGCATGTAATCCCTGCATCGCGATGCGTGCTGCTTTCCTATCTGAGCTGTGCGTGTGACAGCTGATCATTTGTGCCGACGCAATCTTCCCGCTGTCGAGATAGCCGAAAAGGCTATTGTTTCTAAATCAAATGATGCTAAGCAGAATCCAAGCTGATGAATGATAGAAAGAGGATGATGAAACAAAGCTCCAAGTTCGGATGAACCCTTCGCGGAGCTTGGACCTCGAGCAAACCGAGGCCATGTGGAGAGTGGCGTGCGTGCCGGGGTGCTATGCAGGGATCAATGCGCATGGCTGCATGGAGCTTGTGGCTGCCCTTTTGCATGGCGAATTGGTCGAGACGAGCCGTGGTGTTCTTGATGGTAGAAATCACAGAGCTGCAGTACCTACTAGCAGTTACAAGGTAAAAATTGGCGCTTTCGGGATTGCTTGCTGCATCCTGTAGGATCAAGACACCATCTTCTTTTCCGCAGCCACACACTCACAGAAGAATCTATCCTTGCTACAAGTCACTAGTAGTACCTAGGCATGGCGGAATAAGAAGGCTGGATGAGGCGCTGCCATAGCGGTGAGTCACGACGGTAAGCAGCGAGAGGAGATGGAGGCGCGTGCTGGCAGACAGACAAGCAGACTTAAGGGGAAGGTGGAGTTGGAAGAAGTGGACTGGCTCTTTGTTAGCGCTAGTGAAAAGAGAGTATGAATTGAAGGAGGAAGAAAGATGAAGAGATGCTGAAATGCTAACAATGATGTTCGAATTGAAAAGGCAAGGGCGGCTATTAAGCGGTAGGTATGCAGCACGGCCAATAACTGTATAGCGGAATACCAGTGCTCGCATCCATCTGACGGACTGACCAAGACAGCATGCATTGACATTGGATGTAGAGAACAGGGAGGGTATTAGCGCTCTGGAATAACAGGAACCGGGGTAGAGAAGGAATTGGAACGTTTGTCGAGCCAAGCGCATCGCGTAGAATCTGGTGACTCAATGGCTGAGTGAGTGAGTCGACGCTATGAGAAGACGATCGATGACTGGGAATGCGGGAGATGCAGCAGCGCAGATGCAGGTGATGATCGGCCTGCGAGATTGGTCACAGTTGGAGATGGAGCGCCGCGAACATCTGATAGGTGATGTATGATATCAGGTACCTGTGAAGTACTTTTGCAGCCCTTTTTAAGCTTCTGGGGCTAGTGGCGGCGGTCCAAGCACGGACGGCGGATGCGAGTTACCGAGCAATACTTTGAATCTCTGCATTATCAATCATGCGTATTACACGCGAGACCAGAGCCCAGAGACAGCACTCGGCCTTTGTGACCCAGTTCCCACGAGAGCTTCACCTGTCCCGGCGGTGAGCCCTTTCGCTGTACTGCTACTGGTATGTAACGGCGTTATCGTCTGAGCGCACAGCATACGGGGGACAACCCTGCGTGAGCTTTGGCGGGAGAACAGTCCACGCTGGTACCAGTGCCCCCGAGCCAACCTACCTAGCATCAATGTCTTCTCGTAACGGCGCTGCCATATGAGAGTTGAGGGCATGTTCGTCCATGTGGCACTAAACCAACCGCCAGCTGTAACCACTTATTGCCCGACAAACCATCATGTGAAGGTGTGGGCGAATGCATCTGCACTAATGCACCTGCTGCCGTGTGACTCTTCCTGCGCAGTTCTCATCGAATTGCCTCCCGAGGCTGATCGTCATATCGACTCGACAAGAGACCTGTGAGCTGGCAGCAAGGAGAGATATAGATACCTATCAACAGCCGCTATGCTGTTGACAAATGAAGGCCTCGATTGATGCCTCGCTCGAATATCCAAGACTCAGCATGCTGTTTCCTCGTTCGTCTTGCTGCTTCATGTTCATTGTAGGTGCTCTTAGCAGAAGCTTGCTGCAACACTAGGCCACTATACTTTGGCTCGCCGGCGGCTGTACGAGGTGCATGCTCCGCACGTTGTACGTTCAATCGAATTACAGGGTGTATCAGCCCGTTGCTTTGGGTAAGGACCGCCTGCAAAATTCCCCGGTGGAACCACTACCGCCGCTGAAAGGACAAAAAAAAAAATAAGAAAAAAAAGTGCCTCCCTAAGGCTTCATGTGTCATGGATCTTTGTATCTTCTCCACCAAATCGCGCGCAACGCTTCCAGTTCCCTGTTCCGCCGCCTCCCCACTGATAAGTGCTCCATGCCCTGTTAGTCTGGCGGCTTTACGGTGTGCAGCCCGCTGCGACCCAGTGGCCTCGGTGCCTGCGCTGCACTACAGGCTGCGGCATGCCTGTGCGTGCGTCCGCGCCGTGTCCCTTATCCACAGGCGGTATTGTCGCTGGCGCTAGCAGTGCTAGCAAGCTCCACATTGCTGTCGTCTTTTCGACGTCCCATCACGGCCTTTCTTTCTCTTCTTCCCCTTCCACGTTACTGGCCCTCTTGCTCTCCTTTGTTCTGTTCGCGCATTCGCTGACACCATGAGTGTATAGAGCGGCAGGAGGAACGCGCTGGGAACCGGAGACAAGTCGCACTGGCCCCGTCAATATTTTCTGACTTCTTTTGCTCTCTTCTTACACCGCCGACGTCTGCCCCGCGACATTCCCGGACTCGCCAGCTTCGGCGCCGCTCTGACGCTGCCGGGATCGCCAAAGCTTCCTACCTCGAATCGGGGAGCCGCCAGCTGGTTCGAAACAAACATATCTACCAGTATCGTTACGGCTCTCCATCATAACATATCCCTGGGCAGCTCTCCACCTCCAAATCAGCACCAACATGGGCTTTGCTCAGTGCTCGTGGCCGCCGTGGCAGGTCGATGACCTCACCCAGTGCTTTCAAAGAGAGTAGGTTCTCGATGCGCGCGCTTCCGCCCTGTTCTATGCATGGCGATTTCTGGACAGTTCAGCTAACGGGATAATCAACAGCTACCTCAGCGTCCTCTTCCCGTTAATAATAATTGGCATTTCGTTCTTGCGCCTCTCATGGTCCAGCATTGGCCGTGTCGTGCGCAGTGGCAAGAATAAGGGTTATAGCTCTGTTTCTGCCTCCGACGTCACGCCAAACCACACGGATATCCCTCCTCTCGACGACGAATCCGAAGACAGCGATGACGACGACCTCGAGATCAACGGTGGCCGCTTGGCCCTGGCGAAAGTGACTTCCAGGGGCTCAATTGTCCAAGCCGATACTCCTACTGCTCAGCGCTTCTCGCAGTTCGTCGAAGAGCTTGCTCTCGTTGGCCTCGTCGCTGTCAATGCAATTGCTCTTATCACTGGTGCTTTTGGACCGGGTGGCCGTCTTGCCGCCATTGCTGGGCTTACAACCTGGATCTACACCTTGATTTTGGCCACGCTACGTGTTGTGCTGGGCACCTCTAAATGGCGAATCCCTTACATCTGGAACCATACCGCTACCATCTACGGCTGCAAATGGACCCTGGCGCTCCTCATCTTCCGCTCTGCCATTGTTCATCCTTACACGAAGCTTTCTCAGACTCTCATCATTGTTGAATTCGCTCTCAACTCTTTACTCTTCGGTATTGCTGCCTCCACTAGAAAGGGCAACAAGACTGTCGTGTTGGAATGGGAAGATGGGATCGAGCCCTCGCGAGAGCCTCTCGCAAGTCTCTTCTCAATCGCCACCTTCTCGTGGGTCGATGCCATTGTCTGGCAAGGTTGGAAGAAGCCCCTGGACATGGAAGATGTCTGGAATCTCCTGCCCAAGGATAAATCTACTGCCATCATTGCCGACTATAGGCTTGTGAAGAAGACGACCGCCCTTTCATGGCACCTACTCAAATATTTCCGCAGTCTGCTCTTCATGCAATGTGCACTGGCGGCTGTCGCTGGTATCTTTACTTTTGCTCCCACCCTGCTCCTCAAGGCCATCCTGCAGTATGTAGAACGCCCCGACGACGCGCCTGTCAGCGTTCTCTGGCTCCTTGTCATTGGCCTCCCGATTCTTGATACTCTTCGTTCGTACTGCGATGGCATGGCCCTGTGGATTGGCCGCAGGATCTGTATCCGTGTCCGTGCCATCATTGTCGGTGACATTTACGCCAAGGCGCTGCGTCGGAAGGCTGCCGCTGGCAAAGACAAAATACTGCTCGGCGACAAGGCCAAATCTACCAAGGATCAAGATGAAGAGTCTGACAGCCAAGGTGCCATTAGTAAAGTCAAGCGCGCTCTTGGTTTTGGCGGCAAGAAGCAGAAAAAGGCTGCCAGCACCGATGACGCCGAAGCTGCTGGTCCAATCAAGGCTGCTGAGGGCGAAGATGAGCAGGCCAACCTGGGAACCATTATCAACCTCATGTCAGTCGACAGCTTCAAAATCGCCGAAATCACTGCGTACTTGCATTTCCTGTGCGCTTCGGCCCCTACTCAGCTGGTCATCTCCGTCTTCTTGCTGTGGCAGGTCATGGGCCTCAGCGCCATTCCCGGCATTGTTGTCATGGTCTTCCTTTTGCCCGTGAACTACATGCTGGCTCGTGGCTTCAACATCACTTCAAAGAACATCATGGCTGCTACTGACAAGCGCATCAATGTGACAAACGAGATCCTACAAAACATTCGCATTATCAAATACTTCGCCTGGGAACGACGATTCGGCAAGATTGTGGATGAGAAGCGTCAGGCCGAACTAAAGGCACTTCGCTCCCGATTCATGCTCTGGGCTCTCGCGGTTGCCATCTGGAACTCGGTTCCCGTACTCATCACGTTTTTCTCTTTCCTGGTGTACACACTCATCGAAAAGAAGCCGCTATATCCCTCTGTTGCGTTCACGGCCATCTCCCTCTTTATGCTTCTTCGTGTTCCTCTCGATCTCCTCGGTGACATGTTCGCCCACGTCCAGGAAGCTAAGGTCTCCATTGATCGAGTTGAAGAGTACCTTATGGAGGAAGAAACGGAGAAGTACAAGCAGCTCGGTCTGGATAACGTGGATGAAGATGGCAAGAAGCACATTGGCTTTAGAGACGCAACTCTTATCTGGGGTGGCAAAGACAGTGTTGCTGAAGATGGCTCCAGGGCTTTCCGACTGCTTGATCTCGATGTCGACTTCCAGATTGGCAAGCTGAACATCATTGCCGGTCCCACTGGTTCTGGTAAAACATCCATGCTTATGGGCCTTCTCGGCGAGATGACGCTTGTAGAGGGCAGGGTATTCTGCCCCGGTGGCCGCAGCCGAGAGGATGTTCGCCCTGATCCTGAGACTGGCCTTGCCGATACAGTTGCATATGTCGCCCAAGCTGCTTGGTTGGTCAACGCTAACATTAAAGACAACATCATCTTTGCCGCACCTTTTGATGAACAGAGATACAGAGATGTCATCGTGGCTTGTGCTCTTGAGCGAGATCTCGAAATTCTGGATCACGGTGATCAGACCCTGGTTGGTGAGAAGGGCATCACGCTCTCTGGTGGCCAGAAACAACGAATTTCCTTGGCTCGTGCTCTCTACTCGAACTCGGCTCACATTCTCTTGGATGACTGTCTCAGCGCTGTTGATTCGCACACGGCTCAATGGATCTTCACCAACTGCATCAACGGACCCCTCATGAAGGGCCGTACCTGCATTCTTGTCACTCACAACATTCAACTCTGTGTGCCCTCATCCGACTATGTGGTCCTGCTTGACAATGGAAGAGTCACCGCCCAGGGACCTTCACAAGAAGTCATCGCTTCCGGCAAGCTCGGCGAGGAAATTCAGCGCTCTCGACCTGCTTCTCATACTGCATCTCGTATTCCGTCTCGCGTCCCTTCGAGCGTTGGTGACGAGGAGACCATGGTTAATAGCAACGGCGATGCATCCGATGCCGCAAGCACCTCTAAGAAGGACAAGAAGAAGGAACAGCCTCCTCCACAGGAGGAAACCAAAGCAAGTGGATCCGTCAAATGGTCTGTCCTCAGGATCTACCTTGCGTCCATGGGACCCTGGTGGTTCTGGCTCGTCGCTTTCATGGTTTTCGGCATGCAGCAACTCTCGACCGTTGCAACGAATGTTTGGGTCAGACAGTGGGCGAACCAATACATTCAAGAGCAGAACGTCAAGGTTGTTTTCGGCTCCATGTCAGCTACTTACGGTACCGAGTCCTTTCCCAAGGGCTCCTGGGCATCTATCGCCAACCTTGGCAAAGTATATCCTCCTCAGAGCGAGCCGAGTCTGCGTGTACCAGATGGCCAGATTGCGCTCGGGGCCACTGCCATGCCAGACGTTAATGTCGCTTACTATCTCGGTGGACTCGCCGTTATTGGTGCACTCGGCGCGGCGGCTGCCCTGATTCGAGACGTTTGGATCTTCTTTGGTTCTTTGACTGCTTCCAGGCGTATCCACGACCGTCTCATCACCTCCGTGACCCGAGCCAAATTCAAGTTTTTCGATGTCACTCCTCTCGGCCAATTGATGAACCGGTTTAGCAAGGATCTCGAGGCCGTCGATCAAGACATCGCACCCACCGCTATTGGCGTGATGACCTGCGCTCTCTCCCTTGTCGTGACCGTTGCCCTCATTGCGTACATCACTCCTGGCTTCCTTATCGCTGCTTTCCTCATTGCGCTTCTTTTCTATGTTGTCGCCGCCTTCTATCTCCGTGCATCTCGCGATCTGAAGCGTCTGGAATCGGTTCAACGCAGCCCGCTCTTCCAGCAGTTTGGCGAAACTCTCAGTGGTATGACTACGATTAGAGCTTACGGCGACGAGCGACGCTTTATCCGTGATAATTTGGCCAAGATCAATAACCAGAGCCGACCTTTCATCTACCTGTGGGCCTGTAACAGATGGCTTGCATTCCGAGCTGATTTGCTGGGCAACTTTGTATCTTTCTTCGCAGGTGTCTTCATCATCATTAACCTGGGCAAGATCGATGCCGGCGCGGCTGGTATCTCGCTGAGCTATGCGATGAATTTCACGGAGAACGTCCTGTGGCTGGTCCGCCAGTATGGCATGAATGAGCAAAACATGAACTCGATGGAACGTGTTAAGGAATACCTGGATGTTGAGCAAGAAGCAGATGCCATCATCGAGGATAGCCGGCCGCCGAAGAATTGGCCCGCTGAGGGTGGAGTCGAATTTGTCCAGTACTCTACTCGTTATCGTGCCGAGCTGGATCCAGTTCTCAGAGGCATCTCTCTCAAAATCACTCCCAGAGAGAAGGTTGGTATCGTGGGCCGAACCGGTGCAGGCAAGAGTTCATTGACGTTGGCTATCTTCCGTGCGCTGGAAGCTGATTCAGGAAGCATCGTTATTGATGGCATTGACATCAGCAAGATTGGTCTTCAGGATCTTCGAGAAAACATCACCATTGTGCCTCAGGATCCTACCCTTTTCATGGGCACGATCCGAACCAACCTTGACCCCTTTGATCAGTACACCGACGAAGAAGTCTTTGAAGCTCTGCGACGTGTGCAGCTAATCGGGCCTGATGAAGTCACTACTCCTACAGCTCCTACCAGTCCCGTCATCCAAGTCACCGCCGAAGGTGAGAGCACAGAGGGTTCATCCGGTTCAAGAACGCCGTCAGTTGCCACGAACAAGAATGTCTTCCTCGATTTGTCATCTCCTGTAACCGAATCCGGCTCCAATCTTTCTCAAGGTCAACGACAACTCTTGTGTCTGGCACGAGCAATGCTGAAGAAGCCAACCGTCATGGTCATGGACGAGGCCACGGCATCTATCGATTACAACACAGACTCCAAGATCCAGGAAACCATCCGTGAACTCACAGGAACCGTCATCACAATCGCTCACCGTCTCCAGACCATTGTCGACTATGACAAGGTCCTGGTTCTCGACAAGGGCGAGGTCGTCGAATTTGACCACCCGTGGGAGCTGATCAACCGAAAGGATGGAACTTTCAGAAGCATGTGCGAGACAAGCGGCGACATGGACATTCTCGTCACAGCAGCCAAGAAGAAGTGGGAGGAAGGCCAGCTATTAAGCGTTGGAGAGTGAACAGACGAGCTTATAAGAAAAAAAGCGACTGAGGGGGCGAAATAAAACATTTGCATTGTTTAAAAGAAGAAGAGCGTCTCAATTAGACGTATATTGGCTCTGTATATGCAGTGTTGAGTGCATCAGAGGGTGAAGAGAAAATAAAAAGAGATGCTCTAGAAATAGGAGGAGAAAAACGGGACCCCCTTGAGAAGCATATACAGGCACCAAGGAGTCGGATTACCTTGGATGCATGCTCCTAATTTTATTGTTATTCTCTCCGTTGGAATACATGCGAGAGACGAGGACAGAGATACAAAACATTATGTATGAGCATGAATAGTAATTATATATTTCAAGTTATTGATAGTACATGAATGTATTATTCGACACACTATTCTTGAAGCTGAATGTGATATTTGATTCATACATTGGACAACTGGCCTGCTAAGCATCAAGGGGTGCGTAGAACATTTAAGGACCGCAAGATGGAAATACACACACGAGTTTTAAACCATAAGCATTATTTTATTAAAGAGAGAATAGCCATCCGGCACTCTAGTTTATTATTTAATAACAGGTCTTAGTTATAGCCTCTTAATAGTAGTAGTAGTAGCAGCAGTAGCAGCAGCAGCAGTAGTAGTAACAGTAATAGTAGAAGTAGTAGAAGTAGTAGAAGTAGTAGAAGTAGTAGAAGTAGTAGAAGTAGTAGAAGTAGTAGAAGTAGTAGAAGTAGTAGAAGTAGTAGAAGTAGTAGAAGTAGTAGAAGTAGTAGAAGTAGTAGAAGTAGTAGAAGTAGTAGAAGTAGTAGAAGTAGTAGAAGTAATAGAAGTAGTAGCAGTAATAGCAGTAGTAAGTGCTAGATGACTTTAGTGTTGTTAGGGTACATGTATGCAAAGCTGAGAAATGTGTACTGATTGTTTAATAATTCCCTCTTCTTCTCCCCCTTGGCATACGCCTATTCTTGAGTGGTGTCAGGTCTTTGCCCATTCCCGGCCTTATTGATATCCAAAGTGAAAGTAAGTACTAATGCTTGGGCATCCTAATCTGCCAATTCCGTAGTCTACCACTACTATTTCGTACGTCCAACACCAACGGCTGACTGCTTGCCCCTTTCATTCAATCTATACCCTGAGCCATATCTACCACCAAAAGACGGATCGCTTTCTCTTGCATTGATATTGATGTATTGCGCCGTTCGGTCCATAGACAATTGTTGTAGAGAGGTATCTGTCATAGATCCCAACCACTGCGAGGAAAAACTTCCAACCTTTATGTTCTTCGCGTTTAGGAGGTCTCCTACAGTCGATACGATAATCTGCTGGCTGTTGTCCTCGGCGGAAACGTCACCAAAGACGTGTACTCTCTGCCTGGAGGCTTGGTCGGCCGCCATGTTACAAACCTCGAGGCATTGCTTGGCTGTATCAATCTCCTTTAGGAGTCGAGCCCGATCCTGCTCAAACTCATCGGACCGCAATGATACCTCTGTACTTAGTGACTTCGCCGATAGGTCGACTAGCCGTTTTTGCAAGTCGGTAATCATGAGTACCATTCTGTCTCTGGCCTCGCTTAGCGCAACGGCTGTCTGGCGACGATCCTGGTTTGGTTCAGCATCCAAACGCTGCATGTTGTCTTGCAAGGACTGGATATGAGACTTTGCACTCTCGCAGATGAGGATGCACTGCTGAGCACTTTGCCTTTCTTCCTCCATTCGCTTGACAGTCAATGCAGCATTAGGGTCAGGCTCAGAGCGCGGATGGTCGGCCAGGGCAGCTAATTTGTCGTCGATGCTCTGGAGATGAACCTCAAGATCGGCTGTTGTCTCTCGAATCATCTCATTGTACTGATCCAACGCTTCGCGAGTCATTTTGACGTTTGTCCTATTCATGTACCGTCAGGATTATATAGAAAGAAGGAAGGAAAAATAATACACGTATGGCTGCCTTTGTCGAAAGCCATAGACTGCAGCTACAAGGGGCAACGAACATATTAAGGCTACCAAGAGCAATAGCAATGGTAGATTTATAGCCGGATAGCATGTCTTTAAAATCTCTGATATCGCCACCCATGTATCTGATCTGAGCCCAGTCTCTGAAGCTCGTTCGCGAGCCAGCAGACGCATGTTTAGTGCACTTTATGATGACGGCATTAAACTCCTGGCAAGTCTGGTGGCAACACAGTACCGGAAGCTTCAGCATAGAGACAATGGGCCCTTCATCAGTAATGACATTTTTGAGAGATTCAAGAACCTGTATGAGCGACTCGAGCTCGGAGCGTAGATCCCGTATCGTCCGCTCGTAATTTCGAAAGGACTGAATCGTCTCATGTAGAGATTTGCCAGCCTGGATTGCGCTCGTTAGGAGCGTCAGGACGCCGCATGATATGTCGATGGAATCCATGCTGTCTGGCCACTGTAGGCTTCAAAAGGCGACTTTGATAACTCGAGAGATGGATCAACGAGACGCATGGATATATACACCTGCTAGATTGTGAAATTGACGCCTTGCTCAAACTCACCCACCAGCCTTATTATCTAGCTGTGGGGTAAGCAGTCTGGCGCGCGCGAAATCATACACCGAAGTGTATAAGAGAGCCACCCATACGCAGCTGTGGCTTTATTGGACCAATCGTTGTCATTGATCCATTTCCAGCGGCTGGTAGCGGCCTCCCATCCTCGCGTACAGCAGTTGTTGGTTGTGTTAGTGTAAGAACAGCTGTGCTGCTAGTAATCGCAGACTTGAATCTGCTCCGAGAATGGCATGGCGAGGTGGTGATGGCGGTGGGGTAAGTTGAGGTGGAGGATGCCTTGGGTGCCTAATAGCCAGCGATGAGCTCTGCTTCAAAGCTTCGACTAATAAGCGTTCAGCAGCGACGGTCAAACATTAATCCACAAAGATTCTTTGGCCTTTCCATACCCCGTCCATCAAGGGTCGTATTGCGTGAATCATTGTTTGTATGAGTATGTTTCGACTAATCTCGGTAGGCCATGCTGCTTATTGCCAGCTGCTCCAAACTCGGCTTCAGCGCACTTGGAACGTGATCTCTGTTTCAAGCGGCCTCTTTCGTCTCGCTTCGTCTCATCATTCTTCGTGTCAACAGCAGATTCGGCCATTTCCAGAAAGGGAATCATGCCACGAACGAGTGGAGGCGGAGGCGACGTAAGCTGCTGGGCTTGCACCTACAATGCCCTCGCGCTTGTTCTTTCATAGCGCAATTCAGCCGCATGGGTAGGCGCTATTAGCACTAGCCGACTGTTAGCAGGCCTTGATGTCGACTCTTGTGCATCTTCACGCATCCACCGCCCATAAGGTACCTACGCCTGGTCCCATCTCGGGCCTGGTGACTGCCTAAGGGGCGGAGAGTAATAAGCAACAAAGCCACCCGCCAGGGCCAGATTGTGTTTCTTTTCTTCTTTTCCACCGTCTTGTCGAGAATCACGATCTGGCGACTCTGGAGTTGAAGAGAGTTGATTGATAAGCGCGAGTGTGAAAAAGAGGAGAAAAGAGGAAAAGAGGAAAAGACCGAAGCTTGAAGACAGCGGCAAGCGTACCCACGCGTGTACGTCGTACCTTCCGACTTTAAGCTTCTTTTTGCTTATCGATTTCACCAGACTTATTTCTTCAACACCAGACCTTTTCTTACTCCTACTTTTCTTACGCCTTCTTTTCTTACTCCTCCTCCTTTTTGATTTACTCTCCTGCCTCATAGCCAACTCCTCCAACACCATGGGCAAGCCGGACTTCCTGCCGCCTGCGTCTCCCGCTGGTGGGCCTGTTACTCCATTGACCGAGTCTGCAGGCTCCATCTCTCTCAATCCAACCTCTTCCACATACTCTGCCTCCAATCTCGGCAACCATCGCCAGACGTATTTCGACGATGATCCCGCCGAAATCGCTGCCGATGACCTCCCTCCCCTCTATGACGAGCACGAAAACGATGCCGTTGCTTTCATCGACCCTCTGGCCCCCACTGTCGGCCCTGCAGCTACCGGCCTGACTATTGAGCCATTCAAGCGTGATGCTCGCTCAGACACCGTCTATTACATGGACCCGCGCCTCGACTCCGATCCCAAATTCCTCAACGAAACCCTCGTCCACCTCTCACAATTGCCTCCTCGGCCTTTTGCCCAAATCCGCGGCACTCACACCGAGACTCGCCGAAAGTCGGACGACAAGACCGAGCAGGTCACAGTAGTTGATTTTGACATTGAGATCGAGCTCACACATCTGCTTTACACCAACATTCAAGATCCTACAAATGGGGCTTGGCGGGAAATGCGTTCCGTTGGCAACCTCGAAAAGGTTCGCCGTGGTACCATCTTCGCAACTCGTGCTCCCGGTTTCGGTGGCAGCGGTGGCATTATTGAGAATGGCGAGCCCACCGTCGAGGAATGGTGTCACCGCTTCTGCGCCAGCCGAGCTGGCCTCAAGAACATGGCCTTTGAGCGCCGTGTTTCCGGCTGGGACTGGGACTACTTGAAGAAGCAACTGGAGCGCCTGGTCAAAGATACCAACTACCGCGGCCACACCAGCATCACTTTCCCAGTGAGGAACTCGCGCGTGGAGATTTACAATGCCTGCCGCGTGAACCAGATGCGCTTGACCAAGTGGATCGAGGTCATGTTTATGCTGACGCTCATGTTCCTCTTTGCATGGCCCTATCTGTTCTTCCGCACTAAGCGCTGGGAAACAGTCTACACTGAATGGTCCATGAGCCGCCAGGAGCCAGATGGCACAGGCTGCATGGAACGTCGATATACTTCCATGAGCGAGGCACAGTGGTATCATATGTGGGCGAGAGCCATCCAGAAAGCCGTGTTGGAACGCAGGCAAGGACACCTTGACCAGGGAGACGTCGAGAGGGCTGACCAGCCGGCCGATCAAGCTGGCGGTTTTGCTGGCATGGTGCAAGCTGGTGTAGAGGCCATGGGAGTTGTTAACCGATCGTTTGGATGGGGAGGCGACAGCGGCAGTGCTGGAGGTTCACGCTTCAAATTTGGAAGGCGTTGATCAAGCTATGGCTTCTATAGCTGTGGTAAAGAAGTAAGACGTGGCGACAGACTGGAGATGCGCATTTTCACCGGATACTGGACTCCTCTCCTCCCTCAGTTCTCTACACAACAACTTTTCATTGGGTCATTCTGGAGTTATAGGGTAGCACGATGCTTTCAAAGAGGCAAAGCAAATGGTCAACTATTGTACAATCTTTAGCTTTTTTTTTTTTTTTTTTTTTCCCTGCTGGTTACTATATATACACTACTGTCTAAGCATGTTCCAAATTTATCCATCTATGATCTATCTACTGTTTGATTCTGATTGCTTTCTCTCTCTCATCTCTATTCTTGTAGAAAACCAAAGCTATCAAGATGCGGGTCCCACTCGGTCCTTTTGGCCAATGATTTTGCCCCGCCGCCGTACTAATCTGCTTAAACGCGGCTGACAGGCCATCACTAAGCAAACTGGCTTCTATCATCACATTTACATCTCGCCTTCTGCTCTCTATATCTAGATTAAACCTCGCATGAATACACATTCTCAATTCCTTTCCTCCGATATATTATTTGGTCATTATAACAAACTGCCCCAGAAACCCCCGAGCTCACCTCGTTTCAAACTACTTTTTTTGTTTTTTTCCATCTCCGCATCGCAGAGAAGAGTTGTCAAGAAGAGAATGGAAATCTCCAACCCGCGGAGGATTTTGGCTGTCAGTCTGGAAGGCTCAGAATCGCATCTGAGCCGTGTTCTCAAAGGTACGTTTTTATTCCATTGATGGTATTCATACTGTATTCTTCGGGAGAGTGCGTCTTTTTATAGACGAGGTTTTTGTTGCAGTTCTTTTGGCGTTGAAGAGCGTATGCGAATTTTCAAGATGCATTCATCGTTATCGCCCCCCCCTTTTTTTTTGGGGGAAAAAAGCTTCACACATTACCCTTTGAACTCATATCTCGCCAAAAAAATTGGATTGGACGAATTGTTATTCCTTTTCTTCTTCTGCAAGAGCCAAGGCTAACTTGGCCTGAAAGATCTCACGGGCTCATCCCCAGACTCCTCATCAGCCTCACTAGCAGGCATCACACACGACCTTGAGCTCAAAACATCATACTACACAGCCTCCGTCCCAATCTGGCTAGACGTCATTGCCTCGCCTTCAGAATGGGCCTCGTCGTTTCTCTCCGAAGAGGCCCGCGAGGTCCTTGCCGTTTTGGGCGGACTTGTGCTCGTCTTTGCGATACCGAATGAGAAGCCTGCTGTTCTGACTCAAGATGGCCAACCGCCCAGTCTGATTCGGCATGTGGGCAGTGTTGTTCAGAAAGGTCTTGGTGGGTGGGAATGGGATGGAGTTCGGCTGGCTATTGGTATTGGCGAGGGAGACGCCGATGAGTGGGATGAGCTGTGTGCGGAAGCTGGGTTGGAGTTTGTTCAGCTTAAAAGTGAACAGATGGGAAAGAATGAATTTGGAGGTATGATTGTTTTTTTTTTTCCACCATTCTTCTTTCAAAGAGTCTCACTGAAACGTAAAACGCACCAATAGAACAGACGGGTATCCCTCGTGTCAGAGAAGCACTGGAATCAAACGACTGGGAGCAACTAGATGGCGGAGATCCACTATCAGACTTTGACGAGGCGCATTCCGACAATTCCGACGGCGCGGAGGACTTCAACCCAGAGAGCTTAGAGTTTGGCGTCGACCGTTCTGATTTCGACGGCCTGCGTATGGCGATATGGGAGACGAGTCATCGCGAAACAGGCGAGTCCGAAAATGCCGACACGGCCAAAGCTACGCCGGATCAGCCAAAGGCTTTAGATGTAGCGGGAGGCTCTGCCGCTGCTGACACCAAGGACGAAGACGGCGAGCTTGGTGACGAGGACATTGCAAAGGTAGAAAAGATGATGAGAAAGCTTCAGGCCGCGAAAGAGATGGGCGAGGGCATGAGTGAGGCGCAAAGAAAGCGTTTGGCAGCTAGGGCAGTGGAGGAGGTGATGCGAGAGCTGTGAAAGCTGGAGAGTTGATACAATGTTTCTTCTCTTATCGACTTGGAGACTCATGAGTGACTCAGGTACCGGAGATGCATAGTCTCATGTTGGTTTTTCATGCTGGATTGGCGGTCAAGTTTCAAGCGTATCATGCACCAGCACGTGTGAAATGCTGTAATAGGTATTTACTCTGTTCACTTGACGTGTGTTGGGCCTTTCCAAGGATCACCGTGCTGTGTAATTGTTATATACTACCGACATATCTCGCCAAGCCCAAGACACCTCTACACTCTTTACCGACTTCAGTAATACGACTTACTAGAAGTATATCATGCATGCATGTTGGAGTGATACATTTTATGTACTACTGTACGATATCTGTGGCTAGCTGCAAGGGACTGCCATCAAGCATCATGCCAAAGCGTCAAAGGTGAGACATGCGCACGCCGTGCATAAGCCACAGCAAGGAAGGCTCTCGGTGACTTTCGTCCGCATCTTGTAAGTGTGTCTTGGCCGCTGGCCGAGAACGGCGAGAGATGCAAGGGACCTGAGACCTAAAAGATGCAGCTGCGAAAATCAGTAAAGAATCTTGATGTTTTTGCTGCATTGATAGCGTCTCGAGACTTGCGAGTTAGGCTCCTCTATCTTAGAAAGAGAGCCAAAGCTGGAGTTGGAAGGTAAATCACGTATCTGGAGTGCCAGAGTCATCTTGGTTTAGAGATTCTTCACGAATAGAGAGAACTAGCCGTCCTCACTGGTTAGACTCGTTTCTCTAACGGTCGAGGCTAGTCTTGGCCAAGGTGAGACAGGCAACACGCTGGCGGGTGATGCTGCACTAAAAAATGCTCCATTGGCGGGAGTGGCAAAAAGGGAGACAAGAAAAAAACAAGCCCAGATAGCCAGGTGAGGACTGAAGCAGCGTGAAACATCAGACGATGCTGATTGCAAAGTGAATCGCTCACAATCTCTGTGTTTTCATCGTAATAGATTCGGTTCAGTAACACAGACACTCAATCTCTGTTAGAGAGCAGATCAGTCTGCACTCTGTATCAATTTCGTATACTTGAGTCAACGACGACGTAGCCATTGCTGATACATGTGGCTTTTCCTTTCAAAAGAGAGATACGACCGGACTCCACCACTGTAAGTGCTGATATCCTAGCTGAATTGTTCGTGGCTCCATTATGTAACTCCAATTGGAGGGATCCAGTTTGCTAAATGCTCGAGTCAAGTCGAAAGGTATTAATAGAAATCAAAACCCAATAGTATATACTCCATAGTCGATTGCAAAAGGACCTGGGTTATTCTTTTTTTCTTGCCCAAAAAAAAAAAAAAAGACGGTTTGGGTTCGTGAGCCTTGACAGCCATTTCGACAATCGTAAAAATCAGGCGCATATCGTGAATTTTTTTCTTGCCCCTACTCCGCGAAGATCCGAATGTGGCGAAAAAGTCCAAGCATCCTGCGACACTACCAGTCTGATCGCCTTAGTAGCTTTGCCATTTTTCCAGACATGTCAAATCTTGACCGACGGCTAAAATGGCCAGCCCGCAGTGAAGTTTGCGCAGGGGGCATTTCAGTCTCTTCTGGTACGAATGACTAGAAGTCTTTGAAATCTGGGCAGGCGTACGTTTGCCACTCTTATCGCCTAGACTTTCGAAGCAATCGTCAAGCTGCTGCCTGCCACTAAATGCCAAGGGAGGTAGAATGATCTTGCCAGCCTGTTTATCTCGATGTTGTTGAGTCTGGAGTAGAGTGACAAACATGGAAAGCGAAAATGGTGATGTTTATTGTAGTAGTATTGACCAAGTCTCCGCCTCATGGCAGAGCTGAAAACATGTGGTCAGTCAAAGCCGGAGGCAAGGTCTCACAAGCAACGAACAAAGTACATGCACAGTACTGTCACTGCTAAGTACAGTAGGGACTTCTACCACTAGTAGCAGTGAGCTGGGATCATGTGGAGAAGGATAGAAAGCCGTGCCTGTGATGGATCGATCGGAGGTGCAAAGACTCGAATTAGGATAGAATGGAAGCCAGGGCACATGGAGCTTTAGCCGCGCTAGAGCTCTCTGTGGTTGCAAGCACTCTGCACCTCGAACTTGCATGTGCGTGAGGATGAGCTCGTCGCCTTTGCTCGATGCTACTCGCACTTGCAACGATCTCTCCTATGATGGTTTAGGTTTAGGACAAAGTCAAGACGGGCGGTTGGGCGGAGCGCCTCCCGACTACTGGTTGGCCGTGGCTGACGCTGAACGCCGCCAAGCGACAGGGTCCCAAAATCCTGGTTTGTCCTAGTCAGGGGTAAGGAGGCTGTGGAGCAGCCTGAGCTTCTCCGAGACCGTTGAGCATGCGGCACTGTGTTCTGGTTCGTACTGTGTGCCGTCCGAGCAAAGCCTTTGGACTATCGTATTTGAGATGGCGAGGTCCAACTTTTCTTCAGAAGGCTGGCCGGACAGATATGCTTCCTTTGCTGGGCAGCACTTCGCAGAGCATGCTCCCACGTGCGTCGTATCGATCACGTATCGGCTATAAGTCACTTGGCTTTGGTGAGGGCTCCAGGAATAGGGATAGGGTTATCCTGGCCTTCTGCGGTCTCGCCGTTGAGTTTCGTCATCTCTCACAGAGACATGGTGCCACTGATGATTAGCTGTGCTCCGTCGTTACATGCGCTTTTCGTATGTATCGGCAGCCGGACGACCTTGTGCCTAGTATATACGATGCCAACCAGCAGATACTGGAGCCCGGCACTCCGTCCCTGACGCTTGGCAGGCACTCCGGCTTGCACACTTGATACCGTCCTGCCGCGATCATCGGCGGCGAACGAACAAGCGAGGCGGCGGACATGTGTCAAAAGGGGGAGGGCTTTTGTTTGAGGCACGCTCAGCAGCAGGCCCTCGCCTGGCGTGACTAGAGAGAGCTTGGTCGATAGTGCCCGCCGTGATGGAGCAGTTAAGGGGCGCACTGTATGCAGACGCAGACCCGCTCTGTGACCGCATCGGACGCTTCTGCAGGAACACACTTTTTTTTGGGCTGTTCGTTCTGAGGTTGCATCGGCCTTTCTCTCAATGGCACTTATCCCCAGTTGCCTTTAACCACAAAGAGCACCCGGACTCGCATCTACACTAACACCCTTGAGGGATGAATCGCCGGATCTGTGATTCTGCAGCGGGCTGGGTCAATTCGCAGGCCATGGGCGAGTAAAGAGCAGTAGTATCACCGTCTTATCAGGTAACAATTCAGCTGTTCTCCGCATTTGAACTGCTAGTATGGCACTAGACGATGCTCCGTAGTAAACAAAGCTGGTGGCATAAGCGCCTTTCGCCAGTCACCAACAGCTCGCCATGATGTCACCCCACTGCAGCAGCTCGAAAGTCATTACTGGATTGTGGCTTAGGGTTGGATGCTTCAAATCGAGCCATGGCGGACGAGAGCCACAAACTCTCGCACAGACGCACGAGTAGCGCCATGCATGCGTTAGGGTGACCAAGAGCGGCATGGGGTTGAAGCTGGGATTTGTGCCGCCATCACACCAGTTCCTGTTCCTGTTCCTGCTCCTGCTCCTGCTCCTGTTCATGTGCCGAACGCCTGTGAACGCTGTGCGACTTCGTATACTACCCGTAGACAGTACATGGCGTTGCTTGATATGGTGAAGAGCTATTGGTATCGTCACTACCGGTAGCGCCGGTAGGCAGTTGTACTGCACTTGCAGCAATGGGTAGCCAACCGCTAGCATGACAGAAAACGAGCCGAAAAAGATGGTCATCCGTGCGCCTGTCTCACACGTTGCAAGTCGTGGTTAGCTCGAGCTGCCGAGGTGAATGGCAGATGGGTGATGGCAGAAGAATGCTAGATCGAGAAGCAGCATGGATGGCAGGCTTGATAGGCGCTAAACATGCACGGCGTGAGCCCACGAAAAACCCTGCCTGTTTCGCACCTCGGAAACGACTGATACTGTAGGATGCCGCAGATGGATGCGCCAGAGAAGGACTGAGAAAGCAGGCGTCAGCCTGACTAGGTGCTGCGGCAGAGGCTGCCAGGCCGTACGATACGTGTAGATGAGAACATCCTGTGCCAAGTGTGTATAGTAAGCAACGAGAGCAAATTCCTGCCAGCTGCTCGGTCGAGGACCGCGTTGTGTGCCTGTGTTTGTGTACTCTGTTGGCTTCGATGCTCGCGCGTACTCCCTACAGGTGCGACTTGCTGTACCGCGGCAGGACACGGGGCCGTACCAGACGATGGCTTTGACGCAGGTACAGCCAAGTACTGGTGTAGCATCGTGGTCTTGGATTACCCCGGCTGATACTCTGCTGTTGACCTCCGACTCGGTCGCCTGGTCAAGCTGTGGGGGCGTTGGGTCAAGCGAGGCTCAAGGTGACGATCTCCGGGGGCTAGACTGACTAGAGCTGCCACCTAGTCGTACGAACAAACGCTGTAGCGCAGGCTGATCTGGATGCTCAAGCTCTCTTTTGCCTAGTTTGGAAAAGGACGGAGAAAAGCACAGGTGAGTTGTCGTGCTGGTTAAGAGGACGGATTCTGCTGCTTGGTAGGTACCTATGCAGGCATAAACGAATAGCAACATTGAACCGAGTAGAGATACTTGCAGTGTCCATAGTTGGGACGACAATGGCGGCCTATTGTCTCGCCGAAGGCACGCATGTCGCCCTTACGATAAACGCGTGAGAGCTCGAAAGGGGAAGAGAGGAAAGGGGACAGACATGGAGGCCAGCCGGTGGAACATCAGATCGCCGGCGCACAGCAACGTGCACGTGCCGTATCTTCTGCACTGTACGGCACTGTGCACGTCTGGCCGGTCTCGAACAGCAAGCCAGCCGGCGACAGCGAGCTTTGCATTCTGCTGCTGCGGATCTCGTCCAGCTGTCTGAAAGGGTCTCAACTTGCATAAGAGCATCAATACCTCCACCAGCATGAATAGACGCGCAAAAGAGAAGCACTGGCTATGGTGAGGTAGAGACGGAGTCTGAGACGATGTACTTCGTGTTGCTCCGCACGCATACGGAGCTGCAGGTACCAGACCCTGGTGAAGCTTCAAGGCTCACGTCTCCTTTTTGTCCCTTTTGCTCCGTCCTCTGGTGGGCAAAACCTGTCCCGAGTCGCTCCGTCTGGAACTTGTGCCCCGAGCTACAGTCTTAGGGCGGTGCATACCCCGTACTTGCAGTATCTACTGCTCCAAGTATGCGCTCATCGCGGGCTAGCCAGATGGATCCGTTCGGGATAAGACCTACTGGTATCGCTAGCCGCGATTATGGCTGCTTTGGTGAAGATGCATGAGAACCAAGCAACAGGAGTCGTTGCAGCCGACGCCCGCTCCACGCCCAATGCCTTGGTTAGTTTGAATAGTAGCCGGTACTTGTAGATATAGGTAGGTACTAACTCGAAGAGACGAAGCACGGCGGATGCGGGCTGTGATGGAGTAGAAAGGAGACGACGACAAGAGTCTTGTCAATTGTTGCGCCCTCGCGGGCTCGCGGGATCTACAGGCACACCATTGCGTTAAAAGGCCACAAGAAGATGGGATTTTGTCCATCAAATACCTAGCCGATAAGACAGCGCGACGTGATAGTCTGGTGTTTTAGCCATGCTGACGGATAATATCATTCTGTAGACGCTCGCCACCTCAGGTACAACGTCGGGCTGTGCTGTGTGTTTGCTGCCACTACCTGCAAGTACCAAACCGGTTCGCTGCTGCTCGTATACCTTCATATGTTAGTCTAGACTGTAGTATACATGCATCGGTTCAGTCTCTTGGACCGCAACACACTCGTACAAACTGAGCACATGCAGCTCGCAGGCTTCGCTTCAAATGCGATCTCTGGGAAGCATGCGATGCGATGCGATGCGATGCAATGCATGCAAGGCAAGGCAATGCAGGTACCGTCCGCAGAATCAACAGGAGGAGCTGCTGCTGCTGCATGCAAGGTACAAGTACTTGCATCAACGGCACTCGCCTCTGGGGACGGGACCTTTTGAGAGAGCGCGCCACCACTTCCAAACACCGACAACACGAACTGAGCTTGCACTGCACTGTACCGGCACTGTCGGTAGCCACTAGCAGCTCTGGCCCAGATTCTCAACTGCTCTGAGAGGAGCCGATGCGCTAAAGGACGACAGGGTTGACAGGCCGACAGGGTTGCGATGTGCGCCAGTGGCTGGTCAACTGGCCAGAAGGGCACTTGGGAGCGGAACAGACAGCCAGCGCTATCTGGGTACCTGCGCGGGTACCTGCGAGCTCGCCTCTGCGGCGCCATCCACTGCTGCTCAGCTCCAGAGCTCCTGGTCCCCCGCCGGTACCCCCAGGGCCCTGTCGCCATCGGATGTCTAGAGCAGGAAAAGCTCTGACCAGCCCGGCCATTGGCGCTGCGACCGGCGGATGCAGGGCCCGTTGGCCTGTGCTGCCAGGGTCCGGCCGGGACAGTGTGGACGGGACTGTGGGTGGCGCTGCTGGCTGCTGGCTGCTGCTCGTGCCTGTGCCTGGCCATGGCTGCCGCCTGCGAGGCACTCACTCGCGGAAAACACGCAACTGGCAGCGTGGCGCCCGAGGCCGGCAGGTACCCGCCATGTGCTCGCCCAGCGCCTGTGCTGCAGCGTGCGGCGCAAACCGGTACCTGGGCGGTACGTGCGCGTGGCCTCCAGTGTTTGCTAGTGGGAATAGCCCGCAGCGTGCCTGTACAGCCTGCAGAGCCTGCAGCGCAAGTGGCTGCCATCCCCCCCCTCGCTGGCAGCGGCTGCAGCCAGTGGCAGCGCTCTGTTCTGCCCCCAGGCGCCAGGGGACCCCCCCTCCCCCAAACCCACCGCCGGCTCGCCTTTTTCAGTCTCCTGTCCCCGTTCCCTCCTCCGTCTTCCCCATCACCATCCTCGCGGCCATTGTCTCCTCCTTTTTTTTCCTTTTCCCTTTCTCTCGTGCGTCTTTCTTTTCACGTCACTCTCTTAATCTTCGGCCATTTCGGTTACCGTCACTCTTTCCGGGACCATTCCATTCTTTCGGCTTTCATATCCAAGGCCTGTCAATCTTTCTGCTGGGTAGACTCCGCTATTTGTATTGAGCATCAGCTTTGTTCCTTGCAAGGATCCCAGACCACATTCTTTTTTTTCTAGAACTCGCCTCTGCTTTCTTTTTGGCCTATTACTCCCTGTCTTTGCCTACTACTCACAGTATCAACATCATATTCGAACCCTTTCGAGCGCCCGTTGCCGCTGCCTTTCTCACCTGATTCTTTTGAATCTACATACAAACCCTTACTTCTCCGGGAGGTTCTGACGGCTGTGCTATTGCGACCCGTCTGATTGGGAGCGATATCCTAACGCTCAAGAACCTTCTGCATCTCTACCAACATAACCCCCCCTCCATCGACTCTCGACCACGAACGGTAGTACGACCTTGACGCGTCTCATCGCCATGGCTACCGAGATAGAGCAGCCGCTGGCTTTGACGGCCACCGTGGTTACGCCAACTGCTCCCATCAGCCCGACTGGATCCATGATTCACCACTCGGCATCTTCAGACGGTACCCCTGGATCTGCTTCTAGACCTCTTGGTTCTCCCACCAGCGCCAATGGCCAGGCCAATGCCGCTCGCCGCCCGCCGCGCAAAAGCACCCTCACCCAGCAGCAGAAGAACCAGAAGAGACAGAGGGCCACACAAGATCAATTGACGACTCTGGAGATGGAGTTCAACAAAAACCCAACTCCCACGGCTAGCGTCCGCGACAGAATAGCCGAGGAGATTAATATGACTGAGCGATCTGTCCAGATCTGGTTCCAGAACAGGTAATCATCACTGCGTACTGATTAGGTACTGGTCGACGGCAATGGGAGCTAACGTTTCTTACAGACGAGCCAAGATTAAGATGCTGGCCAAGAAGAGTCTTGAAACTGGCGAGGACATTGACTCTATCCCCGAGTCCATGCGGCAATATCTCGCGATGCAGGCAATGGAGTCAGGCAAGGGGTTTGCTGGGAGTTACATGGGCCGCACCGGCCTGATTCCTTTTGGTGGTAACAACATGCTCTTTGGCGGCGACCAGAGCGCGCAAGGCAAAGTTTGTAAGTCAATCGCGATCCTTCTTCGTTTCTCTAGTAGTGCCAATTTCTGTTTTGTCACGCCCATTTAGCGGTACTAATTATCTTCTAGTGATCCATCACCTTACTTGTCGCTCTCTGAGTATCGGCAAATGGACGCGAGTTGGACAAAACACCATGGATCTCATCATCTTCTACTCGCCGGACAAGTGCACCATGACCTATTACATCAACAACGAGCAAGCTGGATACAAAATCGAGTACCCCTTCTCCCATATCAAGAACATTTGGCTCGAGAACGCGGACAATGACATGAACAAGCTAGCTGGCATCTTCATTGAGCTCAACCAGCCACCTTATTTCATGATGGACGCAACTTCGTCGACAACGGGCTTTGATTATGTCAGTGATTTTACCGAGGACCAACAGGCGTCTCAGTGCTTGCTTCACCACCTTGGAGGCAACCCCAAGGTCTTGGCCAACCAATTGGCCAAGCTGGTGTCCTTGGAATCTTTTATGAACCGCCACAACCCTCACATGCGCCAGGTTCATCCATTTGCTGATCCCCAAGCCATCTCTGTTTCGGCGCCTGTATCTCCCACGCTAGCTCGACCCTCGTCACAGCCAAGCTTCGGCGCACAGCCCATGGCCATGGCTCAGCAGCAATGGGGCATGGCCAACATGCACTCTGCCGCTGGTATGAGACCCCCGGGCCACAAACGACAGCGTAGCCGCTCTGTTCCAGGACCTGTTGACTTTGCCATGTTTCAAAACCAGCCCATGCCGTCCTTCTATATTCAGCCTCCTGGAGATATGGGCGCTCAGCACAACCCCAACATCTACGCTCCAGTGCCACAACAACCCAACGCTGCCCACAACTTGAGGATTGACACACAAGCAGGCTTTGGTTTGGACATGCGGCAATACCCCATGTCAGCAACAACTGCTTCGCCATCCGAGTTCCCTCCGAGCCCAGGCTACTTCACCCCCGGCCCTGAGGCTGGTGGTCCCCTCGCTCCGTCAAACTACAGCACCCCATATGGTCACGCGTTCCTATCGCCAATGGTCAGCGCTGAAGCCAACATGCCCACAGCCATCTCTCCCTTGCCCTTTAACGGCCCTTCCGAACCCTCAATTGTCGAGCACTCTCCTCCCATGGCCATGATGGGCCGCCCAGGCTCTTCAGAAATGTACATGGGTCAAGACAGCTCATGTGCTGTGTCGGATGACGGTGTTAGCCTGAACGAGATGTACTCCAAGCACTCAATCAACATGCCAATGCACGAGTCAATGCACGAACAAATGCATGAACAAATGCACGAGCCTTCACCAGGAAGTTATGTACAGCATTCACAAGCGGATATCGACATGGACCAGCTGGTCCATTTCGATGCCGTCGATCCATCCAGTCTATCACCAGAGGCGATGCAGTCCATGCCTCGGTAGTCTTGATGGATAATGGTGGTATTGCTGGCTTTGCGCTTCATTTGGTCTTTTTTTGCCCTTGGCGTTGTTTGGACACATCATTACAACGGAAGGGCGTTCTTCGGTAAATCTATACCAATTCGGAAACTGCATCGTGTCTCCCTGCAAGACATCTAGGAGCTCATCTCGCCTCATAAAATTATGTTCGCCCATACTCTTTTTTTTTGTTAGCTGCCTACCGGTGGTATAATATGTTTGGCTTGACTTACCTGCCATCGCAAAATGCGGCCATGATGAATCTGCATGACGGTATCATTCTTTAACATCGGTCATGCATGTCCGGTACAGCGATCGTACGAGTTACTTCTGCGCGTGGAGATTTTACTCAGCCATACTCTTTTTTTTTTTTTTTTATCTACCGCCTGCGCGTTTATCTCTTGTTTGCTTGGTGATCTTAGTTGATGGATGTATCACATCCGCATACTCCACATTATCTGCTTCTCCTTTTTTCTTCTTCTATTTCTTCATCTTTTTATCTATCTTCTCTTGGCTACTCGATGCGTAATTGCCCAAGGGGAGCACACAGCTGTCTCGCATCTCGCGGGACTTAATTTTCTTTTGGCGCACATCATTAGTTCCGGGAGTTATCATTTCGCTTTGTTTCGTGTTTCGCACTTGCGTTTTTATTTGGTTTGCAACCCCGGAGGTTGTGACTGAACTAAACTGAAGTTTTGTTTTATCTTGGATTTTTTTAACTAATGGAAAAACCGAGAGGGAAAAGGAATATATGGTGCAAGAGGTGGAAAGACTTTTTTTGTTAAAAGTATAGCAGTGCATGTGTGTATGTGAGGATGATGTTGTGTATGTGAGCGAGCGAGACAGAAGCGGAGGAATCTGCATCTCTTCGACGTCGACGATGATGAAGAAGGGCATTGCACTTTTTTTTTTGTAACTATTGGGTAACTTTAGAGTTACGAGGGAATATGGCGGTCTTATTGGCGGCCAACCGTGAACCTTTTGCAATAGTACTTTTGATGTTCAAAGTTTCCCTTTGCCTTTTACGTGAATTCACCTGTGTTCGTTCAAGCTTGCCTCGTAGTTTCAACAACCCACGCGACTACGGCCATTTTATACAGTCAACCTTGTATCATGCTGTAGGATCTGTCTGACTTGGTCTTAATTTAATACTCTCTCCAAGTTTGTGCCCGCAGAATCGGCTAATGATGGCAGCTTGAGCAACATACTCTTTTGTATAAATCGACGTGCTGGGTGTAGAGAACGAATTACATTTTGCCAACTGGCTGCAGGCTTCTAGCAAGCCTTTAGGCAATTAACAATGCACATACCAATTGAGAGACTCCTGGAACTCTGATTTGCTTCTGAATAGTAGGTACATGAATCTTTATTCATTGTCTTTTACTCGATATCATCTACAAGTCAATGAAAGCCATAAGTGGTCGAGGCCCAATGTCGGTGTGGTTCTCAACTTGGTTTAAAAATAGAATAGAGTTTCTTCGTTATGACCCAAAGTACGTACCTTTGTCGTATTTGTATAGCCCTTTGGGCCACAGTAGTATTGCAGTCGTATTGCGGGGGGAGCCTTTGCTCTAGTCAGGATGCTAAAAGCGGCACAACTGAGATCTCCCCAGCCACGATCAAGCCCTCTAGCACTGCCGGTGTGCCCAACCACTGGGCTTGGGAGAGCATCGCCGCTTACACGTAATGCGGATGCGTCATACCAGACGCGCCTCGTTTCAGAGCCCGACCTAGGTCGCAGGGCAGCGTCGAACAGCCCATCCTACAGGCTCAGGCAATGAGGCGCTGCTGGTCCTTCGTGCGTCCAGGGCGTGACGTCCTGCCACTGGCTCCAGCCTTCTTCTGGTAGCGTTGCACCAGCGTCTCTGCTCTCTCCGGGCATATCCCCCGCCCCCGTCCACTTTTGTGCATCTGATTAGTCCAAAGCGTTGCATCCTTTGCCAAATTGACTGCAAATACAGTATTCGATACTATCATCTCTTTGCCATGGCATGTCCTCCCTCTTTATGCTGAGGCCGTGCTGCCGTACCCAACGTCAGCACTAACGTCATCAACAATGGATCGCCGGCACCAGCCGCTGTCTCAGCCGGGCGACCAGCACAGCCACGCCCAAGACACCGAGGGCACCGCAGACGAAACGAACCATGTAGATCAGGATGGCGCTGAGCCTGGCCCACCGCTGCTGGCTGAGGGCACTTCGTCGCCAATGGCTGGCCCAAGACGTTCCCAGACAGATCCAACAGCAACATTATCGCCTATCCCGCAGACTACAAACAGGCCATTGACCGGATCTTCGTCGAGACCGCGGTTCTTCGAGCATGTTGACGTGGATCAAAGCCCATCCGAAGGGAAAATGGCCCAAGACACATTGCTAAGAGAAGGCCTGTTGGATGCCAGACCAAAGACCGCCGCTGCCAAGACGAAATCACCTTTCTCGCTCGTCGCCAAGAAGTATGGGTATAGTAAGATAGCAAAGGGGAAGAAGGGAAATCGGAAGTCCGGATCTGGGTGGAAAGCCCAGGCCGAAGCATTCATTCAAGGTCTCTACCAGAGACTTGTTTTGGAAACCATTCTTCGTCGCAAACCACTGCTGCCCTCCAAAGATGGGCGCCATATTCCTCTTAATCCATCGGCGGTCGATGCCGGTGGTCTGATAGATGAACGCAGCGACCAGCCTTATATTAGCAACTTTATTCGTTCCAGCCGATACACGGTCTATGATTTCGTCCCGAAGCAGCTCGTCTTTCAGTTCAGCAAGCTTGGAAACTTTTACCTCCTTATTATGGGCATTCTTCAGGTAATTCCTGGCCTCAGCACTGTCGGAAAATACACAACAATTGCTCCACTGGCTGGCTTCGTGGCCTTTAGCATGGCCAAAGAGGGCTATGACGACTACCGGCGATATTCACTCGATAAGGCGGAGAATCGCAGCATGACCTGGGTTTTGGCACACGGTGTAAGAGAAGGGAGAGAGAGGCCGCGAATGTCGGTATGGAAGAATAAACTGAAGATAAAGCGAAAAGGCAACAAGAAACGACGCGGAGCAGATGAGGAGGATGTCATTCTGCAAGATATCGAGGAAGGAGCCCTTGCTAGATTGGACGACACGAACGACTGGATGTATGTGCAGTGGCAGCATGTCCAAGTAGGAGACATTGTGCGACTCCGTCGAGACGAACCAGTGCCCGCCGATATGGTCGTGCTTCATGCTACGGGGCCGAACGGCGTCGCATATATCGAGACAATGGCGTTGGATGGCGAAACGAACCTGAAAGCTAAGCAGGCTTGTCCTCTGCTTGCAGATAAATGTGACACAGTGGATGGGCTCCGGTCGACTCACGCTACAGTGGTATCCGAGGATCCCAATCTGGACCTATACAACTATGTTGGGAAGGTCGGCATCGACGGCGGCGAAACCGTACCTTTATCGTTGAGCAATGTCGTCTATCGAGGCTCTATACTTCGAAACACTTCAATGGCCATCGGGCTTGTGATTAACTCGGGCGAGGAATGCAAAATTCGCATGAACGCGAACAAGCATGCGCATGCTAAAAAGCCGGCAATGCAGTCTACAATTAATAAAATGGTCCTTGCTCAGATCTCCATTGTCATCTCTCTCACCATTGGATTGAGTATTGGATACCTCAGATGGCACAACGACACAGAAGAGAAATCTTTTTACATTGTCGATATTCCCGTATACGACGCAAGCGTACCGTTTAAGCAAATTTTCTTTGGGTTCTTGATCATGTTTGGAAGTTTGATTCCGTTATCGCTTTATATCAGTTTGGAAGTTATCAAGATTGGACAGCTCTTCTTGTTGCAGGACGTGGAAATGTACGATCCGGTCACAGATACTCCCATGATCGCTAACACCACGACCATCTTGGAGAATCTTGGTCAGGTGAGCTATGTGTTTTCGGACAAAACGGGGACTTTAACAGAGAACTTGATGCGCTTTCGGAAATTGAGCGTTGCTGGTGTTGTTTGCCTTCACGACATGGATACTCAGGACGATGAGACAGCCAAGATGAAGTCTCGCGCAAAGGGAAAACAGCCGGTTTGGGCGACATCTACTAGGATGGGCCGGGGCCAGGGGGAGGGTGACGAGACGGGAGAGGCAAATTTCTCTGGACAGGTAACGGATTTGAACAACTCGGCTCCGGACATGAAAACTGAAGAGCTACTTGACTATATCCGTCGACGGCCCAACACCCCCTTTTCCCAAAAGGCTAAACAGTTTTTGCTTTGCATAGCCCTTTGCCATACTTGTTTACCGGAGACCAACGAAAGCGGAGATATCGAATACCAGGCCGCTTCTCCTGATGAGCTGGCTCTTATCGAGGCGGCTCGAGACCTGGGATACGTGCTCATTGACCGTCCAGCCCAGTCCATTAAATTGCAGATGCAAGATACGGATGGGACACTACAGACAGAAACGTACCAGGTACTGGACGTGATTGAGTTCACTAGCAAAAGAAAGCGAATGTCAATCATTGTTAGAATGCCTGACAACCGGATTTGTGTCTTTTCTAAAGGCGCGGATAATGTCATAATGTCTCGTCTCAGGCTTAACCAAGTTGCTGCACAAAAGGCCAAAGATGTCAATCGCCGAGCAAGCGTGAGAAAAACATTTGAACAGGACAAGGCAATCAAACGCATGAGCAGCCAAATCGTTCGAAAGTCTTCAGTTCGCAACAGCTTTGGCCTGGCCCGAAGTAAGTCAACTGCTGGGCTCGAAGGGTTAAGAAGAAGTATGAGCAGGCGGTCTACGGATCTTAATCGGCTCTCACAGGCTGAAGGAGTCGCCTCGTGGCTGCATAGGCGAAATACAGAGGAAATGACAACCCCTCGGCCTTCGACTGATGTGCTACGGAGTCCGAGACAGAGCCTTGGACGCATGTCATCGTTTGACTACAGGGATTACGCTGGCGATGATGATGATAGAATAGACGAATTAGTGGCCGCTGATGAATCGATGATCTTTGAGAGGTGTTTCCAACACGTGGACGACTTTGCCGCAGACGGTTTACGAACACTATTATATGCCTATCGATATATCGATGAAGAAGCTTATACGGAGTGGAAAAATCAGTACAAAGAAGCAGAGACTAGCTTAATTGACCGCCAGGAACGCCTCGAAATAGCGGGAGGGAAAATCGAAGAGGAATTCGAGCTTGCTGGAGCTACAGCTATTGAAGACAAGCTCCAAGAAGGAGTTCCGGAGACAATTGACAAGCTGATGCGTGCAAATATCAAAGTCTGGATGCTCACGGGCGACAAGAGAGAAACTGCCATCAATATCGGCCATTCAGCGCGCGTTTGCAAGCCGTTTTCGGAGATATACATCTTGGACGCCTCCACAGGGAAAATACGAGATGCCATAACAACGACGCTTACTGAAGTCGGACGGGGCATGGTGCCTCACTCGGTTATTGTTGTGGATGGACAGACACTGGCCGTGATTGACGCTGATGATGATCTTTCCGCCTTGTTCTACGACTTGATTGTACGAGTTGACTCTGTCATCTGCTGCAGGGCGTCGCCTTCTCAGAAAGCCAATCTGGTCAAGTCTATACGGCGATGTGTGCCCAAGAGTATGACTCTGGCAATTGGCGATGGAGCAAACGACATTGGCATGATTCAAGCTTCACATGTGGGCATAGGAATTTCGGGGCGCGAAGGCCTTCAGGCGGCGAGAATAGCCGATTTCTCGATTGCCCAGTTCCGGTTCCTTCAAAAGCTGCTATTTGTGCACGGTCGATGGAACTACATCCGGACGGGCAAGTATGTCTTGGCCACGTTTTGGAAGGAGACCTTCTTCTACCTCATACAGGCGCAATTCCAGCGCTTCACTGGCTATACGGGCACTTCACTTTATGAATCGTGGAGTCTCACGGTTTTCAACAGCGTGTTCACGTCTCTACCTGTGGTCCTGCTCGGTATTTTCGACAGAGATTTACAGGCGTCGACGCTGTTGTCTGTACCGGAGCTGTATACTTTTGGCCAGCAGAGGCAAGGGTTCAACCTAAGGCAGTATCTGGGTTGGATGATTTTGGCTGTTGCGGAGAGCTTTGTCACGTTTTACTTTATGCTAGGAGCGTTTGAGAGCATTCTGTTTACGGAAGACAATACGCTTTATGCTATGGGCACGATATGTTTTAGCGCTGGTGTGATTTTCATCAATGTGAAGCTGCTGTAAGTGATTTTGAAGTGCGTCATATGCAGAGGTATTGTACTAATTTCGGCTCTTTTCACATAGGCTTCTTGAGTTTCACAGTAAAACGTTGATCCCGCTTATTGGACTCGGTTTAGAAATCACTGGATGGTTTGTCTGGAACCTGTTGCTTTCCGCTATATATCCGAGAACAATTGGTCCTATATCGGTGAGGGATGCCTTTTTGCACGCTTTTGGGGATCGACTTTCCTGGTGGACGACGCTGTTCCTCACATTATTCACCCTCATCGTTATAGAGTTGGCTGTACAGGCTATTCGCCGAGTATACTGGCCAACCGACCAGGATCTGATGCAGCGCATAGAGAAGGATACCAACTCGAAGCACATATTGAGACAATACGCTGCCGATGGAGCTGGAGACCTGGAAAAGGGCAAAGCTCAGGCACAGGGCATCGAGTTGGAAGAAATTGGACTACAGCCTGATCTTCAGCGAGAGGAGGGGGCCACGCTGCTGACGGAACGTGAGAGGAGTGTAGAGAGAGGCCAGAGCCCCCAGCCTATCAGCTCAGCTTCGAGGAGAAGCTTTCAGGATTTGGGGCCGAGAAGGTCGGTTAGGATGAGCCACGACGACTATCGGCCGCCGAACTTTATGCCGCTGGCGGAAGAGAGGGAAATTCCGTATGAGGACGCTGAGGAGACAAGGGGCGGTGCGTGAGAGCGTTTTTTTTTTTTTTTTTTTTTTTTGGGAAGATAAGAGGATCGAGGGGAAACAGGGGGAAGCGATACCACTCGTTCTTGATTTGGCGATAGTGATATACGTACATTTGCATTTTTAGAACCTTTGGTACAAGCGGTTCTCATTGGTAAGGGGTGGTTTATAGTTCTTCTTTTGTTTCAAAGTCCAATTGAGTGTTTGGAGGACGATACTGTACATTGATATGACGGTATGATTATATTGTCAGGTACTATAGTAGAATAACGAATTATGATAGATATGCACTACAGATTCGGGTATCATTCTTGATATTTAACGAACAATGGAGAGAGTCTGCCAAGAGATGGATAAACGAGCAACCAAGCAACAAAAGGGCAATGACTCGTTTGATGTAAACGAGAGTCACAAAAATCCTTTTACACGAACACGAACACGAAACAGTTATCATCCTTAGCACTCATCATCACCCACCGTTTCATCCACTCTCACTAATATCTTACCGCGTGCATGCAGCCCGCCCAGCTTGGCATATGCCTCCTTGACGTCCTCGAAGCGCCAGACGCTGTCCCGGACTACGCGTATCTGGCCATGCCGCAGCATCTCGGCAATGCGCTCGCGATGCTCCAGCGTCGGCTCCATCATCGAGACGCCCCGCCAGAGACGGCCGACGCCGCCGAGCCAGCGGCTCACGGGCCACCACTCGTTGAGCTTCATCTGCCACACGGCGCGGAGGAAGGCAGGGATGGAGAAGTCGGGGGGCTTGATGCCGACGGAGGAGTAGGTGCCTGAGGGGGCGAGGTAGGCGGGCGAGTTGGCGTAGAGGGATTGGTGGCCGAGGGTGTCGATGATGGCGTCGAAGGGGTTGGTGTGGAAGGTCTGGGCGAGATGTGCTGGGAGGCTGTTGTTCTTGTTGTTAGTGTGCTGGGTGTAGTCGATGGCGACGTCTGCCCCGAGGCTCTCGACGAGCTGGACGTTTCTGGCGCTGCATATGCCGACGACGAAGCCCTCGGGCCCTACGGCATGGCGAGCCATCTGCACGGCCATGGTGCCGATGCCGCCGCTGGCAGCGTTGACGAGCACGCGGTGGCCCGGCCTGAGGCCAGCCTCGACGACTTGCTGGTGGGCAGTCATTCCCGTAAGGAGGCAGCCCGCCGCGTCGGCGAAGGAGGCTTGCGGCGGCTTGTGGACGGCGAAGCGGGCGGGCAGGGCAACGTATTCGGTGAGCGCGCCGGAGCCGGTTGGGAGGGCGTGGCTGGCGGGGATCATGGCGATGATTTTGTCGCCTTTGCGGAAACGAGTGCTAGTAGTATTGGACTCGATAGTAGCATGAGGATGCCAGACGTCGTGGACGGTGCCGGAGAGGTCCATCTCGGGAATGCACGTCTTGTTGCGCAAAAAGGTTGGGATGAGGGCCATTTGGAAGATGGCGCCGGGGTTGAGGGCTGCAAAGGATACTTTGATGAGGATCCATTCTTGTTGTTCTGAGGGATTGAGGGAAGGAGGGAAAGTTGGTATGGGATGGGAGGATGTGAGAGAGAGGACGTCTGTGGGGGAGCCGCGGTGGGAGAATGTCCAGGCTCGTGATGTTGCCATGGTTGAGACTTGCTGTTTGATTTTATGAGTGAGAGGATTGTCAAGTTATAGAGTTTACAGCTTTCCACGTAGAATATGGTGGTGAGGGATGAGTGAGTAATGGAGAAGATTCCATCGAGGTGGTAATGGTCGCTCGTGCTGTTAGGCTGGGCTCTGGCTCTGGCTTGGCAGCTGAAGCTGAGTTGAAGCTTACATGTACATTGAAGAGTAGTTTTGGATCTGGCCAAGAGGCGTCTTTTCCCTCCTCTTCTAGTTTCAGCTGCAGCTGCAGCACATGAGCCTAGAGCAGATGTGAGTCGAGTTCATTGGTTCAAAATGCCATTTGCTGTCTTGGGAGTCGGCTTGGCGGGTTTGCCGCAAGAGGGGGCTGTAACACGCCACAAACCAATATGAAGTTGCGCAGAAAGCCACTCAAGGAGATGGCCTACATGGCTTTAGCAAGAGGATTTTGATTCAGAAATTGTGCTGCCTATAGTAATTGCTATAAGCATTTAATACTGCTGCCTTATAATCATGGTAATTGTAATAGGAGGTTCTAGGGATGGCTAGCGGTGGCTTGTTAAGCTTAAACGACGATACGCAACGACGATACGCCGTAACAGAAGAATCAATCGACTTCTGCAAGTCAGTACATGTCCCTGGTCAGCGCGACCAATGCTCTGCCCAGACAGGGAGCGAGCAGGACACAATGCAAAACATCTCAAGTGTAGTACGCGAACTACCTAGTTGCCGCACAAGCGATCGGCTTTCAGTGGGTCGCCCGCTGTTTTAATCTGCGTGCCTGGATGTCTTTAATCAATCGGCCTGGAGGATTGATTGCTGCCTTGTCGCCTTTGCTGCCTTTGTCACCGAAAACGCCGAAGCAACTGAAACAAGCTGCAGGTTGCATCATCAATTGTGTTGCCTGTCAGGCTGCCTTATTGCGACCTGCGGATCGCGTTTTCGTCCGCCAGGCACTAAGATTGACGGCGTTGCAAAGTCCGGGAGTCTGGAATCATTGCTGGAAATGTTGAGCGCGTATCCCGCGTTCACGGCTGGGTTACGAGTGCGTGAAAAGCTGCAAGTTTGATTTCAAGTGCGCGCGCTTGTTTGAAACTCCGCCACAAATGCCCAACAAGGCAAGACGACATTGTCTCAAGCGGCATCATCCGCGGAGCTAGAAACGGGAGCTGGCCCAACATCGTGAGCAACGCGAACTCCGAGCAACTACTAGACTAGGCAATGGTAGTTACGTAGTTAATGTAGCACTTGTATAGACTATGCGCAGGCACGCCGTATGAATCTTCTGGAACACTCGCCTTCCAGGGGTTTGGGTTGGTATTCCCATTTAGATCCGGCAGCTGAGGAGTCATGCCGGGAACGTTGCGGGCTAAAAAAAGATCAAGCAATTTCGGCTGCACATCTCCATCAGGGCCTCTATCGCAATACGCGATGCTCGAGCTGTCATAAACGTCATCGAATTCTATCAGCATGCCCTAGGCCCAGGGTCCAGGCTGTAGGATTTTGCATGTGCTCAGCGCTTGGCTCCGGGATTTGTGTCCAAGTCTACTGACGTAGCACGTCTATCATCAATATCAATATCAGCACATTTAGAGTTGCACATGATACACGTATGGTGCCAGTGATACGTAGTATAATAACAGCCGGCTGCAAATAGACGTAAGCTGCAAATCGTCTTGTCTGAATCTGGCCCAACTCATCACAAGCCACACATGTGCCGACGGCCATGTCTTCTGATTTGACTCACGACCCTCCGCTGGCCCTGAGGACCGGGGTGCGGACTTCCGAGCGGATTCGGGTGGGTTTATCCGGTATTTTCGGGCGACGGCAAGGCCCCGAACCCCGGGGAGGCCAGATTTGATAATTGACGTCCCATTATGGGGCAGCCTGAAGCTTGGCGTGGCTCTTTATTCAGAGGAACAGCGCCGGCGCAACGCCGCTTTCTGAGAGGCGTCAATGGGAAGATGGAGGGTGGGAAATAGAGACGCAGCGCGGGCGAGACGCTGGACAGCCCAACGCGAGGAAAGCGATGCTGCCAAACGCCATGGCTGTCGAGAGGGCCAATCGGCATCGCCTTTGATAGTCGATTCACTTTAGAGTTGCAGATGGCAGGAAAGAGTCATCCCGCGCTGATCTTGGCCCTCATCTCTAAAATTCTGTAGGCGCTTTGTCTCGGTCGCGAGGAACAAGTGTTGTCTGTAGCGTAGAGTCACGGTGGTCACACGCCAGCAAGATTCGGTACCGCGAGGCTGCGAGTAGCCCAGTGCCGGACCTGAGGCCTGCTTTTCTTGGTCTTTCGGATCCGATCCGGCTCCTGAAGATTCCGATGCAAGCGTTGTTCTCCCCATAAACGAGATGAGCATAGAGGGAGACAAAGCGCAGCGGCCAAGTAGTCCGCAACGGGGTTAATTGGAGGCCTTGCTGGAAATGAGAAGCATCCTCTTATCCCTTTCGAGGCTGTGATTTGATATAGTCGAGACAGCGGCCGCGTATACCGTCCAGTCATAGTGCTTGGTAGTGCCAGCAAGACGAAGCTCCATACGCGGCCTCGACTAACTCATAGGCACTCCGTACATGGAGTAGCATCAAGATTGTTCGCGGCAGCCATCGCCGGTGCCTGTTGCTACTAGCACATCTTCGTTTAAGTCGTTTAGACCGTAGACTGCCCGGTTTGGATGGCCGTTTTTATTACCTCGACTGAGTCATCAGTGGTGTAGCCTAGCTTCAAAGCCGTTGCGCACTGCCACGCCTCAGGTTTTGCCAATCCTTCTATGCTGCCGTCTCCCCTGTAGTGCTGAGCTCGAGGCCCTTTTTGAGGTAGTCATGATAATTTCTCGGACCAGTTGCGGGCGATACGTCAGAAATGGCGACCACAAGAGAAATGAGCCATGACGAAGCCGGGATTTAGACTTTTGCGTATTCCCTGCTTCCTCTTTGGTGGTTATTTTTTGTCTCTCCGGGCCAGGCTCAGCTCGCTGGAGAAGACAGACTCAAAGAGGTTTGGTCGCGTCACCCACGCACCACAAAAGAGATCCACAGCCTCCTGCTATCGAATAATACGGGAGCATGATTACCAAAGTGCGGACTCGCTATCTCGAAGGAGAAACATGTACCTGAACAAGGGAGGTTGTATGGAGCAGTACGGGCGAATCCGTTGCTTGTCGTCTGATACCTACCACCGCCAGCAGGCAGGATGTATATAGTAGTCGCTTGATCCATACCTATCCGCTGATTATTAACATTGGATCTGGACAAAAAAAAAAAAGGTTGAGGTTGAATTGGAGCTATAATATTTTTTGTAGGTAAGGCTTAGGGAAGGAAAGAACTAAACGCCCAAGGAGCGCTTCCTTCCATTCCTGAATCTTTAGCTGCCGAGCTGACAATTTATTAAGCTTTACTGCCTGAGGTACACAATTCTCTTTGATCTTTCTTCACTTCATCTTTTCTTCTTCATCTTCTCTCCTTGATCCCTACTTTCTACGAACTCAAGGCCTCTCAATTGGTTTCAGTTAGTTTCCACGTCTCTTGGGTTCCCCGCTGCGCAAGTTCCGCTGACCAACCAGCTCCAAGCTGAGAAGCTTTGGAATTTTCTCTCCGCGGCCTCCGTCCATTCGATAGCGGATGCGATAGCCGAGTACGCGAACCTTGATTATACCTGGATTCGCTGAGGGATTGATCGCATTGATTGATCCTGATCCTGCTACTAACAGGTACCTGCTGCTACGATCCGGCAGCAACAAGCCACTGCCCAGAAAGCGCACCACGCTGCATCCGCCGAGCGCTGAGGCCCCTGGCTCGCAGCTAAATAACGCCAAGGGCCACTGACACACGCGATCACACGCACACTGCCGCTTCCCACCTGCTCGGTATACATCATCCAGCCCACTGTGCTGTATTATAAATTTGCGGCCGGTACCTGGCGCTGGAAAACCGCTAGGTCGCGCTGTCGGGCACATCTCGACGGAATAACGGACATAGTTGACCGACGTCATTTTAGGGCTCTGCTTAGAGCTCGCAACCCGGCAGGCATCCCAGCGCTTCATCTCAGTCTCCGGACGGAACGAACTAGAGACTTTCTCTCCGCAATTGACGGCGTCCAAGGGCGGCGGAATAGTCCAGAAGACGGCGGAAAGAAGCTTAAAGGAGACGTCTGTCCAGTGAGGCTGCGGTCAAAAGGGCCCACGACCTGCGGAACGCTTGGATAAGAAGCTGAGCTCTTCCGTCACAGCCGCCTCCGCCGCGCCGCCAAGATCCGGCCGACGTCTCTCTATCTCTTTGATACCACTGTCTGCTTGTGTCCGTCTATTATCACTGACCTCCGCGGTATCCTGCCTTCCACCCGGCAGCAGCTCATCCGGGATCCTACAAGCCATCACTTCATTTCTCGGTCCCAACAGCATCTCCACCGCTGCCCTCCTTGAATACGCGTATCTGGAGCGGCCACATTCGTCCGTTTCTCTGCCTCCCTGGCTCGTCCGGACACAAGAGAAGTCTCCGGGAACAGCTCTAGGCCCTGTAGGACTCGCTGGTTCTAGGTGTTTTCTCGCCCCCCAGACAGCCCACTACTTTCAATTCTCACAGGGAACTGCGCCGTCAGCTTTTTTTATTCTTCGTCAATTACAGCAACTCCGTGCCCGAGCTGCTGCACGCACACACAACCTCTTGCCCCTGTCTCACGAGAAAGCAGTTGGGTCAGGCAACATCACTTCTTCTTCCTTGCTTGTGAATATCTGTTCACGCGCTACCAGAAAATCTCCCTGGTTTTTCTTCCAGTTTATCTGTGCCTGGTGCACTTTGATTCGTATTGGCCACTTTTGGATTTTCTTTTTTTTTTTCTTCTCGTCTTTCCTTGCTACATTTTCCTGGTGCATTTGCTTTGCTGTCACGCGTGTTTTCTCTTCTTTTACCGCTCTCAGTCACCCCAGTTTCGGGGTTTGACAGTGACCCGGCTTTATTATTTACACCCCACGTTCTCCCCGCTGGTGACATGTGAAATTGCCCACGCAGACTTGGTCATGTCGTCAAAAGCTTCACCCGTCACTCACAAGCAGCCTAGAATATTGGCTTGTGTGCTGTGCCAGCATCGCAAGATCAAATGCGACAGGAACTCACCATGTTCCAACTGCATCAAGGTGCGCGATACACTTCTCTCTGACTCGGCCCGCTAGCTCCAAGGTCTCATTCACATGCTGTTCCATCTTCCGCCCTATTCTTCAGTCTCCCGGATTTAAGCTCCCAACCGCTAAGAGCATGCTCGGAGCGAATGAAGCAGCAGAGGAAATGAACCCTTCCAGCTCTCTGGCCAACATTTGATTCGAAAACAAGCTTACATTGCCCCAGGCCAATGTCACCTGCACTCCTAGTACGCCAGCGCCAGCTCGTAAACGCCGCCGCCCGAACCAAGATCTTCAGGAACGACTTGCTCGATGTGAGGAACTACTCAAGCAGTATGCCAACGGCTCCGTGCCGATACCTGGCCCTCCTCTTCCTCCCCCTCCAACGCCCGCTCAACGCCCGCTGCCACCATTTCCAGCAACCCCCTCCAATTCAATCGCGCCATCCTCAGAGGCACCTGTCGCTACACCGGCCAGCATCGACTCAACCGTGTCGCGGAAGCCAAGTACTCTCATAGTCAGAGAAGATGGCAATGTCCGATTTATGGATAGTTACATCTGGACCAGTGTATATGAGGAGGTGAGTGGAATTCATGACCTATGAACGGGTTTACCCAGGTCCTCGAGCTGCTTAATCAAAGTTATGCCACCTTCTTTTTGGTATTCCTTCAAATTACTAGTAGTAAAAAAACGCTGACATGAAGCGGATGATGTAGCTCCAAAAAATGCGAGAAATCGTAGAGACCGATGACCCAGAAGACTCCAGCCTTCTCGGCTCAGATGAGCTCACCCCTGACAATGTTGCGGATCTGGTTCTTTCGGCCGACATGTTTAACTCGAGTACTGAAGACCTGCAACCTGATCCCATCCACATCTTCCGGCTCTGGCAGCTATATCTCGACCGCGTCAACCCTCTTTTCAAAGTCATCCACGTACCGACCACGCAACCCTTTGTGATGGAAGCGGCTAGCAATATGAGTAACCTACCGCTACACTACCAGGCCCTTATGTTCTCCATCTTTGCCATGGCCAGTGTGTCCATGACTTCTGCGGAGTGCATACAGACAATTGGCATCTCTCGCGAGGCCGCCATTCAAAGGTTCAACACTGGCACCAAATCGGCTTTGATCAGGTATAGTTTTCTCAAAAACCACAATATGACTGCGCTGCAAGCTGTGGCTCTTTACTTGGTGAGTTTTACACCGGATACACTCTTCTTTTCTTTCTCATCCATGACAGGGTGTGACTAACGCATCTTTAGCTTTCGTTGGAAGGGCGCTATGACAGACATGCCCAATGGGTTATCAGCGGAGCCATTGTGCGAATAGCGCAAAAAATGGGTTACCATCGAGATGGATCACAGCTTGACTTGAATCCCTTCGAAACCGAGATGCGCAGACGCATTTGGTGGCACATCATGATGCTCGACGCCAAATGTGCCATGATTTCTGGCCTGAGTTCGACATGGCTGACCAACAACTGGGACACTAAGAAGCCTCGGAACGTGAATGATGCGGACCTATACCCCGGCTCGACTGAACCCGTTGCAGAACGTGATGGCCCAACCGAAATGGCATTTGTCATGGTTGTGACAGAAATGTTTCGCTTTAAACTAGAAGCAGATGGCTCAAACGAATCTCGTGCGTTCGAGGCTGCCATCATGGGGCAGACGCTCGATGAAAGCGATCCAGAAAGCAATACCAAAGCCATTTTTGAAAAATTTCGGACCAAGGCTGCGGAACTGGAAGAGAAGCTGAAGTTTATTGAGAAGAATTATGTCGACGTCAGGGCTGGAAATGCTCACGCTGCAGCCATCGCTATCCGGCCAATGCTCACAAATCGATTATCAGAGATGCTCGTTCCCATGGAGGAGCAAGCAGAGTGGGGAGCTGAGATATTCGGCCCCAAGGACAACTTTTTCAAGGTTTTGCTAATGATGATGGAACACAAGACAGAAGCACATGAGCAAATGGTCGCTGCTGGCTTTCAGTGGTTCATGCGCCAACACTTTCAGCTTGACGTGTTTGCAGTTTTCACAGGGCTACTCCACGATCGCCCTATAGGAAGACTTTCTGATCGCGCCTGGGCCGTCATGGACAAAATATATCTCGACCACCCTGACTTTACAGATATGACGATTAAGCAACATGTCGCGCAAGCCCAATTTGTGCTCAAAGCCTGGCGGGCTCGAGAGACCGCTTATGCCCAAACCGGCCAGCGGATTGATGTTCCCGATTTCATAAGCCGACTCCGGGACGTGGTACCTTTCAACGAATCCAAATCGTCAGGTCAGGGATCCGTCACATCCCCTGCGATAGCCACACCTCAGCAGCAGCCCATGGCGGGATTCAACCAGTTCCTAGGTGGCTATCTCGATGTTTCCACCGTAAACTGGGAAATGTTTGGGGAATTTTTACCAAGTAGCGGAGAACAGCTCTCTACTGCTATGTTTGAGGGATACCCCATGGACAACCTTAATATGGGCAATCTGGGCTAGAGCTGATGATTTTAGACAAGCTCTGCCGATGTGTCGCGTTACGCTGAAGAGAAGGTGGAAAACCCATACGCATATGCTTGTGAGGAGCACAGAGTGTACGGTTGACCGGAGGGCAATTTTAGTTGAGCTAGAGTTGTCAAATGTCTCTACATTGAAAGCAGCTTCCCTTTCTCCTCTTGTATTTCACTTTTTTTTTTTTTTTTTTTTTTCTATTCTGTTCATTTCTCTTGATTTGTTTACTACATCTTCATCTCCTCTATTTTGCTTTTTGCACGGGGCGTTCAGGTCGACATAGAGTTGGTCTCCTCTCTCCCTGGACATACGAATCGCCACAAAACATAATCATTCTTCTTCATTGTGTCGGGTATGTGTGGCTTTCAACACGATATCATGTACGATTGAAATGGAGCCACTCCAGCGTTTATCTTATTTGCTATTTTGCGTATTGCACATTTTCTGCCACTGGGCGACATATTGTGTGGACTTGGATGAGCTTTCGAGTATGCAGCGGATGGAAATTGGTCACAATGCGTGATTATGTACAACATGGAAGGCGCTCGCATGATGTGTGTGTATATATTATTATCTATTCAGTCGGTATATACTCGTGGCATTCTGTGCACATTAATCTACCAAGCTTAGTCACTGAAGCCGAATTTGATTCTCTGTTCCATATAGCGTCCTTTATTTCTTTCTATTCCTTGTCCTTCTCTGCAGTCGATAGTTGGATAGTAAGCATGTGAGAGTTGTTCAATCGATTATCGATGTGATGTCGGGGGTATAGTGGCAGCTTGGTGGTGATATTCTTGATGGTGACGGTTCTCACCTAGATGCGACAATTCAGCAGCAGTTTTGCAACAGAAGCATTGTCTCTCTGCCGGCGTGGCATACCTATCGTGGCTGGCGAGAGGTAACGGTGACCCTGTTCGGCGAGGAAAGCTATCGTGTCGTATTTGTAGGTCAGACCGCTAGATACCTGCTCTTGGTCAGCGTATTCTATTTGGAAGAGACCAGCAAAGTTGGATAATGGGGTAAAGCTAAAGGGCATCCGGTTGGTGCCAATAATGAGATGGCTTTGTGGGAGAATTTCGTCTTGTGCCAGCGATCAAGGAGAGTATGCGGGAGAGGAAGGAAGAGAGAGGAGCAAGAAGGAAGGGCAAGAGGGAAGGGCAAGAGAGAAGAAGAAGGGGAGAAGAGGCGGGGTCTTTGTGGCGACTAAGCAAAACAATTGCTAGAGGAAACATTTGGAGATAGTCTTGGTTTGACCATGGTCTGATCTGAGGCGGCTTCGCGTTGGGTAAACTTTGGGTTGGAGATGCGATGGATTGCTTGGGGGTGGAGCAATTTTTCTGGAATTTGAAGACAAAGGTGATGGAAGCAGGTAGTATGTTAAATACAGGACAACAGATGTGCTCCAAATTCGAGATACGCCGTAGTTGAACCAAAAAAAAAAAAAAAGAAGAGAAAAGAAAAAGACTGAGCTGCTGGTGCTGTGGGAACTGGGGTCAATAAAATAGCAACAAAGAGCAGTGGCCTAGAAATCAAAACAAAGCAAACCAACGCAGCCCAAGATAGTTCAAGTCCAACAAAGTAGCTATAATTAGCACAAAAAATGACTTCATTGTTTTTTCCCCCATGTCACGATCAAAATAGAAATCACGTCAAAGACAGTATGTCATAGCGATGCAAGTCATTTAATGAAAAGGGTGCATTTGTGATAATATTCTCACGAAAAAGATGATGATGTGTAATATTCACCCTATTGAAGTACAGAAAGAACCCTTTGTTGAAAACCAGTAACCCATTTCCTTGTAAACCGTTTGTTAAAGCCAAATTATCCTTATAAATAATTCATCATCAGATTGATTTCGTGAGAAGTAAAGTGCGGGTGTTCGCCGCTGACCATTTAAGCTTGGTCTTGCTTCTTGCCGAGAAGTTATTGCTCATTCTCAGCGGGAGTGGCCTTTGGGACACCTTCTGGAGCATCTTGGGACTCTTCAGCGGCCTTTTGCTCAGCAGGGAGCTCGGCAGGAAGCTCGGCAGCGGCCTCGGCGAGAGCAGCTGGGAGACGCTCAGAGAGGCCCTCTTGGATGGGGCCAGGGAGCTGAGCCTGGACGCTCTCAGAGAGCTGCTGCTCTTGCTGATCGACGAGGACTTCTTGGATGTGAGAATACATGAGGGCCTTGCCTTTGCCTTCATACTGAGGCTCGCGGAGATTGTCCAGATTCTGCTCGGTGGTGGTAATAGCGATATCATCTTCCTGCTCCGCGAGAGCCATAGCAATAGCAGCATCGTCTTCGAGCGTAGCATCAAGCTGAATGGCACTATCAAGGCTTTCGACGGAGTTGTTTGGGGCACGGTATCCGGAAGATTCGCCAACTTCGTCGACATGGTAGAGCGAGGAGTCATAGGGGAAGGGGCCATATACGAGATAATCGGTGCTGTCGTCTTCGGCTGCTTCACGCGCAAGGGCATCACGATGAAGTTGACGCTTTTCACGATAGCGAGAAACGCACATGGCGATGAAGCAGGGAATGACCATCATCGCAAAGAGGCCAACGATACATCCGGCGATGGCAGCGTAGAAGGTCTTGTGCTTGATGGCGTCTGCCATGATGAAAACTTGGAAGAAGTTGGTGATACAAATGAACTTGATGGTTTTGCTTTTGGGAGGAAAGAGAGTGGGACATTTAGCTGAGGAGCGGATGGAAGAGGGGAGGGGAGAAGGAAGAGATGGATGTGATGGACGTACCTTGTTTGCTTTGGCTCTCTTCTCGGAGAAAGAAGAGAAGCTGATGATTGAGAATGATGATGAATATGATGAGGCTTTGTGCTCAGATGCGTTGGAACGAGATGCTTAGCGATGAGAGGAACGAATGAAGCTCGAAGAAGAAGGGAGTGGAGATGGAAAGAAGAAGCTTGCAGAGGTTGGGGGGAGCTTTGCAGATTTTGAAATAGAAATTTCAGAGCCGGGGGGGAATTTCTGACAATTTGGGGCGAAATAGTGATTGGGGGGGAGAGGGTGGCTGTATTCCGCAAGTGTTGGCAGCTGGTTGTGGTCCGTCTGCCCCCAAAGGGTGGTCTCCCCCCTATTTTTTTTTCGTGAAGGGTGCTAGAGGGGAGCTGCAATGTGAACGAATAGATGTTGAAAGTGATATACTTCTGATGGCACGAGAAGCCTCTGAATAAAAATGAGGAGGAAAGAAAGATTATTCTCTGAGATGGTGGATAGTTGCTGTGGATGCTGCTGGTATTGAAGTCTGCATGTCGAGGTAGGTGTATGGCAGCTGGGTTTACTAATAGCTCAGTTATCATATATTGGGCTGATGAAGAATTTCACATTCGATAATGTGCTTGATATGGTCGTTTGTCAACATGGTGGAAGAAAGCAGGTGTGCATTACTTTGCACGTGAAATCATCTTGGTAGGGCTGTTGATCTGGTAACTGCTGAGGGCTGCAAACGAGGAGTCACCGCAAACTACTTGCTCCCCCTATCAGCTGCTAGGGGAAAAAAAAAAGGTCATTGTGGTTTTACTTTACACTTGAATACTTGTTTTTCTTTTCAACAGAGGGCTTTTGTGCTGGCATGAGCAACGCGGATTGTTTACTTTTATGGAATAACAGATTCAGCTATTGATAGGCCTAGTCAGCTGAACTTTTGCCAGTTCTATCTCGGTTATTTTCCTCTGCCAATACGTCATTGCTGCAGGAACATTCGCCCTGTTTTGTCAGATTGTGGATGGAATCTTTGCGAATTTTATTTCTCTCAGCTGGATACGTTCATGATGCTTCAGGATATTGGAAGCTCAGCAGCATCGTATCCTTCATTGCCTATCTTCTTGCTTTTTTGCTTTTGTTCATATCAAAGATACACAGCCAGACTAATTTGATTTGTTTCGGCAGATAAAAGCTCGCAAAGATTTTCTAGAATTGCAAGCAGCACATCCGAACACGTACACGACACGCCCACCGCGTTTTACGACACACGAGTTCGAATATGATTGCGGTTGACGATTAAGGCCTATGGAATTTCTGCCAAGTCACGCCTTGTGGAGATGAAGAAGATGCGTGGGCTGGTAGGCAATCGATCGCTGGAATAAAGCAGAATCCAAACGAACATTCGATCAACTCACGATGCAGCGAGAGCATCTCATCAGTCTTTGAAAATCGACATCGAGCTACTTTCCAAGCAGAGAGTTTTACTAGGCAAGATGGATAGAGTTTCTTATTAATTTTGGTCAGCTAATTGTTCAACACCAAGTTCTTTGCCTTGTCCACCAAGCCGTTTCCATTCACGCTCTTTTCGCTTTCAAGTCGCGCGGCCCTCTCCGACAGAGACTCGCTGTTCTCGGGATCAAAGAACGGCCGCTCCCCAAAGATGGCAGTTCGCTTTCCTTCCCGAAGCTCGGTGTCGTAGCCGCCGGGAATGGCCTTGTGGGCGATGACTCGGTTGTCCCAGAAAGCAACCGCGCCGGGCGTCCACTTCCAGCGGGCAGTCACGTCGTCTGCGTTGGAGAGATGCTCGCGGAGAAAGGCGAGGATGTGGTGAGACTCCTGGGCGTTGAGCTCCTGGATGCGCTCGAGGAAGGTTGGGTTGTAGAAGAGAGACTTGAGGCGGGTTACGGGGTGTGTTCGGACCAGGGGATGGGCGGTGGAGATGGGGGATCTGTGTGGTGTTCCGCCGCCGTTGATGGAGCCGAGATAGGCTCTCTGTATGATGCTTTGGTTAGTTTTGACAAGTACCGGCTGATGATTCAAGGGCAGGGGTCCAACGACGATGAAATACGTACGTCTGAAGAGTGGACTCCGTGGAGACCCTCGATGGCCTTTTGGAAAGCTGGGCTGAGTTTATCAAAGAGGCCGGTTTGGCTGGTGAAGATGGTGTCTCCGCCGCTGGGAGGCGTCTTGAGCAGGCGAAGCAGGGTATACGCAGGCGGGTTCACCTCGTAGGTGTGATCGCCGTGCCACTCTCCAGAGAAGTTGCCATGGCCTCGGATGTTTCTGCCATAGGTTAGTAAGTAGCTCAGTGTTCAATATGGTTTTATGCATGGTCAAAAGACTTACCCGCCTCGGCCGATGATGGTTACATGTCTGGGGTCCTGCTGGTTGGGATCTCTGTCTTGCTATTGTGTTGGTTCTATGTTAGAGGTGCATTCAGGGATCATTGTCAAAGATGGAGCTACGTACAATGCCATAGTATGATGCAAGCTCGTGCTGCTGGTCAAGAGTAATGTCCTGATCACGGAAGAAGACGACACCTCTCTACATTTTAAGCGTCAGTTGGTGCTTTTACGGGGGAATATTCTCCTTCGTCTTCTTCCTCTTTATCCCCGTCTCTCTTCTTTGTTTCAAAACTCAAATGCGTACCTCCGCTACCAGCAGTGCCAGCTCGTCCTTTTGCTGGTCGGTCAGCTTGCTCAGCTGGACTCCCTTTAGCTCGGTGCCGATGTATGGAGTGACCTCCTCAACGGCAGTCGCTAAGCTCAGCAGTGAAGCCTTGGCTGGGTCGGCGAAAAAAGCTCGATCGCGGGCTGGGACGAATTCCTTGAGCGCCTCGTGGGGAGGCTTATACGCCAGCACGGCAGGGGTGATTGCGGTGCCGACAAGGACGCTTGGGGTGAGGACGTTGGCCATGCTGGATATGACCTGTTGGTGAGGTTTTTTGTTTCTTGATTTTTGACGGTTTGATTTCTTCTATCCTTATCCCTTGTCTTTTTTCAAGTTCCTTTTCGCTGATCCTTTCTTGCCCCTTTGCCTTTTATACGACCAGGGCTCTGGCTCTCAGCTCTGATTTAAAAGCAACACAGCAATGATTTAAAGATTGCAACGACTAATCGTTTATGACGGACCAATCGGCTCATTGCCCCGATGCGAACGCATCCTCGGAGTTGTCAAATCTGCAATCGCCATGCCCATTCAAGATGACGCCAGCGCTGATAACCCCGCGAATTCGTGCATCCAAGCACGCAGTTGGTAGCCACGCCGACGATCTCGCATTCAATGCGCAAGTGATGCATCCCGCGGGGAAGCTAAGCTCGAAGCTCTGGGATGTGGAATCAAATATCTGGATTGGTATATTGCTGGTTGTTTAGGGCCGGACAAGGGCCATGATACCATTATTAGGTTGCAAACGCCATCCACCTGATAGGTCTAAGATGCGATGGCAGATTGCTTAGCTCGCAGAGGCGGGAAGCTTTATATGTTCCTGTAGACTATCGATAGATACCATGTAAGTCACGGTATTGAGCGCCTGTTGCGCTTGGAGGAATGTTTAGACACATCATGGATGATACCATTTCCATATCGAAGACGTGATTTTCAGGCCATGCAGCCTCACGTCAAAAGGCGAGCGCAACGTGATATTTCGTTAGCTTGATCCTTCTTTGAGATGCCGGCAGCTGAAACGAGATGGTGACTGGATGCAAATTTATATATACTTTAGGATATGTTGAACAAGATTAATTAAAAATACATTCGGAAAGATTACTATTTCACATTTCCGATTGTATCATCTTTGACCTTTAGTTTCCAGACGATCTGTTATGTAATTGGCAGCCATGGCGATTGAATCAACCGAAACAGCAACTCCATCCGAAGCGGTGCTTGAAAAAGAAAGGCCCATTGATGCTGCGAGCTCAAGCTCCAACAAGAGCGATGTGCCCGATAGTAACGAAAAGTCCGCCGTTGTGGTCGAGTCTCAATACGAGACGTCGTCTTCCAGTTCCAACAGCGAGGTGTTTGACATCAAGGCGATTGACCCCGTCTTGGCTCGGAAGATGGCGCTGGTGAACACTGCGATTGACGAGATTGGCATGACGAGCTTCCAGTGGAAGCTGTTTTGGCTGAATGGGTTTGGATATGCGGTTGACTCGGTATGAACTGCATGACTCCCAAGCAACTCTCGTCAACTAAAAATAGTCTTTGTGTAAACTGACATTTGCGAGTTTTAATCTTTTGCAATTGTAGCTTCTAGTTGTCTGCCAGTCTATTGCCAATCCGGCAGTCCAGCAGGAATATGGACTGCCGAGTGCTCACATATCCGGCATTCCTCTGGCTTCACAGGTTGGTCTCTTGGTGGGAGCTGGCATCTGGGGTTTCTCTGCCGACATCATTGGCCGGAAATTGGCCTTTAACACGAGTCTGCTCTCTTGCGCCGTGTTTGTGCTCATTGCAGGCGGCATGCCATCATACATTTCCTTCTCTGCCATGTAAGTGGTTCTTTTCTTTTGAAACCAGACTTTCGGTTGAAATGTTTAACCAATCATAGCGTGGCCATCTACTCGGCCGGTGCTGGAGGCAACTACATCCTCGACGCTACGAATTTCCTCGAGTTCCTCCCCACCAGCTACGCATGGCTCGTCACCTTCATGGCCGTCTGGTGGGCTGTTGGATACACCATCACGGGTCTCCTGGCATGGGCTTTCATGAGCAACTTTAGCTGCGCGCCCGACGCGGCGGTATGTACTCGAGCGGACAACATGGGCTGGCGATACCTTCACTTCACTTGCGGCGCGCTCGTGCTCGTCATGGCGTTTGCGCGGCTGGCGTTTGTGCGCATGGTGCAGACGCCGCGGTGGCTCATTGCGCAGAACCGCGACGAGGAGGTCGTCAAGACGCTCAACGACCTTTCGGCACGGGCAGGGACGTCGCACAGCCTGACGCTGGAGCGATTGCAGGCCGAGGGCGTGGTTCTGCACACTGAGGAGTCCGTCTGGTCGCCGCTGCGGCTCAAGAACCACTTCAAGGGCCTCTTCCAGACGCGCAGGCTGGCCTGGTCCACGACCGTCATCCTGGCCAACTGGTTCGTCATCGGCATGGTCTCGCCGCTGTACAGCGTCTTCCTGCCCTTCTATCTGCAGTCCCGGGGCGCCGTCGTTGGCGACAGCTCCAACTATGCGACGTGGAGGGACTACGCCATCAACCAGGTTGCCGGGCTTGTCGGGCCCGTGATTGCGGCGGTGCTGATTGAGACCAGGTGGTTTGGGCGACGGGGCACGCTTGCTGTGGGCGCGCTGATCACGATGGTGTTGCAGTTTGGCTATACGCAGATCAAGACGCCGGCGCAGAATCTGGGTGTTTCGGCGGCCATTTCGGCGGCATCGTAAGTTTGCGACTTTATACCTCGTCACTCAGAAAAGGGGCTAATATTGTTTTGTAGAAACATTTACTATGGCACGATATATGCGTATACGCCCGAGATCTTGCCTTCGGCGCATCGTGCGACGGGCTATGGGCTCTGCGTCGTCCTCAACAGAGTCGGCGGCATTCTGGGCGTTTTGGTGGGAAGCTATGCGAATGTAGAGACGACGGCGCCGTTGTTTGTGTGCGCGGCCTTGTTTGGGCTGCTTGTGATTTTGAGTTTGATACTTCCCTTTGAGTCGAGGGGAAAGAGAAGCCAGTAATGACAACTTTTTTACTTCTTCACGCATGTAGCATGTCTCTTGTAAGATGATTTGAGGTGAAGAAGAGATGGGTTGCCGTTGCAGCCGCTGTGGAGATGGCCGCTGCGTAAAATATCAGCCGCACATGTTGCCGAATGAGGAAACTTTTGCCATGTTTGTTCCGATTCAGCATCACAGCGGCGATCCATGGCGAATTATATATATGACGCTGGCTATTGTTGCAGAAGCATCTGGAAGACCCCTCGGAACCGGTTTCAATCGCTGTACGTGAGCCGGCAGCAAGCAAAAATTGCCGGACAAGCCCCCCCGGGGCGTTATCTCTCCCGGCGTAGCATCTACCGGGGCTTCTCGAATATGGAGAATGCGGGGAATGGCCACAGGAACAAAAGAAAGAACTGCCCTGGCCTGACTCGGGACGTGACGAGGTTTCGGCGGTCCAGCCTCCGGCCCGGCCACCGGAGATGGAACGAAACCTTCTCCACGCTTTTCGACTTGATAGGCTTGAGATAAGAAGTTGACAGGTCTTTTCATCCAGCGAGAGAGGTTCTAGAACTAGCCTGGAGGAGATTCCGGGGTCTAGTGCGCGAATTTTGTTTTGATGCCCGCATGATCAAAGTCATTACGTGGTGGCAAATTTCCCCACACGATAGCAGTGAATCTGCAGCAGGTAGGCAAGATTGTGCTATCTCGGCAACTCGGCTGATGTATGAATGATAAGAGATGGAAGGGGGATAATAATAATAATTCGTTTAGCTGGTTATCAAAGTCGTTAAATGGAATGTTTGTTAAGGTGTATTTCCAAAGCTGAGGCTATAAGCATGTAGTTTATTCAATATTTGACATCACTGTGTAGACGAGAAAATTGAAGAAGAGAATTAATTTTTAGATGGTATAGTATTTCTTTTTTTCCACTGAAACCTATCTTCTAAAGCCATATGATGCGCGCCAAATACAAACGGTATGTACAGATGATAAAACAATTAATGAGAAATGGCTTCTCTTATGAAATAATGCCTTTTCGCTTTCCAATTTTCTTTTCTTTCCTCCATTCTATGCAGATCCGAGGGCCTTGTCCAGGGACTCAATCAGGTAAGGGACTGTGAAGAAAAATTGTTAGTTTAGCTGGATCAACTGAGAAGTTTGAAATGTGGCTCAACTCACTGTGAGCCTCCTCAAAGACGAGCATGGGGCGAAGTCGCACGGTCCGGACACCGCAAGTGCCGATGTTGACGCCAAGCGTCTTCATCTTCTTGACAAGGGCGGCAGAGTCCTTGGTGTCAAAGGCAATGTAGGTTCTGAATACAAAGGCGTTAATTTTCAGATGTCGATTCATTCATTGGCTGAGAATGACAACTTACCCTCGGTCCTTGCCACGAAGGTTCTGCACCAGCTGTGGGTACTTTTCGGCGAGGCGCTCCATCTCCTTGTAGAGTGCCGCACCAACGCGAGCCTAAAAGACGGGACAGTTAGCTTTTGGTACTAACGGGGGAAAAGATTCTCTTTCTCTCTGGCTGGACTTACAGTCTGGTTGCAGAGGTCCTTGGACAGAATCTCCTCGACAACGGCCTTGGCCATGACAACACGGGCTGGGTCACCGATCCAGCTATTCCCAAGTTAGTACATATTAAATATTTTTTTTTACCATCATAAAAGGGCAACGTACGTGTTGAACTGGCGGTAAGCCTTGTCGGGCACCAGCTGGGGGTTGCCGAAGAAGTAGCCCGCAGTGTTGGCCTTCTTGGAGAAGGTGACAATGTCGGGAGGCGAAGTCAGGTTCCAGTGCTCGTGGCCCCAGAACTTGCCGGTGGCGCCGAATCCTACACACGGTGCATTAGCGACTTTTTTACACTGAACTCGTGAGATAGTCTAAACATACCAGTCTGGACCTCGTCGACAATCATGGTGACGTTGTGCTTCTGGGTAATGTCGCGAAGGCCCTGGAAGAAGGCGGCAGAGGCGTGGTTGTCGCCGCCCTCGCTCTGGATGGGCTCGACAATCAGGCCGGCCACGGGGAACTGCCACGTCTTGATGAGCTCCTCGACCTTTTCGAGGCATCGCTTCTCCTCGGCGGCGTTCTCAGCCTTGTACTCGTCGAGAGGGTACTTGAGCGCCGGGAAGGGGGCCTGAGGCCAGTTGAAGGAGGGAATATCCAGCTTGTGGACGGCCTTTGAGCGGGTGGTGGACAAGCTGCCAAAGCCGCGTCCGTGGAAGGAGTTTGCAAAGCTGAGGATGGCCAGGTCCGGGGAGCCGGGCTTGGCGTTGTCGAGGCACGAGGCGATTTCCTCCTCGGTCCACTCGACGCCCTCGCCGCGCTGCTTGCGGCGGTAGAGCATCATGGCGGCCTTGTAGGCCAGCTCGTTGGCCTCGGAGCCGGACTGGGCGGTGAAGATTTGGTCCAGGCCCTTGGGGGCGACGCGGAGGAGGCCGTTCTTGAGCACGTCGTGCCACTGGCTGGAGGGGAAGTTGCCCAGGGCAGGGCGGTTGACCAGGGCGGAGATGAGCTCGGGGGACTGGGCGGCCTTGATGAGCGTGGGGTTGTTGTAGCCCACGGGGATGGAGGCAATCTGGGAGTAGCTGTGTTGTGTGTGTTAGATACAAGGCGTTTGAGCATGGGATATATATGATGTGATGTGCAACTATAAGGCTATGAGACATACACATCAAGGTACTGGTTGCCGTCGACATCGACGATGCTTAACACAAGGTTAGCTTTTATTCTTATTTCAAGCTGATGAGATATATAAATGGGATATCAATGTCACATACTAGTTGCCAGAGCTCTTGTCGTAATCGGCAATAAAGTAAAAGGCTCGGTTATCAAAGAAGGCTCCCAGCTTCTCGGCCTCAGCCCTGGACTTTGGGCCGGGGATCTCAGTGGCCACCTTGACTTCGCGAACAGAAGACATGTTTGCAGCAGTAAAATGAACTTGTTATGATGGAAAGAAAGAAGTTCAAGATGATTGCTCTGCTATACAACAAACAAAGAACAAGATACTATACAAAAAAAGATAGGTAGCGCATACCTTCTTTATAGTTTCGAATCTTGTAAGTGCCCTTTCCCGGCAATGGCCTCGCCCGGCTAACAACGGTGGCGGACGTGGGGATGGGGCTTAGCGTCGACGACCGGCCCGGTTCCGGCTGTGATGCCGGACCCACGTGAACAGCTTCCGGTGCTTTCTTAAAGATGCCGGTCGTGGAAGATGGAAGATGGAATGAACGATATCGGAATTGGCGGCGAGGGGAATGAATCGTGGATGGGCATGGCATTTGGTAATGCGAATTTCTTGGGATGGATTGATAATGGGGGTTCGGGATCGATCCGGATGTTGCCATGTAGCCGGTTCTATAAGAAGAGGCGGGAGGACATTACAGAACCTATCTATCATATACATCTATACATAAAATTATTTTTGAACCTATTTCTTTGTCATACTTAAGAAATTAGATCATCACCACAAGTTTGAAATACAACAGGACAAAATGTCTGCTGCTGCTGCTGCATCGCTCCTCAAGGACGCATCGCTGCTCAAGACGAAATCTTACGTCAACGGCGAATGGGTCGAAGCCAAGTCTGGAAAGCAGTTCACCGTCGAGAGTAAGTTGACAAAAACTCAACGACAAAAACAGCCATGTCTATATATATACATGTAAGATGAAAGATTTTCTCTAACGCAAGACATAGATCCTGCTACTGGAGAAGAAGTTGCAAAATGCCCTGAATTTGACGCGCAAGACACTGAGCTCGCCATCAACGCCGCCAACGATGCCTTCCAGTCATTCCGCAAGGTCTCCCCCCAGGAGCGATCCCGCCTCCTCCGCCGCTGGTACGACCTCATGGTCGAAAACGCCGAGGACATTGCCAAGATCATCACGCTCGAGAACGGCAAGGCCCTCACAGATGCCCGCGGCGAGACCACCTACGCCGCAAACTTCTTCAAGTGGTTCTCCGAGGAGGCGCCCCGGATCTACGGCGACGTCATCCAGCCCAGCGCGCCCAACTGCCGCGTCGTCACTGTTCGCGAGCCCATTGGCGTGTGCGGCCTGATTGCGCCGTGGAACTTCCCTGCGGCCATGATTACTCGTAAAGTCGGGCCTGCGCTGGCGGCGGGCTGCACGGTTGTTGTGAAAGCTCCGACGGAGACGCCCTTGACGGCGCTTGCTTTGGCGGAGTTGGCGCACCGGGCTGGTATTCCCAAGGGCGTGGTCAATGTCATTACTGCTTTCGACAACACGCCTCTTGTGGGCAAGGTGCTCACCACGAACCCCATTGTCAAGAAGGTGTCCTTCACCGGCTCGACCCCTGTTGGCAAGATCCTCATGAACCAGAGCTCCTCCACGCTCAAGAAGCTCTCCTTTGAGCTGGGCGGCAACGCGCCCTTCATCGTCTTCGAGGACGCCGACCTCGACACCGCAGTGCAGCACCTGATTGGCTGCAAGTTCCGCGTCGCCGGCCAGACGTGCGTCTGCGCCAACCGCATCTTCGTCCACAGCAGCATCTACGAGGAATTCGTCAAGCGCGTCGTCGACGTCGTCAAGACATTCCAGGTCGGCAACGGCCTCGACAGCAAGACCACACACGGCCCCCTGATCCACAGCAGAGCAGTGGCAAAGGTCGACGAGCACGTGCAGGATGCCATCTCCAAGGGCGCTCGCCTGCTCCACGGCGGCAAGAGATTGCCCCTCGGCCCCAACTTTTACGACTTGACTGTTCTGGCGGACGTCACGCCCGAGATGCAGGTCTTTAGGGAGGAGACGTTTGGGCCTGTCGCGGCGTTTTTCAAGTTTGATACCGAGGAGGAGGTTGTTGCGCTTGCCAATGATGCCGACGTTGGTCTGGCGGGATACTTCTTCAGCAAGGACAACAGCCGCTGCTGGCGCGTTGCGGAGGCGCTGCAGGTGGGCATGGTGGGTGTCAATGTTGGAGCCATCAGCGACGTTGCTATTCCCTTTGGAGGTGTCAAGGAGAGTGGGTTCGGACGAGAGGGTAGCAAGTATGGTGTTGACGAGTATCTGACCACCAAGATGATCATGACTGGTATTTGAGCGTGGGATTTGGAAAAAAGAAAAGGATGTTTCTGAAAAGAGTGAATAGCTCCTGTTAATATTTGGTTTAGCGATTGCATTAATAAATCAGGATTCTTAGAATTAGTTTTAGAAAGGTATAGGGAAAAAGAAACAACTTACCTCTTTTAATATCCTTCTCTTGTACTCTCATGTCACTTGTTTGCATGGAAACCCAGCGTAGCGTTTGCTTCAAATATGTGTATAAGGGCTGACTACATATAATAGCCCAAACTGGCTCTCTGGCGCCCAAAGTAGTGAAAAATAGCCCAAGGTGGCTGACAGTCTGCTCGAATCCCCAGAATGATCCGTAGAAGAACAATCAATTCGACCCAAATCATAGCAAACTGATATCCCATAATAACCGTCCCGTACTCCAATTCGTGTAACCAAAAACAATTTTTCCCGCTCCCAAGAATTAAAACACTATGCCGGCCTGCGGTAATGAGCGCACATTGCTGACTTGTTCAGCCAAATGCCTCTCGATAATTCGCCCAGTTATCTTTCAGCTGGTGAGGTGGCTCCCCATAGCCAGAGATTATACATCAGCCACCTTGTTTTCCTCCTACATCATGTTCCTATACATTTGCATGTCCACAGTCGTTTATAGAAACTGCAACACGATGCATCCTCGTTGCTGTCGTCACCTCGCCATGATTGCCCGTAAACGATCGCGTCTCCTTTGCTTCTGCGCAACAGGCGGTTCTATGCCGTACGCCGCCAATTCGAACGGATCAGATGCATCTTCGAGTTTGTCGAGTTTTCTCCGCCGCAGGTGCAGCCAGAACAGAACCAACAGCACGGATCCGCCGAGTAGTAAGCTGGAACATGGGCAACAAAAGTTAGCACGCTTGCGTCTTTGGACAGTATGGGATAAAGAGAAGAGGAGAGATCATACGCTGTAGAGATGACTACCGCGATGAGGACATGCGTTTGAGACAAGGGCTTTTCGCATGTGTTAGTCTCCTGGGTTTCTGTGCAGCGCGCCAAAAGGCGATTGGCGACGCTGTGTAACTGATCAATTGAGCGGCTTAGTATGCTTCTCGACATGTCGCGCGCCATTACGACGCCTTTGTTGCTTTCCATCGCCGCAATTGAGAATAATGATGGATGATGGAGAACGTGAATGTGTGTGTAAGAGTGTGATCTTGCAGAGCAGCAAAGCAAAACACCATCCCTTAAGCCACCTTCAGCAGCAGCCAACACCTCGTATATAACGCTCACCCATCACTCTCATGTCTCTCTAGTCAGCCCCCAATACCACCACTACTGTCAGCCATGTTTTGGCTCTTGAACCGCATCAACCATTCCGCACGGCCAACAGAGGGCTGTGCAGCGGAGGTTTCAGATGTGCATTCCCCACAACCCTGGGAAATGAAACAGAAGGGGGCCCGGCCAATCGAGGCGCCGCCGTGCCTGGTTTCACCCCCGCGCTGGCCGACGCTTTTGGTGTAGCTTGGCGCTGGTGGCTGATCGGTCTGGCATGGCGATGCAAGCGCAGGATCGCCGTGACGCCAGTGAGACGCTGGTTATCCGCGTTGGTGCAGGGCATGGCCATCTTCAAACGGCCTGCGCAATGCTGGAGGGGGCGGAAATGTTTTGTCGCATCGCATCGCGTCTCTCTTGGAGGACTTGCGCTGTTAGTAACGACCTTGCGCATGTTCACGTCTTGTATCATGAATACCACTGCTAATAACGGCGGATGTTAGAGCTGAGACAGCGGAAAATGGAAACTCAAAAAATGAACTGTGAAGTAAACTTACAGAGCAGTCACAAACCGTCGCGTGGTGCAAAAGCAGCATCAGCGTGCCACTTCCAGCAAAGCAGCAGGGGTCCTCAGATCTACGCATCTCAACCCTCGGCTTCCCCATAATTAGAAGCTTTGACAATAATCCACATGTAGCACTCGCATGTTTTCAGGAACCATGATGTCAGAAATGATATCATATTAAAACCGTATATAGTGATCCCCAAAGTATTATCCATCTTTACCAGATCAGTGACGGGACCGATCTCTCGTTAATGTTTCCAACGCGAGGTTGGCGAGCCTTTGCCCTCTTCGTTGTCTTAAAATAAGGATTGACGGCTGGAATAAGGCTTTTTGAACCAGCCGCCACGTCAGCACTCTCCCTTCAGGTGCCCAGCCTTGTGCAGAAGCTGGCATTGCATTTGTGCCGCAGGCCCTTCGGCGGGGTTGCTCATTGTTCTACTCCGCCCCTTTCAAGATCATCCAGCTCTGTTTCCTGTTGTATTACAAGCCTGGGCGACTTGGCGTGAGGCATCTTCATCTTTCTAGGTTGAATATCTCCTTTATCGTGAGTGCGTTCTTCATCCATGTCCAGGATCAATATTATTTCCAAACTCGTTGCCAAAGAATGCCGAAAAGTCATCCAAACTTTGTGGAAATGACGCGAAATGTCCGTCTACACCGAAGAACGGAGTGCCGTGTGGCATCATCGCGGGTTCTTCCTTCGGAGCTTCTCCCATATGCCTTGGCTGCTCCATCACAGGCGGTACAATCGGCACTGGTTTGTTTTCAACGCCTCTCTCAGCCATTTCTGCTATAGGTGCGTCGCTCTTCCACAGCTGCTCCCACTTTTTGAATTTGGCATATTCAGACTCGCTCACTATTGAGGTGGCTGTCAGCTCCTGTGCGTTCATGTTAGCTATAGCCTGTTCGAATGCCTCTATTAGCGACATTTCGGAGTGTGCTGATTGGCTGCCAGTTGACATTTCCTTGAGCATAGATAGCCCATCTCGCAAAGCCTGTCGGAACATGTAGGTTTTCTGAGAAAGACATTGCGTAGTAATGACCAAAAGAGCCGCCCGACAAGAGCTGAACTCCGTATACGACGCGCGGGCGAGACCAATACTATTGCGTAGAGAGCGACACGTGTCTATAATTGACAGCGCGGCCTCAGTACAGTCTGCAACCAAGGTCGAACGAGTGCCCTTTCTACTCAGCGACGCACTGGAGGGCCCGTTTGCAGATGTGGCCGGACTGCTACCATCTTTGAAACCTGCCTCGGGAAAGATGAAAACGCGGCCGACAAACATGCGTACAAGGCAATATTCCAAGTGCAGGTGCATGTGTTGACGAGACAGTGTCGACTGAGATGTGAATTCTTTGCAGAAAATGTCATTCGGCAGAGATTCCCACCAGCCTTTTAGCTCACGATGCAGGCCTAAAAGCCTCTTTAGGCCTTCTGGAACATCGTGTTTTGGTAAAGAGCGTAGTATAGTTCTAGAAGATACTATTAGCAGCTTGACTTAGTATTCGACATTGTAGTATCTCACATCTCTTGGGACATTCTGCTTAGCTTTTGATTTAGCTCAAAAGTCGCTAGCAGATGTGCAGTATCGGTCGGCGTAGTTGATGACCAAAGTTCGGGGAGGTGTATGGGATAATCGGCATCCACATCAGTACTTGAAATAGAAGTTGGCCTTCCATGGAAGATTCCGACACGCCTATGAAAGTGTTAGTCAAGTCGAAATTTTAGACTCGATTCGGGGGAAATGATATCCTCCTGCCAGCACATACTTCTCAATCGTGTAAACACTCCACCACACCCGATTTCTGGTCTCGACAATGCGCACATCTCGATTTTCGACGGGATATTTCCTATGCATGCCGTTTTGTATCGCAAGCTTAAGGGCCAAGTTGAGATAGATGTAGGCTAATCCAGATGCATCCACTGGCAGAGTGTATATACCGAGCAATAGGACGGCCTGCACGCTCTCCAATGAGGATACCGTAATAACATCTGGAAGCAGTCTGCACGCTTGCTGATAGAACAGTATCCCAACCGCATCTTCTGTAAACGCGCCCGTCCCTTTCTCCGTGGGGTTCTCAGCGCCTTCAACCAACGATTCGAGGTACGCAAATTGGGTTCCAATGGCAAAGGTAGCGAAAATGATGCCGATGATTCCCACATCTCTCCGAGAAAAGGATCCAGGGTTCTCGTAAGCAAGATTTAACTTGGCCCTGAGCCATTCCTGTTCAACGAAGAAGTAGTTGGTCTGCGCATGCTTGAAAAAGGAGTAAACGAGGAAGTCAGCGATGGGTCTCGGTGGTAAGAGTGATAGTGATCCTAGGATTTCGGAGTTTGATTGGAGCTCCTCGGCGCGATAGTACTCCTTGAATGACGTCGCGGACTTGGATGGTTGCTGCATGAGCTGGTCAGCCTCGATGTAAAACACAGAGATGGCATGCCGTATTCACATTCAAAGAATCATTTGTAACTGTTTGGTCGATCCACTTCTTTATACGCATGGAAAAGTTCCAATGTGAAAATTCTCCGGAATAATCTATTGGCTCGAGTTAGTTTCCGGTGCGTGCCAAAACAGGCAAGATGAAGCTTGTACGTGTAACATTGCCGTGGAGAGGTCGCATCTCAAACTTCTCGTCCACGCCATCGAATTCAGAGCTCTGGGACGAGATGTCGGCCGGTCGAGTGGAATCTCGGCGCTTGTCCGTGGCCTCGGCCAGATCCTTGAGAGCCTCGAGGTCCAGCGCATCTTTGCTGCCGACGTAGCCCTGGACAATGCGTTCCAGGTACTCGAGGCGCTTGGCCTGGTCAGCGGCGCTCTCGGCGGCGCGGGGTCTTTGGTGGTTGTCAGAACGATTCCGCCTTGTGAGATTGAGCATGGGCAACCAAAACAGCATCATGGATCGTAGGCTCTACCTTGCTATGGCTCCCGGGCGCACGCCTGAGCCGGCCTGCGACTCGCTGTCGGCTGAGGCTCTAGCCGTGAAGTCGCATGGGCGGCCTAGCCGGAAGCACCTCCGACACGGCACGCCTCCATCGCACCGCTCCTTCTGGCGGCGACAGCCATCGCACCTACATTTGCCGCGTCAGATGAGATTCCTGTGGTTTCAGCCTGCTCAGCTCTCGGGGCAACGTACGCTCGAGCCGCTCGTTTCCTCTCTCTATCTAGGTGGCGGCTGGACTTTGCCGGCGGCTGCTGGATGTCCATGGGGAGAGTCACAGCGATGACATCAATGCAGGGGCAGTCCGAGAAGCCGCAGATGTTGGGATTTCCAGTGATGAAGCCCCATTCCCGTATGAAGCAGAAGAGTGGAGATTGAAGATTAGTGTTGGTCACTGTCGCGGATCCCCAGAGGAAGATATGGCTGCTGCTAGGCCGCGATGACTAAGCGCCAGCTAGACGGCAGCCTGGCCGAGGTCGGGATCAATGATCAATATTATCAGGTAGACAGACTACAGCACAGTAAGCTCAGCCGACGCTTAATGCTAGCAGCAGAAGCTATTTGCCACTATTTTATTACAGTGTCAAGCCAAGTGGTGGATACCGGCAGGTGGTTGGTTTCGCAGAGTTGAGTTGAGATGCGATGCGGGGGCTAGCCCAAGAACCGGATTGTCGGTACTGTAGAAGCTTCCATCTCTTCTACAGCTTTTGGAAGCCAGAGCCTCAGTTGTTTACGGGCGCGTGGTGGGGCATTGCATATACTAGCAGCCCTGCGTATAATTTCATGGTGCCTATTAGCTGCCTCTGTATTTTACACGCTGATAGATGTTATTGATATCACCCATTAAGAACATGAAGAGAGGTATGTTCTAGTGCTTGAATTACAAATCAGTGCACCTGCTGATGCCGCTTGCTGTGTTCGCCACATTCGCCTCTATAATGCCATACAGGGCAAGGACCAGAGACATCGCCAAATTACCTAGTTCTGAGCAGGCACATAATAGCACCGATATATAAGCTACCCGGCATCATTCTCAAATACCGGCTTCCAAACATATACCTATTTAGCTCATGCGAAAATGACCGTCGCTTAAATACATGTCCTTTAAGGATCTCCCGTTCGCGTTGGTCATGATAGCTTCTAATATGATAAACACAAATGCGCCTATACTTCAAACACACCAAGCAAAAGAAAAGGACAGGTGTGTCACTCAAGCCACATTGCAAATAAATGTTGCCGTGGCTTACATAGCCTAGAATTGTATGCGTCGGAGTTTTTGTCCATGCCCTAAACTCAATCTGAATTTCTGAATAGTAATCACGGCCATGATCCCTCGGGTCGCGCTTCCACGCATTTCTAATTCAGCTGAGAATATAACCAGAGAATGACTTGCAACACTGCTCCAAAAAAGAATTGCCTTGTGGACTAGTCCTCAAGAAGCACAATTGACTTATATTTGCATGCTGATTCTTAGTCCTTGACCAACCCACTTCTGCTTCAACTCCAGTATCCGCTTTTCGCAGCAGTTGCTCCATACCATCTATCAACGGGCGACATGCCGCAGTCCTTTTCCTTTGTCAACTTTGATGGGCCGAACCTCGTCCCCGATGCACAGGTTCGGCGGCGCATTCGGCAGCAGGCGATGAGAGATACTGCCGTGGCCCGGAAACAGAGAGGCGATTATGGCAAGCATAACATGAGGCAGTATCCTGTCTTTATAAGTCAGGCCGACGGCTCTGAGCCTGCAAAGGATGCCCCAGATCCAAATGAACTACAGCGCATTCGCCAATCTCTAGATCTTTATGTACCATTCTCCTTCCAGGATCCGAGAATGCCCAAAGAATTCTCCTTGCTTCTTAATCTCATGCCGCTGACCGGTCTTCGTCTTGGGGTTGGCACTCTTTCTCACTATCTCTACGAGCCAGACCAGCCCAAAGATGCCATCGTAACAGCACAGGCCTCGAGCCAGAGGCTCTTATCCTTCATCCCAAGTCGGTATGGACATGTACAGCTACTTCGCCACGCAACGGATTGTGTCATTGCAAAACTTCAGTACCTTTCGCAACCGGAAGAAAATAGATCGCCCAAGGGGGACTTGAAAGCGCTGATGCACTATCAGAAGGCGCTTCAAGCGCTTCAAGAGGCATTGCTAGATGAGCGCGAGTGGTCGAAGCCAGAGACTCTATGCGCGACACAGCTGTTGGGAATTTTCGAGGTGAATACAACATTGCAGATATGAAGCTGTTTGACATAACTGACCCAAGTATTTTCACAGGCCTTGAATGGAAATGAGAAAGATTCCTGGATGCAGCATGTCGGTGGTGCGGCTAGACTTGTGGAAGCTCGAGGAGCTCACATGTTCCAGTCAGAGTTTGAGAAGGCCCTGTTCTTGTCACATATTGGGCCAACGGTAAGAAAATCCAGGCCCCAAAGTCCCAAGTTACAAAGTTAGGCTCATCATTTTTTCTTCCAGGTCATGTCGGCATTTTTAAGCAATACGCCCTGCTTTTTGGAGCAGTCACAGTGGCAAGCCGTTATTCGAGAGGCCGTCAACGAAGACGCGACTCTTTCAAACGATAAAGAATTTGTCCTCGCATTATGGGGCGGCCTTATTGAGCTACCAAGGCTCTTCAAAGACACAACGGCACTTCTGATGGCGCCTTGTCCGCCTCCACAGAAGGTTGTTGATGATCTGATAGAGCGCTTGCTGGCAAAACGTAAAAATCTCATGATATGGCTGACTTTGATAAGAAAGAACCCCATAATCAAGGATGGAGGGCTGGTAGATGACGAAAACGGTGTTCTCATATTTTCTACAGATTTTGACTACAAGACTCTGGGACCCTGGTGTCTTACACGCATCGGCTTGCGAGGCACTTACGCAGTGTGTCGAATGGTCAAGTCACGGCTTTTGTACGCTTTATCTCCTGAAAGATTTCAGCATCTAGAAGCGGAAGCGCAAGACATAGCCCATCGCATTCTTAATTTGCAGGATGATATGGCAGCCGCCAAACAGTCAGCCTTGATCTGGAATCAGTTCATGGCTCAGGGAAGCTGGATTGCAAAGGGCATTGTTGAAACAAAGGACATATGGGGCGAGAAGCCGCACAGGGATGAAGGTATGCTTGAGAGATGGAAATTCGAAAAGTGGAACAAGGTTATAGGAAGGAAAATATCTTAGCTGTGTTATTTCTTCCTTGTAGGAGACTGCCTTCTTCCCCCCCTTTTTTATTCAAAGCCAATGTTCATTAGTTAGCATGTCATGTAGCGATTGTTTCGAAATTACTCTCCTCTCATATCAATCTAAGTTGGCAAACACCTTTTCACAAATCGATCATCATCGCATTCCTTGATTTAGGGTTGAGACAACAATAGAAAGAGTTGGGCATAAAAAAGTGATAGCTTTGCTAAAGTGTATTATTTTATATCACATTAAAGCGAATTTCTGCTTTACACGTGGTTGATCTGTCAACGATACACACTCAAACAATTTGATTACCCGCTATGGTTCATTACTAATTGGTCATCAATTCGTTTTCCCTTTAGCTAATTACTTCCTCCAAGAATGTTCTCTCTCTTCCATTGATAAAATTAGTCGCAAGTGTTGGTATCGCAGTTGCCACGTGGGTCATTGCAGCTGGGGTCGCTCGGCTCAACGCAGAAGCTGGTTGGGTCGACTCCGAAGCCTCCGAAGTGATTGCAAACTTGGTCTCCAGGGCAGTCCTTTTCTTTTATTAGCATACTCATCATAAGGGAACGATAAAGGTTGTGAGTCGTGAGAGGCTTACATTGCAAGAGTTGCAAGCGCTAGCCAAAGCTGCAGTGAAGACGAGGACGGCAGTGTAGAGCTTCATGTTGATGAATGACTCGATTTAGTAAGGATTAAGGATTGTAGGTGATGAGTTTGAGTTGACCGTATTTTTTCAAAATTTAACTGTCGAAGGGGTTAAAGCAAGTATTTATAGATGATTATTGCGGTATTCGCACCCAGCGATTTGCTCTCTTATACTCGTGGCCATACCCTGAGCTGTGATGCTAGAACCATTTGAGCCATGAATATCTCACATCAGATAGTTTTCTGTGTTTTCGTATTAGTATAACTAATCAATCGCTCATTATTGATTCAATTTACCGATTTCCTAGCCCCTAGGGGCTCAGATCTCCGCCCGTCGCTAAACCGGCTCCCCCAATCAACATCTACAAATACTACGAGGTTCAACTACAATGGCGCTAAGTAGTGGCTATTAGGCTATTTGCAGCTTGAATTGTCGGGTGAAGCTCAAAGGAACCTAGTATCTCTTGATTGGGCGTGTCATCTTTAGCGTAGAAGCCATGTTAACCTTCTCTATATTGCTATTCCTATTACTATTCAAACCGTGGCAGTTGCTTGATAAGGACTGCATAAGCATATTTCTCCATCCATAATAGGTAACGAACGGTCAGCGTCCGACGACCCGACAGACTGAGCAAGCCAACCGTTATTTGTGGGTTTCATATTTCGCGGCGAGATAGCTTATGTACCCCATATTATTGAGAGCAGCCCTGTTGTCCTTTTCCCGATATATATCGGAATTTACGTATTACCAATCAGCCTCTATGTATCCCCAGACAGATGGCATTTATAACGTTTCCGTATACAATAAGAATCTGGAAGTTTTGAAACATAGCACGTAGCAGCCCAGCATGGCCTAGAAGCCTTCAGTCAACGTAGAAGTCTATATAAACGATGTATGTTCAAAAAGAGGCCAACTACCATCGTTTTCCTTTTGCTTTGGCTGTCTATTCTGCATCCCACCCCTGGTCGATATAGTCAGAGCTGCCTTCCTAGTTTGTCAACGGATACTTGAATAAGCATCTCGTATGCCGCAGTAAGCTTACTTTACAGTGGATATGGAACGATTCGAGCCCCGAGCAGCCGCTGGGCATGCTATTGTAGTGGATCGCCGTCGAGCCGTAAAGCTTATAAACAGAGTTAGATGGTTGGAAACAGACTTGGCATAATGGATGTTGAATGGAGTAGGTTGTTTGCACCTTGGCTTCGGCCACCTACAGTATATGCTCGGTCTATTTGATGGTTTCCGGTATTAATCAGGATTTTTCATTGCCCTAATCGTGCAAGTCGCTCCATTATTACATAGAGCTGATGAAGGCCGCCGGTCGCTTCAGTGAGGTGTGTGAGGCAACTTGGTATTCCCACAAACTGCTAGTATACCATCAGCTCGACCGCGTAAATGGTTCCAGGCCACATGCAAATTTACTTACCGCCAATTTGCCATCTCTGCGTGAATTCACCAAGTGCCCAATTAAATTCTTCAATATCAGAATGAGTAAACATTCCTTCTTCGTGTAAATTCATATTGGCTTTAGCCAGCAAGTTGGCGGCGCGGCACGTTGAAGACAGCCCTATCAGGGAAAGCCCTTCAACTCCCTTTCTCAGCACTGTCTCGCTCATGGACTTGCAGATGTCGACTGCCATTCGTCGCGAGGATCCTATGGCGAGTCTATCTGCCGTGCTGATAGCCGCCTGGGATTGTTCAGTATAATGTACATTGAGTTCGAATAGAAAGCTAAAACTATACGGTTAATTCCATTTGACTTGTCCTAGGAGTGATATTGCAAAGTCATACCTCAGTGCTAATGCAATGCTATCGCAAAATACAACAGAATTTGGACCCGCAGCTTGAATTAAAGCAAAGCAAACATTTCGAAGTCGTGACTCAATTGTTGTATATGAACTGGCTGGAGACTGTATCGTCGCGTCGTTCTTGAGATACTGAATAGCCTCCCGAACAATGCTCGCAACTCGGAACAGTATCTCGAAATTTGATAGTGAGCGGTCGCTCTCACCTAATATATGTTCATCCGGCCAGGCAGGCTCATTCAATAAATTGAATCCATTATTTGTCGATGTTTTTATATCTGTCGATATTTGAATGTCTATCGGATATTTTGGAAGTTCTGTTAGACTGTTGAGGGCATGGTTAGAGATATATTGATTTACCCATACACTAGCGGGCCCCAAGTTTCCAAGGCCGAGTAGTCCAAATACTGACCAATCCATAATTACAACTGCTCTCCGACATACAGCTGCTACAATCAACTCCTCTCCATCTTCGCTTCCATCTGATAGGAACTTGTGCGATTCGCACATGGTTGTACAAGCTGCAATCGAGAGTTTGGACTCTTGATCGAGACCATGGCCGTATTCAAACAGCGACAGCAAAAGACCAATCTGGAGAGTTTGTATACAATTTCTTGAAGACGTTTGCAAGAGGAGAAAGGACTGCTTTGCTGCCTTGTATAAGTTGCAGCATATGCCATGACCCGGGTGCCCGCACGGCTGCTGTGACACCAGAGCCATGCAGAGGAGCAATATGCCGTCTCTGCCATGACATGTTCCTAAAATAGAAGGTGTGGCAAATGAGATAAGTTGGTCTTCTGAAAGAATTGGGAACCAGTCATGGACCCTTTTCTTGTATGCCTGAGCAATGGATGCAGCGGTCAAGCCTGTAGGTTTAAGCGCCATGCGAAGAATCGAGGCATCTTGCTCAGCATCATCAATACTACTCAACAGAGCGACCGATATCATACCAACTATCTTGTAGCACGTCTCAAGGGATACTTCAAAAATACACGCCGTCTGATGATTTGTGGGCGGTATGACGCCTTCTCCGCCATCAGTGCAAACTCCGCCGGCGGAGGCGTTGGTGGACAATTGGCGCCCATAGACGCATCGCATCTGTTTCCTGGACGACTAGAATATGAGAAGAGAGATCTAAATAAAACTGTGCTAGGAAGTAAAAGTTACGTACGACACGCATCGGGAACAAGCAGGAAGAGATTTGTCACAGCGGGCTTTGGATCTTCTGCAATTGTGGCAGACTCCAGCGGCTCTGCCAAAGACTGGGAATTGCGGCGGAGAATCGGTGTAGGTCGATGTATAAGCTGTTACTTGCATTCTGCTAATGTAACTATCGAGCTGGATGTCGTGGAAAAGTCAATCTTCTCTAGCTGATGGCAATAAAAGGACTCTGTCTGTACATATGTCAAGGTGAGGTTTTGTTAAGGGTGCGTACAAGTTGAGAGGACGCTTCACGGAGTTTAAGCTTCCAGTACCGTGGGGCATCCAGCTAATAAACCGCGAGCAGGGATCGGCCGATGCATTAGCGCCAGTTGAAAGTCCGTTTTGAGCTTATCGAGGAGTAAGTCGCCCAATCAGAGGCAACGCCATAGTAGGAGAGTCTCATTGCTGTATTGCTGCCCGTGAGCGAAGACATACACAGAATTAGATGAAATAGTCAATCGTATGTCTATATAAACCCAGTCTTCCGCCATGTGTTTATTTGAGAAATCTGCATTCTCAAACCGAATAACGGGAAGTTTAATAGCCATTTGTCTGAACCTCAAATATTCGGAATTTACACGAACTCAAGATGTCGCCGATCAAGACCGTCGCAGTTCTCGGTGTACGTGTTGTTTCTACACTTCAATCATGATCCATCAGCTAACTGTCAGCTTTCTTTAGGCTACCGGAAATGTTGGGAAAGTTGCGATACCAGCTTTGCTCTCTGCCGGCTTCATTGTAACTGTCATTGCAAGGCCAGAGAGCACTTCGACCTATCCCCAAGGCATCGCTGTCAAGAAGTCTTCTTATGATGACCTGAAGACACTTACCGAAGTATTACAAGGCCAGGATGCTCTGATTGAAGCATTCAACCCCGCCGCTGCCGAGCACCAGAGCACCATCGTACAGGCTGCTCTGGCCGCCGGCGTGTCTCGTTTGATCACGCCCGAGTTTAGTACCGACTCTTTTTCTGCGCATTCCGCGGAAATTCGAATCTTTGGACCTAAACATGAAGCTCAAAAAGAGCTTGAAAGTCTCACGTCGGCGCCTGACTGCACTTTGTCTTGGACAGGTATTATCCTCGGGGCGTGGTTTGACTGGGGCATTGAGGAGGGATTCTTCTGGGTTAACAAGAAGGATCGTACTATCACGCGCTTTGGCTCTGGTGACCAGAAAGTCTCAATGAGTCATCTGGCTCTCGTTGGAGAAGCTATTGTGACTGTTCTTCAAACCCCTGAAAAGTACCGAAATCGGGTTGCTTATTTTGCAGATTACGCCGTCAGTACGAATGAACTTATCGACATGATTCAAAAGTTCTCGGCTCCGGGAGAATGGAAGATTGTGGACCTGTCCGTTGAGGATTTTAAGAAGGAAGGATTTGCGCTTTGGGATGAAGATACCAAGCAAGGCGTCACGAATCGGCTGTTTACCAAGGCATACACGATGTTGGGGACGGCAGGAGTATTTGATGAACAGAATCGCTACGATGGAGATTATACGGCCAAGCTAGAGCCTGGATGTGGCAAGCCTATTGAAAGCCTTGAGGAAAACCTTAAGAAGCTGCTAGGATACGTTTAACGAGATTTAGATATTTAAAGGTAACAGGTTTTGGACACAAGCTTTATCTCGAAGGGTGGTTTATTTGTACCTAGTCATGTGTTCAAGCAAACAAGCATACTCTTTGCATTGAAACCATTTTTCTTAAATTACTATCGCTGACCTCACTTCGCATTAGCGAGTTTGTACAATGTTTGTCTTTTCTCTAAACTTCGTGGTTTGGTGTCATGCCGATGAATAAGCCTGTTGACACTTTATGTAAACAATCCTCCCACTATGGATTAGAAGCCTTGATCAGATAATCGCTCTAGTTCCAGTCCGTCTTCCCTTTCAATTTTCCGAATTTCACATCTGGCCTGCCTCTCCCCCAATGCTTTCAAGACGAAACTCTTCAACTTAATCCCCAATTTATAAAGGATGAAACCAGGCAGAAAAAAGATCGTAAATATGCCATGAAATAGCGCCAGATATGCAACGCAACTCATACCTTTGGATCCAATTCTTTCATCTGTTGTCCGTTTTCTCAACTTTGCATTTTTCTTGGCAAGCCATTGGGCCCTTGTAGTGGTAATCACAGGACGTGTAGTCTTGAGACTTGGGATCTTGGATGGCCGAGCTATTTTGAAGACTGAGAACATGCTTTACTCTGAGTCGTTGAATTCGCTATGTTGCTTCTTGCCGGTGAAAAGAGCATGGCAAGCAGAAAACATGATAAGCGACAAGCAGTTCATGTCTTATGTCGTAGGCAAGTTACTGTGAGATTTGACTAGCGAACGCACACGTTCATATAGACTGGATCGCTTTGGTGTTCAGAAACGACGAAAACAAAGCAGACACAAGCCTCGGTACTGAACGAAGACCCACGATTTGAATCACCGTTGTTCAGATAATGTACCCGGAAATATTGAACAGGCATTTTCTCTTTGTCCTTTGCCTAGCCAGTGCAGACCAGCTAAGGCCCAGGCAGAGTGCATCTCTTGGCAGAATACGCGCCGTCATATGACAAACGGCATTTAAACATGAAGCCAATCTCGCAAGGATAGACGTTCATAGGCTCAGCGGCTTTGAGAACAATTACGCATACTAAGTGGGGGGTTACAGATTGCTGTCATAAACAGGAATACGCTGATTGTTCAAGAATTTCCTCTTTTTCTTCGCAACCCTTCTTACGTCAGTAGTAGCGGGACCGGAAGAAGTCGTAGTTCGTTCATTATCACTGTTATCAGCAATGCTTTCCAGTTCATTCTCAATTTATTGTCCCTTGCTTCGGATCACCCAATTAGATTCTTCTTGTAGAGCGCTTAACTAAGATCCATTGTCCATTACCACATCATTAGTAGTAGCGGGACTAGAAGAAGTAATAGCAGGACCAGAAGAAGAGGTAGTAGCAGGGCCGGAAGAAAAAGTAACAGGACTAGAAGAGGTACACGAGAGCCCCGACGACATCAGACAAAGTCCCGAAGACATCAGACAAGACATCGGACACAGTCAAAGACCTACTTGCTGGCATGGCAAGAAGCACTACCCTATTCAAACCGACTCTAGGCCCAACCAGCTCCAAGGTGTCGGAGATGCTTTGTCACCCGGCGGGCATGTAGCTTCCGCTGTAGAGGGTGAGGCTGTAAGAGACGCTCCGGAATGTATCTCGTATTGCGGTGTGATGTGTGACAACGTCGACGTGAGAGTGGTCCAGGATATGGGACAGTTTGTGCAGCGCCCAGACGAGGGCTGCTGTCTCCAATTCCGTAGATCCATAGTTTACTTCTGCGGGCGTGAGAGCTTTTAGGAGGAATAGAATGGGACGTAGCTTTCATTCCTTTGTCTAATGTAAGACTACGCCGAATCCTCGCTCTTTACTCCCGTCAACGTGAAGCTCGAATAGCAACGAGTAATCCGGGGGTGCGAGATCAACGGTGCTACAAAGCTTCCCCTTTAAGAGAACCCATGCTTGCCGTGCTTCCTCCCAGATCCGCCGGCGTTCCTCGATGATTTTTTTAGGGAGCCATTATCCAGCACCCCAGTTCTGTTATCCAACACCCCAAAAAGAGAGAAGTTATCTAGCACCCCAATCATGTTTAATATTTAGCACTCCAGCTGTGGCTACTTCTGCTACTTCTGCTACTTCTGCTACTTCTGCTACTTCTGCTACTTCTGCTACTTCTGCTACTTCTGCTACTTCTGCTACTTCTGCTACTGCTGCTACTGCTGCTACTTCTGCTACTGCTGCTACTGCTGCTACTGCTACTATTTTAATAAGTATTTGGCAGCTGTATATTTAATATATAAACTGGCTGCCCTATTATACTACAGTTGGGGTGTTGGATAATAAAATCAGGGTGCTGGATAACGTCTCCCTTTTTCCAATCCGTTGCTCTTCTGGTCCTGCTACTACTCAGCTGGCCCTGCTACTACTAGTAGTAGTAGGGCCAGAAATTTACTGGTAGTAGTAGCAGGGCCAGAAGAAGGACCAGGAGCGACAAGATTCATCGAAGCATCAAGAGGGAAGCCGGCACGGACGAATGCCGCCCGAAGCTGTCGTTACAGGCTCCGAGAAAAAGCTCTCTCGACACTTGGTTGCACGTGATAGACCCAACGATGAGGAATTGGAGCTGCGTGGTTGGACCACTTACACCGAGGATGAGGGTTTACAGGATACAGTCATAGATACGAATACATAAACATCAACAGCAAAAAATGTAGATCTCAGAATGAAACGAAAAATGCACTGAAAAACAAGCAAATTTCGAGATTAACGAAGGATCAGTTACTCTCCAAATATCCACGGGCCAAAATGGCCTTGCCATCATCAATGTCCATAGTAGACAGCGCGTGGCGGATATTCGTGACTATCTGAAGAGAAAAAAAAAGAAAAAGAAGAAAGAGCTCCGCAAGCTCCTGCCCAGAAATATTAACCCAGGGCACCGGGAAAAAAAAACGGATGAGTCAGCATTCCAATCGGGCACGTGATAGAGAGACCCGGCGATGAGGAATTGGAGCTGCGTGATTGGCCCACCTAAACCGAGGAACCGAGCGCCAGTTCCGTTCCGAAGAAGCTCGTCACGGATCTTGAGCCCGAAGCGACAAAAACGAGGGAATCTCGATACTTTCGAATTCTGGGGGAATCAAACCACTTCGCCCAATTGACCGCCCTCTCCGCTCCTTCGAGATTGCTTTTCCAGCTTGCCCAAGATGATCGCTCAACGGCTCGGCCTCGCTGCCATGCGCAGTATGTTTTTCTCTCTCTCTTTGCCGGGCTCTTTCACATGAGAGGCAGAGCTGCGAATAGCCTCAACCTTGCGGGAGACGATGTGCTAACTTTGGAGCTTCTCTTATAGGCGCGACTAAGCCCAACGCTTTCTTCAGCCAGAACATTCCTCGCATGGTTCTCGCCTCTGCCATGTCGACTTCTCAGGCCCGGTAAGCAATGTCACTCGACCCCACGCTCTCCGTCGTTCGCAACATCGAAAGGCAACCCCTCCATGAAGAACAACATCAACCAAAAAGAACTTTGCTAATACGATGCTCTTCTTTCATTCATAGACTCATCTCGACTGAGAAGCTCACCCCCGAACAGGGCCAGCAGATCCTCGTCAAGCAGCGTCTCGACCGCCCCGTCTCTCCCAACCTGGGCATCTACAAAATGGAACAGACCTGGTTCGGCGCCTCCGCTTGGACTCGTATCACCGGCTGCGCGCTCTCCGGCGCCGCCTACGTCTACTTCACCGCCTACCTCGCCTCTCCTCTTCTGGGCTTCCACATTGAGAGCGCTGCCCTGGCTTCCGGCTTTGCTGCTCTGCCTTTTGTCGTCAAGGGCGCCATCAAGTTCGCCTTGGCTTTCCCTTTCACCTTCCACTTCATCAACGGCATCAAGCATCTGGTATACGACCTGGGTATTGGATTTGCCAAGAAGCAGATCACGAGGGGAGAGATTGCTCTGTGGGTTTCAAGTATCCTTGGCGGTGGCTACTTGGCTTTCGGCTTGTAAGAGGTGGGAAATGGGGCGAGTGGGATACATACGGAAAGGGAGTATATACCGGGCGGGGAATTGAAGGTGTAGTGTAAAACTAACTGGCCATGAAAGGCCTTTTCGATTAACTGTCCAAATCTTGATATTAAAAAAAGAATTATAAACAATCTGAACAATGCGCACTAATCGTGCAGTATAAAGCTATTTTCCCGGATATCAACCAATCTAAAACGCCGTGCGCCTACTTCATATGCCGTTTTAACTGTGGCTGTTTACATGTTACTCCTCCTTGTATGCTTTTACTCTAGAAACCGAGCATCGAGAATCGTCTTGTTCAGCTGATGGTTGCGAGCAGTCGCAATCTTCTCGCCAACGATGGGGCCCAGGAAGTCATTGAGGTCAGAGAGCTCAGATGCAGGGGTGCTTCCGTTAATTCCATTGGCTTCCGCTGCATTACCACCTGCTATATCGGTTCTCTGCGCAAGAGATGCTACCGCCTGCACAAGCCCCTGCACGAGCATCTCATACTCGATAGAGCCTTCGGATTTCTCTTTCAAGGGTTGGAGGATCCCAGAGTCAAAGCTCTTGAGGTTTCGCAAGACCAAAACTCGAATTGCTTCCGTGCCTCCTGCCTCGAGAAGGCCGTGAATTGCGCCGTACAACACGGCGGGCGGCTTGGTGGGGTCCAAGAAGTACTTGAGACACGTTCTTGTGAGCTTTGGTCGAAGTAGTGAGTTTGATGCCGAGTATTTGCGGGCAATGCGGCCGAGTAATGAGGCCGCCAACTGACGAAGATCATATTGCTCTTTCAGCGAATCCTGTCCCTCGTCCGTGCCCAGTTTTCTGGCCATCAAGCAAGTCAGCACAGGTGCGGAGAGGGAGCTGGCATACGGATCTAAGAACAGGCTCTTGTTCTCAATCAATGCATTTGTCAGCTCCATCATCTGCTTCAGAGTGAATGTGTCGTCGAGTTGGTGTGTGACTCTGTCCATGATGAAGTTGATGAAGTAGGGAACTAGCTGATGAAGACCGGGATCATCTCTAACGGAACCCAGCGCAGCTTGACGTAGTCGTATAACCTCCTCATCCGGATTGTCGTCGAGGATGGCGGCCTGAATCTTGTCGAAATAGAGGATGAGCTCCTTGCTCACAATATGTTTGACTGAAGGCTGGCCAGCGGAAGTATCATTCCCAGCCAAAGCTGACAGCGCAGGGTTCGCTCCTGGGCCTTTTGGAAGCAGATCTTGCGGTCGCAATTCGGCGGAAGTCGGATTCTGAGGGATAGAGGGCTGAACACCTTCAATGGCAAGCCAGTGCGCTACAGAAAACTGTCAGTGAAACCGCATGCAAAGAATCAACGTTCTGCCAGACGAGACCTACCAGTGAAATTCATATCTCGCGGCACTCTAGGGAGCGGCGCGTTGATCAGTTTCTCAAAATCCACCTCTTCATCCTCAATGTAGAAGAGCGGCTGGCCAGGTCCCAAGCTCGCCTCGCCATATCGCAAAGGTCGCGTCGAATCGTAGCCGTACAGAGGCTCCGCGTCCAGGACTCGGAGGGCCAAGGAGATGTCGTTAACCGTCATGGTCGTTCGTCGTGCCGCGCGCATCAAGCGGAGAGCCTCAATGATGACCTGGCCGATGCGGTACTCGACGTCCTGCGCGAGAGCCTTGAGGGCCTCATCGCTCATGGAGCCAATGCCCACCGACTCGGCGACATCTTTGACGTTTTCGGGGTTCCACAGGAGCTTGGGGTTTTCGTTGGCCATAATTCTTGCCTTTTGATTGGCAGTGTCAGCGGTGTGAAGCTGCAACTTCGCTCAAGGAATGGTTGGCGGCCTCGTGAAGCGATTCGCGAGTGGGTTGATGATAACTCGATAAGGCTGAGAGACCGATGCGAGGCGAGCTTGGATGAATTGTGGGGAGGGAGAAGGCTGGAAGATTGGTAGTACAATGGACAAGGTACCTGGGTACGACCGCGCAAAGTTTCACAGCGCTTGTTCCAGCGGCTGTAGCGGGGCAGCTCTAGCGTGGCCTGGTAATTCGGCGCACGTCAGTGGCCCAGGGTGCCGAATTCGGGACGTGGGGTTTGACTCTGCGCTTGTAGTTCCGATGCTCAGAGGCCGAATGAGTGCGCATCTTTTTTTTTTTTTCTCTTCTATTATACCTATTATTCTCCAGCCATTGAGCCACTTGATCATTGCTTCAAGAAGGCCTGAGTGACAATGGTAATTGCTGAGCTGCTTTTCTGATATTATCTTTCATTAAGAAGCAGCGGCGCAACGCCTATTCGACACAATGCCGGGAGTAAGACGATATCCTACTGATTGCGATGCCCTCATCGAGTCTCTGACTAACAAATTTTCAGCCCAGGACCTTGGCCTTGGCTCTCTCAGCCACGAGAGTCGCATCTCGCCGCGTCTCTCATTTGCGATCTTCTCGTCTTCCGGCCTATCGACAGCATGCGTTTAGCACTTCTCACCCCGTTCGACGACCCGATGCTTTCCACTCTATGCTTGAAGAGGCGCGCAAGGCTTCCGATGTCCTCTCCGCCAACCCGAATACTATCTCTAGCTCGCCTCAAACACGGACAGAGAAAATTATACAAAAGCATTCAGTTGGTCTTGCGCCTGGAAAGGTTGTCAAGTCTGGAGACTATGTATCTCTTCGACCCCAACACAGCATGTCGCACGACAACTCATTTCCCATTGTCCAAAAGTTTTTCAACATTGGAGCATCCAAGATTCACGACAATCGCCAGGTGGTCTTCACCCTCGATCACGATGTTCAGAACAAAAGCGAGTCCAATCTCAAGAAATATACCTTTATAGAAGAGTTTGCGCGTACTCATGGCATTGACTTCTACGGTAAGCCTCCTTCCGTCTTCCAACTAGCAGGCTGAAGGCTAACAACAACAACAATAGGCGCCGGCCGCGGCATCGGTCACCAGATCATGGTCGAGGAAGGATATGCCTGGCCGAATACAGTCGTCACCGCGTCCGATAGCCATTCGAACATGTACGGAGCATTGGGAGCGGTTGGATCACCCATCGTCAGATCAGATGCCGCCAGTGTACTCGCAACTGGACGAACTTGGTTTCAGGTACCACCCGTCGCCAAGGTAACATTTACTGGCGCGTTGCAGCCTGGAGTCACGGGCAAAGATGTCATCATCGCGTTGGCTGGCTTAATGAATCAGGACGAGGTATTAAATCACTGCATTGAGTTTACCGGATCAGAACAAACATTGCGAAGCCTCCCTGTGGATTTTCGTTTAACTATCTCCAACATGACCACCGAATGGGGTGCTTTGTCTGGAGTCTTCCCTGTGGATTCTGTTCTCATCTCATGGCTACGAGCAAAAGCTACTCTGGCAGCCATGTTTGAGGGGGGCAAGGGACGCTTCACTCACGAGCGCATAGATGAGCTGGAGAGAAATCCAGTTGAAGCTGATCCCGGTGCTACCTACGCCAAATCGCTATTTCTCGATTTATCCACTTTATCTCCAGTCGTATCAGGACCCAATACTCCCAAAATCGCAACGCCCCTCAAGGATATTGAAGCTCAAAAGATTCCTGTGAACAAGGCTTATATCGTCTCTTGCACGAACAGCCGTGCCTCTGACTTGCAAAGCGCTGCTCAAGTCTTCCGAGAAGCGGCCACAGAAGACGGCGTCATCCCCAAAATCGCACCAGGAGTCGAACTTTATATCGCGGCAGCTTCTCTTCCCGAACAAAAACTCGCTGAAGAGGCTGGTGACTGGCAGGTGCTTCTAGACGCTGGAGCGCACCCGCTTGTCTCTGGATGCGGGCCGTGTATAGGCCTCGGCAGCGGTCTACTTGAGCCAGGTGAGGTAGGCATCAGCGCCTCGAACCGAAACTTTCCTGGTAGAATGGGTGCAAAAGATGCGACAACATATCTTGCCAGCCCTGAAGTTGTAGCCGCTAGTGCTTTGAAAGGTTATATTGGGGGTCCGGGTTGGTATCAGGCGCCGGAAGGTGTTGAGAAGGTTATTATTGGCGAGGGCAGCGGAAATCTTGAAGCAGACAGGGCCAGGAGCATTGAGGATGCTCTTGATAAGCTCCTGAACGAAGCCGAGAGCATGATCTCCGGTGCCGAGAAAAATCTTAACGGCTCCAGTGAGGCTCCGGTGGTTGAATCCGAAGACACTCTGACCGATATCCTGCCCGGATTTCCTGAGTCCATTGAGGGCGAAATTGTTTTCTGGTAAGTCAAAACTGAGGGTTAATTATGTCGTTGCTGACTCAAAAATCTAGCGATTCCGATAACATCAACACTGATAGCATCTATCCAGGGACGTTTTATCTCTTGTTTCTTAAGATCTAGTTGACAGTGTATACTAACGATTGTACAGGCAAGTATACCTATCAAGATAACATATCCAAGGAGACCATGGCAGAGGTGTGCATGGAAAACTATGACTCTGCATTCCGCACCATTGCCCGTGAAGGCGATATATTAGTAGTTCCATACAATTTCGGCTGCGGCTCGTCCCGAGAACAGGTATAATCTCTAGCACATCCACCCAATCATACTCTTAACTAATTAATAAACAGGCCGCTACATCGATCCTGGCAAAGAAGATTCCACTTGTTGTGGCTGGCAGCTTCGGTAACATCTTTAGCAGAAATAGCATCAACAATGCTCTTATGGGCATCGAGCTGCCACGCCTTGTCTCACGGCTGAGAGAAACGTTTAAGAGCGAGGATGGCAAAAAGGTACTTACACGACGCACCGGCTGGAAACTCAAGTGGGACGTCCGCAGGAGCAAAGTGACCATTACAGAGGAGGGCGGAGAGACGTGGAGTGAAAAGGTTGGCGAACTGCCGCCCAACGTTCAGGAGATTATTGCCAAGGGAGGGTTGGAGGGCTGGGTGAAGTCTCAGATTTCCCAGTGAGTGTGTTGAGTCACACCAACTATTTAACTGTGGTTGCAATTGCTTTACACCATGTATAGACTTGATATCCTGCCATTTGTTACACGTCTTTTTCCTTTTGCAAGATTGGCGAGCCACCAGTGCGAGCAACGTATATATTTTAAAAGAAAGAGAGAAGAGAAAAGATATTGAAGAGGAAAAGGAAAAACGAAGACGATTAAGAGAAGGATCAGTTTCAAGCCAAAGGGTGAAATAAAACAAAACATTTAAGCGAATTCTAGTCTATCATAAGCTATCTGATAACAACTGAAAGCGATACATGACTTCTATCCACCGCTTAGGCGCCAATGGCGGCAACGAGGGCCTTGCCAAAAGAATTGGCCGAAACCGGGTTCTGGCCAGTCACAAACTGACCGTCAACAGCAACCTTGTCGCCAAAGACACCCGCCTTGACAAACTTTCCACCGGCAGCAATGACCTTGTCCTCAACAAGCATAGGCATGGCGCTGGTCAGCTTAATAAAGTCCTCCTCCTCGTTGGTGAAGCCGGTAATCTCCCGGCCCTTGATGATGTGCTCGCCATCAACCTTGACGTTGACCAGAGCAATAGTGCCGTGGCACACGGCAGAAACAATCTTGCCGGCGCGGTAAAACTCCTCAACCAGGGCAATGGAGTCGGCGTCGTTGACGAGGTCGTACATGGGGCCGTGGCCGCCAGGGAAGAAGATGGCGTCGAACTCGGCCGAGCGGCCGCGGAACTCCTTGATGGTGGCCGTGTTCTCCCACAGGGCCTTTTGGTTCTCGAAGAAGGCCATGGCGACGGGGTCGTCCTTGGAGCCCTCGAGGGAGCCCTGGTCGAGAGGGGCGGCGCCGCCCTTGGGGGAGACGACGGTGACTTGGACGTTCTTCTCGGTGAGGATGTGGTGGGGGTGGGCGAATTCAGGCTGTGTTGAAGTGTGAGTGAGTTTTCAGGATTGGGGTTGAGATTTTCATTGTGAAGAGAAGGAAATGAGAGTGATTGAGTAACGTACGAGGTACCAGCCGGTTTGCTTGTTGAGGGCGTCGATCTTGTCGTGGGAGGTGAGGACAACGAGGACCTTCTTGGCAGCCATTGTATCGGTTTTTTTGTTTAAGAACTTGAAGTTTTGTGATGAGTGTTGCGAGATGCAAGTGTTGCAAGTTGAGATTGCTAGCGAGTTGAAGAAGTTGTTGCTGTTGTATTGATGCTGAGCTGTCTGGATGCTTTCTGATTTTTTCTTTCCAAAACTGGTGACATCAAAGGGTCTTTATATACTCAGCCCTCCTGTAACTTCTCCATCGTCCTCAGCCCCATACCAGCTCCTGAAACCTCCACCACGATCGCCCTATTCTCATCTCCCTATCCTTCTCCGAGCTTCTACCTACAATTCGGGGACATATTCTCTCCGCCTCAAGCAGGGCTTCAGCTCTAGTCCCCGCTGGTGCATGAACGTGTACCCCTGTTTCGTCCCGGACTCGTTCCGGAAATGGAAACAGATTGGCTGCGCTTTTGGTGTACGTCACAGAACGGCCTCTTTTTGGTGCTAAAGAAGCTTTAGAGCGGATGGGTTTCCGAGAAAACGGGTTACGTAACTACGCGTAAACTGAAGGCTCTTTGTGGGTTTGCAGCAATTGAGGCTGCTGAGTCATCTGGCGCGGCGGATGATACCGTGGATTTCGGCGGCATGTCCCGCAACGTAAGCAGCTGTTTACAACTTACCCTGGAATTTTTAGCAGGATGGCAGGACTTAAGGGCTTGTCTCCGGCATTGAAGCACGGGAAAACATTCTATTACGGCTGACGTGGGCGGTTCTGATGGAATCATTGTTGTAGTCTGTGATTTAGTTTGTAATAATGTCCGTGGCATTGCGTCGGTGCTGATTTGGATTGGTGAGCAGTGAGGATGGGATCCGCTGTTGGGGTTTTGAACAATGTGTAAGAGCATTCAAGATTATCAATTGGTTAATTGAATTTGATTGGAACAGATGATGGCGTAGAAGCTATCCTGATGATTCCATTGAGCTGGATTAGCCTAGAAGAAAATTTTTCAGAGACAGCTGGCGAGATAGATGATGTGAATTGCATCAGTTGGAGGATGATAATATTGCCGAAGAAGACCATCTTTCATCTTGATATTTTTTGGCACTTATTGTGTCTTGAGGGTATATGTATCTCCTATTGTTGAATTTACCTGAAAATGGAAATATCATGTAATCTTCTAGCTATAGCTTACAACGTTTCGATATTTTTGTTTAGACGCGGATAGCAGCGAAGCATACGCAATCTAATTTTCTATGTAGTCACATAAAAGAAGGAGAAGAAGAAAATGTGTGACGTATAGAAAGTGTAATACTGAGCTTAATATGGTAGCATCTATGATATTGATTTGTGCATGGTCTTATCATTATCAATTTCCTGCAATGTCCTTAAAATGCCTTTCCCCCGGCGCATGTCCATCCAAACAAAATAATGACGCCATATATCCTCCATTGCATCTTTCTCCATCTCCCCCAACAGGTTTTTCTTCTAGCTCAAAGAGTCTGCCACACATGGCACGATGTCATCTCTTCAAGCAAAGTCCTTCAAGCTACACTTGTCATACCCCGAGCCAGCAAAGAACGTGTGTTCCGATGCATCTTTTGAGCTAAATCCACTGCTGCAGTCTCGGTTCTCACCCTCCTTCAATGCCGACCGCATGGCCGGATGTAATTCCACGTATGAGATCGGCCCTTGGGTTCATTCACACTGGACGGAGAATATACATCCTTGGCCCCCAGAATCGAGACTCATATGTGATTTCTGAGTTGTCGGCTACCGATAATTACGGCAATAGACAAGAAAAAGATCCAAACTGTACTACAGTCAGCCATTGATGTGGACGCATCAGAAGAACAGGATAAGCATACCATGAAGGGTTTCATATGATTTGCGGATCGAAGCAATTACCATCTTCTGCAAACTTGGATCAAAGGATCGCAGTGCTTCCAGGCTCCTCGATATTTTAGAAATTACCTGAGGGAGTTAGAGAGAGGTACCATCTCAGAAGTACACATAAAACATATTAAATGAAGAGGGGTGTTTATCGCCATGGAAGAGTAACAGAGCGGTAACTTACATCGTCAGCCAAGTCGTCATTCCCAATCTCTGACCTCAGGATTTTGGTCATGACAGAATGAAATATCGTAGCAGAAGTTTTCGTGCCAAGAGTTCCCCATATGGACACGATGACGCTGTTCATGCCGATGAGTAACGCTCGATCTATGCTCATCAATCAGCAAAAAAACAACAACTGACATTGCATATCTTGAAATGAAGAAAATACCATTCTTTGCAGATTGAGAAAACGACAGAAGCGAAACGATAAGTCCTTCAAAGGTCGTCGCGAGAGATGCCCCCAACAACATGAGAACTGCCCAGTTCAGCATCCCACCAATCTCTAATTTTGGAGTAAGCATAGAACTTTGTCTCATTAGTGCAATAGATGAACAGAACATTGAATACGCACCAACAAAGCCTGAGGCGAGCGACACATAGCATATACTGGTCAGAGAGGACGCAAAGAAAACAGCAGCCATAGCATTGCCGGTGGCCCGAACATAGAGCCCCCCAACGAGGAAGCCTAGTCCCAGTCCGACATAGAGAGGACTTAGACCACTATTAGATGAGTTGGGGTCGGCATACGCTTCCGCTTGAAGGAAGAAGGAAATCTGATAGAGACTCTGGGCAACTATTAGTAGATGGACAAAGTCGCCTGGGGACAAGACTATAGATACAGCTGTGTAGCCAAACATGGCAATGCTATTGCACCCAATAGCAAATCCGACCGTTCTGTCGCTCAGAAAATTCAACGGTATGAGTGCTTTGCCAGGCCTATTGATTTCCACGTAAATGAAGGCAACCGTAGATAAGATGGCTGTAAGGGAGGTAACTATTAGGGCAGCGCTGCCCCAGCCGAGTTTGCTACCTCCAAGCTCGAGTGCCAAGATGAGCGAGAAGACTGATGTTCCAAGCAGCGCTGCGCCGAGAATGTCAAACTTGGCAAGGAATCCGCGCAACGACCACACATTCTCAGACTGAGCGGAGGCTGGGGAACGGTTTGAAGCCAGAGAAGGCATAGTAACCACTACCCAAAGAAGCGGCACGAATATAATGCCAGAATTCACTTGGTACCATCTATACAGCCTGAGTCAGTAGCTGCAAAACTAAGAAGAAATCGTCATCGGGCGGGCTCACAAGCGCCAGGCAGCTGCATTCGAGTGAGCAAGGCGGGATCCCAGGATGCCTCCGAGCACCAGTCCCGCAGTTTCGCAGATACTATGAACACTTTGAAGCAAAGCAAACGTCCGAAGCTGCACCATATCTTGTGATGCTGTTAGACAAAGTCTAGTCTTCCTTCACCTGGGTATGAGACATACCTGATAGCGTAAACGTTACAAGGATAGTCATGCCTGAGACGCCTGTGGACAGGATTACTCTCCCCAACAGTGCTTGTGCAAAGCTCGATGCAAAGGAACTGTTTCATGGAGCTGTTAATATCACCTAGTCGGGGATGATGGAGATTGCAGTGCCGTCACACCTCAGACTCGACCCAACGAGGAAGAAGAGATAGGCCAGCAAGGTTAATCGTTTGCGACCATAGGTATTGGATAAGCCTCCATACTGAGGATGAAGTTAGCGCGAGACAGACGGCAGCGGTGGGTGAAACTTGCAATCGGCTGCGCAATGCTGTGTATCAGCTCATGAGTGAGGATCAACCACGAGGCATTCTCGAGGTTGTGGAAATCGGAGCCTAGCAGAGAATTAGCAAGCAGACTCGCAGCAGAAACGAGGTCCGAATGAACCGTTCCACGTACCAATCAGTGCGTATGTTGCCGTGTTGTATGCCACATCCATACTCGCGAGAGTTGCTCTATAGCAGGTTAGGGTCCATCGTAAGCCATCACAATCTCAAGGCCACCGACCCTAGGAAAAGACCTGTCACCACCACGGCCGTGGCGTAGTTGGTCTTGACAATATTCTCGTCAGGCTCTTCATTTTGTCCGAGATGCGCGCTAGGTTCTGGCGCGAGTAGCGTCTCTGATTCAGTCGATTCAGGCATCCCGATGGATGAATAGGTGGTTTGCAGAGTAGGTATGGAGTAGAGGTTGGACACTTGATGGGTGATAGGCACCTTAGCAGGCAGATTGGTAGGCAGATTATAGAGGGCAGAAACAAAAGGTCCAGGTTAGGAGCACACCCTACCCGTGTTGGATGCTGGTTTTACCAATCAAAAACTTGCTGCATAAGCAGCTAGGACGCGCAAGAATATTATTGAAACGATATGCCGAAGTAGACTGCTTGGTGATAAAAAAGGACATTATGTTTACTAGAGAGCCGTATCATATTAATTGTATCATGAAACTTGGGCATTCCGGTGTTAGATAACCCTTTTTATACTAAATTAACTATGAAAACAACGTGGTTTTTATTTATACATTTACATATTTAGCAAATACTCTCGTCTTTGATAAGCAAACGAATTATAGGCAATAATCTTATAAATTGAATTATGTGAAGATTAAGTGTTTATAGAGATAATAACTTGGAGAATCGATGGATGCTACTAGGGTGTCGCGCGTCCCACTCATAACCGCGACGGGAGTGCCCCGCGCAAAGCCGGTGGACAAAAAAGCGGGATTGCGAAAGGCAGATTTACCTGTATCAAGGCAGAAATTCTCAGAAATCTCGTTCGGTATTGATATAACAAGTAAAGGTAATTGCGAATAAATAGAGATGTGAGAAGGAGGATGAAGCACATTGCCACTTCTATAAGCCCATGGTTGGCTGTTTGTTTGCCATTTCGCAGCTGCTTATTTTGTCCACCGCCCGCCAGCAGTACAGTCCATCCCCCGCGACCCCTGTAAACTCTACCGCCAGAGGACCTTCTAGCGCAGCGCTAGGTGGTGCTCAGCTGTTGTCCTTCAGGTACTCAGCAGGTTGCTGTACACGCTGAAACGCTGAGTCCTTGCTGTGCATCGATCGACTGGCAGAATTAATCCAGCTTGTAGGTAACTCTTCCATCCTGAGCACGCAACCATCAAGTTTCCAGCAGCTCTGACCATCATGACAGCCACTAGCCCTTCTTTATCACCTCATCTGGCCACGATGGGCCTCTCAGACGGTTGGCAATCGGTGATCCGCCTCGACGAACGATCGTACCAGTGGTCTCAGGATCCTGTTGCTCGTCTAAGCGCTGATTTTCGTGTGAGCTCCCGCCAAATATACATGTAGTCCACTGATTGCCATCGCAGACGCGCTGACGGCAAGATAACTCTCTAGCAATTCTGCTCCGAAATTTCAGCGAGTCCGTGTCTCGTCTTCCGCGCTGACGATTGCCCTGACTTTGCCGACTCCAGCCTCTGTGAGCTCTTCTCACATTGGCTAACAATTGACGATGTCACTTCCGTGTCTTTCTGCAGGACCGTCTTCCTGCTAGATCCGTCTCTCGAATCTGGAACGGTCGAAAACATGTCCAAAGATTCCTTTCCCGGTCTCAGAGATCTAGGCACGATAAACGTCATCCGAATGGCCACCAATGGCTTACAGGGACTGCGCTCAGGGCCATACTTTTATCAAGAAGCCAGCTTCCATCACGTGTATCGAGTGTTTCCCGATTCTCAATCTGCCTTCTTCTCGGCCATCACGCAGAACCCTATAAGCGGTCAATTTATAGAGCATCGCCCAACCGACCATGTGGCCGTGCCGTCTCGCCTATACTCTCCACCGCAGACCCCCAAACTCCCCTTGTCTGGCCTTCGATTTGCGTCAAAAGATGTATTTGATGTTGCCGGACTCAAGACTAGCGCGGGCTCCAGGTCTTTCTTCGAGCTGTCTGATCCCAAACCCAAATCGGCATTCATCGTCCAGAAGCTCACTGCTTTGGGCGCAGTCCTGGTTGGCAAGGCCAAAAATACACAGTTCGCCAACGGTGAAGATCCACAGGAATGGATCGACTACCGCTGCCCTTGGAACCCGCGTGGTCAGTTATCCCCTTCTTCTGCTCTATATCTTGGCGTCTTTTCCTAAACGTTCAGCAGGTGACGGCTATCAAAACCCCGATACGAGCAGTAGCGGGAGCGCGACGGCGGTTTCCTCATATCCATGGCTAGACTTTGCCATTGGATCCGACAGTAAGATTAAGCTTGTCTTTCCTACTTTCAGATGTCAGGAGCTGCCAGAGATCAGTGCTAATGAGACCCTTCCTAGCTTGTGGCAGCATCGCGTGCCCGGCGGCTGCACAGGGTATCTTTGGCTTAAGGTTATCTACTGGCGCGCTCCCTCATGAAGGAGTCTTCACCATCAGCAAGTATGAATAAGCATATATTACTTTACGGACCATCTATACAAACAGACTACTAATCTTCACGTCTTAGATATTTAGATACGTCAGGCATCTTCACTCGAAGCATCGATATTCTGCATCTCGTCACCTCCAAGCTACTTGAGGGCACATCTGAACCTGGAAGAAGCCTTCCTCTATCCGAAGTAATCGAACCTGCCCTCCCCCTCCCTCCGCCATTAGCTAGTGCTTGCCTTCAAGGCTAATATAGTAGGTCCAGACAATTCCTTCACGGATAGTATACCCCGAATCGTCATTTCCGCACGACAATGACGAAACCATTGATTCCGTTGATCGATTTATCAAGGCTCTCGAGAGCTTCTGCGGCACAGAGCGAACGACATTGGATATAGATGAGAAATGGATAAAGATGGATCCCCACGGCCATAAGCTATCGATCTATAGCGAATTAAAGACGGTGGCTCCCCCTCTCATTCCTTTCTGTAAATTGTTCCTGAAATGTGAGTCCTGACATGAGTGCCAAGACCACAGCTCATCTACACCTGGCTGGATTTTACGACGCCATCGCACCCTTTCAGGAAGCATACCGAAGCACATACCAGAAGAACCCTTACCTGGATAGAGTCAATATCGAAAAACTGTAAGAACTGTGTAATTGTTGTCGGCAAGAGGTGCCTTCTATCTAACCACGACTCGCCAGGAAACTTGCCCGGTTGGTCACGATAGAGGATCGCGAAAAAATGGTACAACAAAAAGCATTCTTTGCCAACTTCGCCCGCAAGCAGATTCTACAGGGTGGTGACGGTAGCGGCGCCACTGGCTCCCTTGGAGGAATCATGGTCTGGCCTTTTAACCCCCAGGAGCCACAATATCGCGACAATTACCCATCGTGAGTTTTACATCTTGTCACCTAGATGTTGAAGTCGCGTATCTGACGTATTGGGTGTGGAAACAAAGTCTTACGCCCCATGTAAATTGGCGCTGGGATGTGGACTACACTGCCCCTCTTGCCGGGTTGCCCCAAGTCATTGTGCCTAGTAAGTTGGAGAAATGCCACTTTTGCTCATGTGCGTACCTCGCTGATGACTCATTTCTCCATAGTTGGCCAATTCCAGTATGATTCTCGCATCACAGGAGAGCCGGATTTTCTCCCGATCGCTGCCTCAATCGTGGGACCTCCAGGTGAGCTTACTTGGCACCATGTCCCATAACCTCCTAGCTTCCAAACGTATTGTAGTACTGACTAGATACATTTTGATAAGGGAGCGATATTGCATTGCTAGACTTTATTTCAAAGTTTCTCCAAAGGACACGAGGCCTGTTATCCGTGAAGCCTGGGCGCTATATTGTGTAGGTATCGATAGAATGGAAGTGAGTAGTCATGCTTCATGAACAAGAGTGCCCAATTAGATACAATGAAGTACGTACTTTAACAAGGAAGACGGAAAATTGTGCTTGGATGCTCTCCTCTTTTCCCTACGTCATTACTCTCATTCCCCTCAACGCGATGCATTCAGCATGGTTACACTTGTTGTAACTCTTTGCTCTAGCTGTTTTGCTTTAGCCGGCAGTTATTAGACTACTTCGGTCACTTTCCATAAGGTTAGGGCTACGAAGACCCAATACACCTCGGTACTAAGTTTTGTTTCTATCCAATTGTCTCGAGATAGACAATCACAATTCACATACATACGAAGCACACCCTATTCGTCGCTGGCTGGTATGCCTACTGCATATATAAGCCCATTCGGTCCGAACTAACAAGTAGACAGACGTTATTGTTTTCAGAGGGCGCACAAATAAATTACATGTAACATCAGAGCTGAAAGAAGGATTGGTGGCGTCGAGACAGTTGAGGAAATTGACTGAGGGGCAAACCACGGGTGGTGTTCGAGACAAGAGAAGGGAAGCAGTTGCACAAGATACCCAGAACGGGTAACATTGGAATTAAGAGGCTGATAATATCGGAGCCAGAAATTGCAGCCTGATCATTGGGCAGCTTCAAATCATGTATAGTTGCTATAACATTCTACCCCTCATTCACTACATGTATAAGCGCACATGAAAGTGTATAGAACAAGTACCTAATGTAGTGGCATGCGTACATAGCAATGTAGCATTAGCTTGTTTCGTAACTATGCGGGTACAGCTAGAAACGTCAAAGGTACAAGTCCACAAATAGCTCTTACCTTATTATTAAATTAACTAAGAAAACCTGTAACACCCATTCAGAAGCTTGCAGTATAAATGTGATTAACGATATAGAATCTATCGCGTAGCTGCCTGGAGCAACGAGTTGGTGTGGACGGACGATCGACCAGACCAGATGAGGCCTAGGTCAAGGGATATGAGCTGATTCCCGTGCACTATAAAATTAGCCTTGGCTCCTATACTTGGATAGGTAATAACTAGGGCGCTAGCACTAGGGGTGGCGGGTCGCACGTGGAGCAATATTGGGGCTTGAGGTGCTGGGAGATTTACTTGAACGTATCCGTACGTTGGCTATTGGGTACTGGATACTGTCAGGATACTGTCAGCGTCCAGGACACGATAGTACACGAAGCTATGGCATATATGCTACAGGTGGTGTGGACAATGCTACAGGTTAGGTAGGTGTATCCCATGCAATTCTATCCGTACCTTGATGCGAGCTCCATTCCAGTTTCTACTGCATCAATCCTCTCTATCTGCTGAATTGATCCAATTCAGAACAAGATTATCAGCAAAGCTTCCTTGTCCAGCCTGAGCGAGATCATCACAGTCATTCAAGATGCCTTCAGCCCAAGGCCCCATGGAGACCCAGGTGTGGTACCTAAAAGATGACCCCAAGTGGGACAAGGAAAAGCCCTACTATAGCAATATCCCCTTTGAACATCCTGATGCAAAACAGACAAACTTGGAGACGGAGCCCAGTAATGTCACCGCCGTCGATATTCGTGGCCGAGAAGGCGAATTTGATCTGGAGCAGCACGGGTTTTGCGTAGTTCGCACAGACCTAGACGATATAGACAACATCTATCCCAACTTTGCCGACCCCTATTGGGTTCAGGACAGTTACTATGCACGCCTGGAGAAATGGATGCGAGCAGCAATCGGTGACGACAAGATTCGTCGCATCTATATATATGATCACACGGTTAGCACCACATCTTCAAACTCAATGTAAATTGCCCAAGTCTGATGCCGCCTCTTACTCCAGGTCCGTCGTCGCGATCCAGGTCTCGCAGTAGAGTCGAGAGGCACCGAGGGCGCCCTTCAGCCGGTCCTCGCGGCCCATACAGGTATTTTCTCGTTTATCGGGTTCTAGGCAAAGTTCAATATGCTAACCAATGTTCAAGACCACAGCCACGGCAGTGGCCCAACCCGAATACAAGCTCATCTGTCCGAAGAAGAGGCCAAATCGCTAATGCAAACCCGTTTTCAAATTATCAAGTTTGTAATCTTCTCATCCTCGCAGTGCAAAGCAGGTCTAACAACACAGCGTATGGCAACCTCTTTTTGGGCCCCTTGAAGACTGGCCCCTCGGGATATGCGATCCGAAAAGCGTCCACCAAGAGGACCTTGTCCACACGGACTTGATATACCCGCACTACTTTGGCGAGATCTACAGCCTTCGCCTCAACGCCTCACACTCTTGGTTCTATCTTAGCCATCAGATGCCGAACGAATTGTTGCTGTTTAAAAACTACGACTCGAAACTGGATTCACCAACTAGATGTAGGTTCTCCCCTTGATAACATCAAGCAGCCACTGAAGAAGTTCTAACATCTGGGGCCCTTTGGCGAACATCCAAAAGTCACCCCCCACTGCGGAATCAGGAATCCGATGACTTCCGAGACAGCCCGGCCGCGCGAGAGCATCGAATTCCGTGTCATGGTATTTTACAACGATGAATAAAAAGATTCTTTTACTGCTCCCATCTTCCCTCTTCTACGTAGAGAAAGTCAACTTTGAACTAGATCATGGGCACAAGCTTCGATTCACAAAGTTTCTCTGCTTCAGGCTGACTACCTATGGACCACGAAACTTGATCATGATTTCGCATCCCTGTAAACACATCGGCACATACTTGTAGTATTTCAAGCGGTGGGTTAACCCCCCTGCCTGATGTGTATATACCGTCTTGGAGCGGTTAGCCACCTGCGTTGCCTGATGGGCCAGCGCCTTCAATGCCGCCCGTCTTGACCCAGTCAATCCACGGCTTGGCAGACTCGTTTTTGGGGTCTGGCTTCCAGCCGATCCAGGGCTTGTCATCGCTCGCCACGGCACCCTTGTCAGGCAGCCACTGGCGCCAGGTCTGCTCCTTTCCAGACTCATTGGCCACCTGGATGGGCGCCTCAAACGCTCTGTTCTCCCCGGCGTCAGGGTTACCCTGCACCATGATTACTGTAGCACACGATACAAAGACACGGCCTAAAGGTCTAGTAACTGTCAGAATGCTTTGACGAGAACTATCATCTTGCCGAGAGGGCCGGCGGATACGTACATGTGTGTCAATTGACAAGTGTCAGATGGAATGTTGCGCGATGTCTTGGGAATATCTCACAAGACAGTAACAATCTTGCCGTTTATTATTCACAACATGGTGTAATACCAGTATTTATACATATGGCCAGTCAGATTCTAGCAATGGAGCTTTATCAGTCATATTCCAGGATGCCGAATCACTCCGAGACGAATGCAATACCCCTCTTCTTGACGGTTCTTGATGGTGTGTAGGAAGAGCCTCAACCCTTCAGCCCCATCCAATACGCTTACTTGCTTGGCCAGCCATCTCGACCAAACGCAACACCCTTTGGCAAGAGGATCCTTGGGGATATGCGCGCAAATAGGCCTATTCACGCCAGTGGATCGATTAGTTCTCTGCATATCGCCAATAGCAGTTCGCCATGTGTCGAGGCACTCGGCATCTCCTCGCGAAATGCCGGTATAAGGACGCTGCATCCCGAGGTAATTAGAGGCACTGAAGCTGATAGGCGGCGTACCCAAGAAGGGTTGCCGCACCTGAAACGAGGGGGGGGGTGTGATGGCCTCACTTTGGTAGGTCTTGTTTTATTTTATTTTATCTTATTTCTAATTCTATCTTCTGGTCCATTGTCCAGAGTTTGTACGGAATATAGGTACCACTCTCAGTTGTATCTGTCTGCCTTTAGGTACGTACCTCAGTTGAGCCTCCTTCAACGAAGTATTGTCAAAAGTCCTCGGAAGTTATGCATCACACCACACGACCAACACCAAACTCTAACCTCTCTCCAAAGTACTTTTGCTCTGTTCGTAGTTGCATCGCGTTGCTACGGATATATCACCGAGAATTTTGCGGTACCCGTACCCTATTCCGGGGGCATGGCCACACTACAGATGTTGCCTGTGGTGGGCAATCTCCAGATCAGCGACCCTACTGCCAACAATGATGTCGACATTGCCAAACAACTCAACGAGAAGCTATGGGCTGAGGCATTCAGCCAGCTGCGTAGCCGTCTCCAGAAGAAAGATGTAAAGCAGTTTCAAGCCGACTCTTTTGAAACCCTAAAGAAATATGTCTTGTCTCAGCGCAAGATCTATAGAGACAAACCCGTGACGAAGCTGCTGATCCGCCTCGAGCCCTTCTTTGAGAGGCTTCGGAGCTTTAGCGGCGTCTTTGAAACTTTTGCACAGGCCCATGAGATTGCCGGGTTGCTGTGGGGGAGCATCAAGTTGGTCCTACAGGTGGGTGTTTTTCTTCTTCTTCTTCTTTTCTTTCTAGATGTGACCAACGTGCAACCAACGTGCATGTGAGGCGCAGCTGAGCCAATCTTGAATTCTACTAGTTGGCGTCCAAATTCAACGAAATCTTTGAGAACATCGTCGTCATGCTGGAGAAAATCGACAAGCATCTTCCCCGATTCGAAACCTACATCAAGGCCTTTCCCCATTCCACACGGATAAGCGATGCCGCACTGAACCTGTACACCAAGATTGCTGGGTTCCAACTGGATTCTATCCTGTTCCTCCAGCGGAATCCCCTCAGTAAGGCACCCAGCAAGGCATTTTTTTATATAAACCAATGTTGCGCCAGCTAACTCGTAACAGGAAACCTAATACGGGGTGCCTGGGCATCGTTTGAAGCAACGTTCCAGAAGTGCCTGACCGAGATTCAAGAATGCTGCGACTCGTTGGATGTGGAGGCCTTTGCGGCCAATATCGAGAGCAATATCTCGCGACATGAAGAACTGAAAGAGCTCCTATCCCGCAGAGAACAGCCGGTCGTAGATAAGCGGCCTAAGCTGCCCTGCCACATCTTACATCTCCCTCGCAATGCCCGATTTTCCGGGCGTCTGTCGATTCTGGATGACCTGCAATCGGCACTTGTTCTGCCTTTGGACCGAGTCGAACAGCGTTCTGTCGCCGTTGCGGGGCTTGGAGGCGTAGGAAAGACGCAGCTCGCTGCCGAATTCACCTGGAAGAATCAAGACAAGTTCGACATCATTCTATGGGCGCATGCCGACACCTCTTCCAAGCTGGAGCAAGGCTTTCTTAAGCTGGCTAAGCATTTAAACATCTCAGATGTAAATCCTTCAGCGGATACTAGCAAGGTCGTCGAGGCTGTTGTGCACTGGCTATCCACTGGTGAGCTCTCCCACCACGTTTCGATATTACGTAGTTTCTCTGCGATTTGCATATATATGTGCAAGTATATGTATAGGTATAGGGGCGTGTGTAAGTTTATGTGCGTGTAGATGTGTGTGTGTCTATGTATACGTGCATATTCTTTTTATAAACGTAAACTATACAGGAGCTCAGCTGACCTCCCCTTGTCAGAAAACTACTCGTGGCTACTCATTTTCGACAATGTTGACGAAGGCATCATTTTAAAGCCGTTCTGGCCAGTATGTAGCCGAGGATCTATTTTGGTAACCACAAGAAACACGTTGCCCAAGGCAACTCCTGCCTCCACCTCTATTCATTTGCATCCTCTTACTCACGATGAAGGAAGAGATCTTCTTCTCCTCTCCATCAAGGAGATGGGACAAGGCGCGATTGATATCGACGCTGACGCTGCATTTCGACTGTCCATGGTACTCGGAGGTCTACCGTTGGCCCTTGCACAGATTGCAGGATACATCTCGACCATCGGCTGCTCGGTGGAAGAGTTTCTGGAAATATTTGAAGAAACACAACACTCGAGCGGAGAAATCATCTCAGGTCTTGACAGCACCGATTTCAATTATGACTACACACTTGCTACCGTGTGGGATTTGACTCTGGCCAAATTAGATCCCAAGGCTTTCTTCCTGTTGCAGATGATGGCCTACCTGGATCCCGACTGCATTCCAGAAGCCGTCTTCACCAGTCCGGAGAGCTCCAAAGTCGATTTAGGCACAGATTTCCCAAAGTCCAAAGTGAAGTAAGACGGACCTTCGCTTCTCTCCTTACTTCGCAACAGCTTGTACTAAAAGACACAACCCTGATATTAGGTACTTTGAGGCCCTGAAGAGCCTCTGCACCTACGATTTCGTCCGTCGAGACGCCAAGACGAAAACACTCTCTATACATCGCCTCCTGCAGAAATCTGTTCGCGAGCGCCTCTCAGACTCGGGCCGGCCTGCCGTCTTCCGCTTTGTCGTGCAGCTGCTGGGCGCCATATACCCACAGCAGAAGCTGGGCATGGCCATGGACCGTTTCTGGGAAAAGTGTGATCTCTTCTTGCCCCAAGTCATTAGTGTAATTGGGCACTATGACTGGGTTGTTGAAACGGATCTGCCTTCAGAGCTGGATGTTGAAGTGACTGAGACGTTCGCAATTGAACTTGTAGAGCTACTTCACAACGCCACTTGGTGAGAAACCCCTCAATCTGAACCCTTACCAAGCCAACGTACTCGCATAAAGGATCTAACTTTTTTGCGCAGGTTTATGCAGGAAAAAGGCATGTTCAAGCAGCTCCTACCCATTGCCATGGTTGGCGAAAACATCCTCAAATCTCTTGGGAGAGCTGATTCCATGCTCATGGGCGAGCTGTACAACACCGTGGGCAATGTCTACCTGGAGATTGGAAACCACCAAGAATGCCAAGAGTACTTCACCAAGGTAAAGGTTATTCGGGAGGCTCTTAACCCTGCAGATTCTCCCGTTGTAGCCAACATTACAAATAACCTGTCCCTGGCCGAGACGGCGCTGGGAAACTATCAAGTTGCCGAGACTCTTAGCCGTAGAGTCATTGCCATCCGGGAAAGCCTGCCGGATGACAAGTATGCAGAATACAAGAAGAACACGCTTCCAATCAACAATTCCAACCTCTGCCGCATTCTCTGGGTCATGGACAAGTTGGATGAGGCGGCCGAGGTTGGGGAGCGCGCAATGGCGTTGGCAAAGAACTCTTTTGGGCTTCGATCTAGAAACACTGCTCAGTAAGCGAATGACACAGATAATGAGGGCCTCTGGATTGATATGGCATTCGCTAACCTCTTGAGCAGAGCCACGTTCAACCTTGCTGATGTTCGGATGAAGCAAGGTCATCCAGACGCTCTAAAACTGCATCTTCAAGCGCTTGTCCTCCGCAAGGATGTCCTTGGCAACCATTACCAGACAGCAGGTTCCTGCTACAAAGTAGCTTGTCTCTTCCTAGAACGGGGGGATTTAAAAGCCGCCAGGCAAGTTTTTCCGTTCTCATTTGTTTGAAGTAGCTGTGACCGAATAATGACAACTAATTTACCTACTGTTTAGAGAGCTCTTGGAAGAAGCCGTCACTATATACGAGGCATCCTTTGCATGCGAAGGTCCGCTCGCCAGGACGCTGGTCAAGCTCTCAAAGACGGTTCTCGAGATGGGCGAAGAAGCAAAGGCCAGAGAAATACTAACCAAAGCAATAGGATTGCTGAAGATTCTGCTCACCGATTTATCACAAGAGAAGGATATGCTGGAAAAACTCGACAGCTTGGTACCGTATGTAGACCGCTAGATAGCAGTGATGGGTGCCACTATATGAAATGCTCTTCCTCGACTTCCTTTCCATTTTCTGTCAGTAATTAGTACACCTCTTTTCATCATCCAACCTTGTGTGTATTTGTACGAGCTTCACTCAAAACACCTGCTTCCAGTACGAACTCTAGAAGGAACCCCCATTTTGTTCAATGCCACTTCCACCAAGTTCAATGCTGTCCTCTCATATCCTATGATATAGTAAGTAAGGCTTGGGATATAAATTGAATTTTCTGAGCATTACCTTTTGCTGTGAGCACTGAGGCGACAATTGGTAAAAACGCTTTCTTACCGGTGACCTTGGAAGTGAATTCGTGTTCCCCGACTGATTCTACTTAGCAGACGCGACTACAGCCATCATTGAGTAAATTGTATTAGCTTTCGCTTACTCGGAACAACAACCTCTGGAATCCCACCAAGTGTCGACAGTAATTTGGGATGCCAGCCAGCGCTGCTGATACCTATGGGCTCTCTGAGACCAACTTAGTTACCGCAATCTCAAGAACAGAATACAGACACTCACGCGTGATATTCGTCCCGGTAAGTCAAATTTCCATCGGTAAACGGGAACACGAGTATAGGAATGTGACCATCTGCATCAACGCACATGACTTGTGTATTCAGCCATTGCGCTATTGCCTCCCGTTTTTCCAAAGCGGTGGCATAATCTTGGGATGTGACATGCTCTGCCGCGGCACTGGGAGGCGTTGTCAGTTCAAGTATCCGAGTCTTTTGCAAGCTGGCAAGGCGTACGCACAGCACATGTCGGATCACTGGATTCAAGTAAGGCTGTCTTTTGTATTTATTTTCGTAGGCACGCAAGAATTGCTGAATGAATCGCTGCTGAGTCGGTAGTTTTATGTTTATGGCAACCTTGCGAGATAGTTTTAAGTCAGGTTAGAGTTGAGACTTGTCCAGCTTGAACAATTCCAACGTCAAAGCAATTGCAATTACTTACCGTGTGGCAATACTCATAAAAGTCAACCTCACGAAGAAGGGAGCTTTGTGATTTCCAAAGCTCTTCAATCTTGACGTCTGCTCGCCTACACGCACATACTTCCTCCAAGGCAAGAATAAATTGTTCTTGAGCCATTTGGATATCGTCGTGATCTGTTTTCCAGTCCCCAGGGAGATGCATGAGCTAGCAAATCTTTTAGACGTGAGGCGTTTTTTTTTTTCGGTAGCTAAATTGAAGAGACAGGCGATATTTACCTTGAAGCCCATGGCAGAGCTCGTTCCAGAGCAACGCAGCCAGTGCAGCGAGAGCGCTGAGCAGATGGAAAGACTTTGCGAGAAAAAGCCAATAGTATCGAATGATCTAAGATAATAAATGATCAATATTGCCTTCATAAATAATGTTGGGTGATATTTTCTTCTCACTCTACGACAGGCACAACGCCATCGCCATCTAGAGAGCCCCAAGTCGGACGGACTCCATAAACACCATTCCATAGGGCCGGGCCACGAATACTGCCGAGTGCTTCATTTCGTCAGTTTGATTGTTATATCCAAGCAACGTCAAACTAGCACTTGCATACTGTCTGTGCCAATGGTGACATCAAGCCAAGGATAAGCTGCAACGGCCACTGCACTACCCGTGCTGCTTCCAGACGGTATCAAATATCCATCTCCTCTCGGATTCCAAGGATACGACGTTTCAACCCAATCTGCTGTAAGGACATCTCCATCTGCAAACGTGGCTGTCTTTGTCTTTCCAACGAGCACGGCACCCATGCTGAGCAATTTCTCAACCGCTTTTGCGGTGGCGGTCTGGACGCCGTGGAGCTTTCCAAAGTCTCTACTGCCTGCTGTTGTGGAGCATCCTCGAATATGAATGTTATCTTTGACTGCGAACCTGAGGCCATTCAAAGGCTTCGAGTCCGTCTTTGGGTAATAGCAGCGGGAAGGGACAATAACTGACAGTTTAGCACTTGTCGATGGGAAAAGTAGTGGTTTGTAGCATCCAGACAACGATGAATCCTGCACACTACTCTGCAGGAGCAATGCTTCAGGAGTAGCCAAGCTACCATTTTCAGGTCCATCATTTGGTGCAAATGACGCGATAAAGGCATCCCGATTGTCAGTAAATGCCTTCCATACCCTGTGGAATCCCAAAGAGGTCATGGCATAAGGACCAGAGAGTAATGTGGAGGAAACGTCTTGTACAGGAAGTGGCAGCACAGACACATCTTTTCCGTGAAATTGCAATCTTCCGAAAACGCTTCCGACTTGAGGATAAGCAAGTTGCTGCTGCGTGGCATGAATATAGACTCGATCAGCAAAGTCAAGTGAGAAGACGTCATCTTCCTCCAGAAGAGCTTCGAGTCGCGCTTTTAGCGAATCTTGTGTGAAATCCTCATCAAAATCTGAGAAGGAAACAATGGCAACGAATTCACCATGGCCCTGGACAGCTGCGGGGTTTCGTTGAAGCCCTGTCGCTGTATCATTGACAGACTGGAGAGGATCCTTTGCTACCACACGGGGGCAGATGTAATAGCAGTTGGTGCCCTTGAAGCGATAATTGGATAGCATCTCCATTTCACTAAGACAGTGATATGATCCAAGATTTCAGTCCCAGGCGCCGATGGGCTTGCGAGTTGCAAGGTCAGCATGGCTCCAATCCACGCTGTAAGCAACGAGGTCCGGGCATTGCCTTGGGCCACCAATTCCCGACAGAGGAGATCCATCTGCTTCTATCAGCCATGGCATAGGTAAGCGACACAGCAAATTTGCTGCCCGAACTGCACGAGGCCATCTTTAAGCCTTTTAATGACTTGTACGTTTTGTCAGCCTTTGATAACGAAAGATTGATTAATGATTCAATGAAAAGTTTTTGAAGCTACGAGTAGAGTGCGTGGTGAAAACAAATCCATCCACGTGCTCTTTGCGCGGGTAATCTTCACGTTTAATAAAAACCGACCGAACCTGCTTTCTTGTTCTCTCATCTTTACTTCTGATCTATATACCCAAGTTATTTTGAAGATGTATCAAGGTTGGAGAATAGACAATGAGAGCCAAAATTGAGATTGCATCTTTGGAAATCCTACCATTAAAGTAACCGTGGAGAAATCTTTATTGTATGGCAACCATATGTCTACTGAAATACAAAACCTTGTTTTCTAAATCCCTTTTTTTTTACTTCAACCCGTGATTTGCCACAGCTCAGGTCCTTCATGCACACAAGAGGCAAGGCTGCAGTTTTTGGGTTGGTCAACTATTATTGTAGGAATTCAGCTCAATCTGCATTTGATTGGGGGCGTGAGTCCACAAGAGGCTGGTAGGTGTAGGATTATAAGGCTGACGTGGCTACTGTAAGCTCTTAAGCTGCTACACCAATCTCATAGATCCTTCAAGTCTTATAAAATGGGCGGAATCGCTAGACGCTGTTCGCTAATGTTATTTCTCAGAGCCCTGCCTTATACGTTAGGTTCTGTAATCTTTCAAGTCTGTACCTTAACTCTCGCAAAATAAAAGCCTAAACTTTTAAAATAAAGCTTATAGACCAGCAGGACTTGTACAAGTTGCCTAATAAGCAGGATCCCAGATCTAGGAAACCCAAGATATACATACAGTATAGTAACAGGAATAGATCGCAAAGGCAAAGCCCGCCTTATATCCATTATTCATGTTATATTAACCTTTATTTATAGTACTGCTAAGCCTTTAGACCTCACGCATCGAACAACACTCATAAATCATGTCCATACGAATAATGACCATAATGAAAATTATCAATTGCTGTCTCGCAAATAATGCATCCCGCATCTCCCATATTCCAACAATACCCCCTTTGCTACTTTTTTTTTCTTGGAGCTTGAAAAATACAGATAAATACATAGAGTAACAGAATAAGAAAAGAGAAAAAGGGAAAATATCGCTCATCGACTTGTCTCAGAAACAGAATTGGAACAGGGGCGGAAAAAAAGGAAAAAGCAAGAGTATAGAATCAGCGCTCAAAAGAAAAGAAAAAAAAAAAACAGAACGTCCCGTTAGCTCCTTGTCCAACAAAACTCATAGATTACACATTTGAGACATCATCTAGACGAATTAGTAACTCCAGATAGGCAAGGGAAAAAAGGTATAAACGAAGGAATATGTGTGGGTAGTCGCGAAGAAACAAGTAAAAAATCTTGAAAATCGACTGGTCGTCATATCAACGAATCATCCCCACTGTTGTGTTCTCTGCACTTCGGGCTCCATCATGGCCCAAAAACCAGAGAGAGACAAGATCAAGTCCTGTTGTCGCCCTATCTCGTCTCTCGCGCCGCTCCTTGGATATCTCTGCCCGTGGGCTTTTCAACCGCAGTCTGTTGTTGTTTTGATATAGCTTTGCTCATCTTGCCGCTCTCCTTTTTGGAATCATATCACAATCAAACCTTTTCAAAGGTTTCATCCGTCAAACTTAGCCCATCTTTACATCTGCGTTCAACTCGGCCTGTTGCACAGCCGCAGCCTCTTCCTCCTCTCTATTATCCTTTCGCTTCTTCCCCATTCTCTCGCACCACTGCTCGGCGCTCACAATCGTCCCGTCCAAAACGCCCGTCACCTGTGTAACCATGTCGAGACCCTCTTTGGCCAAGACTAGCACCTTTTGCGCACCCTCGCGCAACGCAGAGTCGCCGTCCCTGTCGGCGTTGTCCGATTGCCTCTCAGACATGGTGGCGAGGCGGAAGCGCTGTGGCAGGCTGGTAAGGTGGCGGCGAACAAGCACTCGAGCGTTCTCGGGGAGCGCACCGCCGGCGTATTTCGACACGTTGTTGATGACGTCTTGGAGGGTCTTGAGGATGTCACCCTTGAGGGTGTTGATTTTGGCGGCAAGTTCACTTCGTGACGGGTTTGGCTTCTGTACGCTGTTTTCCGCGCCATCCACGTCCATGGCCCCGGCATCATCCGAGTCGCCCATGGATGGTCCTCCCTCCAACTGTTCTTTCTTTTCCGCCTTTTCCAATTCCTCCAATGTATGCTTCAGGTTTAAGATGGCCCGGTTCATGTGATCGTTGGTCCATCGAAGCCAGCGCAAGCAGTACTTCAAACTGCGCAGACTCTCAGCGCTCATGGCAACACTCAATCCCGACGTAGACATCATCAGACGAGTCTGCCACGGCTGGCTGCTTGGCGGCTTGTGAGTAGCGGGCGCTGTTTCAGAGTACGCAGGGGAGCGCACATCGTCATAGGCGGGCAGCGTGTCTACGGTGCTGGCGGTCGATAGACGGCGAGGTGTCTTTGACGACACGACAGACGCCGAGTCATCAAGGCCATTGGCGTCGGGTGACCCTCGGAGATCGCCACTGCTGCTACTCCTACTGCTCTCTCCTGTCCTTCTTCTCTTGTTGGAGCTGCTCGGGTCGGGGTCCGACGTTGGCGCTGGGTGTCGACGGCCAGAGCCAAGGAACCATCGTACGCCTCCCTCTACGCCTGTCACTCTGCCGACAGAGTTGACGGTGTTGGCGAGGGGAGTCAAGTAGCCCTCGACATATTCGGCGCCCGATTTGAATCGCGGAGAGAAGTTCTTGGCGCCACCATATGCTGAGCTGGCGCCGCCAATGGTAGATGCGACGAGGGGATGCGCGGTCGTGAGGAGCGACAACAGGGGCTCGGAGTTTGGTGATTTGGGCTTTGCCTGCTGGGGCTGGAACGACGCGATGGGTGGGCTCATGGGAGGCAGTGAGGAGGTGTCGGGTGGTGATGATACAAAGTCTGTGTAATCAAGCACTCGATTAGTATTCCAATTGAACCACGAGGGGGAGCGAGATTGATTTTCTGGAGACGGCTCACCTGCTCTCAAATCGCCCAGTGCTTCGGCTGCAAGTCGCACGTCCGGGTCGTCGAGCGTGAGACTGCTCGGTGTCGGTGTCCCCTCGTAGAGGCGATCCGGCGAGGGCGAAGTCGCACTCGCTATGCTTGCCGCGCCATCCATGTCCATGATTGTCGCAGGGCTGTCGGGCGCGGGAAACGGCGGCGGTTGTCGGTACGAATTCAGTGATGCGGCCGACGAAGCATTGAAGGACGACGGCCAGTGGCTTGGCTGCAGGGGCGGCGGCGGGCTGTGAAGATGCTGGTGCTGGTGCTGGGGATGGCGATGCGGCTCAATGTCGCCGGTGATGCTGCTCAACGACGGCAAGATGCGGTTGTCGCCGTCATGGCGCACCAGCGGCGGAAGCCTGTCGGACTCGGACGGGCTCGCAAACTGGCGATGGCTGTGCATCGACGATGGCGACGACGATGGCAGCGACAGCGGCGCAAGGGGAGGTTGGTGGTGATGCTGGATCTGCGAGTAGTTTGGCGGGAGCTGCGTCAATGGCCGCGGCGACAGCGTTCGCAGGGGCGGGCTGGCACTGGCACTGGCATCCGATGGTGCGTCGCGATGGTCAAAGGCAAAGGCGTCGATGTGCGGGAGTCGAGGTTGAGGTCGCGGCGGCAGAGGCGGCGGCAGTGCCAGAGAGGATCCGAGGGAGGGCGCACCGGCCGAAGCTGGCGGATGTGGATAGTGGCTGGACGTCTGGCGATGCATGTGATTGCGGTCCATGTCTGCGGCAGAGAGAGAAAAAACGGCTGATAAGCACGCAAGCAGACGGGCTCCAGCTGACTGCGGGTAGCGGTACTATGTACTTGTAGCAGCAGCAATTGGTCATGGAATTGAATGCATGCTCACAGCCACGCAGGGGTTTCTGGCTTCTGTCTGGCGGGAATAAAGGCCGGGCTATTGTGCCAAGAAGCGCAACAGCGAAGAGAAGAAGAAAAATGATGAAAGTGGCAACGAGTGAATGATGATGGCTTCGATCCGCTGCAGTAGCTCCTTGCCCAACAACAAGTCTGGCACTGCACACCAAAACAGGAGACGGGGAGAGTGTGCGTAAGAGAAATGAAGGAGACGACAGATCTGAACAGCCCGGGGGGCCTGGGCACGTGGATAGCAAACGGCGATGATGCTGATGACGGTCGTGATAAGAAGAGCCGGGGAGGGACGGCAATTACAGGCCTGGGCTGGGGCAAACACAGCAGGCGAGGGCAGTCCTCTTAAAGTGCTTTGCAGAGCACTGAGCCCGTGAAGCAGTTTTTTTTTTTACAAACAAACAGAGAAAAGATGCAGAGGGCATAAGAATGGAGATGGACGTAAAAATAGCCAGAGCAGCGCAAATCCACTCTCACCGCGCCGAGTCAGGACGAGTCGAGACGAGCACCCGCCGTGTCACTCGGTACCTGGATCACAAGCAAAGCAGAGAGATATTGGGGTCAGCACCTATTGATCTACACGTTTGGTTCTGTTTCATCTCGCGCTCTCTTTTTTTCCTCTTCTTCTTTTCACCCACCCCTGGATGCTGATGCCGGTTTGCAGTCCATTCCTTCAACAGGACGGGATGGCCGCCTTCTCAACCTGCTTCCCGGACTCGGCCTCTACTACATAATCACACTGGCCTCGTTGGATCGTCCGCTTCAAGGAAACTCTGTGACGCCGTGGTGTGGTGGCTGTTACGTACGAGAACCTGGCACTAACGCAAATGTCGATGCCTCAGCACCGCATTGGGGCAGGCGGTGGCATGCTAGAGCAATTAGGCTGCTTGTTCGGAGCACCTCTTACCGGAGCACTTGTATCTCGCGAGGGCCCAGGTCAGGCGCTGAGACCGGACTCCCCCCATTTCTGCAGGGTCTGGCAGGGTCCTTGGAGAGGGCGCCGGGTCCTGGAACATGCGGACAGAGCTGTTTATGCCATCAACGGGGCCCTGATGGGGAGTTATGGGGCAGTCCCGGTGGATGCCGTGCTACAAGTCATGAAGCTTGCATGTGCTGGGTCGAGCTGCAGACGGTGGAAGAGGGAGCGAATATTCCATATTCCATGGGCCTTTTGAATGGCTGATGCCTGCTGCCGTAGTACCTATTGATACTGATGCGCAAAAAAAAAAAAAAAAAAAAAAAAAAGACTCGCTCGCAGCTGTCCCGGGTGGCGCTGCCAAAATGCCACATGGAGGCAAGACATTGCGCCGGCTTGGATTGGAAATGGAAGCTGATTGAAATGGCTGCAACTTAATTCACCACTGACAGCACGGCCTGTGTCATCCCTGTTGCAGCCCATCGCGATGAATCGAGTCAATTCTGCAATCTCCCGCCCGGCCTGGGAGGCGGATTGATTGATCCTCGCCAACAGCTTGCCTGGCACCCATCACTTGCTTTCGAGACGACCTGGACCTTTCTCGCCCTTGGCATGACGGCTAAAGTCGAAATCCTACATTAGTCGCCCTCCCCAAGACGCAGCCGGAGCCATTGCCGTCGCCGACTTACCCCAATCCTCCAATCGTCGTGCTGTCACTGCTGCTAATTTAAGCCCCAATCAGCAAAAGACCGGCGTTCGGGACCGCTTCAAGCCAGCTCCCAAGCACGTGCCTGAGTTGTTTCATAGGGGAAAAGCGAAGAGCACACAATCACATGCAATGTGACGCTTCCTCCTCCTCTGCTCCAACTTTTGCCCCCACCGGAATCCCTGCTTGCTTGGGTCTTCATGTGCTTTTCCCCCCCTCCCACCGCTTCTCGCCCTCCATGCCTGGAACTTGGTGCGTACCGCATGTGGCAGTCTTCACGGGCCAGATTGGAATGCCCTGCACTTCTCGTTCTGGTGGGGGCCTTGGGCAACTTGGAGCCACTAACCGTATCAAAGGAGGGCTTGATGTTCACATGGCCACGAGAATTCTCACCAAAATATGCGCCAGGTGTGGGGAAGCCCTCGTAGAGTTGAAGCCGTCGGTAGACTCTTCATCTCCATCCCATCCCCCAATACTACTGTCAAAGGCGAAACGGGTGTCCCTCTTTTGTTAAGTCATGATGATAGTGGGTAGCCAATTTGAGACAGACCTGTGGCTGTGCACGAAGATGGTCGTGTACCAGATAAGTCCCGCCCCAGGTACCAGTACTGTTATATTCTGTTATATTCTGACAACTTAACAATGGCCACTTTTGGTCCCTTCAATCCGTGTAAATGTAGACGCATGATACAGTCAAGTCCTGATATAGAGATTTATCTAAATTGGACCGGTGGGTAGGTATGGAGCACATTGCGCCTTTGTGATTGGAAAGTCTCTTCCAGAGCAGCCAGAAATGGGCTGATCTAAACTTACCTTGTTAAAAGTGTCCATGGGCGCCGACATACGTGCACACAATTAATCAATTTAAACCCGCGAAAACAGCCCAGCATCATTTCCCATTGTCACCCAAAACGCTCATACAGTATACCCAAATCGGAGGCATGGACCCTCGAGTAAGTCAAAATAGTTCCAATCCAACAATGCGCATATTCTTACAGTCTACAGAGATTCATGGCGCCAATGGCAGCATTTGCTATGGCAAGCTTATTATTTGTGTACGCCCAACCAGCCTTGGGCCAGTTTGAAAACGTTTAATTCGACTAACCGGCATAGATATACGAGATCATCTATAAGGGCAGCCAGAAGAGAATCAGGTCGGGGATAGCACACACAATATAACAGCTTGTAGACGTTAGATGCATACATAATCCAAGTAGTGGCTCTATTTGAAAACAAAACTCCCATGCCATGTACGTACGTACAGCTAATGCTACAGACTCCGGCTCCAGCCATCTTCCACAGTGCTACAATAACTACTTAGTAAAGTCCTTAAATAAAGCCTTATCTATTAATACCATATTCATCAACAAACGCGCAATGGGGTGCTTTTACTCCAGCCATCTTCAGTAAACACTGGTAAAAATGTCGCAGTTCGGGCAACTGTTGGAGGGCTGTACCTGGGCAGTACCAGCGTCTCCTGCACTAGCCACACGAGCCACATTGTAGCCCCCCCAGGCCTTGTAAAGCTGTCTAACAAAAAGAGGGACACCCATTTCAGCACAGTGGTACCCCTTCTGAAGTGGCAGCGATGGCACACGCAGACTAATGCTTGAACAGCCACAATTCCCAACAAAGCTTAAGCTGTGTAGCAGGAGATGGGCATCGCTAAAAGGCCTGATCAAGGCTTCACAGTTACCCCGAATCTGATTTCAAATGCGGGGACCCCGGAGGAGACATCTCGGATATCTTGTGCTTACACGTACTTGCATACTCTGTACTGTGTATCATTCACCAGCTGTACCGCATCGCCTGCGTTGCCTTGCCTTGCGTCTCAGAAGAAGAGAATCAGCAGCAGCAGCAGCAGGGACCGCTCGCTTCCCCAGAGCAGGTGCACCACTGCGCCAGACACATCCCCAGATAGCTCCAGGACCGCAGCATCAGGCAGTGGAATCGGGTACTAGCACAGGCACATTGACGTCTTCCCCAACAATGTTTGCGAGCTGTCTCAGACGACCAGATAGCTATTCGCAGAAAAGCTCCGATCACCTATGCCACTCGGCACACTGCTAGCTTTCAGCCATCACATGCCCTTTTTACGCTGCCCCTTATTGATCAAGACCGTGGGAGGTAGCGTGGAATCTTTCCGTACTGTAGTGTCGTCTTCACGTTCTGTCTTGTTGGGTCGCAGTGCTTGCCACAGGCTCGATTCCGTCTTCGCGCGGTGCGATGCAATCGAAGCCGGTCCGATGGCGGAAGCTCGCTCGCCAAGCAAGCTCTCACATGCCACAGAGCGCTAGACAGGCCATACGTGTTGGAGCCGTTCACAGCAGGAATCATGGTCAAGGTGTCGACATCGTGCGCTTCCAACAGCGCTGCGCAGCATCAAGAGCCGTCATGTCAAATTACAAAAGTCGCTTCATCGATGATGGAATGTCCGGCCCCTCTGACGCCGCCCAAGCAATTAAATCCTGCCCAAAAGCAGGAGACACACGCGGGCAGCTCTTAAAGAACCAATATGAAAAACAAGTTTCCTTCCTCTCCGCACCTCGAAATCGCTAACTCATCCACGGCTCCGCGGCTGTCGTGACAGAATGCCACCCAGTCGCAGGTTTAAAAGATGAGCTGCACTGTCTAAAAGGGTGCGTTGAAGAGGAAAAGAAGAAGAGGAAAAGCAAACCGACGAGAAATCTCTATTCATAACTTTTTTTCCCAGCCTAGTGGGGCTGCTCAGGAACACAGATTGGTGCCACGTGACCCTTATCTGCCCAGACGTGCCGCTGTTTTGCCGGCTGCAGCTACTATCCCTGTCCCGCAATAGGCCCTCAGCTGTCCGATTCGTAGGGGCCTAATTTCCAGCTACGTAGTCGCGAAACCGCCATGATACCCGCCTTGCTCTGAACTCGTCCCAGCCAGCCCGAGAGAATCCCAAGGCCTGTGGCCTGTTGTATGATCAGAGCCTTTTGCGTCATTCTCAGTCCCTGGCCGGCGTGCCAATCCCCGAATCGGTCCCTCTGAGCGCCCCTCCTCCCCGCCATCTCTCCTGGCCGCTTAAGCACCCGCTGTCATCTTCACATCATCTTCCACCATGGCGTCTGCGCTGTTCTTCCTGGATCTCAAGGGCAAGGTACTGTGAATCCGGGAACATGGGAGCATCGTCCGCTGCTTGGTCCGCCTCAATCTAACATGATGTCTGGCAGACCCTCCTTGCTCGAAACTATAGGGGTGACATCCCCATGTCCGCCGTCGAAAAGTTCCCCGTCCTATTGTCAGAAGCCGAAGAAGAGTCATCAGCCGTTCCGCCATGCTTTTCCCACGAAGGAATCAATGTCCGTAACTATCTAGACAAGCCTTCAATCATGGCTTTATGTTAAAGCAGCCACTTCAGAGAAGAAGCGTCTAACACGTGTGTACGCAGTATCTATACATCCGCCACAACAACCTCTACCTCCTGGCGCTAACGAAGCGCAACACCAATGCCGCCGAAATCCTGCTCTTCCTGCACAAGGTCGTCGAAGTCTTCACCGAGTACTTCAAGGCCCTGGAAGAGGAATCCATCCGCGACAACTTCGTCGTCATCTACGAGCTCCTCGATGAGATGATGGACTTTGGCTATCCCCAGACCACCGAATCCAAGATCTTGCAAGAGTACATTACTCAAGAATCACACAAGCTGGAGATCCAGGCACGTCCGCCAATCGCCGTAACCAATGCCGTGTCTTGGCGATCAGAGGGTATCCGCTATCGCAAGAACGAGGTCTTCCTGGACGTTGTTGAAAGTTTGAACCTCCTCGTTAGCGCCAACGGAAACGTGCTAAGGAGCGAGATCCTCGGCGCCATCAAGATGAAGTGCTATCTCAGTGGTATGCCCGAGCTAAGATTAGGACTCAACGACAAGGTCATGTTTGAAACGACTGGCCGAACAACGCGCGGCAAGGCCATTGAGATGGAAGACGTCAAGTTCCACCAGTGCGTTCGACTTTCCCGCTTCGAAAACGACCGAACGATTTCATTCATCCCCCCCGATGGCGAATTTGAACTCATGTCGTACCGCCTCAACACCCAAGTCAAGCCCCTCATCTGGGTCGAGTGTCTCGTCGAATCCCACTCTGGCTCCCGCATCGAATATATGCTCAAGGCCAAGGCTCAGTTCAAGCGACGAAGCACGGCCAATAACGTCGAGATCATTGTCCCCGTGCCCGATGATGCCGACTCCCCTCGTTTCAGGACAAATATTGGCTCTGTGCATTACGCCCCCGAACAGAGCGCCATCGTCTGGAAGATTAAGCAGTTTGGCGGCAACAAGGAGTTCCTCATGCGCGCGGAACTTGGCCTTCCTAGCGTGCGAGGAGACGACGAGCACGGCGGTGGAATGACGGGCGGATTTGGAGGCAGCATGGGTGGAATTGGCGGCAAGGGAGCCAAGCGACCTATCCAAGTCAAGTTTGAGATTCCTTACTTTACAACAAGTGGAATCCAGGTCCGATACCTCAAGATTACTGAGCCCAAAGTAAGCCTTGTAAGAAATTTCTTGCTATACGTATCGTAAGCTAATCTTTTATTTTCTCTTCCTTTAGCTTCAATATCCTTCCCTCCCCTGGGTCCGATACATTACGCAATCTGGCGATATCGCTGTTCGACTGCCTGATGTGGTCTAAACCATTTAAAGCATCTCAATTTTGATATATAAGCACATGAGAAGGACGACAGTGTAAGGAAACGAAAGACGTATTTAATTTAAAGCGACAGGCCGTTCGATTTCATCAAAGCTAGTGGCGTCGAAAAGAGCGCGATGAGGGAAAGGGGGGGAGGCGGCAAAAAGTCGTGATTATATTCATGTAGAGTCTTCACAGTATAGCGATTTAATGGGGACTCATGAGATTTTCTTTATGGAAAAAGAGGGTGGAAAAAAAGAGAAGGTTTGATCTAGACGTAGAGGGCTATTATGTCGATATACATTTAAGACAGGATGCACCAAATAAAGTGAAATCCACACTACTCAATCTCCCTGTTATTTTTTTTCGTTAAAATCCAGTTTCAGATTGAAGCTATCCTAGAAACATCAAAATTGCTAAAGTACTGTTGTTGGGTGAACTGTTGTCAAAAATTCATGGAAAGTTAAGTTGAAGAATAAAGAAAAGGGTTGAGCCTCGTTCGTCATAAAGAAGCAGATTCATCTAAGATGCTCCTAACCGAGGCTGTAACGTATCATGTGTCGTCAAACGTGATCAAGTCGAGAAATCGTATTTCGTAACAAAAAAAAAAAAGTGAAACATGACGAATAAATCAAGAAAGTGAAATGAAAAATCCAGGGTAAAACAGAGAGAGGGGAGAAGAGACCAAAAGAAAGGAAACATGAAAAAATCGTGCAAAGATTCGTCGCTTCAAGATTGTGCATTGTCCCAGACAAGAATACCTCTCCATTCCATATCAGCAATGTGTGCTGCAGTGGAGTAGTCAGGATTTTCAGGATCAAGATAGATGGAGATGAAGAACCCTCGTGGGTCTTCCTGGGCAGAGAGGGCATCTATTATATCATTAGCATCCTGTGAGATCAACGATACAATAGTATCTAGAACCTAAAGAACAAATGCCTCAAGCAACGCTATAAATGCACAGGAAAAACAAGGGGAAAACTGACAGCCTTTTGGGTCCTCGTTATGACACCAGAACCCGCCTCTCCATTTATCATGGGTCGCACCATCTGCCAGAAACGGTTGTGGCGCTGAAGAATGTTCGCTAAACGCCATCAAGCCAAGAACAATAGGAAGCTCTCCAGCAAGGCCAACTGACTGAACCGCATCATAGGGGTTACGGTATGTACACGGCACCAGGCTAGTTATCCAGCTTGGGTTTGCTCCAGCGACGTACTTGCAAGGTGCAGGGCCCTGTCCCATACGGCTGTCCGGATGCACTGCCTGCGATACTCCTGGCCGGGAAGGAGGATGGAAGAAGAGCAGAGGGCTCCGATCCAGCGCGGCGTTGCTAGACAGCGGATCTCCGTTGTCAACAACGATAGGGAGTAGGGGATTGCACGAATACACTGCAAGCTCCTTGTACCTTTGACAATATTGTAGCTGGCCCTCGTCGGTGTAAACGGCATTTCCATCAGCGCCAATCATGCAAATAATGCCAGGAGGCCAAGCAGTTCCATCAAACTCTCCCCGCCACCATCCGTACCCGGGAGCTGCCCTTACTTCGCCATCTTGATATCTCATGACAAAGCTGGGGATCTCGCCGGCAAATCCTTGGGGTTCAGTCGGTGGCACGCGGTTGTACCAGGGATCTCCATTCAGCAGATTCTCGTTTAGTCTCACGTGTAGCCTATTGACTACAAAGAGGAAGCTCGTTGAGTTATAGCTGAGATCTTGAGTGCTGCTGCTGCTGCTCCCAGTAGCCATGCTGCTCCGGCTGCCATGGGGCCCCGCACGCTTATGCATATTAGTACTCTATACACTCCCATAAAAGAGTAGATGGAAACAGAAAAATGGGAAATGGCAGACAGCTCGTGTAGTCAATGATTAAGATGAATAACTCACTCTGCCAGACATAACGTGAGCTTGTTTTCGCCAACGTATGGTATAAATGAACGCACTCAAAAGTGGTCCTCAAACGAGGTAGCAAGTCAATGATACAGCAAGCTTGTAAAGATGATGTATGGGGCCTCAAAGTGCGGTGTAGAGTTATATATTATGACTTTGCGGCTCTGAACTCTCTTCTGGCTGTCCAATCAACTCCACAGGCATCGCTGCCCAAGGCTGTGTTGTTAATAAAACAACCGGTCAAGGTTGGGCGCTGAGATGCAAGGTATCAAATATCACAATGCGATGAAGATAGCCGACTGCTAGTAATGAGATGGGGCTAGGAACAGAGTATTCCGAGCGGAATTGCGGCTGAAAGCCACCCAAGGTAAGAGCCAGCACAAAGTTGACGTCGACATACATAAGTGGTAGTGTCTCGTGGCCAGCCTTTCATGAACCGGTGAGAGCAAGTTGCCATTCCACTGGGCCTCCAGCCTTCCCTTTGGCTGCTTTACCCCGGCTGGCACTTGTCGCTTCTCGCGGCATGTGAAGAGACGGTTGGGCTCTCTCGAAATGTCCCACGAGAGCGAGCCTGCCCTGCCAGCTGTACACAACACCACTTCGTCAACCATCGGTCACAAGACCTTCACGATACTGCCAGCGATATGGTAAGCTAGCGGAATATGCCAGATGCGCTGCTTTTCCGCTGCTATAATGCTGCCATAGGTCGAATATGCCGGGCTTCCTGTACACTGGCGCCACCAACAGTGGTTTGTCGGGATCTTTGAGTAGTCCAGTGGAGGCAGGTCCCAGAACCTACCTACTAGAGGTGTCGCAGAGAAAAGCTGAACACCCTTTGGGGCAGTGGACCAATAGTAGGTACATCAGCTTGACGGGGGCAAAAGGGATTATGGACCTTGGGCACTGGTTAACCTTGGAACGGGCCTATCACTGCTCGTCGTGGCAAACAAGGCTGCGGCCGAAAGGGTGTTCTCCCCGTTGGCCCCTCCATCGGCTGCAAATTGAACGCTGTCGACTGATGCTAGCAAAGCAACATGGATGACGAGAAATCCCGGTTTGAACACACGGGTGTGGGGTCCGGAGGACATATAAAGTGCGAAGGTATTGTGACTTGCTATGCTGAAGTGGTCGTCTTAATATGAAACACATGCGACAAGCCGCCATGTCCTGGACAGATTATCATTTTGCACTAGCCAAAACCAGCAGCAGGCTTTTACCTCTCAGTATGAGGGGCGAAAAAAAAAATTCGTATCAGGAGAACGCAAACGTTTAGCAAGCTCGTCATTGTCTGGGCACCAACAGTTGAATGAAGGTTCGGCTGTGAGATCTGCAACTCCATATAATGGAGGGTTACACGAAAGCTGGACATTGACATCAGACCTTGCTCGGTCGATGTCCAGGATTTGTCGGGTAGGGCACTCTCCGCTCCCGAGAGTCTCCCTGGTTCATATGTCAGCCTGAATGTGAGGGTGCCAAAACGCTTCATAGACCAGGGTCCGTACAGTGTCTTGTTAGTCGGAGCCCAAGGTACCATGAGACGTTGAAAACGCATAGCTCCATGTCACCGCTCGAATATTATTGCCTTATCCACGAGATTTAGCGACAGCATTGGTATTCCTGATATTCCAATGGTTGGTTGGAATGGCCACCCTGGGCATGTGTAACCACTTGTATACGCCGGTTGAGTCGTGCGACCTTAGGCCCCCATCGTAAGGTATAGCAGATGTGTTGATGAAGCGGTGAATGTTGAATGCAGCACAACTTTTTTCGAGCTGTTAGTACTGATTAGAGCCTGGCTATACTCTGTGTCTGCTTACCTGGAATCCCCATACTCTTTCCAATCAGTAAGACGTGCGAAACACGGCGTATACCGCTGGCAGATGATGTGATACAATACGGTTACACTGGTTTTGAAAGAAAAAGCTTAAAAGGGATTGTAGAATATAGCATAAACTTGCGGGCACTGGCAAAAATTGAAAACGAGAGATTGCGCGCCGGAAAGTATTTCGCGTCAATGTAGCCAAGAGCAGGATTGAAGAGTATGGTGATTGAGTGAAAGATTTCTATTTATGAGAAAGGGAATGAGAGATATAAGAGAGAGAAAAATGTTCAACAAAATGACTGAGGCTGCCTGATTTGGTTGCCTCGTAAGGCGTTTTGTCGTGGTTCGCATCCATGTGTATTGTGGATCTGAGGCTCACCAGACTGTGATAAATCGATTTCGACCAGGCTGGTTGCCTTGTTACACAGTTGAGATATCTTTTTAGCCGGCCAAAGTGTCAATGCTAGCCCAATTTATTCCGCTTATTGTGACATCCCATCAATAAACGCCAAAAAGCAATCATGGCGAAAGTTGGCCGCATAAACTGATATGTCGCTTCAGTCTTACCGCCTAGCTTTCTTGTTCGGTGCTGGAGCGTCGTCCAAAATGGCATCGGAAGCGATCTCCGATAAAAGGACTCTAGCCTCTTGGAGCAATCGTTTCTCCCCAAGCCTCACTGTGACAGCGGCTTTGCGCCGCTCGCTAAGGTTGCTACCCGAGAGGATCAGCTCATCTTCTATAATAGTCGTCGGATACTGTGACGTGAGGGCATCAAGCGCCGTGATGAGTACAGTATGTTGAACCTCGTCGCGTTTTCGCTTGTCGACAATGCACGATGGATCCACTTTGCGAATAGCTTTGAGCATTGATTTGAGCTGCTCCCGGAGATCTTCTGGTATCTCGCTAAATTTAGCTGGATTGGCAAAAGTGCCATCTGGATTAGGTTCATCTGATTCTCGTTCCAAGACAAATGTCTCTTCGAACTCGTCCAAATCCAAATGCTCTCGCTTATCTAACATCAGCACGTGTTGAAACAAGAGAACTCACAATATTAGGGTAAAACTCACTGCGCTATCTAGCTGCTCACTTGACAGGCCTAGGTTTGCTGCCAAAGCATCTTCAATCATCTTCCATGGAAGTTCAACGACATCATAGCGAGAATGTTTCGGAGTTACGTATCCGTAGCGACGAAGGAGCTCAGAGTTAGGATGAGGGCCGTAGTAATTCAAGATCTCTTCGCCAGCTTTAATAGTTCGTAATGTTGCCACAGTAAGGGCGTCGTCTCCATAATTGACATGTGCCTACATGATGTGAGTAAACTCATAAGCCGTCGTGTTGAGAACGTGTTTGGGGTAGATGGAACCATACGTTATACTCGGCATCAGCGTTGAGAATATCAGCCATTGGCACCATGCCCATTGTAGACTTGGCCTCACGATCTTCGACCCATTCTTCAGAATCATCCTCTTCTTCTTCGTCCTCATTCTGGAAGTCAAAAGCATATGACATTATCGTGCTTCCCATGCGATGGGCTAGTTGGATAAGCTCTTCATCGCTCTTGGCCTGGCTAGTTTGGAAGATGTCAGGATTTCCACGGATCACGGGCAAAATCTTTGCGTGGAACATTTCTTCCGCATTGGTTTTGCCAATTTTCGATCGTGTGGCGCTCGCTTGAAGCTCGTCAACTTCAGCATCAGACCAAAACATGGGCGTCTCGAACGATGCTGGAAGGACATCAAGGTATGGCTTCCAACTCGACTGGTCTCCTTTGAAGTACTCGTATATCAAGACAATAATCAGCGTGCTCCAGGGATCTTGCTGCGGCTTGTTATCCACCTCCATGGCAGTATCCTGGTTGAGGAAGACATCGGGTAGCTTTGCTCTGAGCTCAGAGGTCTCGATATTGACAATTGCACTTCGAGGCACAGTAAATAAGACTGTATCAGCAGGAATATCCTGAAGCGCCACTACAGTTGTTTGTTAATTACTGTAATGCCACGGTTAAAAGTCAATGGCAACAAACCTATGCCGCGACCTGCATTTCTTTCTCGTAGATCCCTAATCTCGATATGCTCAGAAAATGTAGACCCAGGCAAAGACTTGAACCAATCAAGGAACACTTTTGTCTGGCTCTGAAAATCGCTGGTAGACATGGTGAATCTATGATGCCGCTTATTCAATCCAAAATCACAAGTTTTCAAGCAAAGTGTAGCAGAAATGAGAGTTGGGGTTGATATTTGGTGTAGAGTAGAAACTTTGAGAAGGTACTTGGTAGGCGCGAAGCGTTTTTATACAGTGCGGGTATTCATACCATACACAAAAAGCATTTTTTCCCGCACGGAGCTCCTACTACTACTAGTAGTACAGCTTCAGTACGGAGTACCCTGTACCGCTTGCCCAAGAGCGCTAGGATCTCGGCACTGGAGACATCTCAGCGAAGAGCTCGGTTTTGCAATTTTCATCCTCTATTTTTACGGAGACGATATATATTAATCTTGTCAAGGCTTCAGTAGCCAAGCTCACAATCACTCTGACCTACAATCTCTCTCCGGGAATTGCTCCTCTTCGGTTACACGTCACGATTGTTCACAACTTGGCCTCATGCGACGTGCGCAAGCGATAAGCCACCAATCTACAGCATATTCTTCTTTCAATTTTTAGATTGAACCCCTAAGCATACTCTTCGCTATTTACCGCCACCTTCTCTTTCTTGCTGACCTCCCGCTTCTTTGGACGTAGCCATTCTTCCATGCCCAACGGCCAATATACCCGGTTCTGCGGCCCTCCCATGCCAAAGTCCTCAGGGCTTATGCGTGGAGCTTCTGATTCTCTCTCTTCCTTATCACCGTCGCTCCTGTTGGTCTTTTTGACCAATCTTTTCGCTTCCCGAATAGCCTCTTTGCTAAGTTCATCGTCCCGCTCGTGTGGGACGACGTCGTTAAAGAGGTCCCATCCAGGGAGCTTGAAGGTCCTCATGAGCTCAAAAACGGCTTGCTCTTTGTCTTTGGCCTCGATCATCAAATCCATATCTGGTTTGCATGGGGGGAGGACCTTGACGCGCGCAGAATGTTTCCGCCGATCTCGTGGCGTGACAGCGTCTGCTGTCGGTTCGCTATAGTGCATTTTCTGCTTGATATTCTTTCTCGACCAAGTCTTTTCTATGCGGTCGTAGAAGCTCATAATGTCCAGAGTGCCCTCACGGATGCTGGGGTCAAAAATGATGTTGTGATGGTGATAATCCAGGACTAGCGGAATATTGAGCTCCTCACATATCGGCAAAAGGTCATGGACACTCCACGAGACATCGTCATTTTCCAGAACCAGCCTCCTTTTGACTCCCTCCGTCAGTCTGGAGTAGTTTTCGCGAAAACGATCCAGAGTCGCTGCCTTGTCGCCATATACACCTCCCATGTGCAGAATCATGACTGCATCTCGGTCCATCTGCTCAGGTAATTTCAACAACGATAGCATCTCGTCGTGGTATTCGAGGTCTCTGAAAGAAGCAGCCACAACCTCTTTTCTAGGACTGGCAATTTGCGTATACTGTCCCGGATGTGTTGTAAGGCGATGACCTAGCTCAGTAGCCACTTTTCCCGCGTCGGCCAGCACATCAGCGGCGAACGGGGCGAGTTTATAGCCATGTTCCTCGTGGCTTGCAAAGGGGAACATTTCGCTACTGAGCCGCATAAATTTTATGCCGTATTTGTCGTTCCATCTCAACATCTTGACTATATCTCTTGCGTTTGCAAGGCCCAGATCCTGTACAAATTTGAGCCCTCTCTGGACATCTGGAGGCTTTGTCTTGTCTGGTCGGTTTTTTGTAGGATGCTCAGGCTGTGTTGGATCCTGTAGGGGATATCTGTGATCGATGATTGAGGAAATGCGGCAAGTTCGAGACGAAAAGACTGGAGGGTTAGCTGCTCTGAGATATGTATTCAGACAAGCCTATGCGTACTCGCATTAGCCTCCATGCTAATTATCAAGTTGCAGCGTTGGATGATAGTCAAGCGATTGTTATCGACATGGCGGCATCAGTACTCACATAACCGAGACGTCCTTTCCACGGTAGTGGAAGGACGTCGCTATTTACAGGCGGTGGTCGTCTTGCACTCCTTTCGGTCGTTTCCGCATCTGCATTTGCCTCAGATGTATCAGCTGTCTCCGTCTGTTGGACGACTTTGGGCTTCTCTACAACTTTTTGTTCAGCAGCTTCCTCGGGGCTCTCTTTTGCCCTCCTCTTCAAGGCCGGCCTGGTCCTCGTCGCTTCCTCTCGAACCCTTTCAGGATCGCATTTGGATAAATCTGAGGTTTCCACAGCTAATCGTTGTCTTTTTACTGCACTCTGCAGTTTCAGCCCCATCTCTCCAAGCTCTTTCATTGTTCGCTGGAAGGCTTCTGACGAGAGGCTTGGGCCGCCCGCTAGGCCAAAGGTTCTTGTCGGTCCATCTTCTTGATGAAGGTCATCGAGCTGCTGGCTGATAATTCCAACTCCATTGGTCTTTCTCGAACTACGTCGGACTTTGGCTGCAGGCGGCTCTGCTACAACTGGCTCCCCTTTCTTCCGCTTGGGAGCCATTTCGTGAGTTGAGCGAATCAGTGGCTGGCGTGGTGCTAGTCGTGAGATGGATGAGAGGGAGAGTTGTCGAGAGCTACTCAGCAACGCCACAGTAGTGCACTGTAAGGTGAAGACGGATGGGTTAGAGGCGTGTCAAGCACACAAAATCATCTTTCCTCGGGGGTCTATATCAGACAGCTATTCCAAACAAGGCAGTACAGATCAATGGTTTATGTTGAGCCAATACCGCTGCGCTGGTCACGAAGATGGATGTTCACGCTTTCGCACGTAGTTGCGCCGAACGTCGTATAAGAAAGCTTGGCTACCCTTGTTTATAGTCTCTACGAAATAAGCCTTGGTCAAGGAAGGGGGGATCTACGTAAGACACCAGGTCGAGCGAGAGCGGGCAAACAGGGTGCCACAGCAACGCCAGAGGCTTCGATCTATGCCCAGATCCCAGATTCGTCGTTTCATAACCATGACTTCGATGAAGTCATCAGCCCGCCAAACCATCTCGATCGGGATCGTGCGTTGGTGGATACGTACCAACTCCACAACTTTGCTTGGCGAATGGCGGCCTAGCTAACGTCTCAAGGCGGCATTGCACGTCTCTTTGGGAATATTAGCTGGACGGGCTAAACAGCTCTGTCTCGTTATCAGATGACCTTTTGCGCATCTCATTTGCTCCTTGAGAGGCAATCTCACCAAGCTAAGCCACGAGCCGCAAGCTGCGACGGAGAGACAGAGCTTCCTAGAGCTTTCTAGCGCCAGGCTCTGCTTGTAAGTGATGCTGGGAGCACCACCGCATCATGCTGATGCAACCCTCCCTTGTCTGTGCCTGGCGCCACCGTGCCACGGAGCACTGCTCCGTGGTGACACAATGTCGAGGGCAAGTATTAATTCGCGCTGAAGCTGTCATCGATGTGTAGCTGATGCAGCAGCTCGACCTGAAACAGCACTCTGCAGCACTCGAGATGGCCAAATCATCATGATCTCATCAATGCCTACCACAGATACGGATATATACGCCTCCTGGTGCCAGCCTATAGATTGCTCCACACTGACGCCTTTGGGGGGTTCTCGAGGAGCGACGAAGACGAGTCCTTACTGAAGCTTTTGTCAATTGATAACTCCTAGAGTTTTGTGGCGGTAGAAATCATCATATACCTGCTCATTGAAAGGCGAATAAGTTGTCCAAAGCATGGGTCGGTGGACGAACTCATTTATGCGTATAGATTCGATTCGACCAACGGTTAGTGGCAAAGGCGCCACAAGCGTTTATGAAATCATATGTGGAGCCTCTCATTACCGGGAGCTCATTTTTGATTTGGTGTTTTCGTCTTGCCGCTATCCCAAGGCTCCAGCCCATGCCGCCAGCAGATCATTGTCTCGATTGGGGTTTAACTTTTAAGAATCAAGGCTAAGCTCGCTTGGCTCGGCCATGAAGCTGCGTAGATGCGAATTTGGGGGCGGGGACGGTGGAGCTCGCCATGAAATTGCTCCTTGGAAACCTCGGGTATATGGAGGCGAAATATCCTTTAGTAATGCTTCTCTTCACTCACCAGCAAAGAGAAGTGTCGTGCGGCTGACTAGCATGCAATCTTGAAATCGCGCTGCTAGGAATTGTTCACCGTTAGCGGCCGTTTTAGCTCAGGTGTGGATTCCGGGGTTGTATCAAGTTATAACTGACCTAGGCTTCTTTCTATCCTCGCGCAAGATGCGACGTTGAGCCGTGAGAACGAAATGCCAATATGCGCCCGGAGATGCTCTGTTGGTTAGGCTGGGTGCGAAGACGTTGTTGACGGCAAAATCGTATACGTACATGGCCGTTTTGTTCCTAGCATTACATCAAAAATACCGGAATAAAGAAGGCCATGATGGATTCTGGCGGAACCACGATTCAATCCTCCGCCGCCAACTTCCACGGAGACTTCGCTGATAGCAGGCAGCCCCTGCGTCGATGCGTGTGATTACGGAGTGCTACCCCGTATGTACATCGGACGGGCAATAGCAGGCAATAACTGGCAATATCCTGGTCCTGGCTTTTCGTCCCATGATGAGCGTGCCATCGATAAACCAACCCCTCCCCTGGTTGTTACTGCATACAGCTGGCGATGAGAAGACGCTCAAAGATGCTCCAAGTCTTGTACTCCTGAATAGATGCTTTGTTCTATGTATTGGTACATACTACGGTTTGCTGCTTCAAACATAGCGAGCAGCAACCGCCGTCGCAAAACTGTGTGCTTGCGGTAATGCGGCTTTGGCATTTGTCAGATTCGTATGAGGTACGGATGGAGGCAGTAGTGCAGATATAGCAACATCCTCGTCCCAACTCGATCGCACAATATGTATTACTGGCTGGCCCCAGTCTCGACCGATGCCGTGGAGCGGGCCCTCAGAGCAAGCTCAAGCCAAACGCGAATGCTGTATACGACGCCTTGCTACTTCTCCCTGCGCAGAGCTAGCAGACGTGTACTCGCTGCGGTCATTTAGGAAGGGCTATTGAATTGGAAGTAGGGCGACGTCGAAGCTGAGTTGAGCTGAGCTGAGCCGAGCTGAGAAGCGCACTCGTAATTGATGACAAGAGGGCACTCGCATACCGCTTTTATGTTTGCATGAGTAAGCAGGCTACGAGGACAGACAAGTAAGGGAGACGAGAAGTCAAATGAAGCTCAGCCGTGAGAGTAAGTATGATGACCAGACGAATGCTCTCCGGCTTCAGCCAAATGCATCCGTGGCAGATCCAGAAGCCAAAAGGGAACCGTAGCACCACCCCATGTTCATGTCATGTTAATTTTGGGTGCGCCAGAAACAAGGCTTGCATGCCTTGCTCGCTGTGATGGGCAAGGGGTAGTCTGTGATTTGATTCATGCGCTACCCGCCGGAGAAGCAACTCCGCTCACGCCGTCGTCTCTCTTCTCGCGTGGCTACCTAATTCTTACTTGCACATGCAAAGCGCATACCCCTTGCTGTTAGTTGGTCGAAGAAGTGCTGCAAATAAGTATGAGCTGTGTATGTATCGTTTCGTACTCAATCAGCTCGGCGGTTAGTGGCTTGAAAGGCTGGGGTTGGGCGGAAAGCATTTAGCCGCGAGAACAAGCCCGGTTTCCAGTCGTCAGTAGAAGCAAAGCAGCTCGTAGTCTAGGGGATGCCATCGTGATGCCAAAGTAGGTAGTAGTACCTAGTATGTAGGTATTTTTGAGCTTAACAAAGCATGGAACGTACGACTTGCCATGCCGCTGTAATATTCTCCGACCGTTTAGCCCATCAGCCGTACGGAGAAAAAAGAGACTGGATGCGCGTAAAAGGCACGCAAAGGGGATTCTGGTCAGCTCTCCATCCCCACGTTTGGCAACTGATCAAACTGTGGTGGGGTCCCAAAATCATCCATATCGAGACTTGAAGGGGGGTCTCAGCTATTGTTTCGGCCCTGCTCTCTTTCTATTTTGATATACGTACGTTGCGTGACGAGGCTTGGAGTCGCCAAGATCACGATGAACGAAACCCTAATATCGATGAAACAAAATTAGCCTATTCAAAACGGGATGATATAAATAGTGCAGGCTTCGATGGAAGGAACGTCGCAGTTTCTCGCATTCGCTTATCGGCGTGTTATCTTTTCTCTCTCGCCTCGTGGATTTCGCTGTTTTATTATGGATCCGTCTCCCCAAACACACGTCCACGTTGCTCTCAAACTCGGTCCCGCTGTATCAGCTTTTCGATCAGTCTAAGCACGGCATTGCTACTGCTAGGCTGTAGGTGTGTCAGGGGATTGCGCCAAGTTTCCACGGGGAGTGGACTCCGTCATCTCGGCGATATTTGCTGGTTCGTATCGCTTAGCTAAAAATACCCAGGTGAAGCCATCTAAAGAAGGTTTTTTTTCTTCTTCCAATTCAAGTTTTTGCGCAACGTCGGTTGACATCGGTTGTGAGCACCCAATGCTACAACTGGTTCGCCTATTGCTACTCGGACCTACTCTATGAAGCATTGCAACGTGGAAACGGAATTGATTCGCTGCGATATCCAGAGTGTGGCAGGCTAGTGTGAGACAGATGCATGCACACAGCGTCAGAGAGGCTGTGACGAGTATTCCAGCGAGTACTCCGCCGTAGCATTAGCAGGCAGCAGGTTGAGATATCACTGAGTACATTGTACAGGTATGCCGCTGTATTTTAGTGCGCTTCTTGACGCGGCCACGAGAGCGAGATGAGACGAGACGATGTACATTGCGATATTCCGTGGAAGCTGCGTGTTCCCACGGTCCGAGGCGCACAGAATAGGTACATGTACAAAGGTACAGAGGCACTGGATGCTCCAGGGACATGGCCTTAACAGCTGGCCCCTCACCTCGACCTCAACGTTTTCTCCCCCCCCTGTCATCGCCCAGCCATTCCACCATCCACCTCGCAACTTGGCTTCGGTATCTATTACAAGTACGCCGTCCATGACAATTACGAGCGAATGGATCTTGTGGGCAATATCTGCCTTGTAGCTGGAGTTCCTGCAGCGCTACAGCACTCCCCAGAAAATTAACCGCGCCGCAAGATCTAGATTCATGCCCTCTTGCTCCCGAAGACGACGGCGTTTGGGCGTCCCCCGGGTGGCGACTGATTCTCAGCACCAGCAGCGACAGATCGATTCACCCGCGACAAGGGCCTGCAGCCACCACGTTTTCGGACCATGGCCGGACCTCTCAGAAGGCTGCATTCCGGCCAGCCAGCCATGAGCCTTTGCGGCAGCTTATTCCACCGCAATGCGCAATCTGTACAGCACAGTATGCACCAAGGCCAGGACGAAGTTGAAGGCTAGGGCTATCGGAACCTGCGGGCACTTCAGCCTTACAGTATGCTGCCGCTGTTCAGGAAGAGGCAAGCGTGCATGTAGTATGGAGGATGCTGCTGTTTAGCCAGAAGGCTGCCGTCCCTAGCGGCATTGGCACCCGTCCGCATCCTGGACCAACAGCATCGCCATGTTCAATTGTGTTGCGAGCGCAGGTATCTCTCCTCTTGATCTCCTTAGTCTAAGCTTGTTGGACACGGCTGTCTGTCCCTTCTACAACGCACTCCTGCGCGTCCCTGGAGAGCAACAGGCCATGGGCGAACAGACTCAACTGGGATAGTTCACCCGTGCCTTGTCCACTACGCTCAGTCCATGTATACCGTGCTGTACGTAACTTGGCTGGGCAGCCCTTGATGGTGATGGCGCCAACAGAGAGCCTCAGGTCATACGCGGACAACGGACAACGGACAACCCCCCTTCTCCGCCCTTCTGACGCCTTTCTCGGCTTCCGCTTGGCAGAAACAGGAGCACGAGAGAGATTTTCGTCAAATGGAACAGGGCAGAGGGCAAATGCTGCCACGCCCACGCCCACTACGTACTGCTAGCAGCGGTAGCGTTACATCTTATCGGCGCCTCGATTCACTTGCCGATGCTAGTCTGTGCCAAACCGACTAAACATGGCGTCCAGACAGCCACGCAGCGGCCTGGACCCTTGACAGGTCACATCACAGCACGTCTAGCCTGGCTTCTCGCTCTTCCTCCATGCCGTGAGTGTGCGACAGCAAGCTTCAGCGCCGTTTTGGCCCCGTCTAGAGTGGCCTTGGCCCTAAGGCAATCAACATCCCCCTGGTCGGCTGGTCCTAGTCTGGCAGTTGCGTGCTGCGCTTGAGGCAGGCTGGCCATTTAGAGCTGATGGCGGCCCTCCTAATTCATCCATCTCTCTGTACGCGTTGGTCAGCCCTGGCCAAAGGACCCGGTCGCATCTCCACCACGTCTCTCCACATGGGAGCAGACAGGACTAGCGCCAGCCCTTCGGTGAGCTCAAGACGGCTGCGAGCCTGTGTAGACACTCGAGCACTCTATCCGCAGGACGAAGAGCGTGAAGCTGTTGGTGCTTGGTTACTTTAGCAAGCGGGAGCAGTAGCAGTAGTACTAGCTCTACTCTGCGGCCATCACTCAAAAGTCGATAAGAATACAGCCTTCTTCAACGACTAGAAAGCTTGAACAATTACAGCACTCGCAACAGCGCGTCCATGTACTGTACATACAAGTACGAGGCCTCGCCCAGACGGAGAAGCCTTTTTTGGCCTGCTCCGTACTGATCAATTCATCCATCCGCAGTGATCCCCGCAGCAGCCGCCCTACAGAAGGCCACGCTGCGCTAAAGGCTAGCGGCTTAGCGCAACAACCGCACCCCCAAATCCAGTAAATCCCAGCCCCGGGTGGCGCCTAGCCTGCTTGCTCAGCAGGTACCTCGTGCTAGCAGCGGCAGCTCAGCGCAGCAGAAAAACGGCTCCCAGCTCGGTCCAGAGCCGGCGTTAGTTGCGGCCGACTTTGCCAGGCCCTCCATCCTTCTCGCATTTAACAACGTCGCCTCGCTGATTTGGCCGCTTACCGCCGACTTCTCGTCTTTCCTCTCCTTGTCCACCGTTTCTCCTGCGCATCAGTCGGTCACTTGCATTTTGATATCAATCGCGAGCGCCGTTGGCTGTTGGCGCAAAGAATTGATCAAGGAGCAAACAAGCCGGCAATCAATCAATCGCAACAAGCGACAATCAGCATTTTGCCCCCTTCTCTCCCTTCGTCTTGTCCCGCCCCGAGCCTAGCTTGCGGAATCCCGTCGTGTGGCGTCCCTCTTCTGTGTCTCTCAGTGTGCGTCGCCGAGGCTGTGTCTTACACTGGGGGTCCAGCATCTGCTCTGCGCGGCTGAGCGTCTCTTTTGAAGCAGCCTGGTCCCAGCCTGGCGGTTTCAACATCACCACAGCATTGGACGAACATAAAATCCGTCGCCAGCAATCCTGCGCCCCAACAACTTAGACACTGCGTAACGCACGTCCTCCCGGTCTTCACTTTCCGGGAAACAAAGCCCTTCTTTTTCTTTTGCTTCCTCGTCTCGGCATTGATACCGAAGCGACATTCGAGGGCGAGACATTGATCCTGGCCTTGTTGCACCCTGTGCCATTCTCCCTCTTCAGCGGCGTCAAGGAATAGCATGCCCCATATGCGTGAGGTGAAGACCTGTGACCGCTGCCGGCACTTCAAGCGGCGCTGCGACCTTCTCAAGCCGTCGTGCTCGCGATGCATCCAGGCCGGAGTGCGTTGCAGCTTCGATGTCAATGGCGTTGCCGTGCCCAGCGCAGCAGCCGCCGCTGGTGCCAGTGCGTCTCCTGGTTCTTCGCGACAGGCGAGGACGGCGCTCGCATCTTCTTCATCTCCTCCCGTCAACGGTGATCCGACCGCGGGCCAAAACGGGCTCATCTCGCCCACTGCCTCAACCGAGAGCCCTGAGCCCGCTGTTTCCATCGATGAAAATGGCATGCCGGTTCAGGGCAATGCCAACCCGCTGCGCGTTGTTCGCAAGCGCAAGCGCAATTGCCTGAGCTGCTTACGCTGTCATCGCCTCAAGGTCAAGTGCGATAAAGAGCTGCCCTGCGGTCGTTGCAAGTCGAGCGGCAACGGCAGGGAGTGTTATTATAGCTACAACAAGGGCCCCAACGGCGGGAAATTCCCCTGTCCCACAGCTCCGTCAAACAACGAGGAGACAAAGACGGTCCTAGCCACGTGGCAGGTCCAGCATAAAGTACGAGGATCCAGCCATTGGCGAGATCTCATGACCAAGGTATGTTTTGCAGGATTACGCCGCAGCAATTCCTACAGTGTATTAGATACTAATAGCTGGGGCTACACAGATTGGCGCTTTGGCATCTTTAGAATCGGCCCCGCTGGCTGCCGCTCTTGAAGATGTTGCTACAAATGCTTGTTTGGCAAACTTTACGCTGCCGGGCAATTTCCCCTTTGGTACCCCTGGTGCCACAAAGTACTTTGCGCGTGAGGCCGTCACTCGGCTGTTGGCGGGCGAGAGGCAGAACCATGAAAGGTATCTCCAGCGATATCTCGACTTGCTTGATGTCGTGAATCCAATCATCGACCTCCACATTTTCAAGCGCGAGATCGAGCGGTATTGGCTGGATCCCAATGCCTCCAATCTTTGCTGGCTGGCACAGTTCCTCATGGTCATGGGCCTCGGCAGCTTTGCCTCCGCCGAAGGAGAGCCTCCCGTCGCCACAGAATTCATGATGGCTGCCGAAGCATGCCTCATGCAGACGCCCTTTTCCTTCAGACCGACCCTGCTCACCCTCAAGACGCTGGCCCTCATGGTGGTGGCCAAGCAGGTCTGCAACCCCACCTGCTGGTCCGTGGATTCGTGCTGGTCCCTGCTCGGACTGCTCGTCCGCACAGCCTTCATCTATGGTCTTCCGCAAGATCCAACTGATGATGCGGAGACTAACCAAGAGGAAAAGGACGCCCGGAGAAAGCTGTGGCTTACCATTTTGTACCTCGATATCAAGGTGGCCATGTGCACTGGCATGCCTCCTCTAACACGGCCGGATGAGCTTGGCAACCTGCAAAAGATTCCAGAGTGGGGTCCGCCGGACAGCCTCCAGATGGTCTTGTACCAGTCGCTGCCAACCGTGCTATCGGTCATGGCGCAGATCAATTCCAAGAAGGATCAAATCTCATACCCCGATGTGCTGCGGTACAACGCTCAGCTGCGAGAGCTCATGAGCCATGCCCAACGCGTCTGCGTCGGACAGCTACAGCGGGTAACCGTCGACATCTTCCTGCGACGGTGCCTCATGGTTTTGCATCGTCCTTTTGCGTTGCACCCAGAGGGCCCTGTCATGTTTCCTGAATCGTACTGGTCATCCCTGGAATGCTGCCTGGCGTTGCTGGTGCATTATCGTGAGATGTGGTGTAGTGACGCGAGCCTGCGATTAGATCTTGTCGGACGAGCCTTTGTCCTCGATTTCTTCTCTGCAACCCTGACGACGTACATCCATGTGCTTCGCGCAGATGCGCCTCTTACAGGAGCTGCCGCCATAGGGTGTGCATTTCCTCCTCGGCAAATTATTCTCGATACTCTACGAAGCTGTGTCGATATTTGGAGTTCAGAAAAGGATAAGAGTGTGTGCTACCGCACTGGTTACAATCTGCTTGATGCGGTGCTCAACTTGGTTCCTAAAAATAAGATATAAAATCGCCGTGGTGGCGTAGGGCAGTGTATTACTCCACCTGCCAAAGCATTGCCAGAAGATGCCGCAAACAAGCGATAATGTGTATTCGGAATATTGACTGGATATTCCGGTTTTTATTCCTCTTTCAACAACCATAATACGACAGATGCAAATACGTCCCATTTCTCTTTATATATCCTGCTCATCGGCGCCCTGTTATGAATTTCGAATGCGTCTATTCTTTCTACAAGGACCTATTCATTATTGCGGTCTGAAATATACTCCATATAGCGGCCTGGCATGATTGAATATCTGAAGCGTCGTTTCTTTTCTTTTTCTATTTTCCATATTTCCATTCCACTCTCGTTTCTTTATTAGCCATCATTGGATTTGCGGGCTGGGTTTTGTATGAGGACAAATGCATGAAATCAGGCATGATGATGGACGGGCTATGAAAGAGGTCAGCAGGACAATTATATACATTAGGCCAGCGTTTATGTAGGAAGCGCGAGTCAATAGCAGTAACAATATTACTATTAGTCTGCAGAAACAGAAGCGAGACGATGCCTTCCTGAAGCAGACACGGCGGTGTAGGTCACCCATGTGCTATGGCGTAGATGGTGATTGATGGGCGATGATATTCGGCACAAGTGAGCATTTGAAAGCAATCATACGATACAGCGTTGTGTGCAGATGCGGTGCTTTTCCATCGTCGCTTCTCCATGCTGAGACATTTTGCTTTAGTCCTGACTGAATGGAGGCATCATCGAGTCAAGCCAAACAGAGCCGAGCTGCATGAGCTGAATAAACCCATAGACATCATGCTTATACTCTCCGTCCATGAAGAAAGCAACGCACCCTGCACGCGCCAGCCATGAAAACAACGCCTTGGCAACTCACCGTGCATGGAGACGCAAGACAAGCAGCACGATATGAGATCATAGAACCCCCGTTCTGTCACGATCAAGCTCTGTTTTGCTCCCCCAAGCCGCTGACTGCTGCTATCTGGGCCACAGGCTTGTGATCAGTCAACCCCCGGCAATGGGGTGTGACGACATGCCACCGGTGCGTCATCCGGGTGCTGCTAGCAGGTGCTAGCAGGTGCTTTGCTTTGGCCGTTGCTCCTCGCCTGTAAAATCCCGCCAGCGTTGCAAAAGCCCACTAACGAAACAGCCACAGCGTTCTCGATCCCCCTCCCCGCTGAGGAGCTCCTCTCCAAGCTTTTTAGCAAGCTTGGGCTACTCTGCTCCCCACCTTTGGAAGCAAGGTTGAGAGGGTACATATACATTTGGCTCTGTACATGCAACCCTGACTTTTTTTTTTGCGCATAAACACCAAAAAAGAGCTCAGCTGCCTCAGGCCTTTTCCCTCTAGGCCTGTTTAAAGTTGTCTGGGACCTGGCAACGTGATTCGGATCCTGCTTATCGCTTCGCACCATCTGCATCACCTGCGAACTATAGCTGCCCTCCCTTCTGACGACGGCTTTCAGCCTACGCCATCTCAGCCTCATCCTGCTCTACTCTACTCTGTCCCTGCTCTGCCTAGCCAGACTAGATTCAACCCGCCAAAATGACTTCTATTGTTGAGCACTCTCCGCCGGCTCACAGCCCGCCTGGCCCAGATGCCAAACGGCCCAGAGGTAAGTCTCGTGCTCTGCTGGCGCTGCTGGCGGCTTAATGTCTCTATTTACATGGCCTGTGGGCTGACTTGTATCAACGCTTTTAGGCATCCTCAAAAACCCTTCCTTTGGCTCTCCGCCGTCCCCTGAACGGCCGCGAGACCGGTCTCTGTCCGCCAAAGAGGTGACCCTCGCAAACACCCACATCAACGCCGGCCCTCGACGATCGTCCTCCGGAGCAGGCTCGCGCCGCCACTCCTCGCACAGCATCGGCGACCCGTCCGAGCCGGCCCAGCGTCTCAAGTGGGACGAGGCCAACCTCTACCTGACGGAGCAGGAGCGCTCGTCGACGATGAAGATTACGGAGCCAAAGACGCCGTATGCCAAGCACTACGACCCCGCAGAGGACCCGACCGACGACGAAGACGGGGATGAGGACGGCATTGCTGTTGCTGGCCGCAAGACTCAGCGTGCCGGTGCTGAAGACGACATTCCGGGCCTTTCGCTGGGCGAGCCGGAGGAGGAAATCCCGGAGAGGCCAGCGCACATATCGCGCAGCTCCAGCGAGAAGACGGTCCACGTGGAGCAGGAGAGCGTCACCCCCTCTGCCGAGGAGGAGGTCCTGGGACTCACGCCCGAGGAGAGGGAGAAGCACCGCAAGTTTGAGGAGGCGCGGAAGAAGCACTATGAGATGAAGAATGTGGCGCAGATTTTGGGACACCCGGAGGATCTTGATGATGAGGAGGATGACGACGATGACGAGGAGGAGAATGGAAATGGGGTCCCACCTATGCCTCCTTTGCCTACCAATATTGCTAACGGCTCGGCGTAGTTGAAGGAAGACCATGCATCGGTTTTGTTTTTTGCCCTTTTTCCCCTTTCTTTTAGCCATATCTACTATTCGTTTTTTTTTTTTTGTCTTATTACATTTTTCGGTGCACCGCTGCATTACGGTGGGATATTGGGAGAAGAGGAGTATATTTTTGACAAGAGGAAGCTTTTAGGAGGAGTTTTATAGGTTTTTTATGAACTATGATGGCGTTTGTAGGTGGCATGGAAACGAGGAACGCGCATAACGGCGGCATCACGAGGTATGGGAATACCATAGTGGCAGTTTGATCAGGACTGAAAAAAATACACTGGTTTATATTTATGTGTTGCATCGTGTATGTTCTGCGTGTTTGCTTCATGACTGGTAAATGTTAAGCTAGAATATGCGCTCCTACATACTTGTTTCTAAAAACAGAAATAGAAATTGTTTCTAAGAATATCAGTCTATAGGCTATCCCATCTCTATATTCCATCTTTATATACAACTTTTCCAACTTTTTTTTCACGTTTATCAAATTGTTATTGTGCTTATGTTTTTTGTGTTCCCGTATGACTGCATAAACTGTCCCTTTCGCTCAAAGCAAACCCTTCCGCGCCAGTTCAATCTTGCGCGCGGCTTCTCCCTGCTTGAACCCGCCTTTTGAAACGCAGGTGCGCTTCCCTTCTGCGAGCTCGAATTTGTCGTCGTTGGCGTCCCATGCGCAGGGGCAGTGGTGCGGGAAGTGGACGCAGGCGAGTGTGTCGGGGCAGAGGTAGTGGTCACAGGTGGCTGTTGGCGTCTTGCGTTAGTATCTCTCCATGTTCATTTGACATTCTCATTATTTCTCGGATGATAAATAGGCAAATAGAAGTTTAAGAGATTGTGAAATGAGGAAGAAGGCGGGAAATCCACACTCACAATGTGTGTACTGGTGTTGATAATGGCGAGCGTCGCTGGGGTTGTTCTGCGGGCGCTGCTCTTGGTGGTGGCCGCCGCCGCCGCCGCCGCCGCCAAACATTTGGTCAAAGAATCCAAACTGGGCATTGGCCAAGGCGAAAAAGGACAAAAGAGCTATTAAGAGCCGCATCTTGAGTAATTCTGATTGGCGATTGGAAGAGTGGCCAGAAAGTCAACAAAGTTCGAGGTGATGACGCTCTCGTTGGCGGAAGAGCTAAGCTGGCCACTACAAGGTCTTATCGATAACAATCGAATGCGTGACTAAGCATCATAGCACCCAAAAATGGAAACTTGCAACTAAAGTTTTGATACAAGGATGCATTGGAGCATTTTGACATCAAACCCCTCGTAAGACTCGAGCCACAGACCTCCCCACGACAGAAGGGGGGAAAATCGCCTGGCCATGCGACTCTTCACGATACAGCGGCCGATATTGGCTGCTGTGGCTGCGCTTTCAAGGCCAACAATTGCAAACAGCGCTGTTGCTCCTCTCGGAGCGCAATTGGCCAATGTCCTGGCCGAGGGTCGAAGAAATGCTTCGGTGAAGGCGCAGGGAGCCTACAGGAAGAAGAGCAAGAGGGGAATTCCTAACAAACTTGGTGCCAAGCGGACTGGAGGTACGTCTGCAGCCGTTGGGGGGAAATTGAGGGAGAGATTTTTGGCACACGATTGCTAACCTGATGGTGATTAAAAGATCAATTCGTTATTCCGGGCAATATTCTTTACAAGCAGCGCGGAACACACTGGTGGCCAGGCGAGAATTGCATCATGGGCCGCGATCACACCATTCACTCCATGGCGACGGGCTACGTCAAATACTACCGCGACCCGGCGAAGCACCCCGACAGGAAATACATTGGCGTCGTCTTCAACAAGGAGGACACGCTGCCGTACCCGCAGCACGCCGAGCGTAAGCGCAAGCTCAACAAGACGGCGCACACGATCCGGACCGAGGCTGCGAAGCCGGAGCTGTCGCCGTCGGGAATCCCCTTTGAGGTCACGCGAGTGGAGGCCGGCGAGCCGGACAGGCTGCTGAGGCTGAGGGCGAATTACAGCTACCGCGAGGACAACTGGCGCATTGGACGGCTGGTGAAGACGACGGGGTTGAAGACGACGAGGTTCCGGACGAGGAAGCAGTGGTTCCGGCATAGACGGTGGAGGAGGGAGCGGGAGATTTCGGGGCAGAAGGAGGCGGAGAGGAAGAGGGCTGAGAGCGGGGGGGAGAAGGTTGTCAAGGCGATTAGCAAGAAGGCGGCGAAGAAGGCGGCGAAGCAGGCTGGTAAGAAGGCGAAATAAATGATGGGTGAGTGGGGTGGATGGTGTTGATACGATGTTTTTTTCTGTCTGGGGATATTGTACCTGTCTCGATAAAATAAAGTGTATAGTAGAATAAAAGGAATGAATTGATGGATATGAATCAGAGATGGGAGCCATCTTGACTGTTTGGATGCCAATGGCATGATATGATGTGGCACTGTTGGCAGAGATGAACACGGCGTATCTGACTGCAAGATTGCCTAAATCGGTATAAGAAAAGGCATGTGCAAGATTACCTGCCTGGGATATTAATGCTAGACTGCATATGCTTAGACGAGTAAGCTTGTTTTTATATCCTTTCTTGAAGAGTTTATCATAAATCGTTGGTCATTTAATTCTGTACTTTGATATTTACTGGCCTAGATTGAAGAGGAAAGAATTAGACGATACAATGGGCAAGAATGTTCAATGGAAATAGACTGGGCTGCAGACATATAAATTTAGGCCATGAAGCAAACAATCAACTTGGAAACCTAAACAATAAAACAATAGGTACTCTTCCAAGTCTTCCTCACATTCACTGCTGCTGCTGTGAATACCGCGCACAACCAACGCTTTCTTGTGGATGAAGCTCTGCGCGCTCGCGCTGCCCGCGCTATCGGCTGTATCTGCCCCTCGCCGTGGTGCATGTCACTAAAGCTCCACTGCAGAACGCCCACAGCACCTCCCGCGTGGCTTAAATGCACTCCGCGCTCGAATCGCGATAGGGACGACACCAGCGAGCAGATCGAGCACAGGCGATGAACCCTACGAGACAACTACCGTTACACCAAAACCTTTGATTCGACATCTTCCTACACGGACAACAAACATTGGGTGCTGCAGCTTGTCTGCGCGCCATGCCGGGAGCTTGGGCAGCCTGAGAGAGACGACGTTGTGCGATTTTCACTGGCCGGACCGACGCCAACATCGAGCGTACCCCTATGAGAACAGAGCCTCTGCTGCTGTTGGCTTGAAAGAACACGCCCTGGCTGTCGGGGCCTCGTAAATTGCTTCTCGCGCGCCTACCCTCCTTCTGCAGCCGGACTATGGCTTCCGCCCATAGAATGAAGCGTACGGAACAATCCCTGTGGAGGAAGAACAGCCAGACGATGCGGCAACGCGACGACCCAGCTGATGCGCCGCCTCCCCTAGTCGTCAGTGATATTCTGCCGTCTTCGTCGGCGGCTGGCAACCCCATTGCTCATGTCGAGACGCCTGTGCCTCTCCCGCTGCCGCTGCCTCCTCTGCGGACCTTGCCTTCGAACGGACCGGCGCTGAAGCGAAAGGCAATGGCGTCAAACGACAAGATTCTACAGGCACAACAACACTGGGAAGCCATGAACAGGGTCATGGAGCACAAAGGTGAATGCCGAGCCTTCTTGTTTGTCTAGACGCATTTGCTAGGTGCACGGGGCAGAATGAGACTTGGGCCGGCCATTGGTCAGCTCAGAGTGAATCGAGGCCCTTCCCCGGAGTGACCATATCTGTGTAACCGGCTGCCACTGCTGCCACCTCACTCAAGCTTGTCACACCTCGTTTCCGCTGCATACGCTGACATTGCATGTTTCCAGGCCCTGCTGTGTTACCAAGCAACCACGCACCTTTCGCTCAGATGATGGACTGGGCAAGGCCACCAAAAAGGGACGAGGCTAGAGGGGCAGCTGCCGAAGCAATGCCAGGAGCACAGCGGTTATCGGAAGAGGGCCTGATGCAGAGGATGGCGGATCTCAATAGATCTGCGAGCACCGGCTCAAGAACGCGTCGAACGTCGAGAAGCCAGCTTGTGGAACCGCCCGCTTCAGCCTCTGCGTCTGCGTCTGCCTCTACGTCTGAATCCGCGTCGCTGTCTCCAATTCAGCAACCTTTGGCCATCGATGAGATCGACACCATGGATCTTCGAAATGCTCAGGGCAATTGGAGTGGGCTACAGGAAAATTCCGAAAATATGTCGTACTATCTCTATACAGGCAAGTATTAGACCATGTACATTCCAGTCATTGGTGTTTTGGATTGTTTGAGCATTTAACTGATTCGATGTTGGCTGCTCTCAGAGGATGACGGTACTGTGCGAGGAACGCAGAACGCTCCATTTCCTCCGGGGAAAGAACGATACGACCATCCTGAGCCCGAGATGGGACGGCCGTTTATCTGCCCGGTGCGCAACTGTAGATCTCTTGCTATTAGCATGAAGCACATGGCGGCACACTTTCATGGGAAGCATAACCGCCTTTTGTTCAACGATAATGGCGATGGTACCTTTTCCCCAGTGAGAGCCTACACAAATAAGGACGACAGCTCTCCTGGCATCATCGTTTCGCGCATTCCGATCTCTGCTGAGGCACCACCCGCCGCAACCCCGGAATATTCAGAGAGACAAAGACTGCTGCTGCTGAGGACAAACGGTTCGCCTATGTCATACGTATCCGCAGGCCCTCGGGAAGCCGTTGTTGGAAGCGCTCTTGGAGGCAATTCCCCTGACATCCCAAAACGCACTTTGCGCACTGAGGCAGTCAACGATGTCATGGACGAGAGATTGGCAAAACGTCCCAAGAAGACTCCAGTGCCTCTACCCGTTCAAGCAACTGTGCTGCCGCCATCACCAACGCCCCCCAGTCTGCCCATGGAGCAGCCACCTATGACTGAAACGCTCAAGTTTTTGCACCGGTTCCTATCACCAAATCAGCAAATCCCTTCTCGGCCGGACATACTCGCACTCTCAAAATATGAGCGGGTTCGGAATTTGCCAGCCTCGTGGATAGACTATCATATTGATAAGACGATCGATCCTCTCCACTACGCCTGTGTTTTGGCGTATCTAGTAGGCACTGCAGAAGAAAAGAATCCGTGCCGCAAATGGAAAGGAGTATCGCGGCTGTCAGATCCCTGCGTAGGGTTGCCTGCGAGCCTTTCGGCCGAAGCGCGAGCTGCATTCAGCAGATCAAAGACGTGCATTGCCTGCCAATACCAATATTGCTACAACCGTACCAAAAACGAGTGCGAGTGGGCTAAAAACGACAACGGCATGGCGCTCGATACTATGGGCGAAGAAGCAGATGCAACGGCACAGGCAGAGGTGATACCCCAGTCTGGGGTTGAACCAGCATCTGAGATGATGCCCAAGGTAGTCGCAGCGGATAGCGGTTACGCAGACGATGATTATGATATGATATCAGACGGCCTACCATTATCGAAAAAGGAGCCTGAGCAGGTCCCCATTCGAACATCTCAAAACAAGAGTCCGCCACCTATATCAAATGTCACACAAAATCCAGCAGCCGCTCAGATGGAGGCGGAAGAAATGGAAGACTGGGAAATTGCCCCTGGTACTATCAAAGACGAAGTGACTAATATGAGTGAGTTTCCCCTCTGCCATGGCTGTTTACTAGCTGTACCAAGCACACGTTAGACTAACTGACTATACTAGATATCGGCTTTTCCAACACCTACATGTCTGACCAACGACCAATTACCATCTCCCCAGGGCTCAGCTTCAACGTTCTTGTCCTGAAGCCAGGACGCCCGTATCACTGGCCGGTGGCGATTAGCATGGTGCGCACGTGTTCTGTAAGCGCCGGCAAGATCAGTGTCAAGATGGGCGACAACGAGACGTTCAAGCTAGGGCCGAATGGAGTAGTTGTCATACGGCCAGGACAGGATTGCACGGTTTCAAACCGGCTTTACACAGATGCGGTGCTTCACTGCACGACTTTTGAGGACGACTTTCAGATGAAGTGATGGGCGAGGGGGATAAAGCAATAGGTCAAGGCTACTACTTATTTGGAGACGGACGGTTGTTTTGCTAGACTGAGATGATACCCTGTGTACATGTACATGAGCTGGCGTTTAGGGTTTCGTTTTACGGGGGGCTTTCTATCCATCTTCTTTTCTTTGTTCTTCTTGACATCTGGTAAAGGCACAAGACGTTGTGAGTAGAGATGCAGTTATAAACATATAATACGCATTTAGATTATGGGCAGAACGTTGAACTGTCTTTCTATATAGCACCTGTTTCACACATGATTTGACGTCAAGGCGGCCTCTAGTCTTTGCTCTCATACCAAATTAAGTCGGAAGCGACGCCGAGTTAGCCATGACGAGTGCCGAGCCTACGGATGGCAGTTTTCATATCATGTGAATGTTTTTGCGGAGCTTTCAAAAGCCGACAGACGACAATCCGATGAGCTTAAAAGAGGACTCTTTCCCGCTCTAGTGGATCTAATTAATCTTGCATTGTCCTCAGCTTTGGATGCCAGCCTTGGGGTCCATGTGCCGCGAAATAGTCACGGTGGCGCCAGTCCCATGGCCAGAAATGCCAGGGTGCTGCCGGGGTCATTCGCAGCGTGAAGGGGGGCGCTGTAAGCACTGTAAAGTCTGCTGAAGGCAGCCAGGCATCAAAATTGACGATCAATGGATGCCTCCCTCGCCTAGGTGCATTCCCGCCTTCCCGTCACGAGCGAGGCAGATGATTTCGGTTTGTCGCGGGCCTTTTTTTATTGTGAATGATGGAGAATGTGCCTCCGCATCGCTGAACTTGAGTGATTTTAGAGCGGCGTCGTCCTTGGTCTGAGATGAATCGGGTGAGTGTGTGAGATGCGGGATTCGTGATCTGGGGTTGCGATGCCGAGGGTGGTAGATTTGTCCTCGGGGCCGGTTTGGGTGGATGGATGGATGCTGGTGGTGTCTTTTACTTGAAGGTTCTGTGCCGTATTACTCATGACATTTGATGACAATTTGTGCCTTGGGTGTCTGTCTAATAGCGCATGAATCTGCTTTTGACGGCGAAAGGTGCCTTGCCTGCGTATGCTGGAGCGGGCAGGTGATGGCTCGGTTTCGCGTGTAAGTTGAGAATGTGATGCGGGCTGTGGGGATACGAGGTGATGCGTACCTTATGCTCTGTGCGATGGAATTTTTGACTTTGATCGTGATTTCTTTTGATTCTACATCTTCTATTTTATCGAGCTTGTTTCGTTATATAACTGAGAACGTCTGCTCTGGCTGGGGGCTTGATGATGCTTGGCTTATAAACCGTGCTGCTTGGCATCAACCCGCTGCATCAACTGAGACCGCTGTAATTATAGCGAGGGACAGGTATGGCTCGTGGCGGCGGCGGCCCGATACGGCGGGCCTCTGCAAGCCTCGCGCTGGACGTGCCTGCTCCTCCTGCACCTACGCGGAGGAGATCTGGCAGATCAAAAACACCAAGTATATTCACGGATACCGACGATACCGATTTGAAGCCTGGAGCGAGCGAGAGATTTTCTGAGAAGCCGGGGACTGGACATGGTCAGAACCAGCAGCCGCGGACTCGGTTTACCATTGACCCCGAGGGCCAACTTACACACGATGAGACGAGCGTCGACGTCGTCACGGTGCCGTGTCCGGGCGGGCATCCCCTGCGGAGCTGGAACCGAGATGGCCTCATGGGACGATATTATGGCGCGCCGTCGATGCGGGATGCCGAGGTTCGCGAGGTGGAGCGGCAGGGTCCGTCGTGGGTGAGGCAGGGCATTCGGCGAGAGGCCAATAGGGCGAGGATCTTGCTGTATGAGCACCCGGAGGTTGTGGACGGCATGACGCTGAACAAGCTGGCGGTTGCGCTGCTGGACGAGCTGAGGGAGCTGAGGACGAGGGAGAAGCGGGAGAGGCCGCTGTTGTTTATTGGGCATAGCATTGGCGGGTTGGTGGTGAAGATGGCGTTGGTGAGGGCGAGTCGGGATGCGAGGTATGAGGGGATACTGAGGGAGTGTTATGGGGTTGCTTTCTTTGGTGAGTGGCAGTGATGGCTGCAAGCCTTTGGGGTGATGACGGTGATGCTAATGATGGGATGTCTAGGAACGCCGCATCAAGGATCCAGCTACTTTGCCATGCCCTCTCTCGCGTCGAGCATCCAGCAGCTCCTACAGCTATCAGCTCCCTTGCCGGCATCTCTCACGGATGATTTACGCATGGCAAATCATTTACTGCTCCATGTAGACGAGGACTTTAAAATCATATCCGACGATCTCCGCGTATGGACCTTTTACGAGACAATCGACTCTCGACTATCAGCCAACTCGGGAGACATCTACTTCACGGCTCCCCTGACATCCATCAAGTCTGCCATTCTAGGGATGCGTCAGGAGCGCATTTTCCCCCTGCAGGGCGACCATGCCAACATTGCGTCCTTTGGGAGGCACAACGTGCACACGCTGCGGCTGTTCTTGCGCCAGCTGGCGGAGCATATCGAAAAGGCAGATTCCAACGCCCGCGAGGATGCGAGGGCGGGGAAATGGATGCTCAACTTGGAGCAGAAGGTGACGGTGGAGGTTCATGGCTTTTTTGACGACGCGGGGATTGATGATGGGACGGTGAGGGCCTGGTCGACGAGATTGCCGCTGAGGGAGTTTCTGAATAAAGGCCCGGAAGCATGTCTGAGTGAGAGGCTGAATGAGTCGGAAGGCCCGCCTGAGGAGGGAAGATTTCTTGCCATGAGGGGGAGGACGGGCTTGGTGGATATGGAGGGACCGCCCGAGGTTGTTGTTGCGTTTCCTCCGGATCCTATGACGGTAAAGAATGCGTTGGGTATTAATCAAGACATGATCCCTTCGGTTGATCACACTGATGCGCTGCCTTTGGTATTGCCGGTGCCGCCGTCGCCCATGCTTCTACCGGTTGACTCTCCAATGTCAAGGCCAAGAAAGAGTACGGAATCTGCACCGTCGGCAATACGTTCACGGCCTGCAGCTGGACCTTTGACGCCTCCTTCTCGGCCCATCTCGCTGCCCCCTCAGCAAACGTCGGCTTTTCGGAAACCCTCGCCCCTTATGCGGGCGAGCCTAGACCAGGAGCTCGCTATTGATCGTCTTTCGCCTCCTTTACGTGGCCGAGTCGGGCGGTCATTTAGCCGGTCTATGAGTCTGGACAGTGACATTGGGGGCGCATCATCTCCCCCTCGGTATCGTGGCTTTCCTCCTTTATCTGCGCGAAGTAAAAGTACGTTTGACAGGGCTCTTATTGGAGATGAGAATGATAGCGATGGCGGTGAGGACGACGGTGGGCTGGAGGGGTCTCCGAAACTGCCCGAGAGCGTTCTTGCGATTCGGAAGATGGCAAAGGAGAGGGGCCACAGGCCGAGCGAAACTGTGATTGTAGATGACGGGGTGGTGGCGGCTCATACTGCGTTTATGAAGCCGGAGGCTAAGGCGAGGAAGTTTGTTTGGATTCATTTGCCGTTTAATAACCCTACCTGGGTGACTGTAAGTTTCCATTTCAAGAGTTACTCTCAGAGATTGATGAATGTATGAGGACTAACAAAGGAATGTTGTTACTAGGCTATCCTTCAGACGTTGCAGGTTTCCTATCAGAGGGACTTTTCTGCCTTGTCGAATCATGATTTTTGGGTGAGGAGGCATACGCGCGGGAGACACTCGCAGCATTATGCACATTTTGCGAAGCCGGGATGTTACTTTACAGCACCTCGAACGTGTAAGTGAAACTTGTTATTCTTCTAGCCCAATATCATGAAAACTGACATGTGCTCATGTATAGTATCTCCACGGGCTCATTCTGTGACCAGCCGCTCCCTTTCACCACCTGGTGGAGACGACCAGATGTATGTTTGTCTGTTTCTCCCGTACCTACACTTTGACTCGTACAAGAGACTCATCCGCCGACGCGAACTCATTGCGAAGCGTTTGGCTCACGGGAGGGCCAGGCCCGTGCCTGAATCTGTTGCCAAGTCGGATTCTGTTGAACTGCAAGTTGTCTGGGAGTTCTTGGGACATGACCCGCCAATTAATTGCCGGCGCACGCTGGATCAATATGGCTACCCGTCGATCAGAGATACACGGTCTCGAGACGACGACCAAATGCTGTACAAGTTGACAAAGGAAAGATACTATGACGTGGCTGAATACAGGGGATTGTATAGTCAGACTTCGGGCAGTGGTTCCGCGTCAGGAGAAAGCAGTAATAAAAGCGGAAACGGGAGCGGGACTGGGAGCGGCAATGCTGGTGGAAGCCGGACAGGGAGCTGGCGGGAGAGGCTCAATAAACAGAATGGCGGCGAGAACGGAGATGAAGAGGTTGAGAAGGATGTGCTGAATGGGAATGTGCTGATGGTGGACCAGCTATGGATCTGGACTATTTCAACTCGTGAGTTGACTTGCTGTATACACTGATTGATTCTATGCTAACTTGGGTATAGATACGCTGCTTTCATTCTTCCCCAAGCGGGAGAGCGATCCTATCGAGGGGCCATTGTATCAGCAGGCAGATCTGCGCGATAGCATCTTCAACGATGTCAATGTAGATCTCACTCGCCTCTGTGATAGCTCTTTGGACTTGGCGGCACTAGCAGCTCTGCATGCGGTGAGCGTTCTCCTTGACCGGGCTTCTCATCCCGATTTGGAAGTCTTTCGCATATTTGAAGAAGCCATCAGCATCTTGGTAAGTCAAGTGCTGCTCTACCTGGGTAGTATGTTTTTGCTAATACGCTTAATAGACTGAGAAACTTACCACATCTCTCAAAGAGTTCCGCTCAGAGGGATTTCGTGACAAGGCTTTTGACTATGAGCCTGTCGAGAATAAAGCTCGCTCGATCCGGGAGCGTCACAAACAGGAGGGTCGACGAGCCGAGCAAGAGAATAGGGACAACACTTCGGCGTTATTGGAGCTACGAGATATTGAAGACGAATTGGCAACTCTACTGGGCCTATTTGAGAGACAGACTAAAGTGATTTCATCGATGCACACCATCTATAATCGCCCCGAGATGAGAGCTCACACGGTCCATGGAAGAGGATTCCTCGTTGAGGCGCTGAAGCGGCTGGGGGAGTATATCCACGTGACGGAAGAAATGATTCGACGAGTGAAGAATACGAGAGACGAATACGACAAGTTGCTGCAAATGGTGCAGCGCCAGGCGCAAGTTGACGAAGTACGACTCAGTAGGCTTCACGCTGATTTAGCCAGCGCACAGAGCCGAAGCGTGTTGATCTTTACGACCTTTACCGTCATATTCCTGCCGCTTCAGTTCTTTACGGGAATATTTGGCATGAACACGCGAGAATGGGGAGGGGGCGACAATTTGCCGCTGCGAACGATTGCCGTGATTGGCATCCCGGCGAGCGTGCTCCTAATCGTGGTGACTCTCATCGTTGCGTGGAGCACCAATGCGCGACGCTTCTTCAAGTGGATCGGGAGGCAGTATGGAGGAGCAATTCGCTTTTTTTACGAAATCTTTGCAAGACCCGTGGCGCAGTGGACGATGAAGTACATGGATAGTATGGCGGCGAGGAGGGAAGGGAAGCGCAGGCAAGGAGGGCCCGGGAGAGGGGAAGACAGAGCTCCGAATGGCAGCTTGAGCACGGAGACGAGTGATTTCTGGGAGAGGCATCGGCTGGAGAGGGAGAGGGGGTATCAGATTCCAGAGGTGAATAAGGCGCCGGCGAATAGGGTGAAGGGAGGGGGGGTGAAGTTGAGGAAGAGGGAGAGGGGGTGATTTTCCATTCTTGAGTGTATGATATACCATGATTGTTTTTTGGTTGTTTCATTTTTTTTTTTTTTTGGCTTTGAGGAATGAAGGTTATGATGGGATGATAGGGATGCATTCTTAAAATACATGTAACATGAATTTGGTGTGAGTCGGTTTGGTGCTACAGCATAAGGAGAGGGACAGGCTAATGTCACAAATAAACAATATCACGATAGCTAATGCCTGAAATAACCTTTTGGTTTTCAGTACAATTTACACATGTTGATCATCAGCCGTCAATCATCTCATTACTCTTCCCATCCCTCTCATCAAGCAACAGCCGCGCCGTCTCGGCACCTCCCACCGGCAGCTTGATGGAACTCCCCTCGTAGGGCAGATGCGTGGGCAAAATGTCCAGCTGGCGCAGCACGGTGGCCTGGTCCCACAGGATGTGCTCGTGGTAGAGGCGGTCGCCGCGGATGTTGATGATGCCGACGGTGGGGATGGCGAGGGGCTTGTTGGTTGGGGGGATTTTGGGGAGGAGGGCGGGGATTTCGGTGGTGTGGGTGCAGCAGAAGATGAATTCGTCTGGGGGGGTTAATGTCAGTTTACTTTTTTTTTTTTTTGGATATGTATGTTATATGTTTGAAGGTTGATGAGACTTACCGACGATGCGATCTGGGCCGATGGTGCGGGAGACGGTTTTGAGGGTTGTGTCCGGGGGGTTGCTGGAATTGAGTGAGTGAGTGAGAATGTGAGAGATGAGGATTGGGTGAGATTACCAGAAGATGAAGTGGTCGCGGTAGAAGGCGGTTAGTTTCTCGCGGCCAATACCACCCGTCATCTATGCAATGGTCAGCGTTCCATTTGATATATATGACATTGCATGATGTTATTCACAGTAGGGACATGGTTGACATATGGCTCTGCCTATAATTAATTGCCTTGTTAGTTACTATATCAGACATGTTTTTTAAAAGAAAAGGGGAATCAAACTCACAACCATGGTGGCCATGGTCTTGGCAACACTTCGTCCTACAAACTCCCAGTAGCAGTGCTCTTCCCAGATGGCCTCGAGATCAAAATGCGGCCCGCCGAGATGCTTCCGCAGAAACACCAAGCTTCGCGTGTGCGCCATGCTGGCAGAAGCGTTGTCGTAGGCCGCCGCAGATGGCAGGACAAAATGGGGAGACGTGCCCGGGTAAGAATGCACTTTGACGTCGAGACTTTTCCCAGCGTCGTTTTCTGAGAATTCGGGTGGTGGAGGGATACTGGTGTGAGAGAGCAGCGGGAGCACAGAAGCGCTGCTGGGGGCGCTCTCGGAAAAGGTGATGATGCCGGCGATGCCATGCTGCTGGAGGCGCTCGGCGTCGAGCAGCAGCGACGGCACGATGACGCCGTCGTAGATGGCGAGGCCAAACTTGTCCTTTGTGTCGACTGCGTCATGGGCCTTTAGTGCCTCGACGGCCTCGCGGATCTGGTTCACGACGTCTGACACGGTGGCGTCGTCGCCGGTGAGCTCTTCCATTTCGTTGGCCGGCAGCGTGATGGCCACGACGGCGAAGCCCTCCTCGGCCCATTTCTGCAGGGGCTCCGGGTCGAGTGGCTTTGTGATGGTAGCGGGCCGGGGCGGGATGGAGGAGGCGCTGGGGAGGAGGACGATGAGGCCTGGGCCGGAGCCGCGGCGGGAGAGCGGCGGCTGGAGCACGGAGGAGGGGCCGATGGGGAGGGCCGGGGCGGAGGGGAGGGGCGGGGCGATTTCGTTGGGGGAGGAGGCGTCGTAGGAGGACATGGTGGTGCTTGTAGAGTGATGATTGGAGTTTTTTACATGAATGAATGATTGGAGAGAGATGAAGGTATATTGGTTTATATCATCATGATGGCTTTTGGCGGCTCAGTTGAATGAGGGGTAGCTCTTGTAGCATACACCCCACCATGATGTTTGGGGGATTGTCCCGTCTTCACTTATACTACGCCTCTATTTTCGTATTACTCGTAGCTTTATGTTTACTGTTAATATTTACAGCTACTGCGTGCATGCATGATTCAGGGCGCGTCGCCTTGTTAGAGCTCGGCGACGGTTCCGAAGCCAGATGCTGGATGCAACGCTATTGGGGCAGGCATAACAAGCGAAGCAGGATGGATGCTAATGCCATGCAATGCAATGTATGCACTCAGACATCTTACTCAGCCTTTGCTATAGAACTAGTACCTCTTATCCCATTTCATGCCCAAGACACCAGAAAAAAAAGTCGATAAAAATCATCGAGACCCTGTGATCTGATCATCTGCTGCCCATGCTGGTGTAGCGCCAGCCGCTGCCATTCGTCTCCATCAGGCACTTGCAGGGTTCACCGGGCCCCGCTACGAGCCCTGCCGCACAGCGAATGCGACTCTGAGCCTCGATGCAGCAGTTTTGAGCTTCCTGTTCGTGTTGGTGAATCTCTTGACCTCCATCCTCTCATCTTCTGTCTCTCTTGACCCTTTTCCTTGTTTCCCACGCTCACGGCTAGAGTCATGAAGAGCTGACAGCGGCATCAAGAACAACAACAAAGTCAAGATGCCTCCTCATGCTCCAAGATGGCTCCTCGCGCCGCCCATCCAGACGGCGCCCTTGAAATACCTGCTCGTCATGCCCGTCGTCCTCTCCGTCGCCACCTTTGCCGCGCTCTTTGCCTCGTCCGACGTCGACGTCGCGCTGCTGTGGTCGCAGTGCCACGCCCACGCGCGCATCCCCGGCCTCAGCCGCATCCCGCTGCTGGGCACGCCGGCCTGCTTCCTCGTCAGCTTCTTCCAGGCCGCGCTCGACTCGCTGCGGTCGCGCGCCGTCATGGGCGTCATCCTGGCCTACGTCGGCGCGCTGGCCACGGTGTGCACCGTCGAGTCGGCGCGGCGCTGCAACCGGCCCAATGCGCTGATTGCGCGGCCCACGCTGTGGTGGCTGGTCTTCAACCTGCTGGGCGGCGCCATGGTGTGGCAGCTGGTGATTGTGCCGGCCTTTCTGCACCGGGCCAAGGCGCTGGTGATGGCGAAGCAGCAGGCGGGCAGCAACGAGGATGAGGTTGAAAGTGATGCCCTCAACGCCACGGGGCAGGGCCGCACGCTGCCAGACTCCGAGGCCGTGGCCATCCCCATTGCCGTCGCCGTCGGCTACTACCTGCCCTCGGTCCTCATGCTGGCGTACAACTCGCCCGTCGCAATCGCCGCCTGGCTCTTCTTCCCGGCCTACGTCTCGCTCGTGCGCCAGGGCGTGCGGTACATCATCCAGAGGATACGCCGCGTGGGCCCGACCGACATCCACCACGAGTCGCACTGGCAGAGCGTGGCCCTCGTGTACACGCTGCCCATCGTGTTGTCTGTAGCGGCGCACTTGTTTGTCCTCTGGAACCTGGCCCAGCGCGACGATCGCAAGGAGCTGACCAAGCTGGCGGTGAGCTTCATCGAGATTGACTTCCAGTTCATTGCCTGGACCGTCTTGTATTGGGTTTTTGTTGAGGCCGGGTGGCGGGTGCCGTTGGGCATGATTGCGATTTCGGTCCTGGCCGGGCCTGGCGCGGGCACTTGCTTGGGGTGGCTGCATCGTGAGAGGGTGCTGAGGAATGGCTTTGCGGGGCTGTTTGAGTCTGAGGCTTCTGGGGATGATGAGCGTGTAGGTGAAGAGGCACCGCTGTTGAGATGAGACGGGATGGCGATGTAGCGAAGCGAGTATTCGCACTGATGCTATGAGATACCCCTAATATTATACGTCGCAACATCTAATAATTATACAATGGCAATTAGCAGCTTGGCTCTTTTTATATATACATATACATCCATCTCACTGCTAGATCCAAAGAGCGATTGTTGTAATGGTACATCCTGCTAGTATCATAGCCAGGTGCATTCATGCTTTCTAGATTCAAAACACTTAGCTTCGTCTCCTCATAAATAGTACAAGGTATGGTTACACAACGCCGCCGCCGCTATCCCTTTTCTTTCCTTTATAGCACATGCTCCCTCTTCCCCCCCCTCCTTTTTTGTCTATGAGATTTTTTTAGTTGTCCTTGGGTACCTGCGCCAAGATCCTCTCCCTCACCACCTGCGCCGCCACGGCAGATCCGTGCTGCAGCGTGACGGCGCCGATGATGGCCATGAGCGCCGAGTTTAACACCACTTCCACACCTGAGGCCTCGAGCCGTCGGGGCTGTTTTTTTCATGTTAGTAAAATCAAAGCCATCAGTCTGTTGGACGAGCCATCAACGTACCAATCGGGGCTTCCACCGCACTACATCCATCAGCCCAACGTTGTTGGCCAACTGGTAGAGCTTATCCTTGCCGATTATGTCTCGGGGTCCCATGACGTTGAGGTTGTCCACCGAAAGCAATTGGTCGTCCTCCAATGGTGTTCTGTCGAATTGATCGGGGAATATTGAGCCGTCAAGAGGCTCTTTGCTGACAATCTCTTTTGTTGCTTCCATTACCATCGTCAACCGTCCTAGAATTGCAAAGTTTAGCATATGCTTCTTCTCCGTTCAACATGAGCCGTCATAACCAACCTAGCAGTGCCAGTCTGTCATTGAACCCTCTCCTTCCTTGATCAAAGCTCTTGTGTGTCACCGCCAGCCACTTGAGTTCCTCCGGCAGCATCTTGCTACCTCCCGGTCCGAGCAAGCGGTTGTACACCTCGTCCAGCCGCGTGGGATCGTTATTCACCGCCCAGATCTTGTTGCGGGCGCTCTTTGCAAAGTCCAGCTGCAGAGGCGCCTTCATTCCCTGCGGCGTCTGGCTCCATCGCGGCTTCGTCTTCGCGCTGGCTGATGTCGCGGGGATCTTGAACGACTCTGGTGTTGAAGGTGCAGATTCGGATTCCGTTGCGAATGTGCGTGCGCACGGGGCGAAGGCGCGGGCGGTGTGCCGACAGCGAGCCAGGCTCGGACGGCAGGACTGAAGAGCCATGGCTTTGTGAGATCAATTGTGCACGGAAAGTCGGCTTCTATGGCGATTTCGACGCTGTCTATATGGTGTTGAAGGCCTATCGAACAAATCTGGAGCATTTTCGGGGTCACGTGTTTGGCGGCATGTTGCGATCTTATCTTATCGCTTATCGATTTGCGGTCCTGGCGTCACTGGGGAGCTTGCTTAGACTGATCTTACCCTATATCTGGAAAGTTTGTTCGATTGCCGAGTCTTGGTAAAACAAGCACATTATTCTCTACTAGATTATCAATGAAATTTGAAACGACACTTAGTATCAAGAGTAAGCTAATGTGTATATATGAAAGAAGCTTTAATGGGTAGTGGGCAGTGTGTGAGTGTATTTGGGTGTTTCTTGAATGAAACGGAAGAAATTAACGAAATGAAAAAAGGTTGCAAGAATCTCACTGGTGTGCTGTAAGACCATTTTGATGTTTTGCAATAATAAACATTTACCCCTCGGTTACTCAGTCAAGGCTCTAGGCCATCACAATCACTGCACGACATATACAGCGCCTACTTGGATTCCATGTACGAAATCAGCCCTACTGTTCGCTATTTGCCTCCGCTGATTCCCATTTTGGGCATGTGGCGCCCCGGCCTTCAGCGGACCCATAGCGCTAACTCAGCTGTAGGTACAGCGGAGCTCCTGCATTCAATCTGACGTTTTGTCGCGACTCGACTCGAGGGAGGTACCAGCCCTACATCTTTTGCTTCTCTTCTTGCTGCTTCCTCCTCTTTTTTACAACCTGACACCTCGGATTTTTCTTCCACCAGTTTTTGAGAAGCCATCACAATCAGATGGCGTCTGCAGATCCTCCAGACGCCGGTCTGCGCGGTCGTCTTGCTGCTGTGCTTCCAAAGGGCTACAAATTCGGCATCCATCACGTTTCCACTCCTCCCACGAAAGTCGACGCGCTCTACTCTGCGCCCCCAGGCGAGCGACCCGAACGAACATACTGCGAGAAGCACTTTCTGAGCGTTTCAATTGACGCCGAAAACTCGTCATCAGATGCTTCAACAAGCGAAAACACACCAGAACAGGCTGCGCAGCGCAAACGGGTCCTCATTCTTGGCATCGAGATCTTCATATATACCACGGCCCGGTCCACCACCTTGTTTGTGTCCAAGGCTGACTCTACTGGATTTTTGAACAAACTACAGCTACCAAAAGGCGCTCCTAGCCCGATACGAGAGGTTTGCGCGACCTTTGTGCGCTATCTGGTCGACAAGAGGAGGAGAAAAGACGTGCAACTCGTCGTCAGCTTGTTTGCTCGCGCCCAAGACCAGTATCTCTTCCCCGGAAGCATCGAGTATTCTGGCAAGCATGTTTTGGACGACCGCGGCCTTGTTAAATGGTGGTGTCGAGTGCTCGACCCCATCGTCGAGTCGCCTCCGCGCGGCAGTCTCTCAGCATGGCGTAATACCAAGGGCTACCTGCTTATTCCTGGCTTAGATGCTTACGAAACCCGAGCTTTTATCCCCCGTCGTGCCGGCGCGACATCCAGCTGGGCGCTGAGCCACCCGCTGGAGCGCATTTCTCACTACTCTCGAGAATTTGACTGGGTGCCACCGCGATGTCTCATCCCCAAGTTCCCAGACGACCCCAAATGCCGGTTCCGCGATGAGCTGGACGACGAGGTCACCAAGACTAAGGCGATGAAGACGACGGGAAGCTGGAAATCTGTAAAGACGCTGGACATGTTTTGGGAGATGATGGCATTCCGACAGGAGTGTTCAAGCGGGAGGATGACGGGGTTTATTTGGGTCGTATTTGATGATTTGGATGACGAGTCAAAGCAAGATGGTAGTGATATTGTATCAGTATCTAGTGCCTCGGTCGTAACCAGTGCGTTGAGCGGCGCTCCAGAGACGCCCAGGAAGCAGAGAACTCTGTCAAATGTCACGCCAGCGACGACGCCCAGGAGACTGTTTCCATCCAAATCAGATCAAAGTGGCGGCACGCCCACTAAATCCAAGCGTGACTCTGAGCTTGAAGACAAAAAGTCCAAGAAGCGAAAGGCGGCAAAGATTAAGAGAAAACTCAGAGGCCCCATCAAGTCGCGCCAGCCGCGTATCAAGACCAAGCAGCGCAACTATCTCCTAGACAAGCCCGTATCGACGGCCTACTACTATTGGCCGCACCATGGCCGAGGAGAGAGAATCGTCGACGAGACCGATTACAAGCGCATGCACGAGCTGCTTCTGCGCCTGGACTTTGCGACGCTGGACAAAGCCACGGGTAGCACTCGCCGCTGGTTAAGCGAAGTCGGGCTCGGCAGCCGGTGGGGCTTTGACGTTACGGGAACACGGGAACTCGCCGCTGCATCGGCGGAAACGACGGAGGGCGGAGCGGCGCCGGTGAACAACTTGTCCGGCCTTGTTAAGAGAAAGAGGTCGGACACGGTGGGGGACGGGTCACAGGGCGAGGCGGCCAGTGCCGGCGTCAATGTATTGGGCGGTGGGCTTGTGAGGAAGAAGCCGAAGCAGGGCGAGGGTGAGGGTGATGGCGGTGTTGCTGATACTACTCCACCGGTCAATGTTTTGAGTGCAGGGCTTGTGAGGAAGAAGCAAAAGACTTGAGATGATGTCCGGCTGAATGGGCGTTTTGCGTGTGCTCATGGGCTGGACCTGGAGCATGTAATGATTAGGATATGAAGCTTGTGTTTTTTTTTTTTAAATATTTTTAATGACGAATCTAGATGTCTTGGTGAATGCGTTTACAGGTGTGTTTGTGTAGTGATACCTCTTCAATCGGTCTACGATGCTCGACGTCGGGAATCCGATGCAGTCATGGGACGTTTTACATTGAGAAGACGATGGCCAACGGCAAACCATCTGTGATGAGAGGTACATGTGTCCGTGTCGCGCGCTGGAGTATACGAAAGGGCGTTGTATCGAGGGCGGTAGAGCTACAAGTGACGTTCTGGATGGTTATAAGGCTATGGCATATGGATCTGACTTGCGGGAAGCGTATTGGCTTTTGAAGAAGACCAGATGGGATAGAGTCAGAGTAACTTGCTAGTACAGATCCCTTGTTGCTCCTCATTCAGCCCATCTTCTCTCTGTCAGTTTTGGGCGACAAAAGCCAGCTTTGAACAGACAAGGTGTTGGAAGCAAGTTGCACAAAATCACAGAGGCAGCATCTGCATAATGTCACAGATTACAGCTTGTCCAACGATAAGTGACAGGTAGATGGACATATGTTAATAGTGCAAAGGCGATGGCTGAGCTTTCTGTTCTGACTTGGCTGTTATACGGCACTTACCCAAGAAGCGACCCGTTAGCTCAGGGATATTTATACACCGATGCACTAATGGCAAATGAAGATGTAACTAACATGGGGTTGCAAGCATCGGAATTACATACGAATCCATCATCATAAGAAAGGAGTTGATGTTGGGAAGACTATCGGTAGCTTAATGCGAATGCAGCTGCAGTCAACCATCTAATGGAATTTCGTTGAACAGAAATCAGCCTCTATAAGCTGCTTACTACTTGTGATAGGCATGTTTGGAATACCATGATAATAAACCTGGACAAAAGAAATCACAACATTCTTGAAATGGAGCACAAGCCACAATAAGCATGACAAGTAGATGGATAAATATTGAATAATGCAGCGGGTGATGACTGAGCTGTTATACGGCACTTGTTCATTGAACGCCTTGCCGTTTCAGGGATGTTTCACGCTGTATGCCGATGATGACTATAAAGATGTAGCTGTTGGATGAGTTGAGATGAGTTTACAAATATTGAAAGTTGTATACAAGTCTAGTATCACAAGAAAGAGTTGATGTTTGAGATACCGTCACTGAGATCCTAGACAAAAGCAATCACAACTCCTTGAATAGGAGCACAAGCTACAATAAGCAATATTCTCAAGTCGTATAAATCCTTCAACCGTGTAAATCCGATACACGTGCAAAATGTTCTAGAAAAAGCCTCACCAAGACTCATAATCCCTCATCCTCAGCTCAGTGTAGCATCTTTCTACTAAACAGAGGTATTAAAACTTTTCCCAGGCTTACTGCGGTCTGAGCCCTCTTGGCAAAGTTCAATTAGGCCTTATGACGCGGCCAAGCCGTGCAAGCTTGCCAGAAGAGGTATAAAAACCGCACCGTCACTATGGATCCACGGCCAAAAAGAGACGACAAGACAAGATATCGCAGTTGTCTAGAACGCTCGAGCCTCGTCGTCCCTTCTCTAGGCAACAACTTTGAACATGTTTCACATGTCCGGCGCATAGACGATTTCCAGGTACCGAGATAACTTCTTGTTGGATCCAAGAGGGCGAGGCCGAAGCAACTTAATTTAGCCGCTTGCCAGGGCGCATAACAATCACCAACCCCACGGTCTCATGACTGTCTCAAAGGCCGATCTGCCGGCGCGTTGCCCATCCGAGTATCGACTCTGGGGAGCACCCCCCCGTCTAGTTCGTCTAGTTTGCGGGGTATTAGCGGAGCTGCAGAAGAGCAAATGCGGGATGAATGAGGGAAGCACGGGACGTAGAGGGGCTTATTCGCTGCTCCTTTGGCATATCTAGTCTCTGAGAGGAAAGATTTCATGGTAGCGGTGAAAAAAGTTCTTTTCAGAGCTCCAAATGAGTGTCTAGTTTGCCTGCTCACGATGTCAAACATGGGGGGGTTTCTCAACTCCCACTTTGCATGATTGATCGCAAAGAGCCACAATCATGCCGCGCAATTCTCCGTTGAATCCGCATGAAAAACTCGGAAACAGGGGACTGCCTATTACGAGCGCATGAAGCTCGCTACGGACCACGCTGAGGCGTCGGTATTGTGTCCAAAGGCGGATGCGGTGCTTCCAGACTGGTCCGGGGAAGGGAACTCCAAAAGCTGTGAGGGTGTGTTGACGGCTCTGGGTGTGCCGTCTAAGCGCACAGCTATTGGAGCTATTGGAATCTTTCTTGCAGCTTCTTTAATTCGTTTGGCTTGTGATGCCGAAAATCCTCATTATTAATTTTACGGTGATGAGGGGAGTGGCAGTGTTGATAGGCTGCCAAGAGATGTCAAGTGTGGGTGGCTGTACACCAGCCAACCCTTGCAAAGCCAGGTGGAAATACCTAGTCTTGGATCCTCGCGTGCAGGACATGTGTGAAATGGAAGGAAATAGGAATCCTACAAGGGGGTGGCGACAGGATCGCCCAGATCATCTGGTTCCCGAGCTGTCCCGGCAACTCAAAACACTACTATTATTATCTGCTGCAAGTGGTGAGATGTTTACATGTTGATGGCATGAGCTTAATGTTAACTGAAACCCTCTTTCGGCACTCGTGCAGATGTTTCAGAGAAAGTCTTATCATGCTTATACTCTCGTATCCTTGGGAGCCAGAAGCGAGGCCGGGAACTTCTCACACCTCTACGACAATGCAACATTCCCCGTGCTCGGCCCCAGATAGTAATACTATAAAGCTCCGTACGCAAAGTCACGCACATGGCCGCTGGGCCCGCATTGGCGCCGGGGTAGGCGGGCGTTGTCTTATTGGCGGAGTAGTAGAAGCGCCGCATCGTGAAAAAGAGGACTCTCCAAGCCCCATGTGGAAGTTTGTCCTTGCGCTACGCGAAGTGCCTGGCCGCGAAAGGGTGTAGACAAGAAGCATTCTACTCGTCAATCGAGTTGAAAGATGCCGAGTTTGGGACTAGCAGATCTACTCGTCGTGGAGAAAAGCATGTGCTTTATAGAGGCCTTCTAGATGGGGCAGACGACGAGTATAAGACTGCCGCAGATCCGCTGTTTCACTCTATTCATGCCTTTCGATATTCCAAGAGCAAAGTGAAGTTTTAGTTTTCCCTTTATACACCAGGTTATCATCGTACAGGATGCGATCCGCAGCCATTTTCACAGCTCTCCTGGCGGGCCAGGCCTTTGCTTACCCGAAGCCGGTCATCCAGTCCACCAGCAAGCGGGATTGGCCTTCAATCAATGCCTTCCTCACCGAGATTGCGAAGATTATGCCTATTGGTGATACTGTCACGGCTGCTTGTGATCTGATTGGAGATGGTGAAGACATTGCTGCTGATCTCTTTGGCATCTCTGAAACTGAGAATGAGGCGTGCGGCGACGTAACCGTCTTGTTTGCTCGCGGTACTTGCGACCCTGGCAATGTCGGAGTACTTGTCGGACCTTTCTTTTTCGAGTCGCTGCAAAACGCACTCGGTAGCACATCTCTTGGTGTTCAAGGCTTCAACTACCCTGCGAGTGTTCAGGGCTTCCTGTCTGGAGCGGTCCAGCCAGGCATTGACTTGTAAGCTCCATACTTATTATTCGCTTTCCCACTGCAAAAAACCACCAGACTAACCAGCACTTTCAACTCAAATAGGGCCACTCAAATCACATCTGTCACACAGAGCTGCCCGAATACCAAGCTTGTGGTTGGTGGCTACTCCCAAGGCAGCTTGGTCGTCCACAACGCGGTGGGCCACTTGGATGCAGCAACCGCCTCCAAAATCAGCGCCGTGGTGCTCTTTGGCGACCCAAGAGACGGACAGGCTCTTCCCAACATTGCTGCTTCCAAGGTTCTGACCGTCTGCCACGATGGAGACAACATCTGCGCCGGTGGAGACATCATCCTGCTCCCACACTTGACATATGCCGAGGACGCAGATACCGCTGCTGCCTTTGTTGCATCTCTTGTTTGAGAAATCACATGTTTTATTCCTGTACAAAAAAATTGAGGCGAAAAAATGGGGCGTAAGAAAATTACGCAGTGTATATAGCTGAATGTTGGGCATCTTGAGGATTGCCATGATGATTAATGTATATAAGAAAGCGTTATGCGATTCAATATAAATTACGTATATATTTATTAGGTTATCCATTGTTTCATTATATGCTTCTTTCCTTCATACAATAATTCTTCCCGTGTTCTGGTTGGCTTTGTGTTACATCAAACGATCACTCCATGTGGTGGGCTAATGAAAGAAACGTGGTGAAGGGCCACGCTGGGAACACACACACAGCATTGAACAAATATATGATATAAATTTATCGCTAAAAACTAGTCTAAGTATATCAGGTTGCCTGAATATACTCCATAATAGAAACTCTAAAACTCTCGTAAGCCGATAGTTCTATACTAAGTCAACAACATCTAAGGCGTCTATTTGCGACCAATCAGTTCGAGATAGTGCGCTACAACAGACACTGTCTGCTCTTCGAACGACTTGAATTTGCCAAAAGTCTTCTCAGCCTTGGATGAATCGACGTTAACTGGGGCCGTGATCGGCCGGGGAACAGACTCGAATTTGAAGACGCCATCAGCATACGCCTCTGGGAAGCGTCTCTTGACGATTTCGAAGGAATCGGCCCAGTCAATTGAGGGAGGTGAATATGCAAGGAAATCCTCGTTGCCCTTGACAATGGACGAGTCCAGAGACCGAACGTGCATCTTGGCAACGTCGTCGACGTGAACGACGGCACCAATCAGGGGCTGATCACGAGCATGGCCGAGGAGAGGGCCAATGAGGAAGGCGTTGGAGCCCTTGACGATATCTGAAGCGTCGGTGATGGTGTCATCGCGACCGACGACGAAGGCAGGCATGATGTTGATGACGGAGAAGGCGGGCTTCTTCTCAGCGACGAATTTGTTGGTGGCCTCGAAAGCTAGAGCTTTGGAGACTTGGTAGGCGTTGACGGGTGATGCATAGGGTCCCACGGTGTTGACGGCGCGAGTTTTCTCTAAAAGGTATATGAGCATCTATTCGCTTCCACCATATAAAATATAGAACACGATCAAAGAAGTGACATACCGTCGGTCTTGACTCCACTGGCCAAGCTCTCGAAAGAAGCAACGGACAAGATGGAGGCAGTAATGACGATTCTTTCGATGCCGGTCACCTTGTGTGCAGCCTCCAAGATGCTGACTGTGCCCCGAATGGCGGGCTGGATAACTTCAGATTGAAAGCCCTCTTCGGTATCAACTGGCCGGACAAGTGGAGAAGCAACGTGCACGACATATTTGACACCCTTGACGGCTTCATCGTAAGCCCCGGGAACAGTAATGTCGGGGACAATGATGCTCTCTAGGTTTGAGACATAGGGAGCAAGAGGCTTGAGCGAGGCGATGCGGTCAAAACCAGCTTGGTTGCGGACAGCGGCGCGGACTTTGTAACCGGCTTTGAGGACTTCAACAAGAGTTTTGAAGCCAATCATGCCAGTGCCGCCGGTGAGCTAAACAGAATAGGGTTGTTAATAAAAATGATGACTAAGTGCAGAGATTGAAGGATTCAGAAACGTATAAGACTTGGAAGTTGATGAGGACTTACAAGAACGAGATCGCCAGCCATGGTGATAGTTTAGTAGTTTTGTGGATTTTTGGTAGAGGTTTTGTCTTAAAAATCAAGTGATTGATTGCTTTGTTTTATTGTTGAGTTGCTTGTAGCTGTGCGTGCTATTGTTTGTTGAATTGAGTCTGAAGATGAAGATGGAAAGCACAACATTGCTGCTTTCGGGCTCCTTATATCCATCTCCCGTCGACGCGAATTACTACATATTTCAAATATTGTATCTCAAATCTTCCATCTGTTGCCATCGTGATACTTGTTAAATTCTCCAAGATTTCTAATCTGGATTCGGACTTTTCCTATATCCAGGGCAACATGAGCTATTCGCGGCTTTTTCGTGGCGTTGAAAAGCCATGGTACGGACATGTAGAAATTGCGGCCTTACGGATGCACCGTAACACCGCAGCGGGCCTAAATGCCTTTCTCTGATTCGCAAGTTGCTCAAAGAAAGTCCGCAGAAATAGCTAGGATCCACTTTATGGAAAATTCCACGCCGGCGCCATGAGCTCCAGCCACGGCCGATTACGATCATGACGCAGTAGCTGATTACTATCCAGGGAATTATTGATTAGTCGAACGTTCTATGATTGGCCCGCAATCATTAATAATGGCTGAACAAGAGTTGGAACGTTTTGGATCCCGAGGTGCATTCCTAGTGCACAATGGTGAGGAAATATGTAAACTGTTTAGAATAACACCGCTTGATGGGCGTGACTCGGCCGACTTCTAGATAACTGTACAAAGGTACCAATGTATATCAGCTGGCAATGTCGTAGTGGCAATGCTGTAATAATTCCGAGACGGCCTTGATTGTGTCGCCGCTTAAAGCCGCAATTAGGGTTCCTGCAGCTATCGCTTGAGGATTCTTGTTTACAAATAGGATTCTGTGCAGCTGAGTGACCAAGTCAGTTGCGCGTATAGACTGTTGACTACTAATGCAATTTGTATATTCCATTCGATTTGATTTGATTCCAGTACCTAAAGTACGGGTTAGTTAGATTCGGCTAGATGTGATGCCGCGGACATCACGCAAAATTGGACACATTCACAGATAACTAGAATGGCTAGAATAGGATAGAATATATCTCATTCTTTTTGAATGACAAATACTAACTTGAACAGAAACTGCCACAGTTGCCTATTTGCGAATTACATGACTAAGCGCCGCCCTCAAACTCTGGCTATTGTTTCTTCCCCTTCCTCTTTCCCTCTCGAACACATGAGCAAAGAGTGCGTTAACTCTAGCTCATGTAGTTTTCGCCACTTAACTATTAGCGACATATGTGGCTTCATATGTTGGAAAGTTTCAGTCGCCTAGCCGTTCGAAGGCGACAACTACAATGCCCTCTAATACGTGTATCAATCTATGTAACCTCCATAGCTGACGAATGTGTCTGTCTGTATACAAGAAAAATGGCCTTTAAACTACGGTATTCTGTGTCACTACTTCACATATAATAGGCACTAAAACCATGAACTTATTGCTATATGCTTCTGTGGGCACGGAATTAAACATGAAGTAAGTCCGCGCGGTATGGTCATATTTAACTCCCTCCCTTATATTCGGCCTCAGCACTAAATTTAACAATGATTCGTCAATAATTATGCCACTACACAGTTCTCTGTAGAAGCATGATTGGTAATGCAGCTCAAGGCAACGTGAATACGCGGACTTGATCAACTCGCAATTCCCGCAGAATCCAGTTCTTAGTACATATATAGCAGCTCCCGATTGGTTGTCATCTATCCAAACGCTAATATTTCATAAGCATTTCTATCTGCGCAAACGTCATGGACAATTTGCATTAATAGCTATTAAAATTATCTGTTGTAAAAGCATATTCATCTTGATTATGACGCCTCTCCACTAAGCATTCGTCATTCCAATAATTGTATTCTAGATCATGATTCCACGCATCTGGTCCCATTGATGCCTGCTCCATTGACGCCATCAGCATGCAGATTGGCGTTCCATCGCTGCAACGGCCCTCGCTTATAAACCGCCTGCACTGGAATTGGCAACTGCATCGGAAATGGGGACAGATCTAACCATCTTTCCCCGGTCTTTCACAGCTTTATTTTCTCATGAATCCACTAGTACGGCAACAAGTCGGAAATACGAGTAGCTTTTCTAAAAAAAAAAAAAATAGCATAAATTAGGACGGTCGCCAAGATTACCATCAAAGCTGCTTCCCTCCATCATCTTACTCTCGAGACTACAGGATCCTTAAAACGAAGACTATAGGAATTGATAAGCAGCGTGCATAAGCCGGATTCAAGCCGGTCGTGAAGCCATGTATCCTGGTCAAGGCGAGGTGTGGGCATGGAATTGGGTTATTCCAACCATTTTTGGCGGCGACAATCGCGTCCTCCCAGAGCCAAATTTCCAGATGAAGATTCCAGCCTTGCCGCAAATATTTTGTGGACTTTCAAGTCAGTCTTTTGCCATTTAGCGCATCGTTTCAGACTGATATTGAGCGGCTTCTTCTTACAAGAGCTGCGCCATGAATCCATCATAAGGCTTTTTGGAACGTGTCAATAATCCTCGGCAATACATGATCATGTATCCTAGGAACTCATCCAAGCTGTGGATAAAAAGGTTATACATTGTCAGACGAGCATACTCTGGCAAAGATTAGATCCAAGTAGCATATAGGCAAAAGTTGGCGACGCGCTGCTTTGAAGAAACTAAAGTCCTCTGGAAGCATACTGATAATGATGCTTGGCGGTGCCTATTTATTTTGGATATCCTCCAATCAACATTATTCCATCAATTGTTAGTAGTTCAAGGCGTTTGGACCAATTAGACGTGCAAATTTACTTGTCTTCTACCAAATACGGCAAATGTCATTCTGGGCAACATTAGCTAATTAAACCGTTGAAACAATAAGTCAAGTAGCATTACGTTCTGGATTTTGTGAATAAAACTCTCCGCAGAGGCAAACAGCGATTGATATGGTTGCAGAGACTCTTGTATAAGACCAGTACCTTGTCACAAGGACATATAGCAACAAACCGTTGCAAGTGTGACAATGTGCAAATTTGCACAAGGATTGACAGACCATCACTTCTTTAAAAATGAAGAGCTGCGTCTACTCTTATTCAATATATTTGGACTGATAATGAATTCGCAAGTGATTAAATATGTGTAAAACAATATGTCTAGAGAATAAAATGTACACCTTAGCGCCATACGCCACCAAACTTAACAACTGACACCTTCACGTCCTCACCACATCTCGATAACAATATCAGCGAAAGTCCTAAAAAACATTCTTCAAAGGATGCACCCAAGAAACGCGCCCAGAAAATGGCTCTTCTGCATCCAAAAAATTGAATGCCCTAGCTTCACGGGTAGTCGGTGCAATCATCCAATTGTCTCTGAAGTCGTCCATGAATTTTGGCACCAGGAGGAAGCGGGCTACCAAGTAGTACCAGATATTCGCCCAAGCGTGGATTCGTGTGACTCTCGCAGATAGAACCGCATCATTGCCAAGAGGTTCCCATCGCTCAGTTTTGTAGTCTTCGTACATGGCCTCTAGAGAAGAGACGCCGGGACGTTTCGAGGGCCCTGAAGAAGCCACCAGCTCTCGCAAGTGGTTGACCAGCGACACCACGTCTTGGATGCCGTTTTGGTAACCCAAGCCAGCGTTGGGGCATGCTTTATGGATAGAATCTCCTGCGAGTACGATGCGGCCCCAGCCCCAGTTGTTGCAGATGCCCTCTTGCAGATCTGACATGCCGCTCGTCAGCCTTTCAGCAAACACGTCTTTTACTGTCAGGGTTTCATCGATGTGGAAGTCGGCAAATCTTCCGGCCATTGCTTGGACATCCTCATCGGTGTAGAATGATCGTTCCTTGGTCGGCTCAGGTAGTTTCTCGTAAAGGAATATCCAGCTGCGGTCCTTGCCGCTAAGGTACATGATGGACATGTCCTTGGTCTGCGTTTCGAAGCCCTGCCCAGGAGCTGTAGGTCTAGGAAAGCTAGCCCACATGCACCGATAGGTGGATGTATATGGAAGCTCAGGGTCCCATTCGGCGTTTGGATTTGCCTGCAATGCGAGTTTTCTCATCACTTGTCGAGTATTGCTGTTCACGCCGTCTGCGCCAAGCACCAAATCGCCTTCATACACGCTGCCATCCTCACAGAAGACCTTGACCCCATTTTCGTCAGACTGAACGTCCTTGACTTTCTTGTTGGTGAAAACATTGGGCTTGAGCTCTTCAGGCAGCTGATCGTAGAGGGATTGGACAAGCTCTGCACGGTGAAAGGAAGAAGGTACACCTCCGTGGCTAAAAGCTTGAATTAGATCATTTGGCAATTGGCAAGTTGTCGAGGGTTCTTACTTCTTCTTCGCCTCAACAAAAAAATCAGGGTTGTCTTTCCACAGGTGGCCATCTGGAGCGAAGCATTTCTTATGGTTTATCTCGGAATATGTATCTCGCAGCTGATCGAGTAAGCCAAGCTGATGAAGAACTCGCAAACTGGCTGGTGCAAGTACTAGACTGGCGCCCACGTCCAGTGCGATTTGGCGGCTTCTTTCGAGGATGGTAAATTCCATTCCCGCCTTGTACAAAGCGTGCGCGGCTATTAACCCTACAGGGCCTTGTTGAAAGAGTCAGTTGATAGAACGTGGAGTTAATAGCGTGTAAAGTGCAAAACTGCGTACCGCCACCGACTATCACTACTTTGAATGGTTTGGTTGCCATTTTGTGTAACTATGGTGCAATGTGTGCAAAAAAAAAAGGGCGTTGATGTTCGAATTTGTATGTTTTTGATGCGATTTTTTGTTTTTGAGTGTTGAAGATTTAAAATTTCTGAGTGAGGAGCAAGTCTGTCTCTCATATATATAGATTAACAGTATATGGATTTATATACACAAGTCTGTGTGAGACATGACATGTGTACAGATACACAAGCATTCTAAATCTAGCGCAATGTCGGACAGTAGTGTAACTCCGACAGCGATAGATCTGTGACCATCTGCAGGGTTCAATATCGTTGAAGTGGAACACGATAGAATGGAACAGACCCGATCCGATGAACGGAGTTCCCGTCCGTGGAAGAGATGTAGGACAAAGTCAGCATCGGATTTCCATATTGTACGAGTCTATGTGTAAGCTCTTGGCTGTGGTAGGCGCAGCACTGGGTGTAATCTCTCGCGATATCCAATCCGCCTAGCTGAGGCGGCGGCCTTTGTCTCTCCGGCACAGGAGGTCCGCCCCCGGGCGATAATGATGTGGCATAGGACATGCGGACACCCTGATTGTCGCAGATCGGGAGCCGCTCATGAAATCGGCGTTTGCTAAACCCGCATTAAGTCCACATTGCGGCGGAAGCCGTCAAATGCTTGCCATGCTGTCAATTAACACTTGCAAATTAGGAACTTGAGAGCTCCTTAATGCAATATAGTTTTCCAGCGTTATGAAATGCTGTAAGTCTGCTATATAGGCACAGAATACAAGCCTAAAAGACTTGCTATATCCTGTCATCTCATTATCCACTGCCTGATTACTTCTTTTTGAAGGTATGCACCGTAGATAAGAACCCAATCCACTCTGCGTAAGGGCATGACATACCGTTACACATCGTGATGGTACCTAGGTTTATTACCCTTTTCCAGCGTCAGAACAAATCAGAATTGTAGCAGTTCCTATAAACGGTTAGATTACCGAGGACTCGTTCTACAATAACCCTGGCAAGGCTCCCTGATTGGCCAGACGAGGGATGCAATGCAAGGAAAACCATAGCATTGAACTTGACTCCACTTACACTCTCCTTGTCGGGCAGAAAACTCTAGATGTACTATTATGGAAAACTAGAATCTATGGCTAGATGCTTTGAGCTTTGCCCCTATTCGCAACGGAAAAATCAGGCTTAAAGGGGATTCAATGATTCCGTCTATATATATAAATTTTTACGAAGCTTAGCAAAAAATTCAGCCCCGCGGACTCTGGACTATTCGTTTCCCCTTTTTGGCGGGGGGATACGGTGTAAGAGAGAGACATCTGTAAATATCCGCCAACCATTGTGGAAGTAGTACCAGCTGCGTGCTTTTCATGCTACCCCCCGACTGCGCAATTTGTTTCTTCAAGTTGCAATGCTTGAGACTAATCTCTTTCGCATTGATATCAACGTATACACTTTGCGATGCGAATAAAGGGAGGCCGTGGATATGGAGCAAGTTGGCTGCTCGCGCGCGTTTCTGACTAAGCGGAGTTTTGGGGATCGACCATACATCCGGCAACCCATAGTTGATGTTGAACTCTGTTTCTATCTTGCTGTCTGTATTGTAATGATAATATCTCCTAATCATTACATATTGATGACAAAGGCCGCTCGAATCAACGTCGAATTGCGCTAATTCGCCGTGAAAAGAGAAGATGAGCTTGTGGTCTTGTTTTGCACAGACTGCTGTCCATATAAGGAAACAGTGGAGGCGGTAGATTTCCCCAAAGTGGATGATTAGCACCAGAGAATATTTTTGAATCGGCTATATTACTTTAGAGTTACGCTGTAATAACCGCGTATAGATGAGGCACGTGCCGCCAGCCAAGATATTGTACCTAGAAGCGAGCAAACAAAGTCGTTGATGTCATTGCCTGCCAACTAGCTACGCTACAAAAATAATAGTAGCCTCTTTAGCATCAACACACATAGAATTCTACTTTCTTTTATAGCAATCTCATCCATATTGCGCTTTATGGAAATAGCTAGATGCCATTGTTTGTGAACATGTCTAAAACGGCAAATGCCAGTCGATTGCCGAAGCTACATGTACTTTCTGCAAGTCATCACGGTGCAAAGTTGTAAAACTTACAATATTGGGTTAGATAGTATGCTAAGAGAAACAGAACATTGATACCTCGACTTATATGCGAGATGGTTCTTTTCGTGGGAACCAAGCATACTGCCGGCATTGAACCCAAAGCTGTAATTGCCCCTTGATCCAAGACGGCGATAGATTTGCAAAGCTTCAAATACTGTCTTTATGATATGCTAATTACCTCCACCCATATCTCCACCGCCTATTTGTGTGATATGGGAAGATGAAATTGTTCGGATAAAGAAAGCAGATTAGATACCACATCGGTATTATATGGGAAGCGGCTGCCACCGGAATTTGACGGCGATTCCAGGGGACGTTTTTAGCCCAATGCTACGCTTCTGTGCACCATTGTGTGACCTGTAATTATTTCACACCGAGATGGATTGCGATTCGCTGGATTTGTGTGATATGTGATTGGAAACAGCTAATCTTCGGTGTGTCTTGTGCCGAGTGCTACCTGCAATTAGAAATCGTACTCGCCCCATTAACCCACTTGTGGGAAGGGCACTCGATAAGCTAGGAATTAGCCCAATAGTTGATAGGCTGTCCATCATTACTGAAAAGTGGGCGTCTCCTTGAATCTCCGCGTTCTCCTGGTCTTGACTACCCTACAGCAGACTGAAAGTGACAAATAGATATCACAAAATGTTAAATAAATATGAATTGATCGCATATATATACTCCGTAAGCTTTGTAACTTGTCGACGCTAATAACATATTAATAATCTCGGTGATTTGGGTAGCGGTTGGGTGTCCTCGCCACCATGATACGTAGAGAAGGATTGGCGTTGGGCTGCTCATCGATGCCTGATTCTACATGCAACTGGTCCTGAGCAGCCTATAGCGATATAGAACCAAGTATCCTTACGGAATCCAGTGGCTGGGTTTTTGCTGCTCCATTCATATCCATGTCTTCGTTGATTCTGAGGTTTAACCTCATGAATCCATACAAGTAAAATCGCTCGGTCTGTTCCCAAGTATAACACTCTGTCATTCAAAGTAAAGCCATGAGCACAGAATATCTGCTCCGAAGATCCCGGAGTTTTTATGCATCGTCAGATGTTCAGAAACCCCAAGCCAATGAAGTGCTGGTATCCACCCCAGTTGCAGCTTAATTACTAGCAAACTGCTTGATTCGCGACAACCAGCACATAGAGTAGCATTTACTGTGAAGCGAGACGATGATCTGTCAGGTGCTCACTGTGGGCCAGAAGTTTGACGATCTCCCGGACCCCGCAAAAAAAATTGTCGCTTGACAACGGAACTAGAAGGAATGCTCCTCTTGAAATCTCGTCGTATGATAATCACTCCACGAATCCATCGTAGGGAAATTGTAGAGAATTGTAGAGTCAAACACCAAACTTTTGCAATAGACAATTTGTTTGAGGTATAAGGTATCATTTATTATTAACGAAAGACTAAAGCATATTTAACGACCGAATCTATCCATCATTATTCCATATCCCCATCCGTTCGCAACCTCATTAATATGGGGAACCATCCATTATTCTCCATACACTCCACTACTCAAAATCTCGCCAATTTTTCTAGCCTGGTATCACTCTATTTGTAAATTGCTGTAACCGTTTCTGGCTGCCCCAGATGATCGTGCTCGCACAGACATCTGTAGGTGTTCACGGGTTGACTGGTGTAGAGGAGCGGAAGCTCGCCGCTGCTACTCTCAAATCATGTAGAAGTTTGGTGTCGCTGCTTAAGCGGCGTTGGCGCCAGAAGAAAGCTCCTTGTTGACGGGAGCAGCAGCAGCCTTGTTGGCGTACTCGGCGCGGAGGAGGATGCCCTCAACGATGGTGTTGGCCAGAAGGAAGAAGCTGTGAATGCGGGTGTTAGCGGGATTGTTCTTGGTAGTATGCAAATTGTAGAGGAACTTACAATGCAAGGAAGTTGAAGGCGTCAATGGCGTGCTTGCGAGAGCAGTGTCCCTGGCCAGGCTTGCCGAAGCCACACTTGCCACTGCTCCAGTCTTGAGAAGAGAAGATGAAGGAAGTGAGCCAGAGGTAAGAGAAGACCAGGTTAAGAGGAGCCAGGTAACCGCGGTATCGGCCAATCAAAGGAAGGACTGAGCCAATGAGCCAGAAACCCAGAGTGATGACGGCCTAGAAAGAGAAGTTGTTAGTTTACAGCTCGAGGCAGTGATGTTGATGATGAGAGCCAAGACATACAATGACCTCCTGGTAGACAATGTCGACACCGCGGTAGTCATACTTGGCAAGGAACCAAGAGGCAAGACCAGTGACAATGATGGAAGAGATGAGAACCATCAAGTGGTTGGCAAAGGCGATGTATCGCAGGGTGGCGTGCTCCAGAGTGCCGAACATTTTGATAGTGTTAATGGTTGATGCTTTGGGTATAAGTGATGCTGATGGGTATTAGGTATTGGGTATTAAGCAGATGCTGCTGTCCGGAGCTGGAAATGCTTTTGGGGTATATATAAGTAATTAAGAGATGGGTATCGGATTAGTTGCGATGCTGATCAAGAGGCTTCTATATGTATTAAGCTCGATGCTTTGAATGCAGAAGAGGCTGTTGAGGCTGATGCTGAGTAGCTAAAACAACATCCAGATACGCGGAGCGCACGACCTTTTTTATAACAAATCTCGACAACCATCTCGTCCTGATACCCTCGGCCATCGCGCCGTGCAATCCCATCCATCGGATCGATGTCATCTGATGTTTCGCCTTGCAGTGAGAAGGAAAAAAAAATCACAGCAGTCCAGCAAAACGACGTCATAGCATGCCACTCTCCCAATGCCGAACGATGCAAAATCGTTCTGGCATTGGGCCATCTGCCGGCGCCGGGAGCTCCGGCAGTCGTCGTGCATTAGCACCGCACAACTGGGTGCTTTGTGCACCTGAAATTCTAGCTGGATTGGGTATCAAGGCCCTTGAGCTTCACATCAGGCTAGGCTTTTGCCGTTGGATTTGGCTGCTTGTCAACCGAGAGCCATGCAGGGATGGGCGATTCCCTCGGTTAACCGTCAACTGGCTGCCATCTATCCAGCCATCCACGAGGCACAGAAGAGCAGCGAGGACCCCAATGAGGAGAAGAATGCTTCATCTGGCTGCATGCATAATCCACGATACACCTCTAACCGGCTCGGTAAATCTCGGGGTCGCGAATTCTCTCCAATGGCAGGCTGTATTTCATCGTCGTGAGTGTGACGCTGTGAACCAGCTAACCAGGGTCAGCCAGTTTCGCCCAGCGCTAAGCGCCTTACTTAGCAACGCAACAGGCGATGAATCCGAATGTTTTCCGATTCTTCATCATGCTCTGCTGGGCAGCGAGTAGAGCTGCGTGAAGTTCCGCCTGGTTGACTAGAAGTGATAGCAGTCTTGCCCGGCTTGTAAGTGCGGAAGTCCCGAAGCAATCGCGTAATTCACGCCGCATACATGCCGCATATCGGAGATGGTTTGCAGTTCGGGAATGGCCTTGTTCGACAGTGTGTTTCTTGTTTGTTTCCAAGGTGAGATTGATGACAGACCATCTTCGGAAAGCGGCTCGGTGGTGGTCGGGATCGGGATGTGAGCAAAATTTTGCTTTTTCCGAAAAATCAGCCAATGCGGCTACGTTAACGACGTCATACCAATCAATCAATCAATGGTAAACGTGAGAGAAGAATCAAAAGCCTCGATGTCTTTTTTGAAAGGCCCATGGACCAATGCAACTAAATGCGAAGCTCGCCCATTCACAGCAGCGTTGCCCAGGCGCGATGCAGTAACATCTGCACACCCATGTAGGTATTACAATCGTGCCATCTTGCTGTTATTTCGCTGAACAGGCTCAAAATCTGTCGCTATCAATTATTAGTCAACAAGTTCGCGACAACGTTGACCGAGTCTGCATTTTTGCCGGATCGTGAAATCGCAAGTGTTAGCGGTTGCGGCTGGAGCGGGCATCGGCTGCCGCAATGGCTAACAAAACGTGCTTGGTCTCATTAGCTTCCATGAGCAAACTAGAATCTGATCATAATTGCTCTTACGAGTCATTGATAGACGTCTTTTGCCGCTGAAGGGTTGCATTTGAGAAATTTCTCCCGTCCGGAGGAGGGTGAGCGCCGTTCCGGAGCTGCCGGCTGCATGTTAATGGCAACCCAGCCATCACATATCATCGAAGCCCACGATCACATAAACGCATCAGGTGGCCCATTGCAGCAACTTTCTGTTCGATGAGGGTAATAGTTTTTGATTCGACTTGTTTAACCGATGCAAAGGTCTGTGATGGACGATGGCGGGCATGTTGGATCGACTGCCTCTTACAGAACTATAAGCCCCCGCATTAGTTGGTCAAGAGGCTAGGTAGGGCTGCAGGCTCAACAAAGTGATATTGTCATCATGATTGCGAGTTGTACTGCTTCAAATGCTGAGCAGTACTTACTGACTGAGATGGTGAAAGTGCAAGACAGAGAAGAGAGATCAAAAGACTTGGTCGGGAGATGCAGTCTTCTTAAGCATAAGATGGGAGGCTGTGCCACAAAAGCCTATCGTTGCCACCGACATCATCAAACGCGTGGCCATGAACTCAATCCCCAAGGCCCGTGATCAGCGTTTTTATAATACAACAACTCGACTCGAACTTAATAATTGCCACGGCCGGAAGCAATGGCTGGCGCTCCTGAGGAAAGAAATGGGTTCACTGCCAAAGGTAAGGACCGACTGCTAACGGGATGAAAGCCTTCTTCTTTATTTCATAAGCAAGCCTCTTTGCCTAATGACGACACGAATTTAACGGCAAGCACGGAACACCAAACGCAAAAGGTTTTTGATGTGAGCCATAGGCTGCGAGAGGCATCCGTAAGAGGAAATTTAGAAGCCAACTATATTGCTTGCTTCGGAGAGCGCGGTGGACACTATGAGCCCGGCAGAGAAGTGCAAATGAGATGCCGTCTTGCTGCAGTTGTCATGTTATAAATTAAACTATACGGATAAACATTAAAGCTACTGACATTGTGGACTATCTAATGAACATTAAAGTTTGCCAAGAAAACCGCAGATCCGCCCTACGATAGGCGATTGTACAAAATGCCCTTTCTGTGGATAACAATCCCCTCTTCACTTCTAGTACTAGTAGCTTTCTTTATCCTGGGCATCTAAAGCGACTCAATTACGGCGAATGCTGGAACTGTACGGCCCCCGGGGTACGTAGCCACGACGTTGAGGAACCCGGTGTAAGAGATTACAGGAACACCTGCGGTCTGGATTTCTTGATCAGGCCTGATGCTGGAGAGACGCAGCTCCGGTCCGCCCGGAATGGCAATGGTCCAGTCGAGAGGGTAGGTGACACCAGTTGCGGGCGACGTAAAAGTTCTGTTGGATGATACTTTTTCGGTAACAGGCAAAACAATCTGCTCTGCTCGCCCGCCTGTTCGGTGCGTCGCGAACTGCTTGTTGCCGTTGATAGGGTCGTTCCATGCCCATATGGAGTAGAGTTCGTCTTCAGTCCCATCAGGCGCCAGTCCCGGAATATGAACCTGGAACCATGAAAAGTCTGAGGGGATGACCCCCCACTGTCGATCGTACCACGTTAAAGAGCGGCTTGCGTCGACGTTGACTTTGGTGCCGTTGACTGAAATCCAGCCTGTTGTTTTGCCAGCGGGCATGGACCATTGGAAACCAGTTCCGCCTCCAACTTGGAATGTGCCAGTGCCGGCGTTGAGGATCGGAGGAGAAGACAGATCAAAAGTGAGATCGAAACCAACGTCCGCGATGTTACTAAAGATTCGTATACCAGAGAGGGCATCTGTTGTGCTGGTGGATTGAAACGCAAAGCCCGGAACCGTGAAGTTGAGAATACCGGTGGGGCCATATGTCTTTGCTAAGGCTGTGAGGCGGGCGTATTGCGCATACTGAGACGTATCTTCCAGATCGAGAATTGAAGCTCGGTATACATCGACAAGGCTACCGCCGCCCACAGGCAACTCGGCTACGGCGTTGGCAACGACGAGGTAATCTCGGCCGTTTGAGCCATGGATGAGGGAGGAGCTCCAGTAGGAACCGCCAGTCGAGGCAAGCTTGTGATTTGTCTGTGAAATCGACAAGTTATATGGCGTCGGATAGTGACCCTGTCCAGCTCGGCATATAGAGGTTAGAAGGTGTCCTGTCTTGGAACAGGAGCCGGATTGAGTGGCTGTAAGACTCACCAGCCCGCCAGACGTAAAACCACTCGTCTGAGGGTGAAATATCCAACCTGGATTGGTTGCAAATGCAGTGGCGATCACGGCTTGGACAACAAGCAGCTTGCTGTGTTTGTTTGACGAGGCCAGCATCATGCTATGTGTACTTTTGTACCCGTATCTGGACAATTGGCCAGCTATCAAATGTACTCAATGACGTACAGAAGGCTGAAGCTTGGTATTAAATAGGTAGGCAGTAGGTAAAGGGGGGTTCCATCGACGGCACCCAGCATCTCGACCCAACCCAATGGGCATTTATTTCAAGGAGCTAGCATCTCGCTGACAAGCTTGCCCCGCAATGATCCCTGGTTCTCATAGCATGTCTCCTTTCGGAAAGGCCTGGATTGGAATAAGACAGTAAGACAGCTTGAGGATCGTCGGGTGGCGGCAACACGGGGTCTATAGATCCCGATTTACCTACCATACGGGCTGCGGGGATGGAATTTAAAGCTTGGCTACAGTCGCAATAAGCATTTCGGGGCCTCCCTGCTTGGAATCATGCAGGAACTGCTAGGGTGAGGAATAGGCTACAAGAGAAGCTGTTAGTAAGCGGAGGTTGGGGATAGGGGCACTGAAGATAGATGTTGATATAAGCAAGGGAAACAATTACCGAGATGTATGTTGTTTCTTCGTCCTGAAATCGTGGTTGAAAGGGGTGTTTTCGGTCAATCGCTCATCCTAGCCTGCCTACTGCCTGTAGCCGTTGTTGTATTGTAATTTGGGTTGTATATTGATATGGATGTTGTGAAATATATCTTTCTTATTGTGCATGCTGTGGATCTATCAAGCAGTTATATGAGCTCTATAACCAAGCTTGACTGGACTTTTTCAGGTAGAGAGCACCATGTATAGAGCAAGACTCACATGTCACGACATTTGACACACGGGGTGAATATGATCCAGCAATCGTAAGACTTCATGTTCAAATTACTTCTTTTGACAATTCATTCTATAGAATTCATGACGTGCAATCTAAATTAAGAAAATGGCATTTCATTTCTAAAATCATCATTTCCATCAAGGGCATCAAGCAAACGGTAGATAGGCAGCAATAAGACCGCCCCATCCACCCTTATTGTCGGCACTCAGCGCAGCAGCTTTGCCATTCACAGTCACCATGTTCTTCACCAAGTGCGTGCCGAGGTTGAAAATCTTCAACCGCTTCGGTTGGCCCTCAATAGAGACAATGTTGTCTTGGGCGTATGGACCTGAAACACCGTTAAGGCCGTTGAAGAACTGTCGCATTTGGTCAATATTTTGCTCAACGCTGGGAATGGTAGCATAAAAAGAGTAAACTTACTTGCCAAAAGCCCAAACCGTAAAAGGTCATATCGCTGCCACCTACGACACGGAGAGACCAGCCCATGAAACACTGGATTGAGCTTCCGTCGCAGTTGGAGTAATCAGGGTCAGAGTATCGGGCATCAGGTCTAGGTAGTACATAAATTAGTCTTGTAGAGCCGTGGATCTGATGAGAAGGGATGTAGAACTTACGTCCAAGGAGAGGGAGCCGCTGGCGCAGGCTGCCAGTAGACAGTCTCCGTTTGCGCCATCAAAGCTTGAACGTTTTGTGCGCCCGCAAACTGATACTGGTAAAGAACATTGTGCTCAAATGCTGTGCCTACAAGCCAGGTTCCGAGCTTGGATTCCACAAGAAGGCCTCGGCCCACGGCAACAGACTGGCTGGTTCCGTTGGTAGCACCGCTCAGACCATCGAGATCACGGTTGACGGACCAGCCCCAAACGCTCTCCAAGTAGGTTTGGCTGCTAGACTTGAGATGCAGGAACAAGAAGGCGGCTTTGCACTGATCGATCGGGGACTGAGGATATGAACGACACTTGGTTTCAACGGCAGAGCCAATTGTGCCACCAGCGCGGAAATGCGAGTCCCAAAGGCCAACGTCGCCTGGTCTGAATCCAGCTGCGTTGTTTTCGACGAGAATGGCACCGGGAAGGACATCTGCCACGTCGAATGCAATGTCGCTCACTTCTATAATGCCACGGGATCCGGTGGTGCCCATCTGGAAGACAACCTGAGGGTTCTTTTCATCCTCAAAGGCGCTTCCGTATGCTGAAGAACGATTGAATGAGTAAGTGACTCCATATAATTTAATCTAGAATTTCAACTTACCACTAATGGTAGACCAGACCTCGCCGACGATTCTGGATCCGACGGGAACGTGGATGGTGCCGCTGACGCGGTAGTTTCCAGCAGGGAAGTATGTGATCCTTCGGTTGGCATTAGCCTTGAGTGCAGCGTTGATAGCCTTGGTGGCATCTGTCTTTCCATCTCCGGTGGCACCGAAATCTCGGACACTGGAAAAGCAGCCAGAGCTGTACTGTTCGTACTGCGGTCGTGACTTGGTCCAGTAAGCGCCACTGGAGTCTACAAGAGCTTGGGGGCGCGAAAGTGAGCCGCTGCTCTCGAGATATTTGCCAGTGGTCTGGTCCTTGTATACGGTGCCTTGGATGAAGGAGCGGATTGTCGTAGAGCGAGTCGATCCTGCAAGCAGAGAATTGCCATGCGTATCAGCGACTGCATGGCCGACGGCATTGAGTTTGAGGTTCTCAATAATGAGAGAGCCATCTGCGTTTTCGGTGTGTTGCGATACGACAACGTTGCCCGTGGAGGTGGCTTCTGAATCAATCAAGATGACCGATCCTACAGAGTTATTTGGCGGGGCGGTAAAATTGACTCCAACGTTGACATTGTTGAACTTGACGCCCTGCAGGGATAGAGTGAAAATGTGGTCAATTTGGATTCCGGTCTTGACATTGTTGAAAGTCAGAGCGCGCATGGCATACTGCTGGTTGTTTAATCGAATCTGCTCGCATGAAAGACATTAGTCGTTGTTGATATGCGCCGAAGCTATTGGGGTTTGAGAAGATAATCTGCCAACTTACACCGATATTGCCTCCAGTGAACTCCAAGTCTCCCATGAAAGTGGCAGAACCACCACCTCCGCCAGTGGTTCCGTTAAAAACGACGCCCTGGTGCAAGCTGTTCTCAGCCATCTTCATGTGATTGAAGCTCAGAGTCACGGCTTGAGCAGAAGGCCAATTGACGCAAGCAACAGTCGATTTGACATCCACGCTGGTTGTGTCAAATACAAAGTTGCGTACTTGGTAGTAAAGGTTGATGGTTGTAGGGAACGGCGAAGTCGTTGGAGAAGGGAAAGTATCCAAGAGGTATAGACCAGAGAAGTTCTTATCGGCTTTGAGAACTGGTCTGTCCAATGGATTGCCGACAAGTTGCGTGTAGATGTAGCTGTTTAGAGTTCGTGAAATCTTGTAAGTTCCAGAGGGGAAGTAGATGAGCGCTGGCTTGAGTGTTTTCGCCGGAGGATCGCCCGGGCCGCATCCCCATAAGCAACGTCCGCCAGCTAGAAAGGTCAATTAGAAGCAGTTTATTGTCAGAATTGGGTAGATGCGCACCATCAATTGCCGCCTGAATGGCTGCAGTATCGTCTGTTTTACCGTCGCCCTTTGCGCCAAAATCTTTGACGTTACGGTAGACTGTGTATGAAGAATCATTGAGAAATGGAGAGACGCCCGTATGCTTAATTGTCTCCATCCAAAAATCCTCGTGGCGGACAACAGGGTGGCATTGGCCGAAAGTGAGACTGGCATCCAGAGACACGGTGAGATCACGGGCAGTGAGCCTGGAATCTTTGTTAATACCAATACTGCTTAGCCGTGCGAGAACATGCATGTGGCATAAAGAAAAAAAAAAGAAAAAGAAAAAAGAAAAGAAAAGATAGTTACTTACCCCTCTGGAGCAATTTCAATTGCAGCAGCATTCACTGTGGACGTCACTCCGGCGAGCCACGCCAGCAGTCGCGTTGCTCGAACCATGATGGCGCTGTTCTTACACCGAATGGAAGAATCCCGAAACAGCAATGCAAGTGCCAAGAAAGCCCAAGCTAACAGCTTTGACGAATCTCCTACGTTCTTCGGCTGTGCACATTGGGAAAAGACGTCAATATATAAAGAACAAGGAACCCAGATAACCTTGATTGAAAGTTACAGCGACAACCCGCAAAAATATCCGTCATTGTTACATTCCCCCCTCGCACTCTACACTTTTCCGAGGCCTTGGCTTTTCCCCAGCTTCTGGATAGCGAATCGGAAGAAGCCCGAAAATAGGGAGCTGCAGGTTTGGGCGTTATGGTTGGTGGAATTTCTCAAATCTGGGGTATTGAGAGCCGGGCCGAATGGCGCGTCACAACAATGAGGCTTGAAATACCGGTAAAGAGTTCTCGGAAAGGATCAAGGAACAGTCTGGTTGTGATTCGTGTAAATTCGCTAGGGCTGTGGGGCGAATTGCCATATGCTGTAGTTACTTGGAGGAACTATTGTAATTGAGATCAGTCAACACAATGGCGTTGAGTTTGGTTCTCCAATTACGTTTGTCGATTATATATGGGCTCGCTTATAACTCAAAGAGTCGGATGATTCCGATGAGTATCATATACTGAGACATTCAGCGTTGCTCACCGCAAGCTTCCAAGATGCTTGAAGTAGAGGCACTTGGATGACCCCCACGGACCATTTAGGGAAACCCTCTCTTGCCTAATTAGATGGTTTAGTGAGTTGTGTATTTGGGAATGAAGTCTAGTGTTGGTTACCATTGCGTCGTTCTAGGACGCATTTTCTTTTCTATAGTAATGTGTAGAAAAAACTCTTTCTGTTTGTTGCAAACATTTGCTCAAGCACAGCTCTTTTAAGCTACGAAAAGCTTTTGGGAGCTTTGTTTAGATATAAATGGTGTCAGAAAGTTGGCAATTGCGTGAGATTTAGAGGTAGCTCTATAAATAACCGAACTTTGAAATCGCTTCGGTCCTTGCCGTTGGATGCACGAATCGAACGCAGAACGCGAACCGCTTGTTGGATACCGTTGCCTTGTAAAAGAAAACTATACTTACACATATTGGAATGAATGATCAATAAAAGATGCTGCATATGTGTGCAAAAATAGCAAAAAAGAAAAGACAGCCCAAACTCGAATCGTTTTAATATAGGAAAAGCCCAATGCGGGGGTCGAACCCGCAACCTTGAGATTGTATCAGAACGTGTGTCCCTCTTAAGAGTCTCACGCTCTACCGATTGAGCTAACCGGGCAAGTCACATGACCGTTGACCAATCAACAGCGATGAAATTCCGATTAAGCGCAGGCTGCTTGTTGGACGGCTGAGCCGTACAAGATGCTATAAGCCTTTGTTCTATACATGAGCCATCACGGATGATTGGAGGACATCAAAGTACATGACAAAGGCGAAGAGGCTTGTGTAGCAACAACTGCAACTATCCAAGAGAGGAAGATAAATACACCCTGACCAAGGGCAAACGGATTGTTGCAAACGGATCAACAGTGGGCTTGCCAAGAGGGTGGGTCTGTGACCACTCAACACTTCACCGGATTGCGGCGCAACCAACAAACATCGCCTCCTCTTTTCATTGCAGTCCCTCTCTCCTATCATCCTATACGCCTCTCGATACCCTCAAATCTTCCATGATGCAGCGCATTGCAGCTGGAGGCAGAGCCCTGCGGCAGATGTGCAATGCCAACCATAACTGTTCAAGATCGCTATTCACATCCTTGACCAGAATCGATGCGACGACACGCTCGGTGTACCATGCAACAGGTGAGACTGACCGGATTTGTCGTCCTCGCGCCATGATGAGCAGTACTTCAGCAGCATTTCCTCCGAATTTCGGGAACGAAATCTGTATCGGCCATGATGTCGACTTTGACCGTATCAAATCTCGCATGACCTGCTCAAAATTTCACGATTCCGTCTGGGGTTTGGTGGTAAGTCATACCATACTCTTCGATATCTGTTCGGAAAATTGCTCAAAAGTGTGTCATACTGACGCACAGAATCTAGATATATCGGTGCTCTCAAGGTCACCAGTCAGCTTGGGACCGTCTGCTGCAAGGCTTGCGCAACGATGTCCGACAGAGTGCCGAATACTACAACCGTGAGGAAGTATTGCAATTCCATGATCTTCATGCCATCGACGATAAGAGACTCTAGTACGTTTTGCGACGCGTCAACTCCAAGTCTGCTACTGCTAATAGGTAGCTATCATTAGCGGAGCCACATCCCACCAAGTCCGAGAACACTTCCAATCCTGGGTCCCAAAGAACCTTGAGGACCGTATCCGGCCGGACGCGGTCGATTTCAAGAAGGACAAATGCTGGGACATAGACTGGCTCCGTGCGACATCTACGCCCAGATATGAATATTGTCTCTTTGCGGATGATATCTGTCTCGAGTCCGTGGATCAACCCGGTCTTGACTTGCCAGTCGTTAAGATTCTGTGGAAGGACTGGGAGTCCCCATGGTCCCCAGAGGAGATGAGCCGCCCAGTACCGGCCCCATTTCATGATGGCGTCACTGAATACTGGGAGGAAGATGTGGGCTGGATGTACATGCCGTTGTTAGACTACGTAGGGAATTATCACGTGCTTGGAAAATGTTTCTGGGAGGACCAGTACGTGAGACCCCCATACATGGATGGTAGTGAAGACGAGACGAATTTCGTAGGATATTGGAGGAAGAAGTCATCAAGCGAGGAAGCAAATCAGGCAGACCGTGAGAGACCGCTCTCCACGGAACAATCGAGCCGCTAGACATCTTCAAGATTACATTTTAGTCTCCTTTGCTGATGAGCCAGCTGGGTTCTCCCATTGCGTATTCTGAGCAGGAAATCTAGTAACGATAGAAATGGCATTCAAATTGATTCCCTACTATGTCATTTATATAACATCGCGCGTCACCTCGTTTTCTGGCGATGATTTATTACCCCGTAACCGGGCTAAACCTTTTTTTGACCTCCGTAAGCCTTTTAGAGATACGAAAAGGCTCACCAGAGGAGTAACTAGTGGAAATTCCTTTCAGAAAATGTCACTAGAAAACCTCATGGCACGGCAATTGTAGCATTCCCCAGCCAAAGTGTGCTACATCCCGACCCCACGGCAGGGTTCATCCATATGCAAGAACTCACCTAAACTGATGCCACCGCATCAGTAGTACTCCAAAGCTCATCTAAAGTAATAATTGTGTGCTATTTCTTGCCACTCTTGGATGCTCGTTGTTGGAATCACACTGGAGGTGGTTGTTGTGAGCCGGTAGGCTGAGTCCCATATCTCAACACGCAAACCTGTTCGTAGCCATCTGAGGTCAGCTGGCTCCAGATTCCAGTATCGCAGTGAGATCCAATCCAGGGATTCAGACTGGTTAGTTCCGCAACCGTGATGCCGAAAAGATTGGGAGCCATGGAGCAGTTGAAATTATCTATAGCAAAAATCAGCAAGGAAACGCGGGATTGACAATTGTGAAGGAAGTCATTATACTTTTGTCCTGGATCCGAAAGTTTGTGTAACAGCTACAGTGTGATGGCTGAAATGTCGAGGCTGGTATGCGCGTGCGGTTCGCAGGCACGCAATAGTCATATGGCAGCACCACATTTGCTAGAAAGTAAGTATCACCGTCAGTGAACACGCAACGCGCTGAGCTCAAGGGTAGGTAAAATTTCATAACGGAATGCCTTACGAGGAGTCCGCCATTTCTGTACGCAATAGCTTTTCCCTGCTTGGAGTACACAATTATTTGCCGAGAGGCTGGGATTCCACTCCAACAACTGCTCGACAGTGACGTTGGCAAAGTGTGCCCAACTAGAGCACGAGTCTGCTGCGGATAGATATTCTATCTTCGAATTGGCGTCAAATGCGTTCTCATACACGTAGCAGTCACTGATAGTGCCAGAGGCTGTGGGCTGCAAGGTAGCTGTCTGGATGGAGCTGGGCACGAAGTCGGTTGTTGTTACTGGACGTGTGAACGTGGTTGCTTCCGTAGCAGTCGTGTAGCCAGAGTAAGTCTCGATGTTTCCAACGGGCTTAACGCAGTAAGAAGTGTTGGCCCATAGATTGCTACAGGTTGAATCCACTTGAGGGTTGAGGAAGTAAAAGTCTGAGAGTGCAAGACTGAATTTCAGCAATATTGCAGCGCAATAGTCGCCAGCCTCGACCTTGACAATATAAGCGTTAGGTTGTCGTTGACAAGATAGATGCGATGAATCGACTTACATAGTACCACTGCCCGTATTGAGCTATTGATTGGCTCTGTGTATTCGACGGCATCGGGACTGGGGTAGTCACAGCGTTGCCCGAAACGACAGTGGCTGTGCCCGACGGAGAGCTGTGTCATGTCAAAAATTACGGCGTATATAGAGAATAGTAATTTTTCAGCTTGCTCAGAACAAAGTGACCAGCCTCTCCATGATGCTAGGTTTTATTTAGAAACCGAGTTTATTATTGGATTCTATTCCTGGAGTTGAACCAGGGTTGTATTCTAGCTCGTTACCAACGCCTGGCAGTTGTCGTAGGCGTCTAGTTGATAAGCCCGACATGTGTTTCTGGTGGCCAAACAGAGCAACTGGCCTCCAGCAGGGAGATTGAGCTTGTCCTTGGTGGTAATCTGGTATATCGACATGCCCTTGGCTAAGACAACCCTGGAGTTTGAAGAGGATATGTCCATTGAAAAGAACTCTATACCTTATACTAATTGATAACGTATCTACTGCCATATGAACGATTACTTAATCTTATTGATTTACATGTACCGTGGAAGTTCAAGATCTATCTCCCTACTCTGTAGTCTGTATAATGGAAAATCAATGTGCATTGAGGTTACAATTATATACATATATACTTTCCTTTGAGCATAATCATCGGCCAGTATACCTTTTTTCAATGTACCTGCCCACAGAATACACAACAACTGTAATAGCCGCGCTCATATATATGCCCACATCTCCTCCATCGCCACCAAACTTGGCCGCAATGGGTCCCACGTACCACGTCTGGCTCATACCCGGTACACCCCCAGCGAGGTATCCTGCCAATAAGGCAGTTACCGCTGCAACTCCCCAAGGAAGCAAGTGCGGTTGATCCCAGGCCTCGAGATTGTAGCCATCTTTGCGGCGAAAGATGCGATCTTCAAGCATCAGCACCATGGTGAAGCTCACAGTCCAATAGCCTAGTAGCGACACGAAGTTGTTGACCACGTTGGATAGGTTCTGCTGTCCTGCAATGGCTAGCACCGCCACTACAATAGCAAAAGCCATGGACCAGATGAAGCGAGGCACGGCGTGAAAGTAATGGCCCATCAGCTGCATGCTTAGGCCGGATGAATAGTTGATGGCAATGTTGTTGCCAAGAACAGAAAAGGTGAGCAGCACAAGGCAAAACTTGGACCAAGCATCTGGGTGGTAAATTTCGCTAATAAGGCCACCCAGGCCATGATTAGTGTATGCATCGGCATAAGGGGGATAAGCGGCCGTGGTGGCAGCGTTTCCGAGGCAGCAACCGATAGTGACGGAAAAGGTGGTCGGAATCACGATGCCCCAAAAAGTGAGGAAGAAGGTCTTCCAAGCGGGAGTGCTGGCGGGAAAGTTGCAGTAGTAGTCTGCGGCGATGGAACACCATCCCGATGCGTTGGCTGGCAATGATGAGTCAGGACATGCTAGATAGGAGGATGAGTTTAAAAAACTTACAAAAGTTGATTGCAACAATGGTGAGAAACGTTCCCGAATATACCAATCCCGAACTGCCATCCTCGCCCGGGAGATTGGTTTGTACATGAGGCGCCGCCTGTCCAATGAGAACGCAGAGCAGGATAAACGTATAGATCCATGAGTACTTTTCAAAAGTGTGAATCAGCCGGAAGCCAAAGATGGACACTACATAAGATATGACAGCTATAATGACGATGCCGACAGTGATGCTCATGGTATAGCCTGATACGGCGCTGAGGATCTGGCCAACAACGACATAGTTGACGACTGCAAAGCCGCCGCCGACGACTATGTTGAGGACGCTACACAGTTTGGCGCCCCAGAAGCCGAAAGAGTATCGAGATGTGGCGATTTGTCTCATGCCGAGCTGCCTTTATTAGAATGATGTTTAGAGATCATCTGCCACACCGAGATGTCCTTACTTTTGGTCCCAATGTTCCCGTAGTCGAAGTCATCAGCGCGCCCAGTATTATACCGATGATTGAAGCCGCAATCGACTGTTTCAGCGAGAGACCGAACTCCGGTCCCAGCAACCCCAAGGGCAAAACGCCAACGTGGATGTTGAGCGACCACCACATGAGAAAGATATTCCACACCGACGGTGGCTGCTTCTCCTCCTCTGGAATCCGATCCACGCCCTGCGTCTCAACGCCCAGTCTGCGATCAAGCCATGATTCGAAGCCGTTGAGGTATCGCAAGACTGCGACACGTGCTTGTAGTTCATGCACGCGATCTGCCTTGAGAAGAATGGTTCGGCCTGCTTCGACGTCGGATTGAATGGCGTTGTCGGGGGTCGGAGATCCCGATTCGAGATCGCGCTTCTCCATGGACATGATTGCTGAATTGACGGTTTAAGGAAAGACGAAGCAGTCCACTCAAAGAGGGTCTCACATTACACGACAGCAAAACCGACGTGTAACCCAAGGGAGGAAATATTGAAAACCGCACACGACATGTCTTTATGGCCGATCCTATTTTCTTCTTATCTCTTGTATATCCTCTTATCAACTGTCAATCCCCAGCTATAAAAATTGCGATGCCGTCTTTTCCGTCCATTACTCGCTGAGTGATAAGCAATGGTGGCTTGTGATTGGCCTGCGCTGAGGACTGGGATGGATCAGTTTCCTGATACGGATCGTTTCAGATAACTATAGTGGCGACCTGCCGGGCTATTTTGCGGGTTCTCGGCCTTGTTTCTCGGAGATGGGTGCTGTTACCAGCTTAACGCTGTTTATTTTATGACGCGGATAACTTGGAGTCCGTCAGCTATCGATTTTTGTGAGATACGAAGCCCGTTTATTTAGCTTAAGATTAGGTTTATATGTGCGCATGTGCCTGTCATCGTTGAACGCTGGTAACGTACCTGCATTTATGGCATGCATGAATTCTATGAGAGTATTTGTTTCGAGTATATTGGTGCGTGCAGTTGTTGAACATCTTTTTCTTTTTTCTTTTATTATGTATTACCTTTTCTTTTTTGTTTCAGTCCTTGTTGCCTTGTTGTGTAAGGGTCAACATGCCGCGACCTGTTAATCGAAAAAAGGACTATCAAAGATTTGGTCAGCACTTAGAGGGATAGTAAGAGGAACGAGGAAATAGTGGTAGTTTGACAAAGCCACATGGACAAAGAAGAGTGTGCCAGCTGGTATAACTCCATTAATACTTACGTAGCCACAGGAAGCACCGTATTAAATAATACCACGGAGAGCGAAAGTAATATGTGAAGAGGGAAAAACAAGCCCTAACTCCATGAGAACGAGATCCGCTTCTACATCGTTGACACGACACACATCCTAGACTAATCCTTAGACTGCGAGATGCCGACTTCGAAATCGGCAGTGGTTTCGAAAACCGCATGGCGCCACGTGTATTTAATCGCTTGGTGCCCTGAAGTGCCTAGCAGCACATTGTGGTAGCGAGACGACAGGTAGCGAGCAAACATGAATGTTGGCGCGTGAGAGTCGCTGAAAAAACTGACGTGGTGTTGCAGTGCTTTGGAAGCCAATTCAAGGTAGCTTGCGGCAGGTGATGAGGTGACGTTGAGAAGACTTGAGAAACAATCTTAAAGCCGGTCGCGCCCGTTGTGCCGGACACAGGCCTGCAGGAGGAAGAAGAAATGTTGCCGGTTGTCAACAAATCCTTGTCAGACAATGCTGCTCTTGATACAGCCTCACACCCTGTTCCTTGGGCTTTTATTCAGGTTGGAAAAGTTTAAAATGATGCTTTGACCGCGCTATTCATGCCGTGGGTCGTCAATATAGACATTCTTGTTTTCTCAGGCATCGTCGACCAGAGAATATAGTTGCGGAGAGGCATAGAGTTGAAGCGTATGCGGCGGCGCTGCTGTTGCTGTTTTCCTGTAGCTGCGGCTTCTCCAAAGAGAAGTAGCCCAGCCATGACAGACCCTCGCAGAGAGGGTATCGCGAGATAGTCCGGCGAGGTCTCCTTCTCGCGCACGTTACGAGCGCAGATCATTGTCGCAACTTGGATCTGACTCTAGATATGTATTTCGTGCAGTGAAGTTTCCAAAAGGCAATCTCCGTCTGGAACCTAGGTATGTAAGTGCTTTTGGATAGGCCTGTAATTCAGCGTTGCTGGATGTACTGTAGTCACAAGCAAAGGGTCCTATTCCCGGAAATAGTAATTCCTAGATAATTATCACGCGACGCATGGTGACATGCACGATGAGATCTATGTCGCCTATATAATGCTACTTAACACGGCCGTCGGGGTTACATTACAGCTTTACTTTAAGCATGAAGCATTGACAGACCCTAGTTATGCATTCCATTGTGGATCTTACCATGGATCGAATTACTACAATTCCAACTATAAATTGCAATTTCCGGAGATGGGATCTTTTTGCTTCTACAGCAGCACAACCAACAACGCCGAACTATAGGCCGGCCCTAGACGTTTACAGCTCGTTTGGAAGAGCGGGGCCCTTCTTCAGCGGCCAGTCTGCCGTGCCATAATCTCCAATCGGATTCACTTGTAACGTTGGAACCTGGCGTTGACACTTCTTACAGGCTAGCTTCCGCCTGCCTAGATGCCGGAGATTTCCTTTTTTGAACAGCGGCTCGGATGCTTCCAGGTACTTGTAGACCAATGCATCCTTACCTACCTATGTAAGGCGGCTTAAGACAGCACTGCAAGCTGTGAGTTTGCTATTTTCGAGTGCCTATCAGGAACGTTGTAGCACAGCTCGAGTTAGCCAGCAACGGCCGACAATCTGTAACTTCTTCCAGCGTGCCCGGCACAACTGATGGTAATATATAGCTGGCTTTCCTAGTTCGCGATAATGGCCACAGGCAGCAAAATAAAGAACGCCGGTACCAGCCCCACCCTGGTCAGGCGATGCGGAGACTGGGAATACATAAATAAACGCGCCCTCCTTGCAGGTGCTTCATGCTTCATGTCCCTTGGTTACGCTGCGTGCCACGAATGCAATGATTCTTCCCGCCGGCCTTCTCCTTCTCCCTTTCGCACTAGCCTCCTGCAATGATGGCTACTGGGACTGTATGACCAATAACGAATTAGACTATATTGGCTTCATAGATCGTCTGTCTATCTGTTACTCGATCTGTTACGAGATGAACCCAAGCGACGACAATGGTGATGATGATGATGACAATGATAGATGCGACTTTCCAAGCCAGGAGCCCCTGCCAGAATATCGGTTGTCGACAGGCTCGAATCCCGGCTCCATCTTAATGTGCTGGCCATCGAAAGGCGGCATATACAGGCTTTCTAATGTTCACAATGTGCAGCGCCAGTTCCTTGGTTTCGACCGCCGTGTTGCCAAAATCCTGCGACCTGAAGCCTCGGCAGATGCGGAAGACGCCTTTTGCAATCAGCGTAAGCAATGTGTTTCAATAAGTGAATGGATTGTATTGCTAATAGCTGTTTAGTCCGGAAACTGGGTGCTCGATGGTGGAAAAGCGAGTCTCCATACGACTATGAATTCTTTGTGGACCAATATACCGGGCGACCTGCCCAAGATAAGTCAGCGCTATATATCGGCTGGCCAGCCTCGGGCGGTGTCTGGGCGCTCTCCATGGATTTCTGGGACGCGGCGGAGAAAGGTTACGGCGTCATCTACAACTCTCTTACTATGGAGGAGCAATGTGAGATGATTGAAGAATTCGGTGGCACATTCTATCAAGATCCAAAAGACTGTCCATACTTGGACCTCCCAGAGAATGAACCAACCCCTTCCTAATCCCATCTACCTGTACTTAGCCAAACCAAACCCCACCGTTGCCATGGACATCTTATGTACCATAGAGGTGGTTCACCGTCAAGTTCAGCATCCGAATATCGTCCTATCTTGCTTCAATTGCCTTGATGCGAGGGGTTGAAAAGAGGACTTCTTTGGTCAGCGGCTTAATGGGAGGATACGATGCCGCTAATTCCGATATAGAACTGAAACCTCGGGAGTTTAGTCAATGACGCTTGATTTCGCTTTACTTCTGTATCATAATTTTGTTCTGGTAGCGAGGTCAAAATTGAGTGGCCGTTGTATAAGCCATAAATTAATACCATGTTTAGCCCATGAGCTACGTAACGCAAATTCTTATGGATGCTTAGAGTATCCCTTCTTACTTTTCAATTGTTGCTTTCAAGTCTAGATCCTTCCGGTACCATTTCTACACTAGGCGAACTCGCTGTGCCGCTTGTCGCTGATAATGTGCAGGTTTGCAAGACCAGCATATTGGCGTGTAGGGCCGGCACATCGCATTATGCATAAATACAAGACTGGATCCAAGTTCACGCGTTTAGGCAAATCATGACTAAGATTCTACTGATTAGCTGGAGCGAAAATTCCAGCGCAGATGGAACGAATGTTCGGACACAAGGTTATATAAGAGTAATCTGTTTCGTCCGATATAAGGCGGGAAATATGCATTTTGTCGGCACGTAGAACCGATTAATTTGTCCAAAAGGTTTAGCCATCAAAGTCCGCTATGAACGGCGCAACCATCAAAGTCCGCTGTAAACAGTCTAACAGTTCAAGTCCGCTGTGAACGTTACAACAAGCTAGTAGTACCCAGAGATTGGGGTTCCTTCGCCGCCTCTATTCACTCCTATGAAAATTACAATCTAGTAATGCGGGCAGGGGCAGCTGTTTTAAATTCCGGAGTTAATGAGTCCTATGTCTAGTATGAGAGACACTTATCTCCATCTTGCATTTGTCACATATAGCTGGAAACCTTAGTAGCATCAAACTATTCAATGTTGTGGTACATAAATATGTCTCAAACATACCTTTTCCCATTTATTATATGACGTTTTATCGTTATCAGCATACAAACACTGAGGCTTAGTAGTCCAGCCGACGGCAAAATGTCAACTGTTTTCGAAAACAAGTACGCGATTGTCACTGGAGGTTCCAGAGGCATCGGAGCTTCGATTGCGCTGTTACTAGCCGAAAGAGGCGCCAAAGGAGTGTGTTTACTACATCAAATACGACTACACACAGAAAGTATGAGGACTAATTTAACTCTGTATAGATAGCTATTACTTATTCCGGCAACGAAGCAGCAGCTAAGGATGCTATCGCCAAGATCAAAGCCCACGGGGCAAACGCGGTTGCAATTCGCGCTAATATTTTGGACGCCGATATTGGAGAGACAATAGTGAAAGGGGCTCTCGCAGGACTGAAAACCAACACAATACACATTCTTATCAATAATGCTGCTCTGTGAGTTTAACTAATGACCAATGAGTGTATAGCACTAACGACGCTTCAGTGCTACTTCAGAGCATCTGCTTCCTATTCTAGATACTACCATCGAGAATTTTGATAACCTCTTCCATGCAAACGTACGGGCACCACTGTTTACAACACGCGCAGTGCTTCCTTATATGCCCGCAAAAGGTGGCAGAATTATCAATGTGAGCTCCGTCACAGCCAAGCAGGCTGCCGATGAGCCAGGAATACTTTACGGGGCTAGCAAAGCGGCATTGAATAGCATCACTCGCTCCATGGCCAGCGCTCTAGCTGCAGAGAAGAGCCTTACGATCAATTCGATAAGCGTCGGCCCAACTAAGACTCCCGCCATGGAGGACGCTTTGGCTAATCTTCCAAAAGAGTATATGGAGGGATTGAAGAATTATGCCACTGCTGAGAAGCGATTGGCAGAGCCGGAAGAAATTGCAGCAATCGTGGCTTTTGTAGCTAGCGATGAAGCTCGTTGGATGAATGGAGCTAGTGTTCCTGCGAATGGAGGGGCGATCCTGCTAGCAGAGGGTTGATAATTGACGCTTCAAAGGTGTAGTTCAAATGGATATTTACATTCACTGGATGATACATTGGCAGTGATAATGTGATTATAGGTTTCAAAAATTGAATAATAATAGAAATACTCTGCACCCCAGAATGGTGTTGTATACATATAATCCGTTTAAGAAAATGCGCACGGAATCTTCAGCCTCGTCTCTCAGATTGTAATATCCAACACAATTAAAATATCAAGGTTCATTGCATGGACTGGATTATCTCTTCCACGTTGGTGAATTTGAACTCTTGAAGCGTCTCATTCCACACCAAATCCGTCAGTTGACTCCCATCCGTGTAGAACCAACAGGCGAGGCTAAAAGTTGAGTGTTAGGATACCTGGCTGCGAATTTTGTCGATAACAGAGAAGAAAACTTACGGTGCGTTCTTGCAGTTCATGAGAAAACTCCCGTGAGAATCTTTTCCATGGCCCAGAACGGCATTCACATATGTAGCGCTGCCCCTCTCGGCTGGTCTTCCAGCAACGCCCAAGAAGCCCTTCAATGCGAAACTCAGCGGCCCTTTAACATCTCTGCCGAGGCTTGTGCCTTTTGTAAGCCCTGGGTCGACCATGTTGATGATGACGTTATCAGGGTTTACCAGATCTGCCAGCTTGACAATGAACAGTTGGTTTATCAATTTCGACACACCATACCTCTCCTGTGGATCAAAGGCAATAATTTTTGTATCATCAAATGAAGCCAGAAGAGGGCGCTCGTTTCTGTTGGGGAATTTGCACAAGTGTGCCGTAACTGAGTTGACAATTGTGAGACAAGGTAAATCTATACCCCCGGCTTTACTTTTCAGGCAAGGAAGCAAAAGCACTGCCAATAGAGCTGTACCAAAATGATTGACTTGCATGGTCTTCTCATGGCCAGTTGAACAAGTGCTAAACGATAGCGGACTCAGTCCTGCATTCAAGATGGCGATATCAAGACGCTCGAGTTCTTTGTGGCACTTGTCGGCAAAGGCTTGTATGGAATCGTATGATTCCATATCCAGCTTCCAAACATCAATCTTTGCTGCTGGATTTGCATCACGAAGCACCTTGGCCGCCTCGTTTCCCTTTTCTAAAGATCGTACCGCCATAATGAGATGCGGGAGACCAAGAGCGAGAAGTTGCCTTGCTGACTCAAACCCTAGTCCGGTATTTGAGCCTGTGATAATTGCGCATTTGCCTTGTGCATTTGGGTATCGTTCTTTGGTTGGCAGCTCAATTTTCGTTCGAAACTGATTCTGAATGAATATGGGAAGAAACTTTTCGGGAAAAGGGTCCATGTTCTTTGAGAGAACAGCGGGAGAGTCCCCAATCTCAGTGCTGGCGTTTTTCTTATGTCCCATGGTAGAGAGGTATCGGCAAATTGGTATTGAGAAAACCGGGCTGTGTTCTTAGTCGTATAGTTAATGGTAAAGATGAAAGTGTGAGTCTTGCAGCACGACATGTATTTATATGCAAACAACTACGACATCTTTGGCCCCCTAACACCTCCTTTCGCTGGTACTGGCTATCATACAATAGAAGGACGAAACCCTACCTGGCTGTATTAGGAAATCGAAAAAGCTTGGCCATCCTCGCAGAACGCTTTCCATTAAGCTGAACTCCACCAAGGGCGCTATTTTCCTGCCCAAGACGAAAAGGGTAATCCAAAAAGTCTTGGCATTTCCTTTGTGACGAAACTCCGGAATCCGGCTTTTCTGGGCCATGTTCAATGCCGCTGCTAATGCTCCGCTAATTCCGAGGGCTGGTTAGACCATTCGTTACAGGGGGCTCCCAATTTCAACATCTCTGAGATCTTGGCAATTCTTTGCTTTTCTGGTTGGAATTTGGTGGTAATTGCTCTGGACATTTATCCATTTGTTTCTTCGGAATCATGGCGCAGCATCATTCAGGAAAGGTAAGCACTAATGCTGTGATGGATGCAAAGTTCAATATTCATCACTGACCGTCTTCAAGTATCAATTTATCGAATTCGTAGTAGCAACATCTACTTCATCACCTAGCAGAAAACAACAACGGACTATCCGAAGTCATGCTTCTCGAGGGAGAACTAAAAGGCGCCAGCGTCCACAGCTCAAATCTTGGATTCTACAACGAGATGGTAGCCCATCATTAGTGGATGACCAATACACTTCAATACCTCCGCGCGTCGGCTGGGATCTTTCCTTTTTCGACTTTCCTATAGAGATCCAGCCTTATATGCAAGGTGATCTGTCATTAGGTAATTACTACCTGTTCTTTGATTCGATGTCATGGATTAACACACTATACTAGCTTTATCTCCGTTGAGAGAAGCTTTATATCCTCCGGAAATTTGCCTTCAAGTGGATCCCGCGTCCAGTTCTTGGACCACGACGCTCCTTACTGATTCAGTATACTTGCACTGCACGCTATTTTCAGTTGAGGCATATCTTGAATTGTGCCTTCGAAAATCCCATGGCCCACTTACGCACTTCTATTTCCAAAAGACACTCCGGCTGCTGCAAGATAGGTTGGACAAACCTGGCGATCCGCTTTCAATTTCAGATCCTACTATTATGGTAGTGTCTGTCCTGGGCTTGACAGCCGAGGTCACTGGAGATTCTATGGCTGCAAAAAAGCATATGGAAGGACTGCGGAGAATGGTGGATTTGCGAGGTGGGCTTGAGATGCTGCGATTTGACAATTCTCGACTGCCTGCCAAGGTCTGCCGGTAAGTACATTACCATCTGACTAATTTTCTCTTGCTGGTCGCTTCTCTGACACGATGAAGCATTGATCTCGTTTTGGCTCTTCGATTTGGAATCGAACCCGTTTTCTTCAATAGTGCAATACCGTGGAGGTCATTTGTTGACCATGGACTAATTGGAAAAAGCAAAGAGGTTCCAGCAGGCAACGAAGATCTGTCAAACATTCTGAGTACGCTTGATAAGAGACTGACAAACGTTTGGAACGACTTGAAAGAGTTTTCTCAGATCTGCAATCTTGCATCCCAAACACCTAATAAGCTTTCGCCAAACCTTTTCAGCGAAATCATGATATCGATTTATTATCGACTGTTAAGTCTCAAATTTAAAGATGACCCCGTTTCAGAAGCCATTCGCGTCGCGATGATGGCCTTTGGATCGGGTGTATTTTTCCAATGGCGGGGCATGAAACAGCGACTAGCATTTCTCGATAATCTTTCGCAAAAGTCCCTATTCAACTTGCGAAAATCCCAAACCCGACCGCCTCCTTTGTTAATCTTGTGGCTTTTAGTGGTCCAATTTTCTGCTTTTTCGCAGTTGCCGCCCGGGAATGACATGAGGCTGTGGGTTGATGATATAGTTTCACAGCTGGGCATTTCTGATTGGAAACAAGGCCGCCAAATGTTAAAATCGGTTATGTGGATTGACTATTGTCATGACAAGTTACTTGACCAAGTATGGCCAGAAACCACCAAAAGTCCTCATGTCTGTCAATAGGGGATAGAACTTTCTGAACTTTAATCTAATGAACAAGACTATTTTCCTTTATGAGAAAGTGTGTGACTTTGACTCAGCGGACGGTGAACGCCTTCGGCCTAGTATTGTTAGTTAGATTGCCTTGGCATTTCATCGTCTTGTACTTCCAAATACATGAACCATAGATTTGAGATTTACTTTTACAATTTGCTTCTCGTATTCATATCTACAGAAGATCCTAACGAGAAATTTATGTGTTGAAGAGAATAGGCAATTGGTACCAAAAGAGCTGCAGGCCTATGGCAGGTTACGGCCCAGACATGGGCTCCATAGCGGCCGAAGCGTGAAAGGTAGGTATGTATTCTGGTTTATATTTTCAACGCTCATGTGGCCATGGCCAATGTCTCTCGGCGAATGGATCATAGCGTTGAAACCTGTGCTTTCCGGCACTGACAACAACGGCCAACTCTGGCAGCGCGCCTGACTATACTCGAGCAAACATCATTCACTTATCTACATCCTATCAATCCAGCTATTCGCGAATCCAGCCATATCGTACCCATTGCCCTGCACATCCTTCAGTAGACTCGGCGTTGGCCAAGACGAAAGACAGTCGGTTCGCCTTGATAAGCCTATACTACATCACGTCCCCACCATGACAGCCCTTGTTCAGGTTAATCAAATATAGGGTAATGAGGAAGAAATGTAGGCATTCGCTCACGTCTATGACGAAAAAGGGTCTTGCCTGACCTTCCGCATCTCTCGAATTAATGCGGTACCCCTGAGTCTCGAGAGCCGAATCGTGGCATGCTTTCACGACTTGCCGGTTGCATCCGCTGACGAAACATTCGAAGAGCGCGCTGCGATACGTACGGCACTCAAAGATGTGGTTCAACAAGCATGGCTGAGTTGCGTACAAGCAGCACAATCACCAGACGCGATCGTTGATCTCTATGGCGGTAAAGAAGGGCAAGCTGACTGGCATATACTATATGAGTCTGCCTTCTATCAGAACTACTTACAGACGCTATCGCCTACCGCCGCTGTACTCAGGTATGGAATTACACCAGATCGTTATCGACGTTAATTACAAAGATCTTGCCATTGTTTACCGTCTGCGAAGACGAGGAACATTATGTGTCGTACGCCAAACCTCGGCGGATCATGCCCAGTCGCTCTTGTGTGGGACGCTATACCCTTTCATGGGACGTGGTACTCTGGACGATCAACTCACGCGATGAAAAATTAACGGAACGCGCATTGGACTGCGAGACAAGGCGCTCTGGTGCTTTCAACTGTCTTCGGCTCTTGCACACACACATCAAGTGGGGCATACATATCATATGGACATTAACCCAGCAAACGTTGTTGTGAATGACCATGGGAATACAATCCTCATTGATTGAGAAAGCGGTACGCCATTATGCACGCTGGCACCGGAAGCAGATTGGGACGATATCCCAACCGGAGGCTTCATTAAAGCTTGTGTACACGCGTCACAATGGGCCTATGCGTGTTAATTTCCCTATGGTTAGACCTAAGTGGAGTATATTTCCAGAATGGAGTAGGCGCTGGCCGCGAGCTTGTGAGTTGCAGGAAGTGCCCCAAGAAGATGTAGCAGGCCTCGATCTCAAAAGTATTGTGGTAAATTGGAATAAGGATGCAGGTGATATACCAGATACTTGGAAAGCTGTTTTTATGAGCTGCTTAGAGCCTGACCTCAACGTGGGAATCAGGCTAACTCACCTTGTTCAGTTTTGAGAGTTGCAGCAAATGCGTCTCAAGAAGGATATGAGATGAGATAGTAGATTACCAGCAGCAACATCGTCTTTCATGGCAGTGACACTAAAACATGATGACTACGTGTAACAACTTAAAAAATCTTTGGAGTGAGTGCAATGGTATTAGAACTCAAATAAATGGCCAAGTACAAGTCTCCCCGCACATATGAATCGCCCTTTGCCAGCATATTGTATCCAGAAAGTTGGTTCGTGCTTTGACTAAGCGACGAGTCCAAGAGTCCATGGCCAACCCGAGATCATAATTTTGTCAATATTTTAATGCTGCAGTCGCTCAAGTTAGATTTCTATGTTCAGCGGTCTCAATGAAGCTGAACTCACCCCACAGTTCTTGCATGTGCAGCTCTGGCCACAGTTGCATGAGCTGGGCCCAGTGCAGTTGCAGGTCGATCCACAGTCGCAAGCCATATTGTTATAGGAGTATTGATAGCTGGATATAGTATGTCTCTCAATATCTTAAGATGAAGAGCTGTAGTTTACATAGAAAAATGATGGCGTTCATCTGCTTCTTATAGCCATCTCCAGCGGTGACGTAATCATGAGACCCAAGAAGATTGTAGTCTCACCACTCTAACTTTTATTGTTAGAATGTTATGTAAACATGACAGCATGATATTAGGTTATATACAGTTCCACCAAGAAATTGGAGTAGGATAAAGACTGCTAATTAGGCGCCCGACTTCCGAAAACTACCCATATCATATACTACATAGGTAGGTATGGCCTAGGACAAAGACTATACCAACCTTTCGCCTCTATAAAGCACCGTGAATCTGATTCCGTATAGGTAAACCTGTATACTGGCAGAAGGGTTAGATTGGCTATTGAGCAATCTTTATGGCACATTTAACTGCGATCCGCCGTCACTGCTTTCGGCCGCCATTCGTAACGAGACTTTGGGCTGACCAGGCGCAGAGCTAAACAAGCCCGTGATTACACTAGTACGAGTGTCATGTTTTGTATCTCTTTGACATTTCCTTTGAGCGTAAGGTGCTTATCTAGGTATGTGTCCGGATATTTTTGCGACGGGTTACTTGTACTCGCCATCATAGACCTTGTACGGGAGGCCTGGGTCCGAACTCGGCGAAATCTCCTTTGTACTGTAGAAGCCGCAATTAAACCAAATAATCTTAGCACCTTTGCATGTCTGTCAATATTCTCTGCCCGTTGCGTTGTTGGTATTATTAGTAGGCAGATAAAAGAAGGTTTTGAAAATTCACTTGAGGTAGGTAGGCATGGTGAAAAAAGTTCCTTTAGTAGGTAGTTTCTCAGCTGATGAGCTTGCAAACGACAGTCTTATTGTGAGTTTGGGTGTCGACCAGGAATATTACCCAAAATCGACGTTTTTTTTTTTCAAACGGCTTAGATTCGTAGTGCCGGAAGATGTTCTTCCCCATAATATAGGTGATTTCGCTTTCCGGACTCGTAAAAGTTACTCAAACTTCAATCATAGGAACATGCGGAGGCTTCAGCTGGGGTATGCTTAAGTGGAGTACCGCGCCAGGTCCGCTTTTCAGCAGACCTCAGCCATTAGACACGCATCAAGATTCCCATCTAGAGAGAAATATATCACGGCACGCTATCCGTTCATCTATATATGAGAAGGAAAAAAGCAAAAAGAAAAGAACAAAAATGCGGGGCGGGTGTTCGAACCCCAGACGTCTCAAATGCACGGCAATGCTCCTCCCGTTGCGCACTCGGGGCAAACGCATTACGCCCGCATCTGCGGACTGCTCTGTGCTCTGTGCTCTACCGTTCGACCATCACCTCGCAGCCGGCGTCCCAGCTATTGGCAACAGAAGGGATTATAGCGATTAATAAAGGAAAGGGCGTAAACTGGCTGGACTTGAAGAAAAAAAAAAACGGATTAGGGATTACGAGCTGGGAGCGAGCGCTGGCTTTATAGACGTGAGACTTGATGATGGCGCTAGGCAAGGCAGATCTGGTGCCCACTCAGCATCCACAGTATTAATTTAGCATCGCGGTTTTAGCACATGGTTGGTCTGAATGTGATTTTAGCTGGGCAAGTGGATTTGGATTGAATCAATGAGGCAAGCTGAGAATTGAGATGGAATCGCTGGGAGCGAGAGCTAAAGGTTTACCTGCCCTCACCCAAGTTATAGCGGGCAGCCCCCTGTAGAATAGGCGCTGAACTGCCGTTAGGAGCCTGCAGTGATTACTCGAGCCTTTTGCATCTCGATCCTTGCACTTCATCCTGTCAGTTTTTTAGACTTGAACAAAGCTGCAAATTCTCTGCCCAACTCAGTGCCGCACTGGATATTGCTTTCCAAAAGACCAAATCGCAGCCGCCCGCTGTCGAGTCCCGGCTGAACACACTTGCAGGGGTTGAAATGCATGTTGGTCGCGATGCGTTACAGCTACGCGGCCTCGAACGCTGTTGGCCTACGAAAAATTCACGATGGAGAGCCTCGTCGCCTCGTGAAGTGGCTATTTCTGGATCAAAATGGCCTCTCTCCCTGAAGCAAGTATAAGCGTCAGGCTGCATGTCTTGATTAGCTCCTCCTTCCAGACTTTGAGCACGATGACCGCTGAGTCTTATGCTCGACGCCAAAATGGCCATCACCAGGCGCGACAACGCATTTCTCGACTTCTTCTCCTTCGGACATGCCGACTTTCTGGCTCTTCTCTTGACCACGCCCATTAGCACTCTACTTCTGTACTGGTCGATTAACAACACCGTCTTCTCAGGCTCTCTGCTTCGCTTCATCGACTTAAATCGCCCAACGGTACAGTTTGCCGTGCAGCTGATAGCCAATCTACTGTCGCTCTGCCAAATCCTGGTGCTGTGCAGGCTCATCAACTATGGGATTCGAAGACATCTTTCGTCCAACGCGATGAGGCTGGACTCTCTGAGGGCCTGGATTGACGCTATGCAGCCGAGAGTGAATTTTGGCCTGCCCATCCGCTTTCTGCTACCCTTGTCCGCCTTTGTTGCATTGACGATGATTTTGTCGGCGCTCTGGGCCGCTGCGCTGACGCCCGTCCAACTGTGGGAAGACGTCGATCAAACCATCGTTGTTCCCAATTGGGACGATGATGCTCTCATAAAAGAGTATCCTTCCGAGGTTGGCAAAGAGGGAGCCACGGTGCAGAATCTCAAAGGCCGGTTTTCATATTCTGTCGGCAATCAGTTGCTTGGAAGTCTCCTCGCCAGCGCATCCTCTGCGACCACCATCGATGGCTCGCCCAGAATTCACGAAAAGCTGGACAAGTCCAAGTTCGCATACATCGGTCGCTCTTACGGCATTGGTTCATCGATAGGGCTGGTGGACGAGGAAATTTTGGGTAACAATCGGGCGCTCGGATACGCATTTCAAGAGGCAGGATACAAGGCCGATGTAAACTGCATCTATAATGCCTCAAGCGCGTTTTCTTTATCATCAACGGTCGATGACTTGGTCTATGCTGCGAGCGGGCCTTTGCCCGACAGCGACAACGGCCCCGAATACTCGGACTACATCGGCCACAATATGGATCGTATAGTTTCCATCGGCGTCGCTCATTTCGCCAACGAATCAGCGAACGTATACCCGCTTCGAAGATATCTGGCGTTCGCGACGGGGTCAAACTACGATTTCTTGAACACAATCCAGTGTGAGATTGACTTTATCCCAACGCTGTTCAACATCACGGTGGATCTCCAGGGCCAGAACATCACTGTCAACGCTACAATTGGTACCAAAATCCAAGACATCAATCCAAGCAGGCGCCTAAAAAGCACCGTGATGCGCCAATTCGAACTCATTGCCAACGACGAGACGAATCTCTACATCTCAACAGTTGGAAGCGCGTTTAATGCTTCTATTACCGATTTCCGAACCCATGTCCACTTCTCGAGTAAAGCCAGCCATTGGTCAGACACCGATATTGTCCTCGTCGCCGTTGAAAACTCCATTACTGCGATGACGGATGACATGTTGGGCGCGTATGCATCGGCGCAGCTCATGGTCGGCAACCTGACACAACGCATAAACGCTACTGTGCGAGTAACTGCTATAGCATTTGGCGGGATCAAATACAACATTGCGGTATTCGCGGCCAATATTGCCGTCATCTTGCTGCTTTTGATCGAGGTTATTAGGACTAGAGGATGGAAAGGCCTTCCCGATTTTGATGTCTCAGATGTACGCCAGTTGATCATTGCGGCGTCAGAGGGAGGAAAGAATTTGAGTAATATTGCTTTTGGGCAAAGAAGTGACATTGGAGATGTTTTGATATGGTATGCGAAATTGATAGGCGATCGTTTTGCTATTGTAGCAAATTCTGAGACGAAAGATGCCATTGTGATAGAGCACAAGGGGCTTGCGACGTCGGCAAATAGTTCAGTTACCGAGGTTGCTGACATGATATAAATCAATATCGTGGTATACCATCGTTTCATTGCTGTTGTGTTGAGCCATGCCCATAGATACACAGGTACATATTTACATAAAATTAGAAAAAATCAAGCCAGCTATCAACGAAGAAACAGACGATATACCCGAAAGTAGCATTTCACCTTCCGATTAAATTCCGCCAACGAGTCACTGGTGCTATATGTCGTCCAATTCATTACCAATAAGGATTCTCTAAGAGGGACTGTGGTCCATCAATTCTCCATGCTCACTCTGACACATACACCCTGGGTTAATTACTTTCACCAACCTTGTCGGACATCGAGTCGAAAATGCTAAATATATGGTTCTTGTGAGGTTGGAGAAGCTTAATATGCTGGAAGCACTTGAAGCTGTAATCCATATCCCTGTAAGTCTGGCAAGTATGCCTCATATCGTACATGTCCGGTGAATGCGGTCAGTAACTTATTTATTTTATGCGCCATTGGCTTTTGTTCAACTTACACATTCGCAACTCTCGTATCCTGCCGATGGCCACATTTAATCTACCCTAAGAGAGCTCCAAGTTACCTGACGAGCCGCCCTATTCACGCGTATACATGTCTCTAAATCACATCCATCTAATGCTAATGAGTCAACCGAAAGCATGGGATACTCCGTAGTTTTCACCAAAGACATATCCGAACTGGCATGCTAAGCTACTACGTCTCGTGGCAGCCATCCATGTTTTGTAACCTCAATGACTCTGGCCCCTTCATTCAAAAGAAGCTGTATAGTAAGGGCGTCGACAGTGCCCATCCTACGGGAAGCACACGAACTGCCAGAGCTTCTAAAGCCACCTCTACTGTTACTGCTGCGACTTCCACCGTTCCCGCTTTCTTTATTGTTTCCACCTTTTCCGCCGCCGCCGCCCTTGCTCTTGAACAGATTGCGCTCATTGGATTGAGACGTGCCCTCTATCGTGGCCACTTGCCGAGGGCCGCCACTAACAGTACTGGCGGTGAAAGTAGGTAACAGAGTAGCTTGCAAGAGAGTAAGGTCAAATCTCATGGTGCAAGGCGATAGCGATGTCAAATGGAGATTCAGAACGAAGCTACCATGATTGGTAGCCGATCACCGAAATAATCGAGTCTATCTCTCCCCTCCCAATCACCTGGCATTAAAATTTGCAGTGCAGTTCATGCTAATGTACGTTGTACTCTACCCACGCTCTAGTGCTATGTAGGCTCACTGTGAGACTTGGACAACTTGCGTACAGCATGATAACCTTGGGAGCTTTGAAGGCATAAATTAGCGCAGAGTACCTACATCTACTCAGTCAGACTCGACTGAAGATTTTATTTACTGTTCCATCTGCTGGTCTTTTTGCGCTGAAAACGGCCTTGCCCGTTGCTCTTAATAAAGGCCACCAAGGCTACGGGTTAGAAAGACCTACCTTGGGCTGATTTAGCTTTCTTCTAGCCTTGGTTTGAGAAGATAGGTATGTGGTTATGATACGCTGTAGATGTCGTATCGCTTTTTGGGAGTTTGCACCAAAATCAGAACCTCATAAAGCTCTGTCAGTCTTGTGCCTTCTATCGTCAAATGAAGCCTATCTTTTCTTGTATGGATCTTTTCTTGTAGGGATCGAGCAGTGGAGTATACTAGAAAGTAAGCAAGACGCAAGACCGAATCGAAATAGAAAGACGGGGAGGACGTAAGCACGAGGAGCCAACAAAGTACGCCTGTCACGATTGAAAAGAAGCTGTCGTGCGCGGTAGATGGATGGTGGTGATAAAGATTGCAAGGGGCTAGAGCTACTCGACTTTCAATCTGGCGATGCGCTATTAATAGCTACCGGGGCTTCTAGCGCCAAGCTGCACTGGGATATAGCGCCAGATCCGTCTCTCGGGTGATTCCACCCGCTAAAATGGTCGATACACGAAATCAGAATGATAGAAGCTCTCAGTAGCGACCGACTCGATCGATAGGAGAAATAAGGAGAGGACAAAAGACGACTGTCAGTCAGTATGAGAAAGCAATAAACTAAAAGAGAAATAGAAAAAATAGAAAAAAAAGGGCGGGGCAGCACGAGTTCGAACCCCAGCTTTCCGCTGCGGGAATGCTTGAGCCTGCAGGTACTACAAACACTCGGGCGCTGATTCGCATATTGGGATTAACCACTGTACCACCCCGCGGTAAATGTGATGAACATTTTAGTATATAAGGCATAGAGTGCAGGCCAGCTGGCAGTTTTTGGAGGGAGAAGAGAAGGGACGAATTTTAAGTTGGAGTTTGGCGCTGAGAACAGGCGCTGCCAGCTGGCTTATAGGCGCCAAAGTCCAGGGCGGTGGGCTGCATTGCGCTAAACAGGGAAGGCCCGGCTCCCGCTCAGCCCCTGCGTTTTGGCTTTAGACCCACGACACTAGCACCAGAGTGGTTTGGATGGCGATCTTGGCTTGCCGCTATTTTGCAGGATGGAGTGGTTCTGAATCTGAATTTGGCAAATTGTCGTCACTGGCATCTACTGCAAAATCACTCTATTTCTACACACCAAATTTCTATTTCGTTTATCATTAGACTATGCCGAACTACCTCGGTTAGGCCTCTCGCAGTAGGTACTACTATCAGTATGAAATATTTACTTTCATCGTCCTAGATTACATAAAGCAACAAGCCGCAGAACAACAAGCTCAACTTGGCTGATGATGCGAGCTTAACGCCGCTAACACATATGTACTTTCACAACGTATATCTTCCGATTGGCCACCTGGTATGTTCAAGCCGAGTTTCTACTAGATAAGAAGCTGTTGGGCAATTTCTCGTCAAAGGCCTATGGGCATAGTCGCATAGGAAAAGGGCCTCTCAAGTGCTGCTATTAGCAAAACTTTCTTCGCAGCCTGCTCAAACGCACACTCTATAGTGTTGAAGTTAATTCGAATGACGCCCACGGAGCAGTAGCAGCAGTAGCATGACTACCTATCTATTTCGGTGTAGGCGATATTGAATATGTCTATATGTACCTACATGTATGAAAAGTATGAGAAGTATAGGCCACGCAGCGCCCACCACAAAATATTTGTCTCTAGATGGGGTCTTACGTAGGTAAGTATTGGTTGTGGATCGCTTCGACAAACTTTGGCAAGATGGGCTTCATTTGTTTAAAAGGTCTAAAATGTCCCTTGGATGTGTTTCTAATGACATATTTGAAGTTGTGCATTAAGATGACTAAAGCAGCAGTTGCTGTCAAGAAGCAATATGGAAAATGAATAGGCTCAGCTCCTGGATACGGCAAACGGCCGTTGAGAGCTCCACACAACACCATCTGAGGACGAATATCTTGTGGCGGACGCCTCATGATTTTATAGATTTCATAGAGTTTACTACAAACACTAAAGATATGGAAAGTATCGGGTCATTGGCCAGATTAATCTTTTAAAAGCACACTACTCTCTTCCCTTCTCTCGAACTCTTCTTCTTCTTAACGATACCATTTGGCAATTCTCTTTCTTCTCTCTCGCACCAAGATCAAGCTTCGTTCTACATTCACAGCTCTCCATCGAACAACATACAGACCATCATGCCTTGGTACACTGATCTGGCTATGGAGGGCCGAGCTCGCCTCCTCAAAGCACTCGATATGATCGCAAGCCCAGAATTTATCGTGGACATCCTGAAATCTCTCACAACGGCGTTTACATATAAATTTCTCCGAGACGATGCTCATCTTTCGCTTGGTCCGCGGATTTTCGTTTTCGCCTTGATTTGTCTAGTGTATGTCCATACGAGCATATGGATTCGTCGCAAATATCCCTCTGGCAAAAAAGTAAGTTGTCATGCATTTTCAATACTTGATTAGTTCTCTAACGTAACTCTACCCTAGCTTCAATGACTTCATCGTGTTGAAATGGGTGTAACGGCAGCTGCTTGCAAATTCGGCGATTTACTACATGTAAATATGGAAAGTTAAAGGCGAAGGCATACATATGGGACCTACGCAGAACTGGGACGCTGGGGCCGCAAGTAGTGAATAACGCGAAAGAAAATACACCGCGGATAGATGATACTGAGCCCGATAGGGAAAACAAACGTGTAATTTTGAAGACTTACAGGCCAATATGTCCCCTAATATCAACTACAACCAAGAAACTCCTGACCTTTTCCGTCCTTGTGTGTGTTCTTTCTTTTTTCCAAGCGTGTCCAAAATTCGCTCTAGTTGAGTGTCTAGGAAGATAATCGTGGGGAACCCCCAGTTACAGTGTTAAAGATGGTCCTTTCAATAGTGGCAGCAGGGCGATTTAATACAGGAAATAAGAAAACGCGTATTTTTATTTTCTAGGGTCTACCTTACTGCATCGGACAAATATCTACAGTTAGCACAACACTGGTGCTCACAATTTGACTCGAGACATTGCACGTAAGTTTGGTATATCATACCACCCATGCCACACCGGCACTCTATGATGTTAGTGTCTTCAATGGTTTGAGAGGCTGGTGATGATACATACACATGTCCAAGTATCAACGGTCTGTATCCTGTCTTTGTGCTGCAATGCATTATCTTTTTCATATTTGGCAAGTGGAGTGTCTTGACTGTTTGGTATCGACGCGTCCGAGCCTGGGGTTCTCACTTGCGCTTCTGAAGAATTACTCGAAGGATCAATTGCTTGCGTCTCCTTGCTATGTTCGACTTCCGTAATAGAATTTCTTTCTTGTTTACTCAATATGTAATCTTTGTCGGTGGTGTTGGGACTGCCTGATGCGTCAGGTGGGGTCTCTTTAATATTCTGCTTCAAGACATTATCTCTTTCGACGTCGTTTTCTTGCCTTTCATCCTCATCCACTGCCACAGCTGAATGCGTTGCATCTGAAGTAATAATAGAAACGGAATCTGGTGAACCTTCATCTTCATTGGCTCGTGGTACGGCAAATATTGCCAGCTGCTCTTGATGTGAGGCAACGTGTCTTTTGAACCGGTAATGGTTAACAAGTAATCGTTGCATTGAATCAAGTGGTCGAATTCCTGACTTCGACTTCTGTAGCAATTGTTCTGCCCATTCATCACAAAATGGGCAATCTTGAGCTTCAAATTGTGTAGGATTTTCTCTTCCTTCTTCTTGAAGCATTGTGAGTTGCGCATCCGAGAAATGTCCATGAGTTTTCAGGATATGGGCTTGCAAGTCTAGATAAGAAAAGCCTGCTGATCTGCACAAGATGCAAAAATATTGCGATCTGTGTTTTCGTAGCTCATGCTCGAACCATGAGTCACGATCTTCGAAAAGTTCTGCATCACATTCAGCCCCGCCAAGCGTGCACACATATGCTTTCAAGTCACGAAACGCGTGGAGCCTGTGTTGGGAATCGTCAACCGACGTACACGAGATAGAATAGGATGAAATAGAAGCATACTTCCATGACTTTTCGTTTTCAAATGACTGAATAGTGAAGCAGATTGGACACTCAAAGGGCTGGCTAGTCGGAGCCAAATCGACCAAACTTGGTAACGTTAGATTTGATAAGGAAGTTGCCATTGTTGAAGCGCTAGCAAGAGAGAAATTATCGCCTTCTTCTTCCTGTGAGGTCAAGTCAAAATTGGGAGGAGGGGCGAGTGTCGTAGCTTTACTCGATAGCAGCTCAGTATCCGCGACGTCGTGGATATTCGTCTCATCCATTCCCAGTCGAGATCGGTGATCTCTGCAGTACCTGATGAAGTTTCTCCTTTTGGCGATACCGCTGCCAAATCTTATAGATAGTGGACTGTTGGCTAGTTTGGAGTACTTGTTCCTCACATAATCGATATCGAAGGAATCCGGGAATGCTAGATCAGAACTTTGAAGCGCTTGCTTGAATCGATCGCGTGGCGACAGCTTTCTAATCAGGATACCCAGGCGAAATAGAGAGTTTATGCATTCGTGGATTATCTGTAACGTTATTTTAGTCTCGTCAAGAATGTCTTCGCTAGGCTTGTCCAAGGCGCTTATCCCGACTATTGAAGAGCTGCTAATTTGGTCGATTGCGGTGCCGCGATTCACACTCGGGTTGCGAATCATCTTCGTCACTACCTGATGGGTGAGACAAATGAGAACAGAATTGGTACTAGAGACTAACAATCACCAATAGCTTCTTCCATCTCATCGAGTTGTCGATGTATCTGCTGCCGAATATCTGTCGCTTGAAGAAGTCGCCGATCAAGCGACAGCGACGCCAGAGGGTTGCGCATGGCACCCATATTCCCCGCCCATAAAGAGAATCTCTCTAGGCAGTCTACAACTGCTGCTGATGGCAAATCAAAAGTCAAAGAAGAATGATTTTCTTTAGAGAGGTCTATCAAATTGAGAATGTGCTGTCGAACGTTACGACTCTGGGCTGAAATAGTTACTCTTTCCATTGTGTCCATGTTGGTCCAAGAATTATTGCAGCGAAGAACTTTTACTCATAATGGGCAACATTCATGTCAAGTGAGAAATCGGGCAGTGGTAATATAGAGCAATAATTGGCCTACCTGTCGGGCACGCATGTACATGTATACCCCGCTTGCGAGATAAATGCAGAGGCAGATACGATTGGTCCACGCAATCATGCATGGAGGTGTGTAATCATATCTATGGGAAGAGGCACAGTTTTATCTTTTTTATCTTTACTCATAGCTTTATTTCATCAAAACACCGTGCTTCACAATGGCAGCATCAGGCCTTGAGAGTGCGGGGATTGTTCTTAATGCGTTTCCGATTGCCATCAACACGCTTGACATATGTCGCGATGCTGCAAAACTGGTTGGGTTGTTTCTCCAAATTAAATTAGCATACAAAAGATGGCGCGATGATTTGGAGTTCCACAGACTCTTATTTACAAAGAATTTGCGACAACTTCTACTGCCTCTCGTACTGGATGACGACACAATTGAGGAGCTTTTGCTGGCGCCAGGAGGAGATCGCTGGAGGGAAGAACGAGTCACACGGCTTTTTGAAGAACGTCTCGGAGATTCATATGACCTTTACATGAAATTTATAAATGGTATGAATCAGACTATGGACGAAATAAACAGAGAGCTCGCTGTCGACTCCAGCTGGGCTCAAAAGATGATGCTCAATCAGTCGGTAAGAAAAATCGAGTCAATGAACACGTGAACTCAGTTGGTTGACCTCGCCAATAGCAAGCATCAAATAGCGAAGAAAAAATGGCAGACTTTTTAACTCGTCAATTACATAAGTTCAAGCTTAGCAGTAATGAGACTGCCCGCAAACGACTTTTCGGAGAATTACAGCAGTATAATGATAAGCTCGAGAAGCTTTTAAAAGCTAGCGATGAAGATATACGCATGCAACGCGATAGAAAGTCAAAAGGTCAATTAGACAGCATTGACTTGGGAGTGTGTAATATTTGGAGGCAGGCCAAAAGCGTCTTCCAAGCTCTTGCTTCTGCGTGGACCTGTCAATGCCAGCAGCATGGCGCGAAATTGCTTCTTCAACATCGGACAACGCCAAAGGCCGAATTCGAAATCACGCTTTCGGGATTTACTACGTCTGAATACGAAATTCGCAAAATAAGAATTTTAGAAGCAGAGGATATAGCGTTGAAACAGAGCACCAGTACTTTGGATAGTGTTCCTATTCCCCTCCACCAACCAAGCCACAGATGGACCCATCGGCTTATATCCAGACTCCGACCAAGAAACAACAAAGGAGAATCTACCAAGAATCCAAGGTTAGTTGATACGATTTCAAATATGGACCAACTGATTTGAATATATATTAATATTCTTCCAGGGCTCAGTTATCTGTAAGACTTGGGCGCGTTGAAACAAGCCTTAGTCTCCAAACAGACGACCAGATAGTGAATCTATGTGCTTCTTTGGAGATTTCTGAAGTGTCATACTATGGTTATCTCTTACGAGAAGAGTGCCGTTATCATGTTTACAACATATCTCGGCATTACAGCCAGGCAGTTCGATCGGTGACCCTGGACCAGATGCTTCGCGGCGGTGTTTCTCCACCATTAACTCGTTCGCAACGATACAATCTATCATTGATTCTAGCATCAACATTTCTTCAACTGTTAAATTTCCCGTGGTTGTCAGTATTCCCAAAAAGATCTGATATCGTTTTCCTTAGCAGTCATAATGAAAACGCAAGGATCCTCCGATTAGATCAGCCATATATAAGCCACAGCTTCAGACCTTCAAGTACACATGACACTATTTCTTCACCAGAGGAAATTTTCAGCTTCAACGACGCCCTTGACCATCTCGGGATTATGCTTTTAGAGCTTTGCTTTGGTCAAGTCATGGAGGACCAGCCCTGGAGAAAATGTCTACCGGCAGGAGTAAATGATCAAGAGAGGAAAGGATTCGATATATTGGCAGCCCGAGGATGGCAGCGCCATGTAAATGAAGAAGCCGGCGGGGACTATGCCGAAGCAGTCTCTTGGTGCCTTGGGGGAAATCGAATCGCATCACCAGAACGGTGGAGACAAGAGATGCTGCGTAAGGTGATACAGCCTCTGCATAGGTGTCGCGAATATTTGTCAAATACTGGGGTTGAGATATAAATCAACGTAATTATGATGATGAGACTGAGATTAAATCTAATAGAAAAGATTTGCTAGCTTTGATCGAGAGAGTTTTACAAGCAATCTATTGAATATTATCTTCAACATAAGAAACGTTTTGAACACTTATTCCGAGGCGATTTCTGAAAATTGGAACCCGCCCTTCATAACCACAAGCCTGTGACCGTTGACAAATGCAACGCCATGATCCATGCTCTGTAAAGCCATTCCCGGAACCGCTGCTAAGGAGCAATTTATTATTCCGCTTGCGTTACACCATTCACTCAATGCAAAAAAATGGCGACGGGCGCTGATTGTAGACGATGGCAACCGACTGCCACCGAGTTTTTCATCTCCCTTACCCACCGACTGGAGTTCGATGCTACACACCCAGAGGTTGGTATCAAGAAACACCAGAGTTGATGGGCTTATGAATCCAAGAATTGATCGTATAACATGGCTTCCATCATTGAGAACAGGTTCAATAGCGGACGAAGCTGAAATCTTCGATGAATGTGGGTTAAACAGAGCTGCCGGCCACTCGTATAGCTTTGGAGGCGCAAATTCTGTAGATGGTAAAGTTTCAATTATTGTTCCACAGCCAACATGATACGATGATCTATCAAACACCTTCTCGGACTGTTGTGAAATAAAATCATACTCCGAGGAGACTTTAAGTTCTCTGGGCGATGCAGGCTCCAAGGGCGACATGGGCCGTTGAAGGAGAATGCCGTCAACCGAAGTCAATTCTTGGTAGTCGGCCCAGTTGAAAATGCGCGCAGTATCACCAGCGATGAGAACAAACCAATCTTCATTTGTGGGATGCTGAAACGCCACACACGCCGATGAGGTAGTAAGTCCGCCGCTTTCAGAACGACGAGAATGCGCCACATCGCCTTTAATACCTGACAGCTTTAGAGGCAAAGATTCCCCTGATGGTAATGCCCAAAGCTCAGTAATCTTGTGGCCTGTGACGAGAAGACGATCAGCTGCAGTATTCAGCAGCAATCGCACAACGACGCCGTCAAAACGACGATTAAGGATGATACGGCCTTCTGGTATCTTTTGTCCTCGTATCTGTCTTGTAGTATCTCGTAATGATATGGCTGGCTCGCAGGCTAATATCGTGCAGGAATCATCAGCTGAGATGATTAAATTCCTACTCTCACCGAGGGCAACCTTGGTAATAAATACGCATTTTCGATGTCGATAAAGCGTGCCGATTTCCGTTCCGTCGGCAATGGAAAAGAGACGCACTTCTCCACGCTGAGTTCCTGCAATAGCGTACCGTCCATTAGCCGATATCTCCAAAGGACTTGTTATTTCGGGATCTTCGGAGCTATCTGCTGTTCTCGCCAATGGTATTGGGAGATTTGCGGCGTCGCTGGTACTTTGTAGCTCGTCATTTTTCCTGACTAACGCTGCTGGCTCCCATACACGACACCGTTGGCCGTGAATATCAAGGAACCGCAGTCCGTCCAAACTGAATGCCAGACTTTCAGTGGGATCATATAGGCCGTCAATACGATAAATAGACACTAAAATGATGTTGCCGTCGTAGTCTTGGTCAAAGCTAAAAATTTCGATCATGCCACGGCAACTACCAGTGACCAGGCTATGTCCATCAGAAGAGCAAGCAAGGGTTTGTGCGTATGCTTCATTCATCAAGAACATTAACTTCATGGTAAAGTAGTCAAAAATGCACAGCCTACCATCGTTGTATGATACAACCAATGCATTGATATCTGGGTTTGGATTGAACGCCATGCCGTCGATGCCATTGTTAGCGACAACGACACACTCGCCCAATACCTGTTGCTCTTCATTACCCCATATAGTTACTGGATGCATGCGAAAACCAACGGCAAGCAAAACAGTGTCAGTGGTAACCAAGAAAGCCGCGCTAAGCACCGCCCCCCGGTTAATCACGGAGTGCGTATGTGAAACAGGCTCAGGAACCTCATGAAGAGTTGAATCGTCTTGATTTCTCGTTAGGGTCCTGGGAACTATTAGTATTTATTGTACAAATAAAAATATATTCTCATGATGATTGAAATATTACCATCTTGTTAGACTGCCATACTGGAATGCGCAGAGAATTTCCTCAGACCCCCAAAAAGTGATACTAACAGGTGACGAAGGCAGAGAAAATCTGTACAGCTGCGTGCCAGCTTTTGCTTCCATATAGTCATCTGTTTTACACCACAGGAGGCGAGATAATTATCCTGTTGGCTAAACTGGAGAATTTTGACCCTTTCGGGATGAGTGAGGGTCCGCCGCGGCTGAGTAGTCTCGGCATCGTAAAGAAAAATCTGTCCCGTAGATAACCCAACCGCAAAAATACTGTTGCCATGGCTGACAGCAGTTGTATAACCCTTTTGGAAGTCAATACGACTGAGGCAGTCATCCCAAGTTTCTGCTGAAAGACCTTCAACAATTAGTGCTGTGGCTCGTAGGTCCTTTGAGAATCTTTTCGATATCATAGAATCTGTAGGACATATGGGAGGTATCAGGCGGTGGATCGATCGGGGATATGTGAGTAACTGAGATGGGAATTTGGCAGCTACACGAATCAAGTCTGTCACCCATCCCGCAACAATACTTATTGACAAATCTGTGAGCGGGACGTACTTGGCTCGGCGGGCTAAATACTCTCGCAGGTTCACTGCAGCCCGCTTGATAGGCCTCAAGTCACCACCTTTAGCGAGATACTCGATCCATGAGAGAATATTGCTATCAAGGAAGTTGCATATAATGTCCATTAGACTGTCTTCTTTTGATGTACAGCGATATAAGTGGTCGGAGAAGAACATTGATGCGTAATTGAGCAGAGATGTGTCAGCAGATGGCGGCGTGCGTGACTTGGCAGAGATCCTTTGCTTTGAAGGGCGTTGAAGTCTCATCGGTTTTGGCTTGAGGCAATCTCCAGACAGAAACCTTATTAGAGTAGATGCAATGCTAGTATGGCCAAGATTCTTATATATTGCCAGGTCGAGGCATATATTCTGATCGAAGAGAAATTCGCGGGCTGTTTCATGTATGATATGTGCCTTGTCATATGAGTCAATGTAAACCAGCTGCCCGCAGATCTCAGGAATTGCCCTTTTCACGTTTTGGAGTGTCTGATTGAGATCGAGCTTTACAACGCAGCGCAGTTCCTCTAATGACAATGGGCGTCGTGCTAAAATAATCCATGTCAATATGGTCTTGGCGAGAACTGTCTTGCTCTTGTCTTTCTGTATTGACTGGATCATTCTACCGTAAAGGTCGCATAGCTCCTCTGGAACATCCCTTAGTATATTTTCCATGGCCTCTTGTGTCCAGGCGCTTTCAAACTCTTGTAAGACAAGACGAGCCCAAAGAAAAGAGCCTGATGATTTTTTGAGTATTCTGTTGCACATGGCCTTCAAATCATCTTCGGTCTCGAAACGGTCGATTTCGTCTAGCTTGGTGGTCAGGAATGACCGAATATCGTCCAGCGTGTCAGAATCTGACATAAAATAGGTGCTCACATGGGCCCCCAGAGAGACTCGTCCACGTTCAATTGCTTCTAGATTGCGACTTGTAATGAAGACTTGAAGTTTGCCTTCAAGTGGTAGTTTAGCCAACAGCTTTTTCGTAAAGAGTGAATTGAAGTTTTCGCATTCATCGAGGGCATCGATAACCCAAAAATGCCGCCTTGTGAATGATAAATTGAAGATCCCGTCAACAAAAAGCTTTGCCCAAATCACTGAGTCGCTAGCCGTATCCCAGGCTAGTCCCTCGTGTTCCAGCTCCATCAGTTTCTCCTTCACTAGGCTATCTTGAATAGCCATCTGGAAGGCAAGAGATCTGAAACAGTCGCTTAGCGCCGATTTATCAGAAGTTGAATGCTTGAAGAAGAAATAGCTGCAGTAGGCAGGCAGGTTGCTCAAATGATCGACAACGTGACCTGAAAGAATAGATTTTCCGGTCGCTGGCTTCCCTGTCAACCACAAAATGGTGGGAGCATCGCCCTCCTTCCAGGATATGAATTGCGGCTTGTTTATGAGCCATTCGCAAGACTCGGGCATTTTGAGCTCTGACTGTATCATAAGATCCTCCTCCAGTACATCTGATATCCTAAGAAAAGATTTCAAGCGTAAATCAGTCCCAACGTCTCTCTCATTCTTTGTGCCAAGGCGCAGAAAAGTCGTGTTCAAACTCTTCTCTTTGATCTCGTCAATGGCAGTGTGGAGGGCATTTCGTAGCATTTTATAGTTAGAGTCTTCGCGGCTGGTAAATTTGCAGACATGGCGATGGTCGGCGTTCATTGCTTCGATTCGTTCATTGTCAAAGCCTAAGATTGCTGAATATTTCTCCACCACAATTTTGTTTACGGGCCCCAAAGCTGTGGGCAGCGTCTCGTAAAATGTCCACAGCGCTAGATCTGCCGCAACATGGCGGAATCGATCCCTGATTAAAGCAAGCGCGGAAGATCCGGACTTCAAATCTGTCACAAAGGGCTTTTTACCCCAAATGGCTGTCGACATAGTTTCCAGGATGCCTGCCAAATCTGACCCGTGGTGTGGAGTTCCAAGGAAGAACATTCCATATATCCGACCAGCCAAGTCTTTATATGATGGGTGTTGTCGTGCGACAATATATGCTTCCTTAGCAACACATCCACCCATACTATGTCCAACGAGGATGACTTCTGTACTATCTCGACGTATGCCTGGGTGGTTTTTCAGCCCTCCAATTAGAGATTCGGCAAAATCGTGAATGTTCAGGATGCTTTGCTGCTGCCACTTTTTCCCCCAATCAGCTTTGTAGCCGAAAGAATGAATGCGCACATTCTCAAATCCAGGTTCAATCGGCAACCAGTCTTGTGGCCAGAAGGACCTTGGTATGCTTGAGCTGGACCATGTCTTCCTGCCATGTCCTCCAAGGCCGTGGATAAATATGATATCAGCCACAGCTCTATTAGGCGCCGGGTCATAGAGCGTGTTAAACCCAAGCGAGTCGGCCTCCTGGCCTTCTGCTTCGGACATATCCGTCTTGTCGCGGGCCACTTTGGCTTGTAGGCTTTTGATGCTCGCTGGAAGGGATGACATGGTTGTGTTCTTTTGGCGGCCACGATTAATAGGCCAGTTTCGCCATACAACCTCTTGCCGTTGCTTCGTCGAAGGCTGCTTTGTGATGTGGTAGTTCGAGAGAGGAGGCCTTCGGCCGTGGTTTTCGCCTCACCAGCGGTAACACCAGCGCAAACACCAGCGCACATATTAACATCCAATAAGAAACGCGACTAGGCGCTTACATGCGGTAACTCACGCAGCACAAATGCTAATCCAAGTGAAGATGTGGGCCAGCGCGGCCTTGGATGCTGCGGGGGTCTCTAGAAATTGTTAACGGAAGGCCTGGAAGTGAAATCCTTCTGCGCATGGCTATCTAGACATCAGCTAGTTTGGCCAGGTAATTTTCAAAAAATCGCATCAACCTAGTCATATCCAGCCGAATTGGTCAAGACCTGCTACGTTTTCTGACCCACTACGTTTTCTGCCGGTGATGCACCATATGGGTACCTCAAAATGGGAATGACTTTTAGACATGGCCTACCTAGGTATATTGTGAGAAATTACTGCTGCGGAAGTCTAGCAAATCTTAGGGAAATTGTGCAAGTTCATACAAGTCCCCCGGGAACCAGGAGAACATGAGATGATTGAAGCCAAATGTACATACACATTTTTAGCCTATAGTCCATAGCCCATTTATCTAAGTACCTGTCGGTACTATTGATTGCGGCTCGGCCCGTAGCGATACGAACTAGACATAGTCAACTAAGTAATCTTGTTCGTAATAAGAAGCATCAACTGACTTCCAGTTTATGCTGTTTTTGTGTAAGGGTGGCAATTATACCCGTAATAGGAGTATTATGTGCGGCATGAATTATTTGAAAGTTTACATTTCTCTGATTGCTGCGTGATACACCATGTACTATCGTCTTCCAATATACAACTCCACTGTGTTGAGCCTTGTAATCTACTCTGTATAACCCTTAGGATACTTCTCGGAGAGTCTCTTGATTTCATCCATCACCCTAAGCCAAAGTTTCTCTTTAGCTCAGCTCTGTATCGAGTAAACAAATGTTCTGGTGATAAGCTTACATCTGTACAAATTCTTCCTTCTCTGGAAACAGTGCCGCTGCGTGTAAGTTAAATCTCCTATATCGAATGTATAAACGAGAATTTCTCCGAGCATTAATTGGATTGTGCCTTACAATGAATAGAGAGCGATGCGGTCGTCATAGTCGTCTTTTGGCTCAGCTTCGGGCATATGAGAACGATATGCTTGAAAATGCTCAAGTGTGAATTCGTTTCGTGTAGGAAGCCAGTTTCCTAACTCGTCTGTTCCCGATTCTCGTTAACTGCCACATAGAACAATGTTTTACACTTCTGTTCGTGAATCGCAGGACGTACACTCGTTATGCGCCCAGAAACTGGAAGGGTCATAGACGATGCCCCTCGTCGTAGGATCGTGGACTATTCCTGTGTTTCCACACCATAAATCTCCGTGCACCAACGAAGGCTTAATGCTTCGTCCCCCGCTTTCAAGTGGCCGCAAGAGCCTGGGGATAACTTTGTCAAAAAGCTGAGGCAGAAGTGCGTCGAGTTCAGGGCAAGGACCGGCCCTTTCTTCTCGGACGTTTAAAATGTGGCGCAGGCCATTTGTGAAAAACTCTTCCCAGCTATCGCACCAGGAATTATCCTGGGGGAGGTCGCCATTGTATGTTGTGCAATGAAATCCGAACTTGCCTTCGGGTGAAGAATGGTTGGAATGCAATCGAGCGAGACTCTCACAGAAAGAAACGGGCTCAGGTACGCCTTCACCAAAGTCGTAAAACTTGCAAATGTAGAAATGTGATTTTGGGTCATTCCTAAATGTTCCCCAGCCAATTGGCTTTGGACAAAAGCCGGGGACAACAGCGTGGATAGCTGATGTAGACTCGAACTCGCCCATTAGAGCCAGCTTGCCATGATGACCAACAGAGACCTGAATTCGGTTAGTAATTTGATCAGTTATAAAGTTCTTCAATCAAGTTACAGGCCTTCATGAAATAGCACTCCTCGCCTTGATTATTCTGAAGCACTGTAAGACGAAAGGCTTTCGCCCAAGCTGATTCATGGCGCAATGCTACTTCAAGCACCTCAGTAACATCTTGTGGGACTGATATAGCATCAAACAGGTCAATCAGAACATTGGTTACCACCAACAGGTTGAATTTCAGGACTAACCAGCAAGAACATTGGGATCCACATTCCAGTGGTCTCCAGCAGCGGCGTTGTCGCCAAGTGTGCTATTCATCTTTGGGCGAAGATGTTGAGCAGCAGAATGTTGAAGAAAGTGAACTCAAATGGTTCAAATGCTGTTTAACGTATACTCAAATGCCTTCAAACGATACAGCCAATAAGTCAGTTAGTTGAGAAGGCGTATAAATCGAATGCTGGACGTCCGAGGTTGTGAGTAGAAGCAAGAGTCTTCAATTGCCGCATACAATGTTGAGGAGGTCGAACAGGCCCCATTTATTTAGGTCGAAACACAGCATGGTTGGTTGGATACTTCTGTTGGACCTGCAATATAAACACTATTAAACCCCGTTATTGCAATGGAACTTGGCGTGCTCGGACCCCAAGCATCAATGAGGAGAGATGCAAGTTCTTGATCTTGATCTTGATCTTGATCTTGATCCTGCAAGGTAACCCGCCAAGCACATCAGTGTTTTCACCATGGATCTTCCAATCATCTTTCCTCTCAGCAGTGGCCGCAATGTTCCTGTAGTAGGACTAGGCACCTTCCGGGGCGACGAAGGAAACGCATTGGTGAAAGAAGCCGTTAAGAAAGCGTTACAGCTGGGATACCGGCACATCGACGGTGCCCGCGCATACGGAAACGAAAAGGAAATCGGACAAGCGATCAAGGAGAGTGGTATTCCTAGACATGAAATCTTTTTGACTACTAAGCTGTAAGTTACAAATCACTTCGGGCTGATATGGTCGTTCTTTGCTTAACGTATCTGATAGCGCGCAAACCTGGCATGAACCTGCCGACGTTCAGAAAGCATTGGAGCAGTCTCTGAAAGATTTGCAAATGGAATATGGTAATGTTTTCTTCTCAATTTCGTAATACAGCCAAGTCATACTTTAGCTAACGGTTGAGATAGTCGATCTATACTTGATGCACTGTACGTCGCAATCGAATTCCTTGCCGAATATCATAACAATGGACGGGGAGTGCTAATGTTACTAAGTCCCTCATGCTTACAAGGCTGGCGAAAATAACGGAACGATCAGACACCCAAGCGGCAACGGAAAGGTGAGATATCATGACATATGCTTATGGACTACGCGCAACGATAGGCTTACACAAGCCAGCCTGTCATTGACTACGACCTCTCCAGGAGATACCCGGAAACTTGGCAAGCAATGGAAAAATTAGTTGACTTGGGTCTAGCACGCTCGATTGGTAGGTATTGATCTTCCTGGTTTATTATTGATCTCACTAACCGCTATCAACGTAGGTCTTTCCAATTTTAACATTCTCAAGATCAAAAGAATAGTTGGTATTGCTAGAATCATGTCAGCAGTCAATCAGGTCGAACTTCATCCGTAGGGCATTGTCCCACAGAAAGTCAAGCCGGTATTTGAAGCTGATTACGGGCCGCTATAGGTATCTGCCCCAACAAGAGCTTTTTGAGTTTTCTTCCCGGCATAGCATTCTTCTTATGGCCCATCAGCCTCTGGGCGGACGCCCGGTTGAAGTAGTCCGTGGGTCCAATGCACCATCTCCTACAGAAGATTCCAAGGTACGCGACCAGAGACAGTAAACGTCTCAACGGGAAAATATTGACGTGAATTCTAGATAATCGATATTGCAGCCAGATACCAAATATCTCCGGCTCAGGTAAGTGCATATCAGTCCCCCAACTTTGTAATATCGGTCAACTAACAAGCAAAAAACTATCTAGGTCTGTTTATCTTGGGCAGTGCAAAAAGGAATTCCTGTCATACCCAAATCTGTGCAAGAAAGCCACCTGCAGCAAAATATTCAGCTTACAAGGCTCTCGGATGAAGACTTCTACACTGTAGACCAGCTATCTTCTGAGCGCGGCCCTGTCCGATTTCTTGACCCGAGCCGACATTTGGGCTTTGACATCTTTGATGAAGAAAACGATCAACCAGTGGCCAACGGCGCACCTTGGGACTGAAGAGAATTATCGATATAGCTGACACCCCAAGTTATATGTGATCAGACAGTGCTGTGCTCTGGAATATGCTTGGAGAATCACAATAGCAGCTAGCTCTACCAAAGAAGCCTCTTTAATGACAAATATTGCTCTTTAACTACGTTCATTTTATCCGATGTGCGTGTTCTGAATGATAATTCCTCTATAAGCATTCTCTATCCATGACTAACTACTCGAATTCTACTTTGAAGCGAACCTCTTTCGGCTCTGGTTGGATGGAAACATTTCTTGAAAAGCTTTTACCAAAGTGCCGTCCATGCTTGAGGTTTCCTTCCTGGTGGAAGTTTCGGCGAGAGGATTTGTTCGCAGCTTCATCCAATCCGAGCTTCCGACTACTTGTTACGTATCGATCGCCTTTCTCGGTCTTTGAAGTAGCGGTGCGTTTGGTGGCCTCCAACTTCTGTATGCTCTCTCGCTCGTATCCCGCTGTATAGTTCGTCAGCCCATACAGCCCAACAGGCTGAGGCTGTAGCGGGCCATAGAGCCATGTGACATCTTCGTCTTTTGACCTACAACTATGAGTAACATATAGTCCTCAGACATTCATAGTAAACTAACCAATTAATGTGAGTTGGTGAAATCGTAGGTAAACTGTGCCTAAATTTAGTCCAGGATCTCCACGCAGCGTTTTCTAGGCGAGCCGCATTTTCGTAGTTTGTCTTTTGCGATTGCACATGTCTCCAAGATTGGTGGAGGTCTTCTTCTTGCCACACATGGGATAAATAGTCCACATGCCGCTCAGGTTGCATTTTAACACCACTGTCATCTTCTGTTCTGTCATAGGCAGCTAGAGGAGGGCTTTGTGGCCTACGTCGACTATCAGAGCCGACCACTCGACGTCGAGGTACATGTTCAGCTGCCTCAAGCCCGCTGCTATGCGCTATTGGCGTTGGTTGCAGTGTCTGGTCTGCATCTGAGATTTCTACAACAGAAAGTAACGGCGTGACTACACGTTGACTATATCGATAGTATGACAATGTGGGAAAAGAGCCTTGGAATAGGGACCGCATGCGTCGCTGTTGGATCTTCACCAGCAAACAGAAAATGCCAAAACTCAACGCAACAAGGGTAATGAGGTTAAATGCCGAACTTATACGAGTATTAGAAGGCCAGGACGGCATTTGTCGACGAAGAACCGGTGGTGGCCCCAAAGAATCGGGCTGCAGATCACACCCAGTGGGCTCCCAGTCGAGCTTTCAAGCTCATGGTTAGCACTGTGCATGCTTTCTCAGCTTTATATGCGCTTACTGATTGACAGAACTCTATAAAATCCTTTTTGGCCGTCCATTTAGCTAGTTCTGTGGCTTTTTTTGCGTCTGCAGTACCGGTGAACGTCGGCCAGAGCGTCAAGATTGCGATGAGAAGAGGAGCTGCTACCAGGACATGGCTCCAGAAGCCCGCTTTCATGTTCTTCAAACTCGACACAGCTCTACATAAGGGTTCAACCCAAGCAGCAACTTTCAGTTGAGCAAATAAGAAACCCAGTGATAATATGTTGCGAGAAGGGTCCGAAGTAGTCCCTGGCATCGGTGCCTCTTGGCTTTGCGTTGCAGCAGTACATGTATGTGCTTGGCTTTGGCCGCCACCAGCGACTTCCGAAGACGAAGTTGTCGACATGATTCTGTCATACGTAGCTAAAGACGACAACTAGTTCCAATATTTGATGAGTTAGAGTTGCAGACAGGTTTCAACAAGCCGTGCTCATAGATCGCCGTCTCCAAATGGTGAGGCAGCCTTACGGACGGCCGCGCCCCACGTATAAATGCCTTGCCGTGCACAGCCATTCACTATTGGCTGCCTGGAGCGCATTTCGCTGCACTTCGCCTTGCCAGGGCTTTCTGCCTTGTCACTTCTATAATGGTGACGTTCGAAATTGGCATCGGAATTGACGCTGCTAAGCAGCTTGTATCGGTTACCCTTATCAAGAACAATATAGGTGTCCTACACTATCCTTAGGGTTGGAGCTGTGGCTGCATATTCACGATATTAGATTATGCTGCGGACCGAATATTTACGCCATGTTCAACCCATCTGAAACAACAATAGTCCAAAATCCTGCTTGTAGACATTAGCTACGTCAGCCGACCTCCAGTAGCCTACGCAACTATCAATATTTGGAATTGCATTCCCAATGCCATTGCCTATTCCATTTTACATCATTCTGAACTCGCAGTATATAGGCTTATGCTAAGAACATCCGGCTTACCGTTCATTGTAGGCTTTTAGCCTACAGGCTAAATGGATTGTCAACGCTTCAATTACCAATTACCCCAGACGCACTAAAGGAATACTGCTGTAGTGAGCTTTCTCCGCCCATGTCTGCGTTAGCGGCCCTGTTGTTTCCTCTACCACGTATTCATGTTGTGGCACTCATATTGTCGGCACCAGGCTAGATCATGCCATGTGATGACGATAACTACGTATCCGAGATGCTCTTTTAATACCCGAGGCGGGGGAGATTGATGCTACACACAGCTCTCGGAACGTTTGTGCCGCCTGTTAGGTTGCTACCCTTGTATGCAATGCAATAAAGATGGATGATCACTCGTGGATGCGGAGTATTATACACAAGGTTGCTATTGGTCATATCCGATGCAGGTTCCAAGAAAGCCGCGGTTCTTACCAACAACTGGGATAAGGACTTACGATGATATTAGGCTATTTAATGTCGTCCAAGCATTCAAAAGAGAGAGGCCCTTATATGTCACCTCCATAGCTGCTATATACCTATCACTTTTTCTTCGCCTGGGTGGCCAATCTGGGGTGAAAGTGAATTGTCAGTCTACTCGTGTAAACTGCACTTACAGCAGCTGATAGACTACAACATGCGGTTGATCGTCTTGATCTCGAACTTTGCTGTGGCGCTGAATGCTGCGTCGCTACATCCTAAATCCGACTTCAAATATCTTGTCACGTTTGGGGACAGCTACACCGATAACGGTCGGCTTAGCTACTATGGAGGCCATAATGATCAACCACCGCCCCCAGGAGTGATGCAACCAGAGTCCAACGCCACTGCCAGTGGAGGTTTAACATGGGCTCAATATGTTAAAAGCAGCACCGGCGCAACTCTTTACGACTACGCCATCTCTGGTGCCACATGCGACAATAACAATGTAGCAAGATGGGCATCTTTTCTCAATGCAAACTTTCCTTCAATCATTACCGATGAGATCCCATCATTCAAGCGGGATCGGAAGACGGCTTTGTATCGCGGCGTAACTGCGGCAAACACCGTGTACGCTCTTTGGATAGGAACAAACGACCTCAGCTTTTCTGGAATCCTTAGCGACTCTCAAGTGGCCGGAACAACTATTTCAACATACATTGACTGCCTGTGGGCGACATTTGACGCTATCTACGCTGTAGGTGGTAGGCGCTTCGTGCTACTGAACCTGAACGCCCTTCAGCTGGTGGGATTATATCGCCCTCAATCTGATGGAGGCGCAGGCGACAACCAATTCTGGCAGAACAAGACATTGTATAACCAGACAGAGTACGCTCAAAAGATGCTCGAGTATACTACTTCATCGAACACTATTATCGACTATGGAGTTCCATTCTACCTCCTCGTCAAAAATCGCTGGCCAGGAGCAAAGATTTCGGTATTTGACATCCACACCCTCATTACCGACATCTATGACAACCCCAAGACTTATTTGGAGTCACCACACAACGTCAAGGGATTTTACCACCACTGTGACGTGAATGGTGCAAACTGTAAAGATGGGCCAGGATCACTCGATTCTTATCTGTGGTATGTATTGCGCTTCACATTGAAGGATAGACGCTGACATCGATGATAGGTATGACGAGCTCCATCCTTCTAATAAGACAGGTAAGTAAAGATGCATATCATGACGATGGTGCTAGAGCAAGTTATATATTGAGAAGATGCTAACTGAAGATTTCTAGACTCTGTTATTGCCCGGGAATTTGTCAAAGTTGTCGCTGGAGACTCCAAGTTTGGCACGTCTTGGGGTCACTGATGAACAAATTACTGGAAAATCGCAAATATGGCGTGTTAGGTACTAATGATTAATACATGAATTGAATGCTGTTCCTCCTAAGTGTACCGATCTATTCAGTCGCCTCTTACACTTCAATTCAATGGAAGACGTGTCCAAAACGCGCATTAGGGAAGTGCGAGCATCTTCATTTGTTATATACAGTAGGTACCGGTAATTGTACTATATTATTGAAGGCGGTGTTGGCACTTGGCGACTGCATTCACTTGCTTCCCCGTGCTCGTACCCATTCCATTTCGTTAAGTGCCAACAACTTTGTCATTTTCCAATGCACATTGAACAATCTCTCCAATTAAACTACTATCGGTGTTTCTGTCTCCGGTCAAGTCCTATTACGACGGCATCAAGTAAGCTAGTCGACCCCATGTCAGAAGCAAACTAACGCAGGATAGTCATGGCGGCCGATGAGCCATTCCCGACGAACTCCTTACGTCTCCCGAGACGCGTATTATCCAAGGCAAACGCGAATTCGTAGCTGCGGGCGCAACTTTACTCGTGGAGCGACTACTGAACGGCGATATTATCAAGGCACTATGGGGCGATTCTAATAGAGAGGGTTATATAGAAGATTTAATCACCGAGGCAACAATCTACCAAATGCTAGGCGACCACCCGCGACCGGTGAAGCTTCGAAATCGGGATCATGTACAAAATACAATGATAATGGAGTATATGTCAAATAGCGCACTGCATCAGTACATGTACCTCGAAAACCATTATGAAGATATTTCACAACCACTGCAGCTCAAATGGGCTCAACAGGCAGCTGAAGAGCTACAAATTATGTCCATTAAGTATTCTAACAACTTCTAACTTGTGAGATAGAAAACACTGCTACCGACGATTTAACAACTCAACGTAGTCTAAGATCAAACCGGGGTCAGTCTCCCTAAAACTCTGCGCTCGTTTGCTCACTCCTACCTGAAGACTTTTTTGCCTTTGACTCCCGAGCAACATGTCGTGTGACAAGTCCAGCGGTTACAAAAGCCAGTACACTTATCAACTCTGGAATCAGACCTAGGACGACACGGATTGCGAGAGAGCCGGTCTGAGGGTTCAGATTCTTGTCTTTTGTGACCAGCGCGATGAGGGAGTAGATGACTCTAATGCCACTGAAGATATCTGATACAAGGACAGCCCAGAGAAGCTATTGCTCGATGAGTAAAATGAAGTATCTGAATATACGTTCTTGGAGAAGACTTACTCTGGTTCCTGCAGCAGTAATAGATCTTGGCATTGGAGATTTGGCAGGACGAGCCAGTATCCATACTGATACAACGGCAATAATGGCCCAAGCGAGAGTCAAAAGCGACATGCCAGTTCTCACAGAAGAAGCATTTTTGGAAGCTTTGGGAGCGTCTGTAGGTTTGCCATCACTAGACTGCAAGCTCGACGCACCAGAAGCTACAATTACAAGTCCGGTGGTGACAAGGATGTGGAATAATATGATGACGATCCATTTTAGTTTCCTAGACATTGGATTGCAGTAATAATTCCTCCTATTAATATCTATTAGTACGCATGATTGGATAACTACATTGAGGGAATGGAACAGTACGCTTCATGGAGAATGCCAGATGCAGCAAGGAGAAGAGGAGATAAGCCAACGCTTGAGATAATGCCTGCTGATGTATTGCCAGACAGATCCATAGCGCTTCCAATGACACGCAGCGAGCAGAAGGCGAAAAGATAGAGCCATCCAAGCAACCCAGCGTGACCATGTTTGAACAGGATGTATAGAGTTGGGATGCTAAGAGTAGCATAGATGATCAGCTCGGCGGTCGATATCGCGGTCATAGTGCTTCCGAGAGTCTCAGGCACTTGGTAAAGGTATATCGACTTCGATTTCAATTGATATTGGACAATGGCTCGAAAATTGTCTGTCGGCTTCTGTCGTACACCGCGTGAAGGGATGCGAAGTTTGCTTCTGCCAGAAAGACAACCGCGGCGAACGCAATGGAGAACGAGTTCAAAAAACTGATGAAGAGAATGGCAGAGAGCTGGCTGGAAAGATTTGATTAGAGAGAAAAGCGAAGAGTAGAAAGTTATTATAGGTGACTCTGATGCTTTATATGTACAAGCGATGATCTATTTCTGGCTTGGAGAGAGTGTTAGCAGAGCAAGGCGGATATGCCATCCATCTAGCGTCTATGCCCCTAAGCGCCTCATCTGTTTTGAGGCCTCCAGCCGCCGTTTAATTGATGTTATCTCCATCCTTGACGCAGTCTCATTCGGTAGGAAAAAGGCCTTCTCAACAGCTTGACTCCTGGAAAGAGATGGCGGGCCTGCGACGAACCGACCAGAGGCGCAGGATTCAGAAAAGTGGAACCTAAACGATACCGAGGAGCGATACCGAGAAACGAGCAAGGGTCAGAAATGGCGGTAGGATTTAGAGCGGCGCGACAAAGATGGCGTTTTCATGGGGATCGTGAAGAAATGAGACAGTCTTGGTTTCCTAATTGATCCATTGTCTTGTGCAACGTGGTCCGTGTTCGACAGTCCGGTTCTGAAGGCAGCCAGAAGCTAGCCAAGTTGATGACAACAACAGACATTAAACATTGGATTCTTGTCTTCCTACATTCCCAGCCGAAATAATCATGACGGAATAGGTTGTCCAAAACTTCACTTCTCACTGCCACGCACAGCGGATCGTTGACCACGCTCGCGAAGTACCTGTAGCGGCCACGCCATCATGCCCTGCCACTCGCTGCTGAGGCTGTCGTTGATGGCTTCAATTTCCTTTTCTGGATAATTGCTCATCCACCATATCCCGTCCAGGTGACTTAGCAAAGCGAAGTAGTGGCCGAGGATAACCAGGGCACGTGGGCTTAGCATCTCAATCAAGGTGATGAAACGATCATGCAAGATGAAGGGGAAAATTGTAACTCTTCGAGCAACTTTCAGAGGAATTTCTCCTGCTTCCATTGCTGCCGCGACCGATCCAATGTACGCAACCGCTGTTACATATGCCTTATTATCGATGTCATTCTCAGGCTTGCCAGCAATTACAGACAGCAAGTGAGCGAACCGGGCACGATTAGCTTCTGTATAGATGACCTCTGGATCGATGAAAGCGGCAGCGCCTCTGGCCATGATACCGAAAGTTGTGTCAGAGTCTTTACCGATCATGCGTAGTCCGACCGCAGCGACATTTCTGGCCCCCCTGCACATCCGAAGCCATTCTGTCGGTGACTTATATGGTATATTGGGGTCGATGGGTTGAATCCATCGCTCTCTGAGACTGGCGAAAGCATCAAATATGAGAATAACGGAAGTGAAGCTGGCCCCATTGGCAGTGCGATGGTCCATAGAGCCAAGTGCCTGTCGGTGGTCCCGTAGAGCAGCCTGAAAATATCTTGCTCTGTGTGCAAATAGCTCGTCCTTTCCAATGTCGACCTGAGAGTTGTTGCATACCATGTAGAAGAGAGTGATGGAGAAAATGGCGGTGAGTAAAGGTTCATAGTCAAGAGCAATCTTGGGGACATCGTGAGCCCAGATTCTTAGATTTTGTGCATCGTAGCTGCCCGGGAGCGTCTGACAGACCTCGGTGGTCCACATGTGAAGCAACCGGAGTTCTAAATAGCGGCGATCACGGCTTTCTGCCGACATTAGAGGCACCGACTCCTCGGAGTGTGAGTCATGGGTAGCGGCTTGGCCCGCTGCCATTCCTGCCCGATGCAATGCTGGATCGGTGGCGCTATTGTCATCTGGCTTCGAGGTCTTCCAGCAGTCTGTTCTGTCGTACAGACAGCTTACTTGATGGCGGGCGCAGGAATTCTGGGTCTCATTGTTAGACCTTCACATGTGCAGAAGGGATGGACGTGAACGGAGGCATGTACGAACACACTTTGGTTTGGCTTCATCGCACTGGAATCATACAAGGACTCGGCGTCAGTTATTGTGAGGCGGCCGTTGAGAAGCAAGCTGAAGATGCAGGAGGCTACAGGTACGTTACCTTGACGCGGCGAGCTCTGCAGCGAGCACAACCAGTCTTTGACTTGGTGTGATAAAGCCGAGGCATGACGATGGAATATTTGCCGCGAGACTCTCATCAATTTCTCATAATGGAAAATTACAGATGGTGTTTATGGTTTCTACAACTTTATAAAGAGATGGTAACGAGGAGACGTTTGAAGAGTTGGCTGCGTATTAGAAGCCAGCGCCTGAAATCACGTGGACTGAGTGAACGAAGGCCCCGAAATTGTTTGGACGGTGCTACGAATTAGCAGCAACTGTGACAAGCCATTAAAGGTTCGCCGATAGTCATCTCAATCTATCCTTTACATACCTAGATATTATCCATCTTGCATATATGTATGCTACGTGAGTATATGTACTAGCTATATGTACTGGAGCCTGGGCATTCCGTCGGCGCTCTTACAACCAATACATTCTAGCCAACGGAGACTTATCATTTAAAGATGGTGAATTAAAGATGGGGAAAGAGCGGCACTTGAAAGAGTGCACTAGCCTAAGCTTCTCAATTTCGTTGAAAAAAATGCAACTAATTTCACAACTACCAACTTTTTTAATATCAATAAATAATGACCTGAGGAAGATGCGGCTCGGGCTCAGCGTATAGATCCCTCAAACATGGCCAACAAATTCGCTCATCTCCTACAATGACTGCGCTATACCCTTTTCCTTGCTGAACCAAGATGGACGCCGCTGCCAGACGCGCTGCCCAGTTTTTTTTCGCGCGGAAAATCCCAATACAGGGTGGCGGATCAAGCAGCTCTTCCCAGGAGTCTATAGAGACTTTATCCCCATAGTTCTCGGCCGCTGCCGCTGCCGAACAACCATGTTGGCTGCAACGGAACTTCTCAATGACATCGGGGCAGCTCTTTTCCATGTCGATAACATCAATATCCGCTACCCAATTGCCATTATCTTGCACCGACACAACTGACTCGAGAAGGAAAATTTCTTGATCAATTTCTCCAGTATTTTGCCAGTCCAATGGCATCTTCCAAGTGGTGAATGACAAATGCAATGACGTTCCACCAAAGCTGTCTGTACTCTTGCCGTCAAAAGGTCGGTGCTCCACGAGTGTGGGATCTTGGCCAACTGCACGGATACAAGGTGCAAGGGGGGAGACCATGAGCACCATTCCTGAATGGCCGATGTTACCAACCAAATGGCGAATTTGAGTTCCTTTGGTGTGGGAACTGGGATCAGAGAGAATAACGCCTGCTACAAAAATTGAGTCTTCTGAACACAGCGCGATAACTTCGTTAAGTTGATCAGGATCTATGTCAAAACATCCAGATTCGAACATTGCAATACAGGAAAATGAAGCCGCGCGAGTCATGGCGGCCAAATATTCCGTAACGGGCGTTTTGGCGACATCTCTTGCGGTGCCAATGCCAAAGGGGTTGTTTAAAAGAGCTTGCATGGGCGGAGGTAACCATTTTGCTTTCAGCAGATTCTGTTCCACGAGCCGCAATGAAACTGTTGCCATTGGGAAATCCCGATACAAGAGGCTAACGACCTCTAGTATACGTAACGACATGAGCCATGACGTTGACTCGTCGCAAGCGCTGCTCAATAGGTGAAAGCAGCCAGTAATATCGTCTTGAAACTTGCTCTCGCCAGTAACATCTTGGTTAAGAGTCGAATCGGAATCTTGATAAAATTTCTCTTGTGCTGGCTCATCCATCGGAGCTTTTCGTTTAACCCCAGCATGAGAGTTGACATTTTTAACAACCAAGTCATCAGTCTACTTTATTATTTAGTCCAGGTCTTTGAATCAAGTTTATTTTTTTCCAGGTACTCACAAAGACAGATCCCTTCAGGTATTGGATGATGTGGTGTGGTTTAGGCTTTTGTTTAAGCCATGCAAGTCCTTGTTCTAGTGGGGCTTTGGATAGTGCGGCAAGTTTCATGAGATGAACAAAGTAGGCAGACCCGAAACTGCTATATTTGCTCGATACCACCCACAGTTGAAAGTTGGATGGCTGTGCATGCCGTATAGATGGGATGCACGTAAACTCAATAGGCGATAGTGCGCCGAAAATTCGAGGCGGTCTATCCCAACGATATGCTTGCTGCTCTCGTCTTTTGATTGCATATAGCATCTCATTCTTATCATAGATGACATAGCAAACATCTCCCATCTGCTCAATTTCTTGGCGTCTTTTCTCCAACATTGTAGTAGGAATGCTTTTCTCCCCGTCAATGCGAGGATGAAGCCATCGAACATGTCTCTTTTGCATAGCATGTGAAGGACTAATAGGAGTCCGGAGCCCAAGGTGCGCCTCGATCGGAACAATTGTAGCCCATTCACTGTACCTGTCTCCCTGGTTTAGATGCCCCGTGTATGATATGATTGCTTCATTAGCCTCAAGATTTAGTTGAGACGCGATACCACGCAGATATTCGAGGCCGCGGTCGACATCAGTGGCGCTAGTAAAAGCTGACATGACATATGGGTTGCATAGCCCAAAGAACGGACAACGCATGGCTCTGTCATCAGGCCCGAGAAGTTTTATGGCTCGCCTCCAACCGTATTTAATTAATCGTCCGGCCTCTTTGCGATTATTATCGTTTATAGTGGAGGCAGCATCGCAAAGCCGAATCAGCCACGATAGCTCTGTCCGTTGAGCTTCGTCACCGTGGATTAGTATCTTTTGCAGTTGCTGAAACCAAGCGATGGCGTTCTCAAAGTTGGAATACGATACTTCCCATTGCCGGAATATGACTCCAAGTGTGAGAAGCCATAGCTGATGGATATTCACCCGGGTTTGGTTGTCATTGCTCCTAACCAAAATAGGATCTCCATAATATCGCAAATGCGACAGGGCGAGAGACCATTTGGTGACATTGTCCGAAGGGCCTTTGTATTCAAGACCTACGCTGAGTATACCAACGTTGGGAAAGAGCCTGTCATGGAATGGTATCTTCTTCGCTTCTTGCTGGAAAACTAGGAGGTCTGGATAAATATGCCAGGAATGTATTGCTAGTAGAATAGCGCGATCAGATACCTCTTGAGGTAGGTTGTTCAGAAGTCTCTCTACAACTTCCATAGATCGAATCCATGCCGTTGTAACTTTCTCAAAGGTTGATCCAGTGGTCGAATATGGTATTCTTATATTGTCCATGATTAATTTGAGTTGGATATGCTGCAACCCCATTGCAGTATTCGCTCGTCTCTGCCATGAGCGAACGCTTGCGTCCCAATTAGCCAATTCGGCTCTGCTAATATCTTGCTTTGCAGCGGCTAAAGAGTGGGGATGCACTATCTTATTGCTTTCTGTTTGAGCCCAAATATTTCTCTTTCTTTGTTCAATGAGCTCAGCCCAGATAGAAGTCGCCGTTTTCGCATCCCAAGCATTGGAGAGCATGCATGCCAACAGGAGAATACAGATTGATGCCGGTCCCGAGGTAGCAGCAGCCCATATTGAGGTGCAATCAGCACCTATAAAGGCACGGAATGGGCCATCATCCTCGGTGCCCTCTGGATTGATGCCAGGACGAGATAGAATCTCACATACACGGGTACCGTATGCCTGTAGAAGCTTTGGTGTGTCTGGAAGAATCTGGTGAAATAAAAAGCCCAATTTACAGGCTGTGGCGTGAATAGCACCGTTTTCGGCCTCGTGTTTTCTTTTGGTTGTCAACGCCGAGCCAACAGCGAGGTATTCCGGAGATGGATGACAACGGAAAACGGAAAAATCAACGTTCAGATTGACAAGCGCGACTGTATTTTCATTTGCCACCGATACCAACGAATTTGCAATCTTTCCAAGAGAGGCCATGATGCAAGAGGTGAACTCAGAAGCCTTGGTGGCAGATATATGGAAAGCAATGTCCTGACCTTTCACAAAATTTGTCAGATTTGGTATATATATATATGCACACACAAAAGTAGTAGATGCCAATACATACAAGTCACATTCTACAGATAACACGACATAGCGAATAGCAGTCTATATTTCCACACCGCTGCAATCTACCCCGCGTTCGATACATGCATCTTAGGTAGCAAGATTTCAGCCCAATGCTTCTTCTTGGTTATACCTACGGATGAGGCGAAGCCCTAAGAGTGCCTAGCGAGGCAATGCTCGCCATGTTCCGAATTGCTATTGGACATATGCACCCTAAGCAGCCCATATGCATTAGGGCTGTTGTATTGGTTGCCGGTCTGAGAGGATAGGCGTTTTTCTGCCTGGCGAGCCTTGAATTTGCAAATCTTGTATCAACGGCATGGTTTTATCAGTAATGGTACAGTTGGATGAGACCGCAGCAATGCCAACTCAACAACTGTTTGGCTCCTTCTCGCCGCCGCCTCGACACTGCAATACGTGGCTCTTGCCGTGCACTGTGGCCGCTGTGGCATTGGCCCACGAGCCCTCTATGGTGGCGCCGCTGAGATGATATACAAACTTTACGACTACTTTTTGTGCACTTCAGTATAAGTTTGCGACCGCCGTGATAGGAAGGGTATGGAAAAAGAAGTGCCGACCCTGGGAACTCAATCATCAGAGGTGCGGAGCCTAATATCATCTTGGTGCGGTCTTGTCTTTTGCAGTCACCAGAATTTATAGCCAACTGATGAGAAATCATTGTAGTGGTTGCTCCTCAATGCTCCTCCCTTTGCATGGCCGACTTTTGTGAAATAGATAGCTCTCTGAGTTAATGCCGAGATGTATGCTGTGGCTCTCGCAGCGTATCTTTACCGGCACATTAGCATCACACGACGACGTCGAATTGTAAAACCTAGGCCGATATATGGACCTGTAGGTTGGGGATACATACTGGATAAGACTTCACTGATCCGTTGTCGTTACCATGATGATTATCGCCGTATTCTTCGCGAAGAGTTTAACTTTGCCAAAATCTGTGCTAGTTGTTAGTCTAAAGCTTGCTCTCTCCATCTACAAAGCAACGAATGTTTGACTACTTAATTGCTATATCAATTGTGTTGGTTCGTGTTGGGAAAATCGGCGTATGGTACTGCAGTATGCTATGTGGATTGATGCTTCAGTACATCGAACTGGGCTTCATAGGTAGTCTTGGTATGCACAATCACCTCTGAACTACTGATGCAACAATGTTAAGAAGATGTATTTCTTTTGACTGGATTAGCAGAGCTTAGAAACGTTAACCTTTGCAATTTTATCCATCATTAGCGATGAATTAGACAAGTGAAAATAGTTCGAGTCACCTTGTATTAGAAGCCCCCGACAAAGCGGTATGCAGATGTGTTTGGGTCTCTTTGTATATGGGCATCCTGAAAATCTAAACACATGTTATACAGGTGGTACAATATCCATCTGACTCTATGGATTACGCGGTAGATGCCCTAATATCGACATGTAGACCAGTACTGTTCACACGCAAGAGGAAAAAGGGGGGCACGGGGGGATCCTAAAAAGAAAAATGGAAAGAAAAGGAATAGATAGGAATGGAGAGGAACGTAAAGGAAAGGAAAAACAGCCTCGAAAGCAAATACAGTCAATTTTTGTGTGCATCCCTTTCAGGTATGCAACGTCTGCAGATGTGCATTCACTGCAGCATCAAACGAAGTGTCGTTGTCTGGTAGGTAGGTACCTAATTAATGGTGCGCCACGAAGCAAAAGTGGAAATTATATCTTAGATCTTCTTCTGTGGCGCCGGGTATTCCCATATCCATTGTGTTTCTTGAGCTCCCCGCTGTTTACTACCCAACATTCATGCTCTCCCATCACGTAGGCCTTTAATATAGCCAGGATTCCTCCCACTACAACTCGGACATACACATATTAGTCCACTTGTGTAAACTCATTATCTGCCAGCTGTATTACGCCTGGTACTGGAAGCAGAATCGGGTAGGTATTAATAGTATATAAAGCCTTCAGCCACTTGGAAAGCCACAAATATCACCTTGGCGACGGGAGAACAAACGGATTCACTTTAACTTCCATATAAATGCACACATTACACTATTCGGCGAAACCCAAAGGAATGGCTTGATGAAGCTTTATGAATCTATAATTGGCTTTGTGAAGTAAATTCTTTTTGCTACAAATATGAATGAACCATATACCAAGCAAACGGCGTCTTAGCAACCTGATGAGAAGTTGCTTGAACAAATTTTCTTAGTATCCTCCATCATACTTTTTTTCCCAAGTGAAATCACGTTTTCCAAAATTTAAACTGCATCAAACTGTACACAAATGGTGAGTATACGTAATCAGCATCGAGTGGATGCAGGACTTGGGATGAAGTTTGTTCGTGGCCCACCAACTCAGTTCAAACTCACTTTCCAACGCCACGACTCCATATAGTGATGCGAGAACCCTTTGTTTTCTTATATATTACGCTCTTCTCTCCTGAATCCGGCCTCTTCTTTTCTTCCATACATTAGCGTCTTCCACAAGTCTTTCGATCCCAGCTGCAAGCCTTCACCTTGCACCACATCCAAAGACTCTGACAACCATCCATCAGCGACGCCATCGACAACCATCGTCGACCAAGACTTTCCTCACCACGTCTTGCACCCGTCCAGATGCCGTCCCGTGTTGTCCTCCACGGAAGAATTGAGAAGAAGGGAAACATGAGTTCCCCCGCCAACCGCCGTCCAGCCCTGCTGGACTTGCCCATCGATCTCCTCCGTGAGATCTTCGACCAGTTGTCCCCCGCGGACAACATCGTCTTCGCCACGACCTGCCGAGCAGTCCGGAACTGTGCAGGTCGCGGCCAATTCCCCGCCGACGCCGAGGAGAACCAAGAGCAGCGGTTCGAGGTCCTCGCCAGCATGTGTCGCGACATGCCCGACCGCTGGGTCTGCGAGGAGTGCATGCGCCTCCATCGCATCGACACCGCCGACACGCCCGCCGACAGCAGCCCGACGTGCCCCCTGGCAGACGCCTACGGGCGATTCAACCAGCCATTGCAGCTGGCCCCCGCCGACGAGTACGAGCTGGGCAGGCGCCACGTCCAGCTGGCGCTCAAGTACACGCGCCTGGGCGACTCGCTGCGGCCCAGCCATCGCCAGTACCTGCAGCGTCTCACCGCGGCCCGCCAGTTCTCGCTCTCCTACGCCTGGGAGAAAAAGGCTGCCATCACCGCCAAGGTCGCGCCGCGGATCGTCGACGGCCGGTTCCTGCTGCGGACCATCTGCGAGTACCGCCTGCCCTCGCGGCCCGTCACCAGGGACCTCATCGCCAGCGAGTCCGTCTGCCGCCACCAGCAGTTCTTCCCCCTGGAGGACGGCGCCTGGACCAGCAGCTCCCTCCACCAGGACCTGCGCCAGTTCCCCCGCGCGGTGGGCGAGTCGTTTGCGTCGCCGGGAAAGGAGGTGCGCGGCCACTGCCCGCACTGCTTCACGGACTTTTCCGTGACGACGACGGCGAGGAGCGTCCGGATCTCGGTCTGGATGGACTTGGGCACCGAGAGCTCGCCCCTCGACCCCGTCTGGCGCTCATTTGTACACATTGCCGAATTCCCTCCCGTCGAGGAGGTCGAGTACATTGAGCCTGGTCGAGTCCGCGAGCTGTACAGCAGCGGCGAGGAGGGGGAGGAGTAAAGGCGGAAGAACTGTGAGGGATATGCCTGGAAAGAGATTGTGTTCTGGTAAGTTGCTTCCTTTCTATACCTTCTGTTGTCTCATAAACTAACAAGTGAGAAGATTAGAAAAGGACTTGAAAGAAATGTTTGCTCTTCCGACTATAGGAAGCATTCAAGGTACTGTTCAAGAAACCTTTGGGTCGATGCCTACAGTTTCGAGACACGACACGACATCATGATTTTGGTTGGAGTCATTGTACGATACATGAGTGAGACGGATAGAATTGCAATCAAGATGGTTCTCTACAGTTTTAAAACGTGAGAAGACATTGGCAGTCATTATACCACATGACTAGGACAGTTGGGAATAAAATAAAAGCTGGTTGTAACCCAGATATATTCTCCTCGCCTCAAATGAATCCAAGAACATCGCGCTTCCTATGTGCCAACACAATCCATTCGTAAATCTCCGAAAAGTCGCTAATATCACTGGCATCCTCTTCTCCCTCAGGCTTGTACTTCTTGAGGTTATCAATCGCCCAAACCATCTCCTTTGTGAGCGGCGGCGGAGTTCTCCCCTGTCCAGTCAAAGTTCCCAAGCCAGACCATTTGAAGAATCCCTGCAGCCATTCGTGAGTTTCGCCATTCTCCCATGTAATGTCGTGAAATTTGCGGTGTTCCCGGGCCCTTTCTTTTTCTCTTTCGTCTTCCCAGGCTTGCTGTTCGGCTAATGGCGGAAGCGGGAATGGGTTGCGATTGGCAAATATGCGAGCGAGGGCAATGGCTTGATATTCGAAGCTTCGAAATGTTAAAACGCGGGGCAGGCCCACGATGCCCAGATTCGGAAAGTCTTGAAAGAAGGTGTGCCAGTAGCTCTTCACCAGCTTTCCTTTTTTGTCGTCCCACAGCGGTTGACCATTCTTCTTGGCATCCCAGAAGGGATATGATGGCTTGTATCCGGTACAGTATATCACTGTGTCAATGTCATCCAAGTAAGTGCCGTCTTCGAAGAGAATTCTGCCAGATGGTAGATACTCTGATACAACAGGCCTCCACTCAATCCCCTTGGATGGCGAATCTCCCTCCCACCACGCTTTTGATCTCCTCGACTGGTAAACGGGAAGCTGAGCAGTCGAGACTAACTCTCGACTTACATCCGTTCCCGAAGCAGAGTTGCCAATCACAAGCACCCTCTGTGACTTGTACGACTTGGCCGATCTATACGTCTTGGAGTGAACTACACGGCCAGGAAACTTTTCAATGTATTCGTTTAGACCCTTGACATTGGGAATCTAAGATGGTCAGCATCCAGCCAAACAAGTTGTCAGCGAGCCACTTACTGTCGGCACAGAGTAGTGGCCGTTTGCCAGAACCACAGCATCGAATGTTTCTTCCCACCAGAGATCGGCGTTTTGAAGAGCATCGTATTTTCTGAGAGTCAATTTCCACTGATTGGATCCATTATTTGAAGCGTGTTCGACCTTGGAGACGTCTTCAACTGTAGTGTTGAGCTCCAAGAACGTATCCGTCTTGTGTAATGCAAAGTAGTTTTCTATGTATTGGCGAGGAATATGATGTGGAGCAAACGGTCCGTATGCAAAGCGGCAATCTGAAAACGACATGGCAATTTCAGGCACGTTCGTTCTAGCAATCTCTCTTTTAGCACACAGCGACTCCATGTTATTCGACGCTCGCACACTTACGTCAAGACATCATAGATGGGCGTCTGGGAGAATCGCTCCTGTTTATTCGGTGGTAAAACGGCAGGGAGGCTTTTTGGAATTTCCAAAGGGGGGTCCAGCTCAGATGGCGTTGCTCCTGGCCGCCCAAGCAGGCTGGGCTGAACTGCCGCATCGTAGATCCTAAAGCCGTGTAAGACTTCCAGTATGTTGCGACGCAGGGGAAATGATTCTCACCATGTCCCTCCTGCGCTCTCCCTTCTCTCAAAAACTCGAATTACGTCAAACACTTCTTCAGCTTTCAAAGCTGCCGCCGTTATCGCTCCTGAATGTGAGCATTAGTAATTGTCGTCAGCTTAGATAATTGGCTCCGTTCTAGCTACCTGCAGCTCCAGCCCCAATGACGGCAACGGATTTGATTTGATTGCCTCCTCCCATTGTAACCGAGTTTCATCAATTTGAAAATAGTTTATATATCTCAGAGAACGAATTGATATGAGGGGGATTCGAAATGGGCAGCTATGAGCATCATTGATATCTTATGAGACCATGTAGCTATCACGTGCGGTTGGATGTCGTGATTGACTTGGGTGATGGCACGATGCTAGCTTTATATGTCAGCTTTCTTCCATCAGCAAATAGGTGCATAAAACGCGTTATCTCAGACCATCTTGAGAGGCCAGAGAGGTTGCAATGGGACAATCACGACTTTGCACAAAACAAGCTGTTCGCCCAAACCAGCGACACACTCTGACTTTAAGTTACATGCAAGGGGGAATGGCTGATGAATTTAAACAGCACGTCGGCGTGTTTCTCCGAAATGCAGATGTAGCTTCATCTTAGTGTATTTTAGGATACCCCATCTCCAAATGATAAGCAAATGAATCGCTAGCACAAACAGCTATTTGTATTCATCGATATCTCGGTGAGAAGTTTATTTCGTTACTACTGTGCGGTAAAATGTGCAAGCCTGAGCATTTACCAAATCTGGCAGCAACAACTACCGGTTTAGATTGTCGGAACTAAGCGTCCCCACAACTCTCCGCTATTCAGTAAATCGTACGGCATACTAACACCATTCGCGACATCTATCTTCAAGTTTCCAATACTATCCATCTTTTATAGAAACTACATTCTTGTTTCCAGCTACTAAGATATACATAGATCAAGCAGAGACATTAAGTGCTGCAAATCGCTAACACCGCTGACTCGCACGCCTCATCAGATTCATATTGTATGAGCAACTTTCTAAAAAGTGCTCATTTTTATCACCATGGTACATCATGTTACCACACGACTCCTTGCATTGCCAGCTTCTTATTATTTAATAAAACAGTTTTCTTTATATCTTTTGTGAAATTCCACAGCCTTATATATTCATCTCTCTATTTTAACATAAATTTCCCTCTCAATACTGGAGTAAAGCTTCGCTCCCGGTTAGTCGCGTCATGTCTGAACCAGTGTCCCCACAGCTCCAATCGCGATCGATCTCAGATAGCGGCACGAAGACTCATTTGAATGCCAATATGAATGCAGAATTATGACCATGTAGAAAACTTATCTCTGAGCCGTTCGTTGCTTAAGAGAAAATAAAATGAAATGGTCAACGATGAACTTGATGCTTGATAGGAGGGATTATACTGGTAATCCTGGTCACTTGCTTACTCACGACCGCCACCACATTCCTGTGGTCTGAGCACCAAGGATCTCATATTGTCGGCGCCCTGAACCTTAAATAATGCCAAGATCATCCATCGCCGACGCGTTACCCCTATATCTCACCCAATATTCTCACTCTCATCTTGTGGCTGTCCATCTATTAAACATGATCTTATTGTAAAGACGCGCTAGTTCCCCATATATACCGCGTTCATCATCATATTGTCACGATGAAAGCGTCTGCCTGTCTTGCGGGCTTTATTCCGGCGCTGGTCGCCCAAGCCGCTCGCATCGTCCAATCCAACGACGATGGCTGGGCTGAGCTGTATCTTCGCTCCTTTAATGATGCGCTGAATGAGGCTGGTCATGATGTTGTTTTATCCGCGCCTGCAGATAACCAGTCTGGAACGGGTACGTGCTTTTCCTCTTGCTACGCGTTGTCTTCGCGGCATCTTCACAGCATCTGTAATTACGTGGATATGTATCTGTACATACTTCATACATCATATACATTTTATCTCAATATCAGCCAATCAATGAAAATTAACTAATCACTTAACTCAGGCTCCAGTGATTCACCTCCAATACCCCGAACAGTACCCTGCGAATACGACTCGTGTACCGGCAACGGCAACGCCACTGGCCACAATGATACACGGCCTGATCTCAACTGGGTCAATTCCTTTCCCGTAACTGCCATGAAATATGGCATAAACACTTTCGGTCCTCAACTGTGGAATGGCTCTGCCCCCGACTTTGCCGTCGCGGGGCCCAACGTCGGCACAAACGTCTTTGTCCAACTACCGTAATGTCTCCCAATTTCTCTCTCGCACACCGAGGCATATGAGCTAACACTGCGATAAACAAACAGATTCAGCGGTACAGTAGCTGCTGCTGCATATGCCGCCCATGACGCCGGCATCCCTTCAATCGCCTTTTCCGCCGCTTCAACCGGCCGCCTCGCATTTGACACTGATCCAGTGCCTCTCCGCAGCAGCCTCTATGCCCAGCTTGCTGCACAACTCACTGACCATATCATCTCTTCTGGAGCTCCGTATCTTCCCCCGGACGTCTTTCTCAATGTCAACTTCCCTAAAGTTGATGGCAGTTGCACCGACCTCTCTGACTTCAAATGGGTGCTTACCCGGATCAACCCTGGTTACTTTTCTCCCCCAGATGTCAGCTTCTGTGGTGGTGAGCGGTTGCCTACCGAGCTATCCGTTATCACTCATGGTGGATGCCTCATCTCTGTTAGCGTCGCTAATGCTAAAGACAAAACTACTGCGTCGACAGATAGTCAGGCTGTTGTGCTTGAAAAGTTGCGAAGCATGCTTACCTGCCTCCCAATCTCAATAAAATTAATAGAGACCTCAGATCAGCTGATACTTCAAAATTATAAACAACGATTATAGGAGATGTCTTAGCTAGGTGATTGTTTTAATTTGTACATATTTAAAAATATCTAAAAATACAGAGTTGCGGAAGAAACGCTTGCTCAATCTGTATTGTCCACGTTTGCACTGTTAACACATCTCAACTAGGAATTTAACAATATCCAACCTGCTGTTCTCAACAGCTTTTGAAACCGGCGTTTTACCATAACGATCCTTGCTCTCAGTATTAGCACCTTTCCCAGCCAGGAATTTCACAACTTCGAAATGACCCTTTTCAACAGCCAATGATAACGGCGTCTTATGAGAAATATCAGGACGTTCAAAATTAGCGCCTTTTCCAGCTAAAAATATAACTACAGCCAAGTGGCCATATTCCGCAGCCAGTGAAAGTGGCGTTTTAAAATTTAGGTCCAATCTATGAATATTGGCACCTTTTTCAACCAGAAATTCAACAATAGCTAAGTAGCCATACTGAGCCGCACGTGAAAGAGGTGTCGACCAAAACCGACCGGAGTATTCGATACTGGAACCTTTCTCAACTAGAAACTTGACAATAGCCAAGTGGCCATGCTCAACAGCCACTAAAAGTGGGCTTTTGCCAGAAATATCCTCCTTTTCAGTACTGGCACCTTTCTTAGCCAGGAATTCAACAGTAGTTCCGCTAAAAGTATCTGATTTGATATCAGCACCTTTCTCAGCCAGCAATTCAACAATAGCCAAGTGGCCTTGCTTGACAGCCTGTAACAGCGGCGTTCCGTTAGGACTAGCTGATTTTTCGATATCAGCACCTTTTTCAAGTAGGCGTTCAACAATAGCCAAGTGGCCACACTCAGCAGCCCAAAACAGCGGCGTTCTGCCCCTGTGATCGGCGTGCCCAATGTAGGCACCTTTCTCGATTAAGAATTCAACAATAGCCAAGTAACCGTTTTCAGCAGCCCATGAAAGCGGCGTTCGGTCATAATATCCTTCTTCAATAGAAGCACCACGACCAAACAGCCATGTGACAATGTTTTGGTGTCCTTTAACAACAGCTCTGGTAAGGGGTGTCTGGTCATGATTATCCTTTATATGGACGTCGGCGCCTTTATCAAGCAGCAACTTCGCAATAGCCTCATGCCCATTATCGACGGCCAAAAAGAGTGGCGTTCGGTCATCTTTATCCCGGTTATCTATGTCCGTTTCGGCTAGTAATACGACCTCAGCTGCAGTACTGAATCCGTATATAGATGCAACTCGCAAGAGTTCACATCTGAAATTCATTGCGGCAGCGTCTTGTGTATTGTTATTGCTTAAAGGGCCCTGACGTAACTCAGAACTAGCCCATCTCTCCAGCAGAGAAGCACTATGATCCACTTTGGTCGACTGCTCAATAAACTGAGAAACGGCTTTTTGAACGTTCGCATCTCGTTCACAAATGGCAATATGAGACTTGGTGTAGCTAAGGGCATATGATGCTAGCGGTCTTCTATTGAGATATTGGCAATAATCCTTGTATTGCAGTATATCCCAAGATTTAAATTCCGGTAATTCTTTCGCTAGACATGTATTTGCAGCGCAAACCGAGAGATATCGCATGCAACTGATAGCCATGTGAATATGTCCATATGTCTCGGATACCGAGAACTTTGAGTTTGCGACAGGCCCGTCAGGACTGAGGAAGAATTCGCGAACAGTTTGATGCATAATCTGAACAAATCTTTTGCCTGGAATTGGTTAGTTGAATTCAGTTTGATCTGTTTGATAATTTGCCAATCATACCATTATGCTCCCTAAGTTCTAAAAAATTACCACCGCCTGAAAGGATGATCCGATCAGACGTCGGAATATGCTTTTCAAAAAGAGCATCGGATGGGATGAGTTTAGAATCGGAGTCAGCGGTGTTTAGAATACCAAGAGCATGAAGGAGTTCATCAACTGTGAGCGGGCGTCTTGCAAAAAGAATAAATTCAAACATCCTTGCTCCATACAAGAGAGAAGCGTTGTTGTGTTCCATTTTCTCCAGCATGAGTTTGTAGAGATCTTCGAGTTCAGTAGGAAGCTGTTTAAGTAATCGGAATATTTCTTCTTCCGAAAGACCCTCTTCATGAGCCTTTATTAACTGCTCACTAATTAGCTTTACCCATAGAAACACACCCTGAGCATTTTCGAGGATATGAGTAGTTGCTTGGGTGAGAAGTTCCGTTGAATTGAGGCCATGTAATTGCGACTGTGCATAGTTATAAATATCGGATCTTGTCTCAGCATCTAGCTTGATGAAACTATGAAATTGATCTCTGCGAGATTCAAGCTGTGCAACTGGGCGGCTGGCTATAAATATCTTCACAACAGAGTGTTTCATTTTAGAACATAGGTCGAAGAGTAAGCCAAGAATCTCGCGCCTATCATTTGGTTCTGATTCATCTATCGCGTCAATGATCAAGTAATATCGTTTGTTGGTCCGATAATCTTGTAACGATTTGAGCATTTCCTTTAGCGAATCATAGTCCCACGTGGAAGGGAGTTTTTCAAGCTGTTGCGTCCGATATTCGGTTTGAAATTGATGATAAAAGAAGCCCTCGTCTTGGTGCAGAATCTCGTACAAAATCGATAAAAGCATATTGTAGTGACTTCTTTGAGGTTCGCCGTCTCTGGAACTATAGAAGAACCTTGCCACAATGCCTTGTTGAGCAGCTGAATCTTTATGTTGCAGATTCCGGTTAAAATATTTCATGAGGGTACTTTTGCCACTGCCAGGCTTTCCTTGGATGTAGAAGAGTTTAGAGGTATTTGAAGCAGACCAGGTCTTATACTCATTATGTTTCCAAATCCATTCAAAAGATCTCTCGCATTCATTGGAGATCTTATCATATCGGGCGTTGTCAAATTGAAGACTTCGTAAGCAATCTGGGTTCAAAGTTGTTAGTTTTCAATTGGCAATTTCTGTATAGATCATAGGCATTTGAACCACCTTTCCTTTCTTTATCATACTCGATATTCAGAAAGTCTTGAAATAGACTTAAATTCTTAAATCTTGCCGAGCTTGTGATTAGTATTTTGATTTTTGATTTTCGTTGAAGATGTTTTATAAGCGAATGAACAAAGTCGTCCATAGATTCAACTAAGTCCAGTCTTTGAACAATGTCGTCCATAGGTTCAATTAAGTCCAGTCCTTCAATCACTACCAACAGACGCCTTTGCTCTGCAAAATCGACTGCTGTCTTCAACGGACTCAAGAGATCTTTGGTTGTTGCGCCTTTTAAGATTTTTTCCATGTATTTTAAGAAGATTTCATTGTTAAATGTCGCCTCCTTCCAGTCCACACTACTCTCAACCTTATGGTTTTCTAGTAGCTTTTTGAAGAAGCTTCGAATGACATGAGTCTTCTGTGAGTTTGGCGAGCAACACACTAGTTTTCGAAGCAATATGTAAGGAAGTGCATTGATAGTCGGCGTGTGCTCCATGTCTGAACGAGAAATGGATAAAATAGAATAATTGGCTGCCTTTTCTTGATCCACAATGTATGACGAGAGCTGATTGAGGTTGTTTTGGGACGGATGGCCCGTGAGGCAAAGAAGGCGAGGGCCTTCATTTAGACTCCATTGCTTAAAGTCTATATTTCTCAGGACCCAATGAAACTCGGGACTATCGTTGTTTTTGGGTATTTCGTGATATTCAGGCAGTGTCGGCCTATATTCTGATATTGGTAGCAATTTCAACAATTCCTCCCCATTTGATTCGGATAAAGTAGTCTGAAGCATTCTCTATTCAAAAGCCAATATTAGCACATCATATTACGCGTTCTGAGTTTCCTGATTGAAGATTATCATACGTAAATGGCTTCCTCATTGAGAAAAGTCTTTATAGGAAATTCGGAAGTTGGCGTAGCTAATAACACTTCTTTGGCGCAAGCGGCCGCCGTTACTGCAGCATACGGCTGCCACCGTTTGTTTTTGTGCGAGTCAGCATAGTCGCAAATTCCCCGGATAACGAGACAAGGGAAGACATCCATAAGCCCCGCAGCCTCCATCTCGAAACAGATGATATTCTTCTCGTCACGAAGCTGATCTCGAGTTACTCCATGTCGCATGACTTGGTTCGCCGAACCAATAAGACCGTAATGAATAATTGGATTTGTATTTTCGCGAGGTTTCCGAAGTACCAAGGCTTCTATATCGCAAGAGAGGCAGGTTGGTTTTCCACTTGGGTGTTCGTAGTCCGCTCGAAATAGCTGATCATGCTCCAAGCCAGGATGGGAAAATTCTCTTTGCATCTTTCTGTTCAACTCAAGCATACGAACAATATACTGGGGAACGCGGCTTTCTTCTATTCGATGGCGCGCTCGCAAAGCGGAAACGCTACTGCGCAATACTATAGACGTCTTGTTTAAAACGCCTGTGTGAACAAATTTGCCTTCGCTCATGGTTTTTCCAAAATCGTATTGTAAAACGCCACCTATTATTACAATGAGCACAGAGAAATTATATAGGGAAAAAAAAATTGCTCACCAAAATTTGCTGATGGCCAGCTGACAACTACATCTCCAAGCCGAATATCCTTGCGCGGATCATCGCTGGGAACACTTGGAGCCCCGCCTCCAATGCCTACCATCAAGCAAAAGTGGATGTTTGGAAAGCTACGCAGCATGTTGGTCGCGGTATTAGCTGCAGCGTTTGTACCCGTTGTCCCCGCTGGAAGACATGTAAGAACAATGTTATGCTGGCCGATTCGGCCTAGAACGTAAGTGTTTGTGTCTCCTTGGACCTGAGAAAGTTTCGGGAGCTCATAATCCAGTATTGCCACTGATGCTGCCAACTCCACGTCTAAAGCGCAGATCCATCCCACAGTATAGCTGTTGTGTGCGAGGCGTTCTGGAGTAAGGTCATCCATGGTCTCCGCAATACGCTTGGTATCAATGTTAGTGGTACTGTTGCTGAGAGAAAATTGAGTCAGTACAAGGTCAAATTTGGCATGCTCGATCGCTCTAGGCTCTCTAGACGCACTGTAGTGATGGAAAATGTAACTGGTGCACGGCGCGTAGTGAGCTGGCCCGTTACTGCTTGCTTGTCCAGTTCGACTGCAGCTTCGAATTTTGCAATGGTAACGTGTGCGAACTTGACCAGGAAGAATATTAGAGTTGATAGACTAGCATGACAAGAGTTTAATGAATTGGAGTACGGGCGCGCTGCTTTGATTACTGGGAGCCTAATATGCGTGCAAAATTGATTTAGGCGCCCATGTGCATTGGGCCATCCAATAGATAGGTATGATTTCTCCTCAGAGACCTGCAGTCGTGATTGGGCATTCCCAAACGAGCCGCATAATTACAGCTATCGGTAGCAGTGCATTTGCAACTCAGCCTTGGCCGACATATCCTAGAACGTCTCACAGCTCAAATCTTCAGTCAGTAATAGATCCGACCTTGCTTTTTATTTTTCTGCTAGAACTTATTTAGGACCAGTTTTTCCAGTAGGAATGCTAAACAGAACAACTCTCGGTCCCTTCAACCCAGCCTCACCAGGCGCCCAGTCATTCATGCCTTTGTCCACTCTGTAGAATCCTCTACGCTCAAGCTGAATAATGTCATCCGCCTTCAATTCACCAACGCCAGCATCGCAAACGGCATCCTCCATGCTCGCAGTGTTGGGGTTCAAGAAATCCTCAAAGTTGTCCTCTTCCTCAAGCTTATCCTTGGTCAGGAGGTAGTCAAACTCCCACAGCTCGGCAGGAACCAGCTTGAAGCCCTCAGCAGAGAGCCAAGTAATCTTCTTATCGGTAGTCTTGAAATCTCCCTTCAAGTTGAGGTCAAGCTTCAGGCTTGTAACCGGCTCAGCCGAAGATGAGAGATCTCTGACAAAGGCGTTGCCCCAGCCCATAAGGGTGATTTCCTCGTCCGCCTTGAAGCTCTTGGCATCGGCCTGGTCGATGTAGAGAGTAGGCGAGAAAATGACCTTCTTCAGGCCGACGCTTGCGTTCTTGGGGTGCTTTGGTCGCTCCTCCACAGTAACGGCAGAAGGCGCCTCAGATCCGGCAACCGTAACCTTGACCAAGTCCTTGCTCAGGAGAGCTGTGAATCGAGGCACGATAGGGTCGATCACCTTCTTGTTGTTGGCCCAGAAAGTAGTCCAGTCCATGTTGACAACGTTTCGGCTGGGTCCTTGCTTGATGATAAAGTCTCGCAGAGCCTCAATGGTCATTCCACGTCTTCGGATACCTCGAATAGTGGGCATACGGGGATCATCCCAGCCCCAAACCTTTCCAGCATCAACCAGCTTGGCCAGCTTACGCTTGGACAAGAAAGTCTTGACAAAGTTAATTCGGGAGAAATCCCACATGTGGACCTGACGCAGCTGAAGGGTGTCGATGAACCACTGGTACTGGGGGTTTCGGTCCGTGTATTCGGTAGATCTCAAAGCGTGAGTGACTCCCTCGTGGCTGTCGACCACGGGGCAGGCAAAGTCGTACATGGGGTACATCTTCCATTTTGTGCCGGTACGGTGGTGAGGTGTGTCCACGTTGCATCGGTAGATGACAGGATCGCGCATGGCCTTGTTGGGGTTGTCGTAAGATAACTTGGCGCGAATGCAGTGTGCTACACCCTCCGGTGTGCCATTCTTCATTTCTTCGAAAATTCGGAGAGTCTCCTCGACGGTTCTCTCACGGCGCTTTGAGGGGATACCGTCCATTCTCTGGGCGCGCATTGTCTCCTGATCAGTGTCATCGGCGTACGCCTTGCCCATGGTGATCAGCTTCTTGCACATATCGTAGAGATAGTCGAAGTAGTCGGAGGTGTAGGTCAAGCTGTCGGGCTTGATGCCCATGAGAGCCAAGTCAAGGACGATGGCATCCTGGAACTCCTCCTTCTCCTTGTCGGAGTTCGTGTCGTCCAATCGCAGGCGCATCTGGCCCTTGTAGGCAGTATGGCCAAAGTAGTCGCTGAGAAGGGCAGCCTTGGCGTGTCCGATGTGAAGGTAGCCACTAGAAAAAGCGAGTTAGAAGAGCTGTGAGGACAAGAAAGAAGGGCTTGTATATCATACGAAGGCTCGGGGAGGAATCGAGTAATGACGCCCTTGTCAGTGTCTTGAAGAGCGAGGTTGTAGTTGGCGCCGCCCTTGTTAGCCTTGGCCGCAGCTTCGGCCTTGGTGGCCTCCTGGATCTCAGGGTGAGACTGCTCGATGAAAGTGAACCATCGAGTCAGGTTGGGAAGTCCATTTCGTCGAATGGCACCAATGGCAACCTTGTTAGCCCTCAGAGTCTGCCAGATCTTGGTCTCGAGCTCTCCCAGAGCGTAGCCCTCAAGGTAGGATCGGAGAGTCAGGTGCTTGTCTAGATCCCGCATGAAAGGCTCAATGGTGCGGAAATCGCCGGACAGCTTGCCGGAAACGGCCTCGAGCTCGTCGTGCTTCATCTTTTCGGCTTATTTGAATGTCAAAGTCAACAAAAGATGAAGTGCAAGAAGCAGAGAAGCTTCTCGTGACTCGAGTAACGATTTTAGGCGTTTGGTGGAGAGCAGCCCCTCCATCGTCGTTAGTCGTGCCACACTTTGTTTATCGATAAGAGTTTGTTCATTTTTCAGCCTAATTTCCGAGGCAGGACGTCGCAGAATATGGCGAGGTTCTGGCGCAGTTGAAGAAATCCCAGTTTCGACTCATCCAGCGGCAGAAATGGCACCAATTGATCGATGCTTGGCCTCCGTGGCCAAGCTGGCGCTCTCACAGCCATCAATACGACCCGTTGTGCCGACGATACCCCGATTCCTCGCGCCTGCGCTGATCCAGTCCCGACAAGCCTCTGTGATCCGGACAAAGAAGACGACAAAAAAGAAGGCTGTTCCGAAAGACTTTAAGCGACACAACCTGGAGAAGAGGGAATTCCCACAACACACACTATGCGATGCTATGCGGTAGGTATTGGGGAATAAGATGCAGTCTACAGAGAGAAATTTGCTGAACCCTTGAGCAGAGTTCTCCGAGCCATCGAGGTCGGCCAACCTCCTGCTTCGATCAAATACGAGATTCACATCAACCTTAAGACAGCAAGAAACGGCCCTGTCATAAAAAGCAGCATCAGACTGCCGCATCCTGTCCAGAGCGATTGGCAAATCGCCGTCATTTGCCCCGAGGGTAGCGACATCGCAACTGCTGCCACCGCCGCCGGCGCTGTCGCCGTTGGAGAAGAGACGCTCTTCGAAGCTATCCGCCAAGAAAAGATTGATTTCGACCGCCTGATTTGCCACGAAAACAGCGAAAAGGCCCTGAACAAGGCCGGCCTGGGAAGAATCCTTGGTCCCAAGGGCCTGATGCCCAGCAAGAGAATGAAGACGATTGTAAACGACGTGGTCAAGTCCATTCGCGACTCAGCCGGCGCTGCGGACTACCGTGAGAGACAGGGCGTCATTCGAATGGCCATCGGACAGCTTGGCCACACGCCCGACCAGCTCAAGGCCAATATCCAAGCGCTGTTGAAGAAGGTCAAGGTGGAATGCGCCGAGATTTCGGAGGAAGTTTCAAAAGAAGTGCATGAGGTTATTCTGAGCACAACGAATGGCCCGGCGCTGAGCTTGAACGGCAAGCTGAACGAGGCAGAGAGCACGCTTACAGTCGAAGCATTGTCAAGCGTCATGTAAACCATTAACGACATATACAAAGTGTACAATATCCAATTGAATGCAAAAAAGAAGGCTAGATGTAACAATTTATCACGGGGTATCATTATGTTTTGTATTTATGAAATAAATGAGTGGTCATCTGCCGCGAAGCACTTTGACAGCCTCTCCTTGCGCGTCAAGAGCTCTATAAACACCCAGATAGCCCATAACTCGGCCCTGGCCTTTTGTCCCAGCGGCTCTAGCTTCCTTGAGAGCGTTATTCAAATCTAATAGGAGCGTATTCCGGCATTTCGTCAGTCGCGCCCTCAGCTTGACGACAAAAGAATTGCTGTCATCGAGCTTGCCAATCAGGGCCGTAATATGGCTACATTCGCGCGCCGAGGCCAACAGCTTTGAAGGCGGGCTCCCTATCAGGCCTTCGACGGCTTCTGCTTCAAATTCTTCTTCGTCTTCACTATCGTCATTCCAGTCCGTGGTCTCTTTCCTTTGAGGTAGGCTATCCAGTGCCAGTGTTTCTTCTAGGGAAGACAGCCGCTCCGATACTTCCAGCATTGCTCGCCCTTGTTCAATATCTGACCGTATGTCTCGCAACTCGTTGGTAAGCGAATCCGCATCCCTCTTGCGCTCAGAGACCTTTTCCTTTACTTCTTCAACAGCTCTGCGAAAGCCAAGAAGCGAAACCTTGACATCCTCGACCTTCTCGTCGCCTCCCCGCAGTTCTGAACCGAGTGATAGGAAGGCAGTATAGTTCGAATTGACAAGCTCCAGGAGCTCAGCGCTGATGGTTGCCGTCCGCTCGCGTAGATCTGATCGTAGGTCTTCAAGGGTCTGGTGGCGATGGGGGAGAGCTGACAGATACGCGGCCGGCTGGAATTCTGTAGCTAAGAAGTCGGTGCGTGGGAGAGCAGCTGGGAATGGCAAGGGCGCATCGTCTTCGGTGTCTGAAGAGTTGGAGGAGCCGAGATTGAAGGTTGACGCATTTTGTCGCCCAGGGCGCCGTGGCAGCGTGAGCGGGAGGGTGAAATCCGCCATGGATGAAGAAAATGACGACAATTGAGAATTGAATCGCTAATTAATTACGCAAATACAAAGATGCACTGCAAAATAGAAGCACTCGTGATATCGCCCTGGATAGAGCAAGACACATGTTAGTTAGACCAGGAAGTGGATAGCTCGACAAGCGTTGATCGCATTGGTGCATAACTCCACTATAAGCATACAGATCCAGCTGTCAAGATAAAATGCTGCGTCTCTCAACCACAGCACCATTTGAAGAGAATATAGCGTTTTAATTCTCGATTGACTAACATGGTAGATACAAGTTCATAACAATCCGCCTATCTAGCAGTTTATAGAGGAGCGACTTTAAGCGAACTCAGGGTCTCTAGCCAAGACCCAGCTCCAAACGCTAGCAGTCAACGGTTTCTCGCCAATTGAGCCCTCAAGAGGGCTATTTGAGTCATGATAGGCTATTGTCATTAGCAAGTATTAGGACATTCTCGCCGTTTGCTCTTCGTAATCCGAATACGATCCGAACCGAGACTATCTTCTCTTCATGTATCCTTCCAGACAGCTGGGTCGAGCCTTGGTTAGCCTCACGTGCAAGCAGCAGTAGTCAGTGTCTCTAATGGCCAAACAAGGCAACAACCTGTTAAGGGATCCATCCTTCTTAGGTAAAAAACGACAATTAACGCAGATTTGCGCAGTTCTCGGTCAAAGGACGTCAAGGTAGATGGAGTAGTGAGACTCATAGTGGGGGCATAAACAAGCTGAAGGCATCTGATTGGACCTTTTGATCAAAAGTGGGTGGACCCTAGTGGCTGATGGCGCGTCAAATTTTTATCAATCACATCTTATCAATCTGTCAAGCCCACCCGCTGTCTCCTAGAATCGGACCATAATGCTGTTAAAAGGCCAGCCGGGTACGCTCGGGACACGAAAAACTCACAACTCACAAATCCCTCTCTGGTCCCCGCATCTTAATTTTTCATCTATACATTTCGCATCTCTTTCAACTGCTGCCTCTTCTTAACATCCTTCATACAAGGCAGCTCTACAATACCGCTGTGAATTGACCGATATTCCGTGTTATTCGGGCAACTCTCGGTGTAAGGCCCGAATCTGCCTCCTGAAGATTGGCCACGTGCGAACGAGACGACGACTACTCCCCCCGACTTACGCTACCATCATACAATCTCCTACGACACTACGGAGAATTATTTAAACATTTTTTTAATCGTCTCCAACTGCAACCAGACGATAAGGAAACTCGAGCACGTCAACAGATCAACGCCAGATAGAGCCGTTTCCCTGCATAACGGGCCCCAGTTTTTCCTTCTCGGGCTTCCGAGCTGCCGCCGACAGCGAATCACGGATCATCCCTCTCCGAACCCACCCAATTCAGCTCGCACCACTATGGCGAGCATTTCACCAACGACATCTCCTCATCGCCAGCCAGGATCCAGTGAAGCTCCATCGGACTGCAACCAGGACTTGCGTCCCGCCATCAAGGACGAGCCTTCACCGCCCGAGGGTTCATCTTCGGCTCCTGTCGCTCCCAAACGGGCGCCGCTGCCCTCTCACCGAAAACCCGCCGCCCCGCCACAACCCGCCCCATTTGTGCGCATTTCACTGCCTCCCGTCGACAAAATGTCAATGACGGCCGTCATCAGTCCCAACCCGCCCATGGAGCAGCCACAGCCCAAGATGTCAATGACTTCAAAGGAATGGGTTATTCCGCCGCGGCCGAAGCCTGGTAGGAAGCCCGCCACTGACACGCCGCCAACAAAGCGCAAGGCGCAGAACCGAGCTGCCCAGAGGGCCTTCCGGGAGAGAAGAGCTGCGCGGGTTGGCGAGCTCGAGGAGATGCTGGATGAGAACAAGAAGGTTCAAGATGCACACGAGGCGGAACTAAATGAAAAGATTCGCACTCTGGAGCTGGATGTCCAGTCATTCCGGTCCAGATGCCTACTGCTGGAGAGCATGCTGGAGAGAGAGCGCCAAGAGCGCATGAGAGCTGAGATGCAAGCAGAGGCGCTCAATCGCAGATATGACCAGGCCGCTTTCCGATCGGAGAGCATGGGCTCCATGTACTCGCAGCCATATGGTCGGCAGCAACATCCCCAGCAAAGGCACAGCCTCTCGGACGACCGATTGGCCCAGCAGCATGCCGCAACTCGGCATTTCTCCATCTCTCAAATCGTCTCACCGCCAGAAACACTGGACGCTCACTCTCCTCAAGATCTGTCTGAGCCTCATCTTACATGCGGCAGCTGCTCACCAAACGGACACTGCGCTTGTGCCGAGGAAGTTCTCGCATCAGCAGTTAATGGGTGCGGCAAATGCGGATTTGGGACACAATGTCATTGCTTGGACGACGCCACCAAAATATCCGGCCTTGGGTCTGACTTGAAACGCCCTATATCTCCCTCGGGGAAATCATCCGATGAGAAGCGGCAGCGATCAATGGCTGCTAGCAGCAGGGAAACAGATTTTGGTCCCTTGTTCTCAAAGCCGACGTCACAGCAGCCACCTCAGCCGAGCTCCATCATCCAGCAACTTCCCTCCACGGACTCTCTTTCATTTAGAGACAGCTCATTTAGAGACAGCTGTGGGTTCTGTAAAGATGGGACATACTGCGTGTGTGCGGACACAGCCATGAATGGCCCAGCCGTAGCACCAGCAGATGCGTCCCCTCCAGTTACAAGACAAACCCGAACACCACCTCCCATGGAGACGGACGTCGTCACCCCGCTCCCACCCATGGCAATGGAAATGACGGCCGATGGAGCAGTCAAGTTACCACGCCGAAAAGAAGCTCGATCCAAGCCACAGCCGGAGACGACCGCTTCACGTGGCAGCTGCGGACCTAATGGCCCGGGCACATGCGCGCAGTGTCAGGCCGACCCCAAATCGGGTCTCTTCTGCAGACTGATGGCTGCCAACTTCAACCGCGAGAACGGTGCCAGCTCAGATGGCTGCTGCGGCGGAAAGGGCGCTGGCGGAGGATGTTGCAAGTCCAAGCCCAGCCAAGAGAAGATTACACTACCTAGCCTCCCTAGCCTTGGGCTGAGTTGTGCAGAGGCGTACCAGACGCTGTCCAGTCATCGCAACTTTGAGCAGGCTGCCGATGAGATTGGCACTTGGCTGCCGAAGCTAAAGGCTCACCCATCACCAAATGATGCTCGACCCGTGCCGGCGGGCAGGATACCTATAGAAGTAGAAGCAGCAAGTATCATGAGCGTGTTGAAGGAGTTTGACATTCGATTTGGGAGAGAATGTTAAATGGGCGCAGTGCAGAGGTCGGTTGTTACGGACGGAGTTGCACAGCGCCATGTATTATATCACATATATGTTTTCATTTTCGGTAGCATTGTCTTTTTGGTCCTGTTCTCCGTCGCATGCAACACGACTCGCTTAATAGCAGCTAAATAAACTTCAACCTGAATTCCGTCACATCTATTCTTGTAACTATCTTTTCCTAAAGTGATATGAACGCGCCCGGGATAGTTATTCGATACCACACCAAAAGCTATGCTTATTATACCATTTTATGTTTCACAACAAACACATCAACAGTAAACAAACAAACAAGCCAACACAGAGAACACTCATGCGCCCATCAACTTCATACCCACACTCAAAGCACCCCCAGCCACATGAAACGAAAACTCCTCTTTTACATCGTCACAATACCTAATCTCATCCCAACCCCCATTCTTCATACCCACTGCCCTCGATTTTGCACAAATTCTCCCCATCCACTCACCGATTCTCAAAAACATGGCATGTGCCTTTTTTTTTTCCCACTTTCGCTTCCCATTAATTCACGCAGCCAACGCAGCCAGCCTGGTCAAGTTAAACAGGCAAACGTGGAGCAAAATGCATGGCTGGCTAAAATTGGGCCCTTTTGTCACATTCACTATTTCTTCTACTTTTTTGCCCAGCCTTACTTTTACGAGGGGGGAAGCTCATCGTAACACAGCAGCTGCTTATATGCACGAGGCCGGTCCAATTCACTGCCCTCTACGATGATGTAGTACTTCCCTTTGCTGTGTACGTAAATGCGAGAGGGCTTACACATGAAACAGTGAATATAGAGTGTCAGGCGCTTCCGGCAGCTTATACGCTGTTACTCGGCTGGCCTCCTGCTGTTGGCCGCTTGACAGTCGGGTAGCCGTACCCAAGAAGTAACATGACGAGTCCTTTAGGCTGACGTGACAGCAAAGTGAATGAGGCAACCAGCCAAACGAGTGAATAGGCCTTATCCAACACAGCAAAAGTGAAAGGCTTGTAGGCCGCCCAATATCATGGCGTAGGCATTCGTATCTCGCGTTTTTTTAAAAACACTTACACACCCCTCGGCCCACAAACTGGAGTCTGAGAGCATCATTTTTTTTTTATTACGCCTACGAGGTTAAGCTGGGCACAAACGTTTTGATGAAGCCCGAGCTTTGACCAGGAAACGACGACATGTCATCACCACCCACCAGCGATTCACCGAGCGTGCCCAACTCGCCGGGGTCAGACACGAGATTGTGCCCTGATGCGAGCAGGCAGCCCGGCCCCAGTGTATTGAAGGCGTATCTGCTCCAGAATGCCCCGGAATATCGGAGGCTAGACGCGCTACGGCAAAAGGTATGATGTGCCCGAATTCATTCAATGTGTTGTATCTTTAAGCTTGCGAGTCTTACACGGGGTTGATTCCACTAGGGATGGGAGAATAAAGCTGGAGATGTATTCTTCCAACAGCAGAGACAGCGAGCAGACCACCCAGATCAAAAGACAATCACGTTCTTCTACAAGATGATGAAGGGCATTGCAAAGGAACTGCACTCAACGACTGGCGGCGCGCTCCGCGTCTACGCGAGAAGACCAGATAGACCGCAGATTCTAGACTTTTGCACGGCTCCGGGTGGGTTCCTCGAATCGGCCATTAAGATGAATCCTGGAGCCAGAGCCACGGCGTTCAGCTTGCCGCCCACGCAGGGAGGGCATGAGATCATTATGCCGCTGGATTCCACCGTGGCGTTCAAGTATGCGGACGTCACCATGTTTGCCGGCGACATGGGCTACACGGACGCCGTGCCAGCAGAGAACCCTGACGCCGCCAGCTTTGTGCTAGAGCGCAGCGTTGGCCCTGAGCAGCGCTTCCATCTCGTCTTCTGCGACGGGCAGGTTCTGAGAACCCATGTCCGGGCTGCCTATCGGGAGCAGTGGGAGGCGCGGCGTCTGTCAGCGACGCAGCTCGCCATTGGGCTCGAACACGTCTCGCTTGGCGGGACCATGGTGGTGCTTTTGCACAAGCTCGATGCCCCGGACACGGCGAGTCTGCTGCACACGTTTAGCAGGTTCTCTACCATCCAGCTCTTTAAGCCGAAGAAGGCTCACGCCAAGCGATCCTCGTTCTACATGGTTGCCCGGGATATCCAGAACAATTTGCCGCAGGCACGGGAGGCCATCGAAGCCTGGAAGCTCACGTGGAAGACGCTGACTTTTGCCGCCGACGAAGATCGCTGGGCGGCGGATGGCCACATGGATGAACAAGAGCTGGTGGAGCAGTTTGGGTCGGACCTTGTAAGGCTCGGGAGGAGCATTTGGGAGATTCAGGCCGAAGCTCTCGAGAAGGCGCCGTTCATGCAGGCCGGGCAGAATTGAGCATGGGAAGAATGGGCTGGAGAAGCTCTTTGGTCAACACAGGCGGTGCATGTGGTCAGCTGCAGAAGGATGGCAAACCGGTATTGATTGACACGGGTAGATGGACGTAGCGAGCTGTGATGCTCTACTGCTAGCTCTACATGGCAATGGTCCATAAAGAGAGTTTCTTCTGGCATCGCTTCGCCTCGCCTCGCCTCGTGTCCCCTTGTGCATACGTACAGTAGCCAAGGCATTCCCTACATTAGTAAACTTTTTGATTAGGCCAAGCCACGTCCCGATTCAGTGCGCCAGGTCCGTGAAGCTTCCTGGAACGGGCATGGCAACAGCCGAGGCTGGTTAGGTCGGCTGCGGTGAGTTGTCAAATCGACATGGTCAGCGCATCGCCAGAGCCTTGGAAGCCTTACGCCAGCCCGCTAGACACACCGCTTGGGTCGCTGGCCGGACGAGCGATTGGGCGGCTGTCATTGGAGGAGAGGCGCAGGAGAGGCGGCGGAAAGGAGGTCAAGAAGAGGTGGATTGTGCGTACATGAGATTGCTGCAAGTGCATGTAAAGTCTGTATCATGGAGTCTATGGAGCCCAAACGAGGATGCGGGACGACGCAGCAGGTCGTTGAGGTGCAGGTGATGTATCATGTGACTGCAGCTGCTGAAGGTTACAAAGCAGAGCAGGCAGCCTGTACAAGAGTTGTAATGGATCGAATTATCATGACAGAGCAGCTGATAATCAGATGCCTAGTATTCTTTCGATGTAGTTGAATTATTATGACTACAAGTTTGGTACATAATAGCACTACGACATGCACCAAATATCACAGTGTGGTATGCCCAGGTATGTTACGGAGTAGAGAAAGAGTCGACGGAGCAAAAGGGAGAGGGAAGCAGAGAAGGATGAAAGCTGGCGGCTGATGACAAACTGCATTCTCTCATATGCACTTCGTACTCGTAACAGAGGCACTACTAGGCAAAGGCCCGCTGCAGACAAGAGTCCACTCATCGATCGAATGGATGCTTCGATTCCTGCCCGGCCTCAATTGCTGACTGGCAACTGCATAGGCCCAGACACACTTGTCTACGCACGCAGCAACATGCAGGCTCATACTGTACGACTTACAGGATCTGCGAGCCCAAACCCGTACAATTGCTACAAGTACATATATCCGCGACACACGCATGGTTGTTTTTGTCAATGTTGCATGTCAGACGACGCGGCGCATGACGGAGCGGCGAGAGGGCAACGAACTGCTGCTCCGATGGAACGCGCTCGGCCCCGTCGCCAGAGCCATTGGCTGGGAGGCGTCTCGACGTGACTGATCGGGGCGCTCGGAGGGCCAGCAAGAGAGAAGAAAGAAAAGAGGACAGACAGACAGACAGGGAGAGAAGGGCGGTTGGACATGGCATCCTTGGTGCGTCGGCTACTGCTGCGATGCTGAGCGGCGGCGACGCATGGAGGTGTCGGGCGCGGCGCCTGATTGGGCCGCTGTGCGTGAGCTGGCACCCCTTCTCTGCTGCCGGTTGCGTGGACGACGCAGATTGGGCAGCGCCTGGGGCCGTTTCGTGGTGGGCAGGGATTGGCCGGTGGATGCGATTGCGTCCCAGATGGCATGCCAATGCAATGCACAATGCACTGCCAACTCATCTGGCCGCGGGCCACTGGCAGCCGCAGGAGACACCCGGCGGGCACCACCCTCTTGCGCTTTTCTGGGTCCTTTTCTGGGGCCTGGGCTTGAGTCACTTTCACGGCGCTGCTTCTGGCGCTGCTTCTCCCGTCAGTCAGTCTGCACGCCATGTATCATGTATGGATGTTGCAGAAGCAGAAGCAGAAGCAGACGCAGAGGCACAAGCAGCACAAGCAAGCGGCGGGAAGCGTGAGGCAACAAGCGTGTCAAGTGCGTGAGAACTGAGCGGCGTGGGTGGACTCGCTCGTCCTCCATCTTCCGCCTGCTTCTATCCTATGCATTCGGTATTCTGCATGCTGCACTCTGCCTGCACTCTTCCGCTGCCTGCACAGGACGGGCACCTATGCTGTACTACCTGATTGATATCAAATCCAAGCTGTAGACGGCGTGTAAGCCACTGTACCGGCGTAGTACCTATATCCTATATCATGGCGCCGCGGCTGTCTGTGTAATTGGCATCTCGAGAGCCGCCACCCCTTCTCTCTCCCTCTTGCGCCGCGAGAAAGCAGGTAGCCTCTCACGCTGCTGACACCGCCGCGCTACTTGTACATTCTGTGTGCCCTTGTGTAGCGCCAGCCTCGAATCGTCACCGGCCCCAAAGCGAGGGCGCCATCCATTGCCACCGGCATCGCGGTAGCGCTGCTTCGTACCGCCTGGCATCATATCGTACCAGGCCGCGCATTGACGACTTGTACACCATATACTGCACCACCGGCGTCTGCCTACGCCAGCAGAACAGGACAGCGCCATCACATCAGCGCCAGCGACACGTTGACCAGCCTCTCGTCAGCACCCTGCGCTCCAATCGCACCTCGTACACCGTTCCCTACACATAGCAGAAAAAAAAAAAAAGACCATGGCCACGCCCAGTCCGGCCCAGCCCGACGTCTAAAATAGCCACCGCGACTTCTGGATATACGAGCGCCGCCACCCGCCATCAGGTACCGCCAGGGGGGGCTAGAACATCGCTGCTTGTCAACGGCCACGCACCGAGACGAGAAATCCCAGGCCATCAACCCAAAAAAAAACACACGACCCCACCGCGAGCCGCCGAGCGCTGGCGACAGGCCCTATAAGCTCGTCCCAGCAGCCCAGTGCCGCTGCTATCGGTGGAGCAGCGCTAAGACAGGCCTGTTTTGCTACCCCACGCCGGGTCCAGCGCTGCACCGAATCGTGCCTTACAGCTCAACTGCCCTCTTCTGCTGCCTCTTAGCTCAGCTGCTCTGCGCTGGCCAACCTTTTCCTCTCGTCCCGGCCTGTCCAGCCTTCTCTCCTCTGCATCTCGCAGCCCGGCTTCGTCTTAATAATAACGGCTGCCGTTGTTATTAGCTGCGTCCCGCCGTCTTATCTTGTCCCATTTTGCATACTGTTCAATAGCTGCATCTGATAGGAGCTGGCTCTGCGTCGGAGTCCTCAGCCGTCTTACCAAAACAACACAACATAGCCTCTCCGCACTCCAAGCCCCTCCAAAAAAACCGGCCGCCGAGCTGTTGCTGCTCTCTGCCTTTAAGCAGCCCACCACCCTCGACCTCTGCTATACATCTCCATCTCTTGTCGACAGCATCAACATCTCACTGCTGCCGCGAGCTTGGGTGATTGTTTGCATTTACACATTGGTTCGATTCCTCCATCGCCCCCATAGCAGCACCAGCCCGCCTCGATTAGACGCCCGTCGAGCCACTGTCAACGGCTCTCGAGCCCACCAGCAGAACCGCCCACGTTCCTCCGGGAACAAGAAATGCTCCCCATGCAACGCTCGCTCTCATCGCCAGACTGTATCCAATCCTCCCCACGTACGTTGCCGCCGTCCTCTGGCCCAGCCTCTGTCCCGGAACCCCGTGACCTTGCACTCGTGTACTGATGGTTCATGCCACTGGTCCAGCCGTGTCACCCACGGCTGCTGCGCACGACTCGAGATCTTCGACTCCGTCACCGGACAAGAAGAGCAGCTCCAACTCGAATAGCAACAACCCCAACAGCAACAATGGCGCCGAGGCGCAGCGACCGAAGCGCTACGAATCGCGCAGTCCCAGCCCGACCCCGACTCGCACCTCGGACGTCCCCCAGACCTTGGCCCTGCGCCTGAGCGACGATGTTAATGTTCCCCGCCGAGGTCGCCATTCGCCCATGGCCTCTCGAAAGCCCATTGTGGCACAGCCAAATATGCCAAACTCGAGCAACGCAAGGCACGGCTCCGGTTTCCGGCCCCTGACCCCGACGAGCTCGTCCAACGAAACGCTGCCGGGCTCAAAGTTTACAAAGAAGCCCCTGCTGCACGATGTGTCCATGTATACCAACACGCACCTGGTGCGGGACAGCGACAACACCACGCTCGAGGAGCTTGCCCATGTTGTGCGCCTGTCCAAGTACCAAGAACGCAAGCGTGCCAACACCCGAATTCGCCTGCAGAGAAGCTTGATTTCCACTGCCTTGAGCGCTCGGCTGACGCGCTGCGGTGAGATGGCCCATCGTTACCTTGTCGAAAGCTTCCGGAAAGATGACAAGGACAGCTTTGCGGCTCTGTACAATGCCATTCACGATGTTCGCAAGAGCTGCGATGAGCTCCGGCGATATGCGCTGCTGGAGCCCGAGCTGGAATCCATCTCCTCGGCCGCTGCTCTGGGGTCGTCTGACAGCTTAGATACACCCACTAACTCTACAGTTGGCGTCGTTGATCCGCTCAAGTCCATTACTCCGTTTCTGCATGACATTTCTGCCTCTGCTAGGGAGACCTTTATCGAGTTTCTGACACAGATCCGAACGAACCCGGACTACTTGGCCACCCGCATATGTGCACTCACCAGCTCTGAGCTGAATGTCTTTTTGAACTTCCACAAAGGTTTGGAGCCAGTCGAGTCGGTTCTTCCATTCCCCACGCGAAATCCCAATCGGCCTCACGCGAGTGCCTCTGGCCGTAGCTCCTCCAATACCGACATCGAAAGGCTCCTTTCCTTCCAGAGACATGACCCATTGTCAATCTTGATCCATGCTTGCTTTGCCAATTCGGCTGGCCCCGACAGCTCCGAAGACCAGCGGCGCACCGATATCTGGGCGACGGTCCTGGCCAAGCTGATAGCCGAGCCCAAATCTGCCGGCGAGCATTTCCTCATCTGTGTACTAAACATCTGGACAGCTATGCGCGACTGGTCGGGTAAATCCAACATGGAGTGGTACCTGATGAAAATCCTTGAAGACGGTGCCTTCTTGCTGGACCGCGCCGAAGATCAGCACGGCACGCGATTCAATCTCTCAGACTGGAACCAGTCGGACGAAGCCGCTGCCAGGGACTTTTACGACCGCGCCGTCAACGGCTTGTTCGAGCTGGTTGACGACGAGGACGCTACCGGTATCCCAGAGGGCCTTTTGGAGCTGGGAAACGCCATCCTGAGCAAGCTCGAAAACAAGTTTGTGGAAAACACCTCCAAGTGGCTTGTCTGGAGATGCCTCTTCTTTGTCTTTTTGCTTGGCGTCATCATTCACCCCGAATACTATGGCATGCTGGCCGAGTACCACATCACCCCTTATGCCAGAGAAAAGATTCTGAAAAAGGTTGCCATGAGAGCCCATGAATACGTTTCAAGCATGTGGAGTGGCAAGCCCTCGGCCACCTGTGTCCCGGTGAACATTCCGCCCAAGATCAAAGGCCACGTGGAAAACATCCTCGCCCGGTTCCAAGGCACCCGGTCCAAGGTTCCCGCCGCTAAACTGCTGCCCGCGAGATCCATCACCTCCCTCAGGGAGACTGTCGAGGTCCGCCCCTACTTGGTCATCAGCCCTGCTGATTTGGCGACGCTGGCCAACGCTCTCTTCCCTGAGAAGCGACCGCATTCTGCACGTTCGGGCCCAGCCTCCATTTCCGGGCTGTCGGCCATCTCCCAGCCCATCTCCATGTCCAGCCATCACAACAAGAATAGCTTTGATACAGCCTCCATCATCAGCACCAGTGCCTCGTCCATTTTGAGCGACGCAACTACGTCTCGTGATTTCATCTATGATCTCAACACTGCCACACCTCGATACTCTCCTCCTGCTGAAGATCCCGAGGAGCAGAGGCGGCTGAGCAAGTACGAGGACGATGGCTATCGCCTCAGACTCGCCATTCACGAAATGCAGCAGAACCTTGGCGCAGATGTCGTTCGTGGATCCAGCCACCCATGCGCCGAGAGGTGGGTAGTTCTCTTTATTTCTCCTGACGGAAAGAGCCTGTCTACGCAGATGACCTATGATCCGGATGACGAGCTTGAAGATGAGGAAAACTCATCCAGCACCGATACCGATGAGGACGAAACGCCGCAGCGCCCCGAACTCGACAAGGATTACCATCAGCTACGCAACTCTGTTCTCAAGCTGGTGGAGGATTATGAGATTCCCCGCAGCTTGGAGCCAGAGCGCGGACGTGCCCAGCTTAGCAATCGCGCTTCTGGACTGAGGAAATACACGTCGAGAAACAGAATCATCCAACCAGAAAAGTCTGTTGCTAGCCGAAATCCTTACCGAAAACAAATGGGCGTTGATGGCACCATTTCCACCACCGACTTGACGCCAAAGAAGCCTGAAGAGTCCGAGCCTGTCTTGATCACCATGCTCAAGGCGGCCTCATCCCAATCCAAGGCCCAGGCAGACTTTGTCTCGGCGCACATGTACTGGAAGACTCTGAACCAGCTGACTGCACTGGCATCGAGCTCACTGCGACAGGACGGATTCGCAGCCCTCATCAACATTCTGGCCCGAGGACCGCGCGACGCCATTCGCCGCTCCGCATCTGCCATTGAAGAGTATGATGCGTGGCTCGTCTGGCTGAAGCAAAGCCAAGAGCGCCACGAAGGCCTAATCGACGGCATGATGAAGCGCGTCAACGCCATCCGCGACAAGATGTGGTATGTTACCGATGTTCGCAATTCCAAGGAATATGCGCACAGCCGTGACATTTGTCAGGCTCTCAAGACCATGGGTATGCCGCGTCGTTGGAGCTCGTTTCAGCGCTCAAGGGCTCACAACAACCGTGGTCCTAGTTCCTCCTACCTCTACCGCACCGAATCGCAGATTATGGACCTCCTGGCCGCTTCGGAGGAGCAGGGTGGGCCGAACAAGCTTAGCGACGATCAGGCAGAGATGACCTCCCTGTGGCTGCAGCAGTACGGCATCGAGAATTTCTGCCAGGGCGAGGAACGCATCCACCGGTTCTGCTGTGAGGTGGACCGATGCATTTCCAAGCTCGTCGGCGAGACCCTCCGAGAGGCACCGGTTCTGTGGTCCAGTGAGCTGTATAAGCGCGATAAGCTGGTCTATGACCGCAGCAAAACCAGAGACCGTGATCACTCGTGGGGTGGCGATGATTCGACAAGCATCATCAGCGAACAGGATAGACGCCATGCCTCGCATACCTCGTCGTCGTCTGGGCGATCCAGTTCATTCGCTCGCGACCTGAGGTCCATGACCAGCAATAACACCAGCCACCACTCTTTGGACTCGTCGAGGCACAGCCACTCGAGGACTGGTGGCATGCTGGCCGATATCCCAGATGGTCAAGAGTACTTTGATAAAGCATCTCCTGTTGATTCTTCAGGTACATTCTGGTCACCATTCCAGCCAGCCATGTCCACCAGCTCGGCCCCATCGCGATACTCGCCTACCACAAGCCTTACCAATGTGTCGACCACTTTCTCCGCTCCTCAGCACCACACGATCCCATCAATTACAAGCGCCTCTACCGGGCGTCCCAGCACTGCAGCTTCGTCCAATGACACTATTCAACAGCATCGCAGTGATGACGAAAAGACTCGATTTTTAAATGAACTCAAGCAAACTCTTACTAGCTTGCTGCTGTCTGACTTGG